AGCATTCAACACAAGCATGGAGCAACAGGCGCGGGAACGACGATCGGCGCAAATGTGGGTTGAAAAGCACCAACGATGGCAAGGGCGATTGAATGATGGGATGAACGAGGAGCAAATGATGCAAATGTTAAACGAAGCGCTCTGTCAGAATCGGTGAGTGCATAATGTCGGTGAAGATAAAGGGAGCGTGTCGTTGAGATGTTGTCGACAAAAAGTGTCGGCAGAAGTGTTGGAGACGGATGAGATGTTGTGTTGGACTCGATTCTGAAAAGCCGTCGTGCGGCCGTGGGAAAACTGTCCGGATCGATAGGGATCTATACCAATCTACACCAATCTATATCGATGTATATCGATGTATATGCATATGCATATGCACTCGTCCGGATCTATACGACCTTGAATCTGCATGGAGGATTATGCGTTTGACAGCTGCTGGAGAACGCCCCTGATAGCCCACTGGTAAAGCGTAAAGACATTCTGCCAGGCAAGACTGTTCTGGAAGTAGGTGTAGAAGAGTGGGTCGTTCAAGCCAAGCTGTGTAACGGCGGCGAGGAAGTAGCCATTCCAGAGCCCGACGCTGTTTTGAATGTAGCCGAGCATGGTACTCTTGGCATTGCTTTGCATCTGGGTCGACAAAGGCAGGTAGTTTGTGGTGCAGTTCATGCAAGCATTGTCGCTGCAAGTCGACATAATCAGGTCAGTCTGGTCGTAGGAGATCGAGAGTTGGTTATAAACGGGCGGGTTCTGGATGCTGTTTTGGAAGCAAGTGTTGATGTTGGTGACGGTCAGCAAGGCGTTGCCGTTGAGCACGTCGATGGCCGTGGATGTGTTCCAGTTGGGCGCTTGGGTGTATGTAACCAAATCCAGGGCGGGGTTGAGAGCCAGGTCAATGTGTGTCGGGTCGGTGATGCACGAGATATGGGAGCTCACGCCATTGAGCGTCTGGCAGTAGTTGGCACCGTCGTCGCACTTGTCGTTGAAGTCGCTGAGGGATTGGAACCATCCCTGGCTGGCACCATAGCTCGCCCGGAAGGCGATCACTTGGTCGGCAATGGCGGTGGTGCTGCAGTTCTGGGTAATGAACTGGGAAGCCACGATGTAGATCGCCGGGAGAGTGAAAGACGGCCTGGGTGCCACGGTCAGGATGGGAAGATCGCTGGGAGAGAGGGTCATGTTGCCGTTGAAGACGGTTTGATAGATGTTAGCACCGTGGCCCACATGCAGCTCAAAAGCACTATCGGTAACAGCATTGCTGCCGCTGAGAGAGCCCGTCTGGATGGTGTTGAAGGGAATCAAGCTGGAAGAAGGAGCCAGGGTTGCAGAGGGGTAGTTGCAACTGCTGCACGTCTGGTCTGTGCAAGTGCCTGTGGCCAAGACGCTGACACTGCTGTTCTGCATGATCGAGGTTGAGGTGTAGACGGTAGTGCCGGCGCTGGTCGACGCCATGCAGCTGCCGATCGGGGTGCCGACCAAGACACCGGAGAGGGCGCCCGTCAGCAGACCGTTGACACTGGGCGTGGTCGATCCGTTCACCAAGGCCGTCACCAAGATGTCCTTGGTGGGATCGAGATGGCTGGCAAAGTTGGAGAGGTCTGGAACGGAGTTGTAGCAGGCGAGGCCGAGGTTGGCGCCCGTGGTGGGCAGGCTGACGCAGAACGACGAGTCTGCCTGGCGACAGAGGGCCGAGAGAGTGCTCTGGCTGAGGCCGGTCACGGTGAGGAACGATGCCTGGTTGTAGACGTTGAAACTCGTGGCCGTGGAGCTGTTGCTGCAGGTCTCGAAGTTGTAGGTGGCAATAATCTGCTGGCCCAGGGTGGCTGGGCAGAGGCTCAGCGCGAGGGCGAGCGACACCCAGCGGACAAGGGTTGCGAAGGAGGGGCTCATCGTGCCGAGAGAGGCCTTGGTTGGACAGCGAGAGGGACTATGAGACAAAAAACCACTAGGAGGAAGCCACAGGTCGACTTGGTCAGCATCTCGCGCGCGAGTGAACGAGCCTGGACAGCAAAGTACTCGTGGCCAGCACAGCCGGCACCGTGGGAACAACATACACGACCACAGCAAGCCGAGGAAATCAGGCAAAAGTACAGGATGAATAGGCAAGGCGCAAGGAGACGAAGCACCGGATGAAGCACCGGATGGAGCACCGGATGAAGCGCAGGATGAAGCGCAGGATGAACAAGTAATGCAAAGACGCGTGCTCCAAGAGACCCGCCCGTCAGCGGCGTGAACATCTCGTGCATAGCAAGACGCAGGCATCCTCAACAAAAGCACCCATTTGCCCGTGCGTGAATAGGAGCACGTTCGCGTATCGACGAGGGCCGCATACTGAACAGGCACGGAGTTCGACGCGCTCAAGAGCGGTAAAAATGCATCGAGACAGCTGCGGAGACGGAGGTCCGGACTGTCGCCAGCGACGCAGGCGGAGGAGCAGCAGTACCTGATACGATACGGTGTGCTTGCTGACTTTGAAGCAGAAGTGGGCAAACGATTCCGTGCTGGTTAGAGTGCGTTGGAAGGAAGAAAGGTGAAAAGGAGACAGCGCGACGACAAACCCGCTGGACGAACGAAAGACCACGACAACGTCGACGCTGGGAGGGGAGCTGCGAGCGGATATCGATCAGAGCCGCCTCCCTGCCAGACTGCCCCTTCAAACTTGCGCAGACGGCCCCTCCTCCCCTTGCCTCCGTAACCACAACAGCGAATGCAGTTGACTCTGTAGGAGGACAACGCTCGATTTCCCAGGCTCGCAAGGGCCGTGTGGCTTTGGCCCGTCGACGTCACCATGGCCAGCACTTTTGATTGGGAGTCGTCTCTCGTCTCTCCACCATGATCCGTGATTGGAGGCAAGCTGACGCTTGTTCGCAGAGACTCCCTCCTGCGTAGCCCTCGCGCATCGACAGCATCGACAGCATCGACAGCATCGACAGCATCGACAGCATCGACAGCATCGACGACAGCATCATGGGCTTGGCCACTGTCGCACACAGCTGCGCATGAAACTGCGCACCAGCCCGCCCGGCTTCTCCGGCCAACCCACCTGCTGGCAATCCAGATCCGCCACATCGCTCTCGCTCTGTCTGCATCCGCCCACCAGCAACAATCGATCCGCCATGCCGGTACACATGCCAGCCCGCTCATGACGCTCGACGTGCCAGTGTGTCTGCTCCCCCGCCTGCTTGTACTCCCGTGCAATGTCCTTCGATACTCATGCGGCCTGACTCCGCCTAGAAATATAACCTGCAGTTCAAGGCAGACGTCGAGAACCTCACCGACATCAAGCCGGCCGGCGATGACTATGAGTGGCTGCTCAAGGTGAGGGGGGGGGCTGTGGCTGGGCATTAGTGCTGCATCCGAATCAAGTGCCGATCTGCTGTCTGCAACCCTCGCTTGGATGCTCAGTCCCTGTTCCCACCGACTCGAACACCCAGATCAAGTGCACCTCCTGCAGCGAAGTCAATCCAGCCCTGGTCACAGTCGTCGAAAGTGTAAGCTTCTGGGTGGGAGTTGTGTCGCTGCTCTCTAGGGCCTTCAAAGTGCCCTATTCCCAGCTGACGAAGGCTGACGAAGGCTGACGAAGGCTGACGAAGGCTGACGAATGTGCCTCGCTCTGGTGACCTTTGATTTGTCTGCCTCCGCGATTACCGGTCTCCAGGAATCGCATCCGATCCCCAACTCGCGAGGCGAGGCCAACCTTGTGATGAAGTGCAAGTTCTGCAAGACCGATGGTTCTGGAAGTGCGTTCCTTTGTCTGCGCTCGCTGTCCTCTCTAACAGCTCGCAGCGATGCTATAGGGCTCTGGCGGTGGTCGTCTATGGCTCACCGTCCCATCCGAATCTTGCTCGTCCGCAGGCCTCGTTTCGAAATCGATCAAGCCATACAACCTCGAGCACTCTGGAAACTTTTCGACCGTCGCCACGTTTGAACTGCGCAATCTCGAGGTCGTTGGATGGAAGCCGTCGGTATGGCCGTCGCGTTGTTGTTCGATATCCAGCTCCGTCTGTATGGAATGCGTGCCGTCACCAGGATATCGGTCTCTGTGTCTGTTCATATCACAGTCGAATCCTTTCGTTTGCGCTGACGATATTTCCGCTGGTATTTTGCATCTCCCCTCGTCCTCTCGCTCCAGGTTGGCTTCCGCGCCATCGGGGCCGAGTCCGAGACAGTCTTTGAGGACATTGACCTCCAGGACGACTGGACTGAATACGACGAAAAGGCTCAGGAAAGCGTCAGCATTCTGAACATCGAAACCAAGGCCAGCAAGTGCTGAAAGCACGAGCACGCTCCCGCTGGGAATCCCGGATTGGTTCTTATGCACTGGATGGGCTCAGGGTCCCAGAAGCCAATACAGCGCAAATGTACAATACTGCAGATGCTCCTTGGTCGCGACTCTGGATCGTCCGCATCCTCGTCCCAGAGTGCGCCCCTGCATTGATGGGCTTCAGCTCCGAAGGGGATCGCAGATGCAGCCTGTCCACTGAGTTTATTGACCTACAGCAGGGGTACAGCGGTTGCCGATCGTCTCCCTCGCCGACGATATACACCACCCCGAACACGTTTGCACGCCTCCCATTCGGCCGGTTTGCTGCTAAAGAGTAAACACGATCTTGTCTTGATCGACGAGATTGTAGAAGCCAATGTCGCGGATGTCATCGACCATGTCGAGGCTTTTGCCAGTGTCCTGGTAAACCACCGCCATGTTTGTGCTGGGCTGGGTGAGGCCCAGAAGGCGGCCTGCCAATGTTCGCAGAGCTCGGATGGTCATGGTATTGGGGACCTTCTTGGTCACGGACTTTCCAGTGTCGGGTCGCTCCAGAACCAAGGTCACCATGTTGTCCTTGAGGGCAGCCGACATGGTTGACGCCTCGGGCTTGCCCGGGTGGCCATGGAGCGATACCAAGTGAGCAAAGGTTGGGTGCTTGGCGTTGAAATCGGCCTCGTTGAGGTCCGAGTCGTTCTTGACGCAGCGACTCAAGTAAAACACCTCGCCCTCGATGCGTTCCTTGGGCGACATTCGCGAACCGTTCACCGACTGGACCTTGAGCAGTCGGCCGATAAGCGTCAAGTGCAGATCGTTGGCCGGACAGTCGTCCAGGATTGGGTTCCGCTTGAGGCGCACCTCGACCAAGTTGTACGAGTTGAGATGATGGAGAGACATCCAGCTATTGATGGAGTTCTGGGTGATATTGAGGGAGCGCAGGGCCGCAAAGCTATGTTCTGGGTTCGACACTGCTTCGATATCAGCGATTTGGTTGTCGTTCAAGAACAGAGACTCAAGGCGGGGCAGCCGATCGAGGATCTTGATGTCGGACCACGCCGTGAACTTGTTGGATTCGAGGTTCAGGAGCTTGAGATTGGGGAACAGCTGTGCAATCTCGTCGCTGGAGCCGTCCAGGCGCTGCAGTTGGTTGAAGCCCAGATGCAGAGTCTCGAGGCCTGGAAAGTTGCGTGCGAGCCGAGTAACTTCGCCCCAGGTGATCGCCGTCCAGTTGAGGGCCAAGGTGGTGAGGTGAGGAAAGACGACGAGCCGGTCGATCGAGCTTGCGGACAGGCGATTATGGGAGATACGGAGCGACTGTAGTCTTGGCAGCTCCTCGCATATCTCTGACACTGTTTCCCAGGAGCCGATGAGGTTTCGGGACAAATCCAGGTCCTGGATTGCGGGGCAGGTTTCCAGGATGGACTTTGGCTGGCCGCGGCGCTCGATCATGCAGTTGGAAAGGCCAACTTCCTGGAGCTCATTGAGCTTGGAAATGGCCTTGTGGATCTTGTCCCAACCAACGGTCTCGACTTCGATCTTGCTGTTTCCGCCAAGGGTGATCACTCCGTCTTCGGGCTGGGCGGCCAGGTACTTTTCTCGGAGGGCATCCAGGAACTCGCGACCGACCAGCACCTTCTCAGAGAGCTTCACGAACGATCCGGCTCCAGGGGTGGCCGTATGGAAATAGGAGACGCCCTGAAGCTCACCAGAGTGTTTGCCGTGGGCGGGATCGTCCCATTCGACGCCCAGCCAGGTCGATCCCTCAGGAGTTCCAGGCAGGGCGCCGAAGAAACGGACAGTGCCGATCTGGCTGTTGAAGACAATGCGCCTGCCGACCCAAGCCGAAGCCCCGGCGGATGCAGATGGGGGAAGTTCGGATGCGGCCCGGTCGGTCATGGAGAGCATGGCCCTTGCTGGATGCGATGGCGAGGGTCGGAGGGGGTGGGATGCTCGCCTGGAGGAGCTGGCGATGACAGGCAAAGGGGATGGGGGCGACCGGGGCTCAAAAAGCCCAAACGCGACAGGAGCCGCAGTGCTCAGACACCGACTGTCCCAGCCTCACCATGGGAACCATCGCCCGCTGGCAGGATGGCCTGCTGGATGGCCTGCTGGATGGCCTGCTGGGTGGCCTGCTGAATAGCTTGCTGGATGGCCCGTTCGATTTCACACATGCCCACATACAGGCTTACCCAAAACGAGACGACTCGTTGCAGCGCTACAGTACGCAGATCTATTCAAAAGCAGCAGCGTCGTGGCTCATCGAGTGTATCGCAGCCCGCGCCGTGCATGGTCTTTGGGGACACACTTTTGCTTCCGGGCCCACACCATCCACTTTTGTATCCGCTCGTTTTCCAGCAGCTTCGGAAGGGTGTCGAGCTTGGTCGCCAGCTCCTTGTTGTCAAACATTCGGTGAATGGCCGAGTGGCATGGGCGGCAGATGTCGATTCCGCGGTTCAGCTCGTCCTGGTCGAGCCGCAGCCGCTTCTTCATGGCCTTGTGGGTCTCTTTGGGGATCAGGTGGTGGAAAGTCAGCGGCATGTACCGGTCGCAGATCGCACAGCAGCCCTCTTCGATGGAGACCATGTCGTCGTCATCTTCGTCGCCTTCGTTGCCGCCTTCATCATCGTTATCGTCATCGGGTTGGTCCAACGATGCTTGGGGCTCTTGGGGCTCTTGGGGCTCTTGGGCCGAGCCGGACCCGGCAGCTCCGGCACTGCGGCTGGTATGTAGGGCAATGGTTTGGCAGAGGTCTTGGGCCGAGCGGCTGTCGGCGCAGAGAAAAGACTCAACCAGGATCTCTCCCAGCACCCCCAGGATAGCTTCGGTTGTGAGTGCCGGGCCGCTGTACACACCGAGCAGCTCGGTGGCAAGAAAGTCGATCATGTCGTCATCAGGCATCGGCAACCGAGTCTCTTCGAATGCCTGGGCAAGGATCCCGAGCAAGACCTGATGCCGGGCTGCCTCGGCTGCCTTTGCCGCCCTGGATGCCTTTGCCGCCTTGGATGCCTTGGCCGCTTTGGCCGTGTTGGACGTCGTGTGGGTTGTGGACGGGACGGATGTCTTCATCGGTGATGGCTGCAGATGGGCTGTCGGTGCTGGCTCTGAACGAACGCTGCGCTGAGGACCGCTTGGTACTTGGCTGCTTTTATGATTTCCACCGCCTTGGCGACGCAGCCGCGCCGGTGTCGGAGATCGACAGCGCCCCCAGGCCCAGGGCAGTCGATGATGTTCTTTCAGGTTCATCTCTGTGTCTGAACCTGCAGCTGCATTCCCCTCCCGCTGCTCCACCTTCGGCTCCAGCACCGGCCTGCCTCTGTCCCAAGTCCCAACGACCTCCAGCGCCTCAGCACAACCGCCGCTGGCCGCCACAAGCCCTGCATGGCTCGACGACATATCCCTGCCCCCATCACCCTCGAGGAGATCTTTGCCAATCCTTTCGTTGTGGCCATCCAGACACACTACCAGTCGATCCTTGTCTCGCTTCGCTACAATGACTGGATCCTTGCTGTTCCGGTACGGTTGGCTCGACTCATCTATGGTGTTCGCTGTCGAGAAGCTACCCTCCTGTCGTGGCTGAATAGGAGTGTCGCCGGTAGCCAGACCAGACCAGACTTGTACGGCTCCTGCTCGAAGGGCCAGCGCCCTGAAGAGTATTTATCGAGACGATTGATCTCACAACCTCCACAACCATCGACGTGGCCTCTATAGCACGCTTCGTCTTTTACATCAATGTTCACCGATAGGGAAATCGCCTTCTCGGAAGAGTTTGTCGGTATGGCCCACACTTCACAGCACCCGCTGCCGGCACCGCCTCATCAATTGTATTCGAGGACCCACCGGATCTCGCCGACATACTCGCCGACATATTCACGTTCGATAACGCTTACATTTCTGCTACCCCAGCCACGCACGTCCTGCGGTCCATCTCGAGCGACAACGGCTACATCACGCTCGATAACAAGAAAGTCTACGTCAAAGATCATCATCTGGTGACCGATAAAGGTCTCGAACTCAACCGAGCGCCTCTCGATGGCCCCGCTGCAGCGATAGAAACCGCCAGCTCATCGATTCGAATGCCTTCTCTGCCTGCACAGGTTTCTCAGAGTCCCGCAAGTGTCTCGTCCTTTTCGATGGTAATGGCCGGACGGCGCTTGTGTTCTGCGGGCTCCTCAGCTTTCCAGGCTGCCAGGCTTTGCGCTGCTGCTTTCGATTGTGCGTCCGCCCATAGCTTTCAGCGCTCCCTGAGCAGCCGTTCGTGTCGTTAGATATCATTCAGGACGACGGACCAAACAAATCCGGTATCGCCGTATACTGCATCGACCAGCCCCTGGTGCGGCTCGGTGGTGTCGAGGCAAGTGGCAAAAGACCAAGTCAAATTTCTGGCGAGCTTATTGTGATCGTGTTCCGGAGCGGCAGTGACGAGACCGATGCATCAGCTTGGAGCCGAAGACTAGCCCATCACCGGTTCATTACCAGTCCATCACCGTGTCTTTGTCGATGATCCTTGATGCTGACTGCCCGGACTCTGTTCACGCTCGCTACTGAAAACGGATGAACATATGCGATATGCATCCTGTGTGAAATCAGGACGAGTCGACAAGGCATATTGCTGAATCGGCAGTGAGGTTCGTGCTATTCGTGGCTGGTTGTCATGATCCCGATTTCATGGATGTCCCTTGCCGCGCTTGTCTTGTCTGACCCTCTCCAAGCTTCCGCAAGATTATCGACGCCATGGAGACTGGAAAGGTCGAGATCTCCAAGATAGAGGAGGCGGTGCTTGCCTTTAACGATCGCGCCGTGGAGATTGATTCCTTGGAGACCCTCAAAGATGAGGTCAAGCTACTGGTCGAAAAGTGCTTTGTGGTAAGTGATGGCGCAGCACAGGATTCCAGTCGGATGCAGCTCAAAGGGCAGGCCAAGGTGAAGACAGTGGAATGCTAATGCCTGTTGTGGCAGACCTTGGGCGCCATCGACGAAAAAGCCCTGCGCGGCGCTTTGGAGAAGTACGGAATCGAGCACGAGATGGTCTTCCAGGCAGCTGAGACGTAAGTCGCTCTTAGTTGACTGCACAAGATTGCACAAGATTGATCAGATCGCACCAGATTGCACAAGATTGCGCCCGATTGCAGCGGATTGAATGAGATTGCTCAAGCCTTGTTAGTGACCTCGCACTTGGCTTCGACTGAATCCTTACCGCCCCTCATCAACCGATGCAGCTTCATCATGGAGTCAGCGTACGAAATTTTGTTCTTCAAAGTCTGCTCCTACCACCGCGAGAAAGATACGGTGTTTTCAGAGGTTTTAGTGGATCTCCAGGATCTCGATCTGCGGCAAATGGGTCTTCCCGAGCAGTACGGTTGGGGCCTCATGATGGCGGTCAAGGTAGATTGCTACATCCAACGCCAGGAGCGGGGGCGTCAGCCATGACACAGGTTCCCTTTGTCGCTCTTGTTCAATCGGCCGGATCATGCGTGTTCATACAACGGGTTTGCCATCTGTTTCCAGGAGTTCCAGACTGTCGCCGCCCTGCGGACTCCGTTCGAGAAGATTCGGTGTCTAATGCGGAGTATCGAGCTCTTCAGCTCCTTGCCAAGCAACAGCTCGTCGCCAGACCGACCGCCGATCCTCAGTGGAGACGTCATCATTCCGCTGATGGCGATGATGGTTATCCGTAGCAATGTCGTGAATCTGCATTCAAGCCTGTACTTTATGAACAACTTTACCTTTGGACACGACGTTCTCATTGGCGAATACGGCTATGCGTTGTCGTCCCTCGAGGCCGCGTCGACTTATCTGGAAGAGCACCACTCGCTGCTATCAACGGGTGCTCGGCGCAACAGAAGCTACTGGAGCGCTGTCCGATGCGGGGACTTGACTGCCGTCAAATATTACTTTGAAGGAAAGGTCCATAGAGAAGAGCACGAGCCAATCTCGGCAAAGTCTGCAACGCCATCCCTCACTGCGGATGCATCTGTGATATGCGACGCTGCAAGGAGCCGCGATGTCAACGGCGACGATGCCGTGCTGATGGCTGTCCAAAGCGCAAGACTGGAGGTCCTCAAGTACTGTAAGTGCTGTGATTGCGGTCTTGGTGTTGGCTGCAGACCGGCGATGATCGTGTCGTAGTCGATGGCCGGGATGTGGTCAGCCGTGCTGGCGAACCTCCACCGCCGTATAAGATCGCGTACCGGCCATTGAAAGCAAAAGTCGGACAATCCGATTTCATCTCGTATCTCGAGCATGTGTTGCCTGTTGACCTGTCCTCATATGAGCTTCCACCATTGGCTGATGTACCTGTCGTTTCAATTTCTCAAACATCTGCCATTCTACTCTTTGGGGTTTCTATCATTCCGATTGTCCGGAACCCACCTCCAATCGACTGCTTCTCAAGTACTCGAATCCGGAATGTGTCCCGCCACCTCCAACTACAACGATACCTCGGTGTTGCATATTTGTGCAGCCAGTGACGCCCACCTCCCGATTGCGCACTACTTGCTCGACCATCATTCGGGTGCCATCGACATCGAGGCCCGCGACCATCAAGGCAACACCCCACTTCTGGTGGCTGTCCAGCACCATAACGAGCCGCTCTTTATACTCCTCCTTGAAAAGGGGGCCAACGCCCAGGCCCAAAACGATGCGGGCATGTCCATCATTCATTCGGGCAACGCATCAGATATCCGCTCATTGCTCGGTGCCCAGCGTCGTCTGGGATTCAGCATCAACCTGAATCTTTGGTCACATGACGGTCTGACTCCCCTGCTCTACCACTGCCAGCATGGCCATGCATTGGAGATTGAGGAGCTAATCTGGCAAGACTCGGTCGATTTAATGGCCCAGGACCTGGGCCAACGAACGCCGCTCCATCTGTGTGCGTTCAAAGGACTCGCCCACGCAGTCGAGATGCTTCTTCAGACTCCCGCCGTCGCCGTCGATGCTGAAAGTGAGTTGGTCCAGATACCAGTCGCAGGACACGGCCCTGCAGTGTCGAGAACTGGAGTCGCGGTCAAGTGTATTTTGCCTGTGCTCTCGAAGTGTCATTCCGCTCTGCTGAGGTCTCGGATGGATTTCTTGCTCACTTTGTGTGTCTATCATCATTCGCGGCTAGGTTTGCGCGGCAACACCGCCTTGCATGCCGCGGCCGACTCTGGCAACTTTGCAATTGCCCATCTTCTCCTAGAAGCCGGTGCTGATCCTGCCAAGCGCAATGCACAAGGGAGGTCCCCGGCCGATCTCTCCAAGGAGGAGGCGCTCACAGATCTTCTGGACGGTAGGCGTTGCTCTCCTCGGGCTTCTGGGCACTTAAGAGACAATCAGAAGCATGTAAAATCAACCCACGAGCTCACCATGCAGCACTATGATGCTACTCCGCTCTCGGTGCCGAGGCGCCAGAGTTTTGCTCAGTCTTTGAACTTTGCTGACGCTTTCTTGTGACTGCACCGCAACTGTCGCTCTACTTGCTACCACAGACTATGGTCTGTTCGCAAGCTGCACACACGTGCCAAAGAATCTCGGGGAAAAGGTCGCTGCGATCGTTCGAGCCGTCGTCGAATCGGACAAAGTGTACTTTGTGGTCAAATCAGGCACGGTGGGTCCCCCGAGCGCAAGCCAGTGTCTGTTTCGACCGCTCCGCATCCCCAACGCAGGCTCGACTGGACATGGGACTACTGGCTGAGCATGGGGCCTTTCGGCGGTTCGCTGCATCGTCGATCGGCCGCTTCTGGGCGTAGGAGGCGCTACAACTTGTGATATCGTGGCTTGGACTCATTTGAATTGGTGTGGTTCAGTTCCGCGATGTCGCCAGCATAACAACGGTGTTCCGAGAGCTCGACGACTTTCGGTTCCTAAGATCGCAGGTAAGACCGCAAGACATCTGTGACCGCATGAAAACCGCTCTGATTATCTGGTGGCTTTCTTTCCTAGCTTTTGGAAGAATATTCGGAAGTCTGTTTGTAAGATCCCCTGCCCGAGCCGACATCTGGTGCATGCTACAGTCAAGTGAAGCTGCCCTGGGATTTGTTCTGGCGTTCACCCTTTTGATCAGCGGCGTTCGGGCATCACGAATGCATGACTGAGGCATTGCTGTGCTCCTCCGGTGCCTCGCCAACTTACGATGTCGCTGATTATTCGCTCTTTGCTGTCGATCCTTGGCCGTGTTTGAGACCCGAGTTTGAAGACCTGTTCGACACTCGCCAGATATCGGCTGCGGTTCTGAAGAACAATCCTTCCAGCGCTTCCCGCACGCTGAGGAAGATCATCAAGCGATTGAGTACGGAGCGCTGGTGACTTTGCTAATCCTGCTGACCCTGCCGATTGATTCTCAACTGCTACCCGCAGTCGATTTTGGGCATTTCACTTACGTTTCGTTGCGGTGCACGGGCGACTCAAGCCGTGCTTTTTGACTACCTGCTTTCGCACCCGACGCTCAAGGATCACGAACTTGTCTGGGAATTTCTCGTGCTCTCGGACCTCGAGGTACGCCCGGCGCCAGCGACCCGAATTGGACATAGGTACCCTGGCTGATATTCTTGTGCCTGTAGCTCGACATGATCAAGGCCCGTAGCGCCTCCAAGATTGAATACCTGCTTGAGAACATCTTTGAATCCTACGCCCCCATTGTCGAGGACCTGGAGAAAAGCGATGCCGAGTTTCACAACGTGGCGGAAGTGTTTGGCGCCCTGGTTGGAAGTAGCGGAACCGGAGGCGTCAGGAGCATCGCCAACTCGGCTAGAAGAATGGGCAAGCTCAGAAGAGGTATGCTGGGTTGTCTTGCGGTTGTGTCGCCGCCATGTCACACTCGTTGGTACATGCGTCATCGTTGCCGAGATGATAAATTGGCACGAGACGCTCCCGTCTTTCCCACCCAGGCCTCTGAATATCTGACTATCTCTCGCATCAGACTTTGCAAACAACATTCGGACGCTGCGCTACCACATGTCCAAGCCATCTTTGGATCTATTTCCTCGCAAGGATGGCGTAGCAACCGCCCTCAAGTGTTTGGGCGACATCAGCACCCGCCAGGTGAGAGCCATAGTAGCGACGATGGCCATGTCTTTGACGATTCTGACTTTCCTTCCATCGGGCAGAGTGCCATCGACACCTGGGAGATCGGAGAGGTCTTTCTTGAATCCGCAACAGGTATCGCCGGAGCCTTGTCAGTGCTCCCGAGGCATGATGAGGTGGCGGCGGTTTTCAGAACCAACTCCAAGCACACGGCGACCATACAGAGCCAGCTCACTCGAGTCGAGGCCCAAGCCAAGACCAATAGCACCGACGAGAATGTCAAGAAGCTCAGCGAGGTAGGTCGCACGGGCACCCCTCCCTCCGATTGATGCATGGATCGTCGGTCCAGCAACCAGGCGAATACACTGGCGTGGCTTCTGATCTTCCCTGGCATCACGCATCGGACACGGAACCGCAGATCTACTTTCAATATCAGACATCCTCGCGAGAGACTCAAAGGAATGCTAGCCTCCTCAACTACACTGATATCTCTCTCCGCAGCGAGCTGCAACGCTTCCACGAGGTAAGCCGGCGGACACACCGTGGTCGGCGTTTGCTGCCGTCGTCCGCCCCGCTAACACAGACACCCACCCAGTATCAGGACAACACATATGATCAACTGCTTCGCACCTATGCTCAGAAGCAGATACAATGCGAAAAGGAAGCCGTGGACAGTATCCTAAAAGCCTTGGATATGCTTGAGTGCACCATGGAGGATCTGCCGTGATCCACTTTGGCTGACAGCGCCGCCAAAGTGAGCGCAGCCGGCCCATACTGCTGGTGAATGCTTCGGTACATCTATCGAGTTGGAGCGGGATGGATGTCTTGGGCCGGTGCTTGCTTTGCGTCGCAGGTTTTGGCTGGTCGTCTCGCGGAATACAGGACCGCTCCGGGCTGTTCCGGGCTGTCGATACGGCGATCGCACACCCAGGAGGTATTCAAAGTCCCCGGTGTGCCGATACCCATCCACAGGCGATCGCAGCCGCTGTTGTGCCGTCGTGGGCTTGTGCTTGTGGGGCCTGGGTTCTGGACGGGCGGCTCATCGGACGGGTTTGGGCCAAGCCGTTGTCTGTCGGCTCTCCATCCCCCCCCCCATCTCCCATCGGCTGCTCGCGGCCTGTCTCCTGTTCATCCGTCGTCCATCCGCATCTCCCGCCGTCGCCGCCGTTGCGACCCGTCCTCCCGCACCACGCTACCTATTCCCCACTCGCATTCGCTCCAGCCTCACCTTTGCCTGTCGTCAGCGGACCATGGACTCGCCCAAGGATCCCACCCCTCGCAAGGGCTCGATCGACACCTCGTCCATCCACACCCATCGGTCTGGCGCCCATGGCATCGCCGGCAAAACCGTCCTTGGAAGCTCTTCGGTCTCGCAGCCGATCCAGCCGCTGTCTCCAACTCCGTCGCCCATACACTTCCGCTCGACCCAGCAGCTTCTGCCGCGGGCTCGATCGACCTCGTTGCATGCCCCTCGGCCGTCGATTGCCCAAGATTCTCTCGAGCCTACCGGCACAACGCACGAAGGCGCTGTGCATGAGAGCGAGCCGGTTCGTTCGGTGTTCCGGTTTCCGGTATCGGCAGCGTCGACAACCTCGATACACTATATCCTGGAGCAGCTCTTTTCTCGATTTGTATCCAGCGCCGAAGGCAAACTTCATTACTTGGTTCCTTATCAGTTGGTACGCTGCTCCTCTGATGCCGGGTGGCCTGTCAGCTGCCCTATGGTCGATCCGTTACCTGCTGTTTGGATGCTCTGTCACCCCTCATCCGTCATCCCGCATATATTCCTTGGCTGCTGTCTTCCAGGACGGAAATCCCAATCTCTTGACGCCACTCAGGGTTGGCCAGGACCCAAGCTTCGATCGGCTGCTGACATCACTGGCTTCGGTCGCAAGGCACTGTCCGAAAATCGTCATCGATGCCATCATGTCATGGAGAAACTACAAAAACGACACCCCGTTCCAGATCACCTCCAATCTGTAGGTTGCTGTGTTGCCAGCACACGCCGTTGCATCGCCGCTTTCCTTGGTCATTGGGGCTGGACATGCACCAGGATGCTACCCGAAGCATGTTCGATGCGGATTTATCAAGCAGCACCCTAATCGAGCCGCTTTTCGATCCAGCTCTGTGTCGTATTCGCACATCAAACAACGAGACCTGGAGATTCTCTTGGCTGAGCGCAAGACAGTATGGACTTTCCGCTATCGAGAGGCCTTGGCTTTGCATCATGGGCTATTGGCCTTGGCACTTGCAACAATACTGACGGCGTTGTTCTGGCGCTCTGCAGCTCATTCTCAACTTTATCATCTGTCGAGTGCTGATTACAATCATGGGCTCGCTCACGAAGGAGCTTCTTCCCGAATCCCTCGGAGAGAAGCTCGAAGCCATGGTCTTTGAGCAGATCAAGATTGCCGATCCGTGGGTATCGATTGCAGATGACGTTATTTCAAATGGTCAAATGGCCTGGGCTATGCGCATCCGACTGACGCTCCTGTCCCGGTGATATTGTTGGCTCGGTATCCTGGCTTGATCGCACGGACTGAACCGTTGCAGAGAAATCATCTCAAGAAACCCCAATCGCCAGTCCAACATTGACTTTTTCGCCGAGCTTCTAGGATCGATCTCGAATCTCAGGTACAGATGCCTGTGCATTCAGATTGTTTATGCGACACCTGGTTAGCCTGTGTGAGCAATCGGCGACCCCATCGTCCTGGATTTGGTTGCTTGTCTGCTATGCTACTTGGCTGTTTGGCTGCTGGCTGCCCACTCGTTTCTGATCTCGGCGCTCTGATGCCGATGCGGCCTCCAGGTTCGGGTCAGTCAGTGACCACTTTGCATCCGAGTTGGCTCGTAGCAGCTCGTTGAAGGAGAGCAAGTTGGAAATGATCATCCGGCAAATGCGACATCTCAGGCTCAAGGTCTGCCCATCGATCCATATGATGATGCAACAGCCAAGCAGCGTGTTGGGCCAGACCGGTGCCTGGATTCGCAACGAGGCTCTGCGGCTAACGAGTGGATCCATCGCCGCCACAGATCGTTCCGATGGAGGCCATTGAGGACTCTGCCTTCTTCCTTGAGACTTGTGCAAAGTACTTTCAGGCTACAGGAGCCTCTCGCATCCAACTGGCCTTCGCCGACACCTTTGTAGAGTTGCTTGAGCCAATTGTAGAGGTTGGTATCCTGGAGCCTTGTTGCACGCCTCATTACTTCCGCCGCGACGACTTTGATGGATATTCTCAGACATGTCGCCCTGTTCCGCCAAGGTTGTCACGGGTGTGATCAACATTCCCGCCTGGATCAAAGCCATCGAGAGCATCTACGGCAAAGCGTATCGGCCCAACCAGCGACTCAAAGGAACTTTGGTGAGGGCAGTTTGGTCTCGGGGATGCCGCCTGGATTTACACTGTGCAATCGATGCTCATCGGTGGGGCTGCGTGGCTGACGGTAGCTAACCGTGCTTCTGTTCAATTCCGGAAGAGCCATCTGTTTCTGGTCACGACGCTTCTCAGTGCGTGCAAAAAGTCGTTCTTCTACGATAACTGGATGAGCGCGGCAAACATGTGTCTTCAGCGCCTGTCGCAGAGGGATTACAAGAACAAGCTCTCGGTTCTGTTTTGCCTCGTTCGCCTGATCTGGATATACCTCTACCGCTTCCCGGAAACCCCCGTCCACAACGCCCACATGAATCTCGAGACGATCGTTCGTATCCTGCTTCCAAGTCTCCCGGGGCGAAAGCCGAATGCCGTGTCGACGACCCTCTTTTCGACCGAAATCGGTCCTCCCTCGGCCATGATCAACATGGGTCCTCTCAGTGTTTCTGGGATCGGTGGTTTGGACCTGTATGTGCAGATCGCGTACGTCATTTGTCTCAAACACCAAGAATACGGCATCGAGAATCTGCTGCTTCCTCTCCTCGGCGCCGACGCTTCGACGTCTTCGGGCGGCAGCAGCGGTCTTCCGGGCACCCCTGGCACTGTTTCTGGCTTCAGCGGCTATACGCTCACCGATGCTTCTTCGAGCGCATATCCCGGCTCTTCATTAGGCTCTGCCGAGGAGTACCCGGGCTCTGGCGCCGATGTGAGCCTCTACCCGGATCGCTTTATCATCGCTATCCGAACGATGCGTCTGCTCCTAGCGGACTTTGAGGAGCACCTCGGTACCGATGAGCGCAGCGTGTTCTACAACAATCCAGCCGCCGGCGGCTTCTCGCACAACGTCGTACTCGAGAGCCGCATCAATATCCCACCGCCTCGCTTCCCTGCTTTCAATCAGTTCTTCAACATCCAGCTTGGCACCACAGAGTCACTGCGTGCCATACGCGAGCGGAAGGACCCCCAGGCTTCCCCGGGCGAAATTGATCTCGACTCTGCACAAGCGCGCGGCCCCGAACTATCCAAGCTCTTGTCGGCATCGCTTCCTAACCATGTCTATAATGGCATCGGCACTATGCTCCAGCAGACCTACAACAAGATCAACGATATTTTGGGTCGTGCCTGGGTCGAATTCGATAGCGGCAGTTCCTTCGACAGTGCCGTTGGCCTTCATTTGCTCGGGGACCTGGCGACCAGTGGACTCCATCGAGATGGATCCTCCTCCAACCTCGGTGCCTTTGCGGCTTCCAAAAGCAGCATCAGCGGCAGCGGCAGCGGTTCCGGCGCCGCTGCTGAAGGCGCTTTCTCGGGTGCATCCTCAGACAAGTATGAGCGACCGGGGCTCTTTGTTGGTGATGTGGTCACATCCAGCACCGGACTGACATCCGGCAGAGACAAGTTGGTGCTCTACGAACTCATGCGCGCCTGTCTGGATGCCATTCCGCGCTTCGTTCCTACTGGAGTGGGCCCGGTGAAGATCATCGAGAATCTCGGTCGATGGATGGTCCATGTTGATGAAGACATACGCAAAGCTGCCTTTGAGGCCCTCATGCGAATTGCCATGATCAAGGATGGCGGACTGAAGGGACAATGGGCCCTTAAAGGCGGCGAAACGCTGCTCTCTGGAATCCTGCGGATTGCCGTGGACACCTCGATTGGAATCGTCAACGAGAAGTTTGGCGAGCTGGCGACAATGCAGGGCACCCACGATGCGGTCTACAGCATCATGGAGAAGGTCGTGTGTAACTACATATGCTTTTTGAAGCTGTATCTGGAAGAGATGAAGGAGCTTCACGGCCGGGAAGACTCGCGCCTTGAGCCAGCCCATGTCGACTGGATCGTCCAGGGTATCGAGAGCAAAGGCCTGCTTTTCCTGACGTCCACCTTCCCAGCGATTCGCAAGCACGCCATCGGAATCCTTGAGATAGCAGTCACCATCGAAAACGTGCTCAAATACGGCTCTGCGTCTGCGACCGACGACGCACGCAAGGCCCGACAGTCAAATGCCAACGATGACAAGGTGCGCGTACACCCCCACTCTCAGAGCCAGCCTGCCCAGCTCACGCCCAAGGAATCACGGGCTATCCGGGTGCTCCAAACGATGGGAGACGAGATCGTCCGAAAGTACGAGTACGATCCCCTATCTAATCCCAGGTCCGGTAGCGACGGCGCCGGGATTGATCCGGGTCGAGGTGCTGTCGACCGATCGCCAACGCTGCTCGCCGTGGCTGGGTCTGCAGCCCCTGTGGACGTGTCACTCTGGAACCGATGTTTTGCGGCCGTCGTGGCCATGTTCTACGACTACCTTTGTCCTTCAGTTGTCATTCGAACTTTTGCCGATATCAACGTCCGCCTCGGGGCCCTGTACCCGACCATCTCCAGCGGACTGGACCTGAGCTTCAAGCTGACGAGCAACGGAACGCTTCAATGGAATACCGTGAGCACCCCAAGTAATCTGGCGCAAGTGCCTTCTCGTGCAGTACTGCCTTCGGACGAGATTGTTGTTCAGTTTCAGCTCTACCTGACCTTTGTCGTCGCCACCATGGAGGTGGTCTCAAGCGAGAGCATCGGCCATATAGGAAAGCTGTCACCTGGGAACGACTGTCACCATAACGTCTATCCCGTCTTTGGCAGCCGCGTGCTGAGATGGGAAGTTGACGACACTATATGGCGCCGCCCGGTTGCCGTTCGGATCGAGCAGCCGCAGAGTATCATCCACAAGGCGTTCTCGCTGATCCTCTCGGACCGGGTTCATATCCGAAACGCGTCCATCATCGCCTTTGGAAGCATGCATTGGCGGACATACCGCACCTTTCTCGAAGAAATCCGTCCTTGCGGCAAGCTTGTCATGGATGACATCCGGCAGCGCATCGCCACCAACCCCCAGACCCCATCGCACTCAACTCGCAAGTTGAGCCTGAGCTCGGCCAGCCAGCATACCCGCAAACTCGATCGGCTTCGTGAGGAGCTCACCCAGATCTTTTCGTTGATTGCCCACTTTGTTGATCACGATGAGTACCGCCAAGATCACGAGCTTGTGGCGCCCGTGCTGCAGTACATCAAGGATATGCAGCGATTCCTCCACCACCCAGAGATCCAGAGCGACCTGGACTATCAGATGCTCCGATATTACTTCTGTGGCTTCATCGAGCGATTCTTTGACCACCTCGTGACCAGCCTGGATGTGGCCATGGATGTAGCCATGGATGCCTCTGGTAACCGCCTCTCGGACGAAAAACTCGAGAACTACATTTCGATTGATCAGCGATATGCGCTGTTTCTGATGTTTGAACAGTGGTGTGGCCACGGGCCGCTGGCGGCCTCGATCAGGGAGCACGAGGACAAGACCATCAAGGCCCTCCTGGATGGGATCCGTGACCAACGCGACCGTGCCATGACCCACGATCGGATCGAGCTCCAGCGAAACGCGCTGGAGCTGGCTTCGCTCAAGGCAATGTCGTCGCTCTGTCGTGGGTCGATCACAAACGCGCGCCACCCCAGGGTCTCCTTCGATGTCCGAACCCTGCTGGCGTGGGTTGACGGCCTCCTGACCAGCTCCAACGACAAGCACCATGCCATCGCGCGGGTGGCGTTGGAGAATCTGCTACTATACAATCGCAGCAACGAGGAGCTTTTCGAGAATGTTCTGCTGCGCTGCCATTCAAGCACTGTCCCGCACGATGTACAGCGAGGCTATTTCATGGCCATGGTCAACCTGTTTGGCAGCCCAGCCCAAAACCATTTCTACACGACGTCCCAGCGGAAGTACTTGCGTGAGCGCAAACTCAACGATCTTCCCTTCCATCCCGCCAAGCTCCTCTGCCTCGCAATGTATATGATTGGAAGCCATAGCCTTCAGATCCGCAAGGCTGCCATCCGGCTGTTGCTGGGCGTTGAAGGGCTCATGGGCGATTCGGCTCCAGCGTATCCCCCTGATGTAAAGGGCTATACCATGTATCCAGGTGGTCCCGGCGAATCGGCATATGCGCAGCCGCTCGACCTGGGCGATGACGAAGAAGATGCCACCAATGAGGCCGCCGCTATCACAAGTGCTTTGCCAGCAATCTTCAAGCGTGCGCAGGCGGCGGTGTCGTGTCGTTTGGCATCCGAGTACACTGAAATCACGTATGAGGTAGGCACCGGACTCGCGGGTCCTTTGGCTGCTGCGACTATAGGCAGTTTTCTAAAGATCAGCGTTGTCGGATCCGCAGATCCATCGACGACAGTGCGGCTTTGATCGACGCAACCTTGCCTCTTCTCTGCTTTAGATGCTCTCCGAAATGATCATTCAAACTGAGATGATTCGGAAGGGAGGTCCACCAACATACTACAACCCCAATCTCCGCGACATTTTCATCGCCATGCTGCCCTGGATCCGCAACATTGACTTGCCGAATGTCATGAACGATGTCGAGAATATGAAGGAGACGCCTGTGCCTCCAAAGTCGCTCGCCAAGGTAACGTCAGAGGTAATCCTGACCAATCTACTGTACATTACGATACGCTACGGTGACGACTTCATCAACGAGATCGAGGATATTTGGGCTCAGCTGGTCGATCGATTTGAAGAGGATGCACCATATGCCGACAACCAAACGGCCCCGGCCGGCGCAGCCGCGTCCGCACTCTCGTACGAGAAGATGAGCCGCAACGTGCAGATGATTGTTGAGTTTCTGCTGGACGTCGGTGTCCAGCGCAGGAGCCGCAAGTTTGTCAAATATGCCAAGAAGATTGTTGTATACCTTGGGCGCACTGCCGGCTGCGAACAGCTTGTGGAGACGCTCATGTCATGGATCACACCCAAGGGCCTTGTACCTTCGAGCGGAGATCGCAATCTAGGCGGGATCGACGACGACATCAGCGAGATGCTGAGCTTTGGAAAGTCCGGCCGAGAAGTTGGCGGCACCTATATTCAAGGGGTGGGACCAAATCCGCTGTTTATGGTCGATCTCGGCGATGTTCTGAACGACAGTCAGCTTCCGCGACAGTTTTCGCGCGGCCAGCTTTCATGCGTCCTACTGGTGGATTTGGCAATCGAATGCGGTCACAACGTGCTCGAATCGAGGCTCCCAACGCTACTACTGGTGATCTTTGTCCAACTCGACCACCCGCTCACGCTCATCGTCGAGGAGAGCCGACTCCTGCTTATCAATCTGATCCACTCGATCCTGCCGCGCGACCAAAATGCTGACCGCATCGACGCCATCCACTCGACACTGAACTTGAAAGAGGGAAAGCGACTGTGGAACTACGAGGACGTCTCGCCCAAAATCCCCGCAATCGACTCTGAGCGGCAAATGGCTGGGCTCCTCAGCGACGTGCTTGCCCTCTTTTCATCCGTCGACCCGCAGATCAAGCAGCACCTCGGCGAAACAGCGCTGCAGTGGGGTGCGCGACGTACACTGCGTCATGTGGCGGCCAGATCTTTGCAAATTTTCAGAGCCCTGCTTCCGCCCTTCAGCCTGAAGATGATTGGTGAACTCCTCTACCGCCTCCACTGCACGATCGGCTCTCCAGTCGACGAATACCAAGGCTATTCGCTCGAGCTCCTGAATACGCTGCAAGTCATGATCGACACCCTGGATCCCGCGCGGCTCCTTCTGTACCCACAGCTGTTCTGGGCTGCGGTGGCGTGCATGCAGTCCCCAAACGAGTTCGAGTTTATTCGCGGCGTGCACATGCTCAACAAGATCACCGGCAAGATCGGCATCGAAGAAGAGCAGTGTCGAAACATCCTGATCCTGAGCTTGCCTGGTAACTGGAGAGGCCAGTTCCACGGCCTCCAGCCCCTCTTGGCGAGAGGGCTTTGCTCCTCCGTTGCCGAGACGGAGGCTGTGGAGGTCCTTGGACATCTGCTGACGTTTGCAGATGACGCCCTCGTGGACCAGCCGTCCGAACGCGTGCTCCGATCGATCTTGTGCTTTCTACCCCGACTGCTGCAGGGTCTCGAGGCCGCGCCCCAAGCCGACGGCGGTGCCGACGTCAATATCTCGGTCGAAGGGTGTCTCCGAGTGGCAAGTCTACTCGGGATGATGGCGGATCGGAAGGGTCACTTTGGATTGGGCAAACTGTTTTTGTCGTACTCGAAACAGCGCTTCCGGTCAAAGGAGGATTTCCTCTCACAGCTGGTTTCGCTCATCCGCAACGAGTTCTGTCCGACACACGAGGGCATGGTCCTGCAAACCCTTCTCAAGCATCTCACCAATCGACACCCGTTCTACCGCAAGCGCACGCTCAAGTTCCTCAAGTCATTCCTCTCCACGACCAAGCTGGAGCACAGCGGCCTCCCTGCTGAGGAGTTGCTCGAGCCGCTGGTTATGCTACTGCAGTCGGATTTTGTCTGCGAAGCATTGGAGGTGCTCGATGTGATCGCCTTGGAGGCATGCAAGAACCTGCCGCCCGACTTCAACGCGCACTTCATCACCGGCATCAAATCTAAGATCGATCTGATCGCCGGCGACCATGCCGCCATACCCATCGATGGCGCCCGTATGTTTGTCCAAAACAGCGGCTGGACGATCCGTGGCCGCGAAGAGATGACCTCGGTCTGTACCCACAACCTCAACGCGCTGTCGGTATCCTGCCGTGGAACCCAGGAGCATATCCGCTCTCTTGTCGTCAGCCATGCCAAGAAGCTGAGTGCGAGCATCGACGCCTCTGCACCCAAGAAGCCCTCCCCGCTGACCAAAGGTCGATACTTTTCGCTCTCGCGCGGCAATCCAGAGCCCAGCAGCGTCGGCGCCAGTCTCGTCGAGCTTGAGTCGACGCCCAAGGACATTGTCCAGGCCCTGACGGAGCTCGATGCTTACTTTGGCATGGACGATTCGCGCCAGGCACATGGCGCTCCGCCGGACGCCAAGCATGGCATCTTGAATAAGGGCATCGTTTGGAGTCCAGCATCGTCGCTCTCGGCGGGACAGGCTCATCCTGCACAGGATTATTGGATGGATGGGTTACTCGCCCGGCTTCAAGCCTTTGACGGGTCGAGGCCCAACGGCACAATCGCACAAGACCGCTGGGCGACAAACCGATCGGCCCTGCAGCTGCTTACACATGGTAGCGCGCGGGTGTTGGTTCGACTGCGTTTTGTAGATCGTGCCTCCGGCGATTACAAAGGAGACGAGTCTATGTACTGGATCAGGAGTGACGTATCCAAGATCATCGGACTGCCCGTCGATCTCATCCTGGTCCATCGGCTCGAACACAAGCACAGCTCGCAAATGTATGTGTCAGTCCATATCAAAGCCCGGGACGGCATCGAATCTGCAGCGTGGGCTGAGGAACTCTGCGAGCTGCTTCGATTGCGGCGCACTGTCGATGCCAATACCCCGGCTGCGCATGAAGTCATGCTTTCTCAGCTTGATCCAAGCTGGAAGCCAGAGATTACAATCGGTAAGCGACTGTGCTGCGGGTAATTCGGGGTGGGTGACAGACAGCTGTTCACTGCACATTCAAAATGCCGACCTGGCTTCCAAAATGGATTGTTTTCCGCCTACCGGCCTCCGGACCTGTGCGTTCCGGCTGCCGGTCAGGGCTGCTTGTGCTGAGGGCCTGCTATTCCCAAACGGTTGCCTCTATATGATGCTGAACTCTTTTCTTGGGTTTCAGAGCTTCTCGGCCTGAAGATTCCGTACATCCCCATGGGTCTTCGTGCGCATCTGCCACACGCCCAAGCACCGCCATCGCTCGACGATCCCGGAAGCAAAATGCCTGTCGGCGCTCGCCCCTTGGAGAACAGCGCAGATACAGCTCCAGTCAACAATGTACATGTGGAGCTTCTTACCGTCTTTCCTGCGGCCTTCCAGCTCAGCTTGCACCGAATCGAAGAGCTCATGAAGTTCGGAAGCGCATGCTACCGGGCGCTGATGGGGCGATGGCCGTCCGAGCTCTCTCAGCTGCTCGAGTCTCTCGACAGTGTCCACAAGAAACAGACTGAAATTTATACCCCCGTCATATGCGACGTTTCCCTTGAGGCAATCACACCGGCTGCTCAGTATATGGCTGAGGTCGAGCGGGTAAGATGTTTGACTCCTATCCCCTGCTCGTCATCGCTGGATCTGTTTGCATACGAGTCGCATTTACAGCGAATCATGTTTCGATCGTGTGCGGTCCTGACACTCTTTGCTTCTTCAGGCGAACCCCCTCAAGTACGACAAATTCTGCAGAAGCAGGGAGGAGTGCATTCGCATCTTCAACGAACACGTCGAAGCCCACTCCACCTGCTTCACAGAGCTCGCGATCCTCCTCGATCCACATGTCTTGCAATCTACCGAAATGGGTATCCTTGTTGTTCGTATGATTGACGCAGCGTGCGGGGTCCTGAGGGTCCACCTCAGTGGCCTCTACATTCAGCAAGTGCTCGAGGAGTTCCTCGGCATCCAAAAGGTAAGATCTGGCATGCACGGCACCAATTCATTACGAGCCGTTCTGTAAGCGGCGATGCAGCTTTATTCGAGGGGTGTATGGTGGCTAACATTGAGTTTGCGCTTGTATGGCATTGCCACAACACAGTCTCCGCTCAAGCAAGAGATCGAGGCCACAAAGACCTGTCTCTCGACGTGGTCGAAGCGAGTCGAGATGCACTAGTTCTAGTGCATCGAGCCGAGCCGGACTTTGATTGCTTCAAAGAACGGAGCTGACCTCACAATCCTACCATAGCTGGCGAAACCGGGCTTACGGAACCATTTTCGGTCGCAAGGGGAGCCGCTCGGGCCTGAGACACACACACAACCGTCCACATTGATAGACATCATTAGTGCAGGCGTTCATCCGCTGCCATGGCTGTCTTTGCTTGGATGGCTGTATCACCCCCCCCCAAAAACGAGCTGTATCTGCTGAGGACAATTGTGCCCGCTGTGATATGACAGCTTCTGAGCAACCGCATATTGCCGCAATAAGTATCGTACCTTGCTATTACATGCGGCACAAAGCCGCTGGGCCTTTTCTTGCGCTTCAATGCAGTCGATGCAAAAAACTCCTCCGCACGCTCGGCAGTTGAGTTTTCGATCTGTGTCGGAGTCGCTAGAAAATCAGTGATCGTGCTGGAAGCACCAGAGCCTCGACATGATCTCGGTGCGACCGACTTGATCAGTGCTCACCAAGAACGGAGAACTTTGTGGCGCATCTCATGCAGCTGTCCGAATAGACAAAGTGAACTTCGGTTCCGCTGCCGTCTGGAAGACTGGGGGATAAACTGGGTTGGCGTCGTGTATCGCAATAGGACAGATCGAGCGAGCACCGATTTGCCACAACTTACATCCACGTGTGGATTTTTCCAGCTGCATCGCCGGTGGCAAGGAAGCGGTTGTTTCTTTGCAGTCGAATATGAGGAAACGCGTTAATACTCGAAGCGAAACTCACGGCACCCCTCGTCTCGGTTCGTGGAAACATGAGCGATGCTGTGATCTGGCGATGGAGGTGACCTCATATAGAGGCAGGCGTCTCCCCCGGTCCAGATGAATGAGTCCAGAAGCGCAGGGAGAGAAGAACGCGATGTACGTACGGGGCGAGGACGATGGAGAGGATGGCGGTCGGATCGAAAGGCGTCTCCAAGGTCTTCAGGAGCGCTAAATCAAGCGCAGATGCTGTAATCGCCGAGGGCATGACATTCGTCAACTCCAGCAATCGGGCGCGTCGGAGCCGAGAGTGGTACAAATCGAATCAAGAGCGGTATGCGGTTGCCGTTCTCGTACCCGGAAACAAAGGGCTTCGAGGAGATGCCTCGCTAGGAGAGGTCATTGACAGCCTGGATGTCGGTTCGTTCCATTTCCGGCACCATACTTTGAGCCGTCCTATCCAGAGCGCTCGAATTAGCGGCGGATCGCACCGAGACCTACACTCAGCCCGGTGCTGCAAAATACCTTTACGGTGGCCCGTGAATACAAGTGATGTTGACGAGAGCTCCCCTTGTTTGGGCTGATCAGCAATAGCCAAGCCCAGAGTCAACCAGGGCAACGGAGCGGCGGGATGATCAGCAGGGGTCCACAGAATCGGGGCCGTCTGACGATCTATCGCCCTTTGGCTGTACATACCTCGTAAATTGCCACGGCTGTAATGGGATCCGCAATCGATGATGAGGCCATCTTTGCCAGCATCAACTCCCCGTTCACTGTCCAAATCCGAACAACAGTTCCTGAACATGTTGCGATATCGCCCTATGTCATCATAGCGGTGTAGATGAGGGATTTTGAATGGGTCCGGGCTTGAGGAGCCGGAGAAACCCGCGGTGTCGGAGGCATCTCCACACGAATTGCCTACCGTCGCGTCGTTGATCGCAACGCTGGTTACGGGTCCCTCGTGTCCAGCCAGGGTTCGCACATACTCCATTCGGTTGAGATCCCATATAATCGCCAGTCGATCGTCTCCGCCGCTGACGAGGATGCTGAATGATTTTGACACCGCGAGACAAAGCACAGTGCTGGTGTGGCCTCGAACGCATGTTTCCAGATACAGATCTGGTCGTTTTCCTTGCACAAGGCGCCACGAGCAAATCGTCTGGACAGTCGGGCGGCAACTTAGTTTCCAGGGATCTCGAGTAGGACTGATCCGAGACGGGCATTGTCCATCCTCTCCCGTCGACTGAGGGCCACGCCTAGTTGCTTACCATGTCTTCCCCGCCTGTGATGAGCGTATCGCCGCTGGAGAATATTGCACATGTGATTGCACCAATGTGCAGGTTCTCGAATACTGCCAGCACTTTTCCGCTATCCACTTGGCACAGCCGTATGCTATCGTCGAGATGGCCCCACTCCACATATTTGGAGCAGTTGGGCAAGACAAAGATCTGGCTTCAATCACGACAAGGATAGAGAGAAGCCGTGTGGGATAAATAAATGGGCCAACGGAGCTTAGAAAGCTTGTGATTGTGCTATGGCGATCACCTACCTTGGATCCAGCAAGGGCATACACGCGGTCTCCTTGCAGCTTTATGTCGCTTATCGCTTGGTTTTGAAAGGCTAGTGTGTGCAAGATAATTCACGAAGCAAAGAGGTTAGATAGATGACTGAGACCGAGCTAGCTGGAGGAATACTGCGGTCCACACCACGGACAAACAACGTAGTGTCTGTCGAGCGGCTTATATCAATGAAGCTTGATGACAAGTCAGGATACATACATCGCACCGGCTGGATGGACGAGATCAGATATTGGGCGTGTTGTGCAAGCCGATATACTGTTTCACTTTCAGCCTGGCGCACGGGGTGAGGCTTTCGGAAGAGTTGCCGCGGCGCTGCAAAAGCAGTTGGTGGAAGGGCGTGTTGGTTCTTCCACGGGATGGGCTCTACCGGCCACCTCTCAGTCGACAAACTTACTCTGGCCAAAGTTATGTATTATCGAGATCGTGGCTTGCTTCTCGACAGGATCCTTTATGGCGTCAATGTCTTGCGAGGCGCTGTGTGTTAGCCTAACGAGCTGGATATTCATCACACAAGTACCATTCTTATGGACTTGGTGTGCGGAGCTCGTTTCCGAGTGCTTAGAACCTCCGCCATCAAAACCATCTCGTATGCACGACTTACCAACAGCACCTTCGTAGGACAGATAGTGGAACACATTCACGGCCTTGACAGCCTCGTCTCCGGTCTGCTTATAGCCAAAGACGAGGTCGATCCACCTGTGCAGGTTTTGGCTCACATATTCGCTCTCGAGCGCCTCACGATGCCGCTCGATGAACAAGGCCGGGCTTCCTTTCGCCCATGGTGGCAACACGACGTCATCGATGATTTCACCGGATTGCTTGGTACCTTTTCATTTGCGATTGGAAGGGACGTCCACGTCAGCGCATCTGTGCCGCATAGGGTGCGTTCAACCACGAATCGCACGATTGGCTCATCGAATCCTACCAAAGTCAAAGCGATTCTCGTTTGTCAAAAAATTTGGAAGGTAAAAAAACTCCGGGATCAGCTCCCGCACATCCGTGGTGTTGAGTCGAGAGGCACTTTGCCATGATTTGCCGATTGAATGGAAGAGTCTGTCGGGGTGGTCGAAATGGCCGCCCTTTCGAACAAACAAAGATTAGATGGGCAGAGCTGGACGAGCCTCTATAACCAGCGATAAAACTCACCTGAAGCTTGAGGTACTGCTGTGTGAACGGCTCCATGCGCATCAAATATGAGCATACGATCATGGATGAGCTGTAGTGAACGCCGTAGTGGCAAGCTGGCAAAGCTGGATCATCCCAAAGCTTGTATCGCTCGATCATTTTTTCTGGATATTGATTGAAAAGAAGAGGAGCTGTATCAGCTCATCTCATTTGTTTCCTTCGGGCTGCGGCTTGTCAAACTTACCGGCCCTCTCGGAGCCTTGGGCGCCCATCGGCTTGGAGAGGTCTCGATACACGGCAGGGTTTGTCAGGTCAAGCTGACGGCATTTCGTCAAGGAGGATTCCGAGTTAGATGAGCAAAAGTGCTGGAGACCGAAAGGGCCATTCGGCTATAATACTACTCAGCCACTCCGACCTGTGGGAGAGAGATGTTTGATCTTCAAGGTATCAGGTGCCTGTCTGCAACGTACATCAGCCGACTCGTAATCGGACAATATCCACGGGAAGACGGGATACTGAGTGAGATCGTTGTATGAGCGTCCTACCAGATGGCAAATATTGACGTTAGACACGCAGGCACAAACCGTCTCTATCGCATGTTCAGCATACAGGAGATACCTGCGAGCGTATTCAGATGCATCAAATACGAAAAATTGCTGATTTCGCGTGCACACCACTTTTGGGTGAGCTCGGAAAGCGGACTTCCGCCAAAGATGACGTTCGACAAGAGTTTGGAGCTCACAGACTCGGGCGCGCCTATGGCTCCAGCGGAGTGAACGCCTGTGATGGTCTGGTTTGCATCTGTAATCAGAGAAGCCTTGCTTTGCAGCCGGCCGTAGATCTGCTCTCGCGTTTTGTGATCCCAGAAGGTCAATAAAAAGTTGCGCCCGTCTGACAGAAAAATCTCCAGGGCAACATTCCGAAAGAGGAATTGCCGTTTGTGGATTTCGCGGATATCTTCGAAAGTCCTGATCGCCATCATCGATATCGAAGAGTTGTAGTCAGCGATTTCCATGACCGATACAACTGTTGCGCTTGCGCTGGCAGTCTACCGAATGCGGAACATGCCAATGATGCTGCTATATAATCTAATATGAGCCAAATGCCACGCACCACTTTCGGCATGAGAATCGTGTCTCATCTGTGGGCGAGGACGTAGGTCCCTTCCTTTGGCCTTGGACATTCAGCGTAGCATTGTAAATGTTTCGGTCCTGGTTAAATTGATCCAAGCAACCGATCAAGTCAGCTTCGAACTCAGCATTGTCTTGGAGACACCGACTCTGCTATATCGCCACCGTCAACTCGTGTAGGCTGCGTCATGAACAGCCGAGTGGCGCGCTGCTTTCTGCCAATCAAAACTCAACGAACCGATTGCGGGATGCTGTCGATATCGACAAGCTCGCCTGGCAGTAAAATACACATTTGGTTAGTATTTGGTCCTGTCGAATATAACTCGGCGGGAAAAACGAAAGTTACCGTCCGATCTTCGGAAATAGTTGTCGACAAGATAGATGGTGAAGCCGCCGAGTAATAGCACGCCCTCTGGATCCGCGTTGGCAAAGCAGGTTCCAAATCAACGTTTGTTAGCCCTTGATATCCAAAGAAGCAAAGTCTCGCCCAGACGTGTGGTCTATGCGCCTGCATCCCGAGTGTCCTCGCTCACCACAAACATCAAGGCCAAGAACTCGCGCTGTGTTGAAACTCTCGGATATAAGACTGTCCTCAGGATCCAACAGCCGCAGTATATGCCGGTTTTTTTCTTCCTCTGAGTCTGCTGCATCTGATTTCTCTGTTTCGATGGCTTGACTGTCGTCGTCTGGTGCTTCGTGGGTCTCCATATCGCCCTCCGATGATGGTGTGTCTTGTTCAGGAGATGACTCGTCTGTGTGTGGGAGAAGGGCAAATCCGGCGCATTATTGTCTGCTGCTTTCCATCTGCGCTAATCCACCAGAGTGCAACCGCGGGCTACCTTCCAACTTTGCTATTCCGGCTGTCGTGAGCTTGAGACCAAGTTTCTCTGTAGCGGAGCCACGTTAGCGGTGTAAAATGATGTGGCGGCTGCAAATCGATGTTTCCCCTAGCTGTACTCACTTCCTGGCCTCTGATCATGTTTGTCGGTGGGTCCTGGGGTCATATCGCCGTCGGTTGTCGATGCTCCTTCAATCGAGGCAAGCTCGCTGTTGGAAAGCTCGCCTTCGTCGGCGTCAGTCGGAGGTTTTGGAGATGCAGCATCCTCAGTGATCATAAGCGGGCTTGGAGAGGAAGCCTCGGCAGAGGTACTAGACATGGCCAACTGTTTGATGTCGATAACCAAGTCAGTATTGCGATCCAGTCGCTCCTTGTCGAGTGCGTCACGGAAACAAGATTCCGGCCGACCTTTTGAGACTTGGATACGTATTGCACTGGTGGATCGAGGTTTCTGCGTAATTTTTTTCTCATTCGAGATCTCCCTTCTGTGAAATCTGGATGGCAGTCATTCAAGGAATAAGCATTGTCCTGCATGCTGGTTGCCGCAATCACAGCACATACCAAGTTTCCAGCGGGCGCCGTCGTCGGTTGTGGGTCCCCACAGCGCGCGTTCCCGCGTCAGCTCGGTCGTGGCCTTGCTCCAGTCGTTCTGGACGAATATCTGCCCGGCAGCATAGTCCTGCAATAGCCTCGTAAACTTGCTGAGCTCGATTTGCTGCACATCTATGATCCCGGCTCTTGTTTTGGTGAGAAATTTACGGAAGAGGTCGTTCTCGGCGTGTTCGGATTTTTTGAGCTTGGTCAACTTTGCAATCCGCTTGGTTCGCATCACCTTGGTAATCTCGGCGGCCACCTTGAACTCCATGGCCAGCCGCCCGGTAAGAATTCTGGTCGAGTTTTCGTTCAGTGAGGCATCGAGCTCTTCTCTCGCCTCCTCGATCCAGCTTATGAATGATTGTGTGTCCTGAGTCCGAGTGATGGCCGTCAGCATTGGGGTGTTGGAGGTGAAGCAGTGCAGGATATACAGTTACCTTTTCCAGAAGCTTTGAGAATCCGTTGACAAGATCAAAGTGCTTCTGAGATGTTCCTGGAGAAACAGCACCCTTGGTTTTGCTGTTGGGTTTGACAGCTCAGCATCGACTGTTTGGCGAAGCACCGCATCATAAAATCAACTCGATAACAAGCCCACCTGTTCTCCGAAGACCCTCCTCCTCTCAAGGTCTGGTATATAACTTCCGATTTTTGCAATAGCAGGAGTTTCCAGATCTGTATGTGTGTGGAAGTAGGTCAGATACAGAGTCCGTGCATTATCAATCACACTCGTGTGCTGCAAATCAGGAGAATCGTACGCTCAACGATGCGGATTTGATCGACTGGCTTTCGGAGAAGAGGTTATTGTATAGATAGTGCACCAAAGACTTGAAGAACTCCGTGTCTGTGTTTTCCTCGCACATAATCAGGCGCTGGTGGAACAGGCACTTTGTCAAAAAGTCAACAACAGTGTTCTCTCCATAGTCTTGGCGTTTGGAGCAGGTTTCAAACTCATACAAGGTTATTCGATTAAGCGATCGAATAAGCGACGACACATTCTGCTCCGCAGCATTCGTGTCGATGGCGGGTTCCAGAATCAGACAAATAAAGTCGTGGAGCTCGGATGTGATGTTGACTAAAGCATTTTGATAGGTGCGGTCAACACATATTTCGCAAAACTTGACCAGATTTGGTAGAAATCTGGCGTCAGTAACGAGATGCTTGCGCTCGGTGATTGACGCGGTGATTTTTCTCAGCATGTGCAATATTCCGAATTCAATAAACTGCATTTGCGCTTCGATGGTGGAGGGGGGAATGGACTGTGGACCCGCAGAATGATTATTAGCATGTGGCCGCCGATCCCGATGTAGGTTGCTCTATTTTTTATCGGCTGTGGCCAATCGCGGCGAGGGAGCGGGCTGGCGATCTTGTTCGTGCCTCCGATCCCCCCATTTAACTTGTCGAGCCAAATATCATTACCCGGATGAAGATTTCAAGCGCTTGGAGAGGCTTCCAGGTCCCGATGATGCCATCAACGCAAGTTGTGACTATGAAAGCGAGGATGCTTGTAGCGAGAGGATGTATCTCGTTCGTGAGTGCCGGAACAGCTGGGGCGCTCTCTGGGACAGACTTGGCAAGCTCAATCGAAAGCGGACTGAGGAAGTATTTTCATTATCGACGTGAATGGGAACGCGGATGTCAGTACCACAGCGAAACAATTGATTCGGTAGAACTTGCAAGCCGCTCGCACGATCTCGTGTACCTTGGCTTCTTTGATGATACACTCTTCATTTCATACAGGGTCGCTGTGGTCGGCGTCGGCGACGCGATGCTGACGGCATAGCCAGTCTTGAGATGAGGTGGGAGTCCCCCAATAGCGTACATGGGGCTCCCAATATTTCCCGTTCCTATGTTGCCTACCGGCGCCGACAGGAACGTCAGCGGATTGATAAAGGATGCTTCGCCACCGAGTGCTGACGGCGACTCTTCAGTATCGGGTGTGCCAACTCCGAGCTCCTCATTGATGTTGAGGGTCTCGGACGTTGACACAAGCGGAAATAGGGCGCGGACGATGTCGTCAATGACTTCGGCGCGACAAAGAGCTTCTTTGATATCGTCGGATCTCACGTATAGATACGCCAGAAGTTCAAACGTAGTTTGAATCACACGACTGAGCATGCCGAGTTCGCTCTCGGAGTCAAGCTCTGGTTAGATCGGCAGAGAAAGCAAGGCGTGTAGGTTTTTTTAGGAGGCAGCCCCAAAACATCCGCTCGTTTATCCTCTATGAAGCAACAAACCGATGCGACTGTGCTCGACTCAAGGCCTGTGCTGTGAGCAAAGACGCTGTCACCGTCCTACAAACCTGTGGCAACTGACGCCAGATGACGTTGATCTCGAGATGCTTGATCGAACATCGTAAAGCGCGGTGTCAAACTCGGCTTCATGGTCGTCAGTACCATTATCGATCGTCTCAGGATGCTCATCAGAACTTTGATGACCTCGGGACAGGTGAGTCGCTTCCGAGCAAGATCCGTTGGTTTATAGAGGGCAATGAGTGATGGTAGATCATAGCCGCTGTCAAGCGGAACGATTCCTATTTCGGTTCCAGTCAGAATGGCAAGCAGCGAGGGGTAGATTTGAATGACGTGGTAGAATGGTAGCAGCAGCTTTGAAAGAATTGTAAAGTTTTCTTTCATTCTTGGTGCATGGGCGGAATCCTGTGTCTGAAGAATTTTGGCAAAAATCCTGATCGAAAGAACGATCGTGTACGGGTCTAGATGACGGTCAAAAAACAACATGATCCAACCGCTTGTGATGAATTCCGTGAACTTGAGCGCGTAGTTGACGGGGCCGCGGTTGTCGCAGAGTATATCAAGGAGCATCTTCAGCAGAGTCGTTCGGATCAGCGCCGAATATGTGGGCTGCTTCTTCCACCTGGCTGCATCGGTTATCACAAAGTTTGTGCTGGGAGAAAGCTTCTTCATGTTTATGCGCAAGCTGTTTGACAGAAGTGAAGGCTTTCGACCCCGGAATTCAGGCTCGGCGAGCGACTTTGTATCGTCTGTGGGGACTGGTGCGTCAGCCTCCGTCGACAAGCGCATGTACCCAATGTTTTGCAACCCCCCCCCGGCTTGTATACCGGTGACTGTCCTGAGTTACTAAATGCTCACGTACCTTTCCTGATCGTGGACATCAAAAAGATGCAGATACTGCGGGCGATATCGATTGTAAAGCGAGCTTTCACGAGCAAAGGCATGACCTCAAAGAGACCCGGGATGAGCTCCGGCAGTATGATCTGCGCCCGTAGTGCCATGAGCAGTCGCTTGACAATTGCTGTTATCGGATTCAGTCAGATAAGAAGCGTCGGCTCCAACGTGCAATCGGCAAGCTCTCCTGTCATGGTCTGTGATACATAGCATCCTGCTAACCACCGCCATCATTTATAATGACCAGCGTCTCAAAAACTACAGGAACAGCTAGGATGGAGCCCTCTGTGTATAGTCATGAAGCAACTGTGGCGTGCTGCAAATCACCTATATCGTTCAGGCTCTTGATGTTTCTGTCTTTGTATTTGCTATTTTTCACAAAATCCGTGAGTTGCTTGATAAAAACCGTTTGCGCTTGAGCGGATATTCTCCACATCTCTGGATCCAAGAGCAGATGCTTGCAGGCTGTGGTGTTCGTGAGAATCGCCATCCTGTCGATCCAAAGCAAGTTCGTTGGTCTCAGTAACGGATGAATCCTGTGTCATAGCGATTATGGCTTTGGAAGCACCTATTTTCGCTCATCAGCTGCTTCGAGCATTTCTATCGACGGCCACGTAGAGCTCGTGATCTTGAATCGCCTCACTTGCGAAGGTACAATCAATCACACACCCTTCATCGCCTTTGCATCTTCCAAGCATCATCATCAGTGTCTCAACACAGCGGGCGCTGAGCACAGAAGAGTTTTTCTTGACCAGATGCGCCAGGGTTTCATAAAATGCGTTTCGTTCCATCTCGTCGCTGTTCCTCCAGCTGTGCTTTACACATTGGACCAGGATGCATGTGCTTAAAAACATTTCATGTTCAGTCTGAGTCCAAACGTGAGACGATTGTGTGAGAATACGGCTTCTACAGTAAAAAGGCCGTGACCCGAGCATATGTTTCGTGGCCCCCTCGATAAGTAGATACATATTGATTGCGCCACCCCTTCGCTTATACTTTCGATAGGATTTATGCCTCTAGAGTACGTACCTGGCTTGTTTCAATCAATTTGAGCAGTATCGAACACCCACCCAGCTTCCATATACTGTCTAATATTTGTTGGCCGCAAACCACTGTGACTTTGCCGTGGACCGTGAGCACGCTCGAAGGATTGATGGCGAGCTTGGGCGAAGCTCCGTTGTAGAAAAAGCTCGCCACGTCGTTTTGTCCCGCGTTTGGATGGATCTCAAAGGACGGGTTGTTTTGGCGAAGGACGGCATAGTTGTTGGCACAGAAAGCAATCAGAATTTTGTCCTCGGCAATGCCGAGCGGCGAGAGAGGCTTGCTTCCAGACATCAGTATGGACGATAGTGTCGAAGTGGCTTTGGTATCGAGGCTGACGGGATTGATGCTGTTGATCTGGTATTTTTCAAGCATACCCTGAAAGTTGCCATAGTACTCGTGCCCAATGTTAAAGATGGCACGGACTTCGGACTCTGAAAGAAGAACTTCTTCGATAAAGTATGTTGGACCAAGGCTCCAAACAGCACCTGTGGGCGACGACCCGCTCACAGGACCCCAGAATCCGAGCACTGTCTGGACTCGATTGACTGATCCAGGATGGCCCAGATAGCCGCACTTTGTCATTTCCAGCAGCTCGCCGTTGATGAAAAACTCGAGACTTGAATTTGACATCAACGGCTTCTGGTGGATGATTGTAATGTGGTACCATCGGCCTCGCTCGATTTTCGGTACCTCGAAGCGCACACAGGACTTGTACGTCAGAAGCTTGAATCGCATGCTTGTGCATTCTATTGAAAATTCAAAGCGAGTCTTGCGTTCGTCGTCTAGGATGGTCATGATTGGAATCTCCATCAGGTGCCCGGTTTTTTCGAGTCTCAGCCACGTTGAAAAGGTGTATCCGAGCGCGGGTGGAAATGGCCGACCGAAATCTGGAACTACCACAGCGCAGGCTTCATGTACACAGTTATCAAAGTTGACGTACGGCGGGGAGATGCCAGAAATGGAGGCGGAAAGCAGCAAATCCAACAGAACCACTTTTTTTTGAGTGGCGCTTGCTGTTGGTGATAGGGTTCGAAACAAACTGCGGAAGGCATCGCTGGAGATGCGGACTTCCATGAGCCGCTTAAGGATGTTGATGACAATAGCTTCGGGCGCCGATATGCTGGCTTCAGAAGTATCTTCTGCAATTGTTTTTCCTTCGCAAGGACTCTCGCCCGACATAAGAGAGCGAACGGGGCTTCCATCCCGACCCATGATCCAGTCCAGGAGAGTCTCGACGAGCCCAGCTTGGTTCAGCTTCATTTGATTGAATCGACTGGACCATGCAAGTCGCTGTATAAACTCCAGGACAGCCAAAGAGAGGCCTTGGCTCTTGGAACCCATGCATTCAACAACATTGATGATGTTTTTCATGACCATGGGGTTGCAAATCGCCGGGCCGCCGTTTGAGAGAAGATCAAGGGCCTCCTTGGGCAGATACGTGGGTGGTTTCTCCATTTTTCCAGACGTTGGGGACAGTGCCTCTACATTGGAAAGCATGCTGAAGGCCTGCTTGTTCTCCATCGCGAGAGCGAAGAGACCGCCGATAGCGAGTGGGCAACTAGGACTCTCGAAAACACCTGTGATGCGCATCGCATCTTCGATCGAGTTGTACCCAATCTGGGAGGAAACGGCATCGCGATTCATGTCATTATTTCGGATGGCGCAGATGAGCACCGATATCATGGACTCCAGAAGCATATCGCAAGTTTGCGATTCGCCGAGGCTTGGGGACACATGTGTAGATTCGATAAAGATGCCCTCCATTCCGAGGAGCGTTGAGATGATGGCGACAAATCCGCCGCTCTCGCGAAAGGCGGCCTGAGCAGGCTCGGAAGCATTGACTGCATCTTCAATTACGGCGAGTATGTCGAGCTTCAGAGCCAGGTCGTGTTTAGGCGCTGAATGAAGAATCTCGAGTAGACGAACAATCTCCGGGAACTCCTTCATGCCTGAGCTCACAGAGTCATGCAACAGTTGCTGAGGCATGCAAGGGGGACCAGTCATCGGGAGAGCGGGCATGAGTATGGAAAATACAAGATACTTCTCGAACAGACCGACAGTAACAATGATGCCGAGGCCATGATCAAGTCGGCGATATCACATCCATCAATCCAGTTGACTGCAGCACTTACATTGACCACCAACAGCAGCCCAGGTCTAAGGGCCCGTCGCTTCATCAAATCGAACAGAGCTGTCTTGTAAGTACGTCGAAAGACTGATGCATTCCCTGGGTGATCCAGCAGCTTGGATAGGACAGTCATCATTTGCGTGAAATTCTCTACGATGGCTTGCGAGAGAATGAATCTTTTTTGGGGCTTGAAACTGGGTTGAACTGAGAGGAGGGTGGCGATTTCTCTTGGATCAACCGGCATTTTCTGAAGGTTTTCCGTTGATCCCGACCTTGATTCGGCAGGGGTATACTCTGGAACAATACCGGCGAAATCCTGGAGCATTCCATTGAACATTGTCAAGAAGCCAACGTCGCGGAAGACATCATGAAACCGCTTCGAAGTTGAAAGCAATTTGATGCACAAATTGCATACGATGGTGATTGTCGATGAAGGAGAGTTCCCTGCGGCATCGCACCACAGTTGTGATGCAAGTAATTGCTCACGTTAGTGAAGCGCGTTGGACATTGAAATATCGGACGATGAAGTTGGCTTTGGCTCAAATGCGAAAAAATGCACAACAGGAATATTTTTCAATCCGGTAAGGCGCCGGACAGCAGCTTTGCCCATGCGGTCGCTCTTTGAAGTTACACTCAGCCATTCTCAACGCCTTGCGAAGATCTCCCCCCCCCTCCGCTTTGATACCAGTATTTGTGGCATACCCTGGAAGAACACGCAAAGAACAGCCAGCTCCTAAAAGTTCGGATGTATCAGGGAATTCAAAGTCAGACCCAAGCCACACGGATGTCGCCGCAATCATTTATATGATCCATTCAATGGCACATCGACAGCCAATACCAGACGCCCTGGGGGCGCTCACCTTGAAAGGCACATAGTTTAGATCTGTCATGACATAAAATAAAATATCCATGACCGATTCCTGTGCCGATTGAAACAAAGACCGTCTTGAGCATCAATGAACCCGCCCCTTCAATCATTCAGCCACGAGCAAGATGCCTACTTGGGTCGATTCCTTCATTGTTTCCAAATTCTCGATCATGGAAAACACGAGGTTTGCCTTTTCACTGATAAAGTAATTGACTGGATTTGCCTTGAAGACATCATATAGAGACCTCGTCATACGGCTCTGAAGGTAGTCCACTGTGTCATGTGATAGGTCGCCCCTTGGAGCCGATTCAGACACAAGCCCCGAGTATATACTGCGGATTGTCTGCATCGCGCAGAGACTGTTGATTCGTGGGCCTGTTCGAAATGGTTAGTTTTTTGGTGCTTTCATGAGCTCCAGCTTGTGTAGAATATGATCACAGATGGGCTTGCCCAGTCATGTCTGCGAGTCTGACCCATCACGATGCTCACCATTCCCCGATGGCGGGATTCTGAAATCAAAATGCTGAAACGGAGAATCCTCATATGACATGTCCTGTGTTAGATCGTCGACTCCAAGAAAGAGCAAATCTTCAAGGATCGTGACGATTGAAACGCCCTTTGGAAGTACCGCCTTCCGAGAACGAATCATGATGGTGAGTACAAAACCCCGACCCGACATGTACCCAAGTAGGCGCCGTTCATCTGGCAGCTTGGAAGTCAAACTAACATATCGACACCGTTGTGCTCACCCAGTAGCCGATCGGCTGACGACAATAGCTCTGCACTATCTCCAGCACCAGCTCGAAGCTGTTGCTCTCGGAAAACTCTTCTTGTGCGAGTTTGGTTGAGTCCTGGATAAGCACAGTGCTCCATCAATATCTGCGGTTTGAGTGGATCCTGCACTTTACTGCCGACGGCACGACTGATCATGTCTTTCCGGGTCAAGGTCCAAGTTGTTTCAGAGAGCACTTGCCTTCAGTATCTCGACCGTCGTAGCGAGTAGAACCACGGCGGAAAGCACGTCGCCTCTTCTTGAGAGGTCACCGGCGCTCTCCATGAGCTTTGGAATGTATACCTTCCCATTCAGGGCCAGGAAGCACTCATGATCGGCCTTGTAATGCATCACCAAGGTATATGCAATGCGGATGCACCTACGAGCTTAACGAGTCAGCGACGGGCCTATGGGATGGTTGCTTTGAGCACATGAGATATCCAACTTACAGAGCCCTCCAGACCGGAGAGAGCGATGAATCTGCGGCGGAATCAAAGTATTTAACAGCATTGACTTTGACCCAGCCTGAATCTTTGTGTCCCACATTGGTGATGATGTTGGTGAGGGATTTGGTTGCTCGTTCAAGATCCGAGCAGACCTCGGAGCTTTGCGTATGGAGAATCATCGTCATAAGGATGCTGTGGAACGTGTTTGCGGCATCGTGGGCTCGAATACTTTCGTAAGAGAGCTCCTGCGAGTCAACACGCAAAGTATGTTGATGGCATAGAGTGGTTAGCGACACGGGGTGGTCCAGACATCTACTAAGGACGACATCATGGAATTTCTCTGCTTTCGAACGTACAAAGAGGGTGTCTTTGACACATAACAGCTCCATCGCCACCAGAAAATTGGCAAGTCCGTTCCCAGATGCCGCGATATCGCATAGTTCTGCGTTCGAAGCCAGATCAGCCTGTGAGTAACTGAGCTTCGGCAACGATGCCGCTTCCCATCGCAATCGTGCAGACTGAGCAGCATGCGACCGGCTAACCTGCTGCAGCTTTTCTCTCAATTAGGCGCTGAGTTTGTATCGAGATCGAATGCATTATTGCTGCGACCAGTGCTTTGAATTCATTTATACTGTGGGCGTTCCGACCGCGTCAGCCAGCATTCCATGCAATGTCTTCTGCTCCTTAATTTGGCTTTACCTTTCATGGTAGTGGCCGCCGGCATTCGGAATATCTTCAAAGAGGCCACAAAATTCCCGCAAATAGGTTCGAAGCAAGTTGGTCTTGTCCTAAATATTGCCGACGCAGCATCAGGGCGGGACGTCGATCCAACTCGAGGCCTCCTGGTTCCCATTCTGCCCATACCTGGTCGGATTTGGCCTGGGTATCTTTAAGAAAATGCGCCCATCCCTGCTTGAAGGATTTGATGCGTTTCCTGAAACTGTGGATCGATGGCCAGAACGCGTGGTGAGCTGTCGCTGGTGCTATCGCTAATGTTGTCGCTGGTGCTATCGCTAATGCTGTCGCTGGTGCTCTGGCCTCATATCCACCTGAAGAGAGCGCTATGCGTTTGTTTCGCACTAACCTTTCGTCGATGGCTTTGGCTGACTGTGGAGTTGCGGCTCTGGAGCTGCTTTTCTCTGAAGAAGCGTCCGAAGTGGCCAAAGGGCTGACCTTGATCGACCCGATTCCCAACTTCTTGGTCACCCAGTCCATCTGAGCTGGCCTACTGACTGCGCTCGTGTGTACTGAGGCTCGTTCTGGATATTGCGTGGAAAGGGTTGGTGGCCGCAAAGGAGAGGAAAAAGTTGGACGGCAGACGATCGGTTGTTGAACGTTGTGCGCCGGCTTTCGCCGGTCCTCCCCTCCCAATCAGGGCCTTGATCTGCACAAGGTAGCCCTAAAGGGACATATTCCCATAGCTTTAACAATGCACCCGCCTGAACTCTTCGCTCGTCAGCCACTTGCCCCTCTGCGAGTGGCAATATGAGAGTGTTGGTCACAGTCACTTGACGGCGCTGAGCCTCCAATTCCATCTCTGGCCAGGTCTGCTCTTTGTATCAGCCTGCGGTTGAAATGTATCGCTCGGCCCGTCCATATCATTGCGCTGCAACGGTATTGATCTGCAAGGTATTTCACGGATGAGGCGAGCTGTGTTCTACTGGCGGTCGCCAAGCAGCTGCCCTCAGTGTCTGTCCTCGCCACGGACGATACGACCTATCCAACGGCAGCCACGTGCTGCTTCTGGTCGTGTGCTGCCATCGATCCTTGGTCGACGGCCATGGCCTTCGAAGATACATGCACCACCTATCACATCCACACATCACTTCCCTTCCGACAGCAGCCTCACTCGGGTCGAACATGTCGCTGCAGGCCGTGCTTTCGCTGCAAGTGGCGCCGCATTCAACTCCGCTCGGCTGCGCATCTGCTGATGTCAGCAGCCAATCGGCTCTCGCCAAAGTCAAGCTCGGTCGCACCGAGACGACGCCGAGACCGCGCCGAGGTCGCGCCGAGACGACGCAGCACCGAGGTGGCACACACACACGCATCCATTTTTTGATCCCGGCTTGCGTGGGTGCTGATCTCGGGCAGCTTGCGACTCTTTGATTTTGCCCGTCATCGCTGCCGTCACCGCCGCTGTTGTCGTCGAGCAGGCAAGACACTCAAAGCAACCTGGATTATGGCAGAAGAAGACTCAGAGTTGATTCTGGATCCTGCCGGAGAGCCAGATCTGGCTCTGACTGGCGAGGATCTTTCGCTTCCTTGGGAGGATTTCGCACGCTCGGTGCTGCGACTGCGTCTCTTTGAAAGCAAGACCTCGATCCGAATCGGAGCCCTGCGGGGCTTCTGCTCCAAGCTCAGGACCGAAGGTAAGCCTCATGTTTCTCCGGGATGGTACTCGAAACTCGGGCGCGGTATCTCCGCCATGAGCCCGTCATCTGACCTGGTGCTGATGTGTGATCTACAGAGCCACCCGAAGGCATGATTCCACCTCTGGTGGATTTGCTTGTCAAGACTATTCCAAAGTACCACGATCCAGCGTCCAGACGATACGCCCTTGAGGCTCTGAAGACCTTGTTTGGCGTCGCTGCCAAGTTGGCGCAGAACTCGCTCGACAACATGTGCTGCAAATCGGTTGTCAAGCTCCTTGAGAAGGAGTTGAAGGGCGTACTGTAAGTATCCGACCGTTGTGCATCCTGGACCCGCCATCGATTGTATTGACATGTGCGGATCGTCATCGACAGTGCTGCCAGACCTGCGTCGGTCTTGTTTGTCTATGTCAAATGGTGTGTCAGTGTCATCCGGATGGTTGTGGCGAGCGACACCAAGCTGCTGCCCGACCTCGGTGCCGTCGAAAAGTCGCCCTCCTGGATTGGACTGTTCTCGGTGCTCTCCAACGTTGCAGATGCCATTGGATCCAGCGGCTCTCCGCGTGCTTCCTCATTCCTGAGACGTGCTGTGCAGCAAATCTCGTCCCTGACCGTGGGCGTCAAGGACGAGATCGTCGATCTCTACTTGCGCACACTCCTCACTCCCGCCGCCGTCGATGGAAAGGAGGGTCCACAGCGCATCATCGTCATCGGTGCTATCACTCAAACCAAATCCGAGACAGTCGCTCAGCATACGGTAGGCTTTGCGCTCCGCACAGAGCGAGCCTTGATGTGATGGTACACTTACCCTTCCACAGCGCGCTCGCTGTGGATTTGCTGCGTTGCAATAATAGCTGAACTTGTAGACTAAGAGCTCTTTTTTTCATTGAACGCGTGATCCTGCATGTCAAAGCCCAACATCCTCAAGTTCTTTGTCAAGGCTGTTCTGTCGTCGCGAAGTGCCGTGCTTCAGGAGACTGTGGTGGGATATCAGCGCGTGTTGGTTTCTTGAACACCGGCGACAAGCGAGCGCATGACAACCAGCTCCAGACCGTACTCTCATTGACCCATCACTGCAACGTGCCATTGGTGTCGATCACAGAAACCGCTGGCCACATTTGTTGGTGCTCATGTCACTGCCGAGCACTTCCAAGCCGAGGTTATGGGCAGCGCCGAGAGACTGCTGCTTCGCTCTCCCGAAATCGTGATCGCAGGTGTGGATTTTTCCGTGGACCACATTTATTTGGACAACCAGTGTCTGCAGATCGCCTTTTCTTCGTCTGACCATTTGCGCTGACTGATTCATGCCGCTGCTTTTAGCGCTCAACCCGTTCATGGCCGCTATCTCGTTCGATCCCTCTGCCTTCCTCGCGGACAAGTTTGCTGACAGCATGTTGAGTAAGTCGACCTGCTCCCCTCCTACACATCACTTGCAACTCTTTCGATGGCGGCTAATATCTCTTTCATGCTGGTCCTGGTTTGATTCGACTCCCAAACGTGGGCATTAACGTGAAACGAATCGTTCGTCATGCGAATCCAGATCATATGAAGTCAACCAATGACGTTGTCAAGACTGAGGCTCAGACTCTGTTCCAAACCCTGGCCTCCAAATCAAGGGACGAGGGCAAGATGATCCACGTTCTGGATATCGTCGTCAAGGCATTCTCTGGTGCGCACATATTGCTTTCGAGTCACAGCGGCCTGTGCTTTGGCCTGCGTCACAGTTTGCCTGCCCAACTTGGTGCTCATCGCATTTCCGTGCACCCTTTCCTTCCCAGCGAAATCGCCAACTGTGGATCAGCGCCAATACTACTACAACGCTATTCGAGATCTCCCCGCTCTCTCGTCCCTCTCCAAGAAGGTTATTGAGATCCTGCCGGCCATGGCTGCCAAGGAAAGCAGCGCCCCGGTCGTGACGGCTGCTCTGTTGGCCCTAGTCCCGCATATCTCAGGCTACCTCACTTTGGATATCCGCGAGAAGTCTGTCGTCTCCAGCATTGCCAAGCTGCTCTCAGCGGGTATCAAGGACGCCAAGGCGCCCAATCGCCTTGGATACTCGCACATTCTACAGGCCGCAATCACTCGCGATGGTTTTGGCAGCCTTTCCAAGGACGACTTTGTTCTGCTTCTTGACTCGGCTGTCTCCGTCCTGGACAAGTTTCATGCTGCAGGCCCGATCGCTCTACTTGACCCCAAAAAAGACACCCCCGCTGTTTCCGAAGGATACTTTGCTGCCAAGATTGTGCTTGAGGCCGCTACCTGGGAGCGAGCCAGCGGAGGCAGTACCATTGGTAGGCCGCAAGTGTGACGGATCGCAACCTATTTTGCAGAGGTAGCATGCACCGGACAAGCACTCACGCGTTATCGATCTTGTCTTTTCTGTTGCACTGATCCCGCTAGCGTCGTATCTCGAACAAAAATCTGTCTTTGCAAAGCTGTTTGACTCAAAGTCTTTCTTGTTGAACGAGCGACTGTATTCCAAGCTCGTTTCTTACGACGAACAGCTTGCCTTGCTCAAGATTGCTTTGCTTCTGCTGCAGAACGAGAGCTGGTTCACGGCCGTCAGCTCAACCCAGCTGGCTAGCGCGGCGCTCTATCCGCTTATTCAAAGCAATCTTCCTGCGGTGCAGCAAGCGTCATTCCGGCTCCTCTCTGAGCTGGCGAAATCGTCCGCCGACGACGTTCTCTATCGCATCTTCCGTGTGGTGCGCATTGGACTCGGTGCCTTCCTGCTCCATCTCGAGCAGCAAGATGCCAGTCTCAAGTCCGAAATCTGCGCCTGGGGCGACCGGCCGCCCAAGAGCTCCAAGGAGTTTGGCCACTGGGCTTTTGCGGCTCTCTGCGCCATCGTTCCCAAGTGTGACCTCGAGTGCAGCTCACCCAAAACCCGCCCAGTCGTCGAAAAGGAGCTTGTCGAACTTGCAGTGCTGGCAAACCATCCCGTGATTGCCAACATCATGGGCTCGGATGTGTGGATCCGTCTGTGCTTCCGAGGTGGCTTTATTCACCCGAGGCAGCTCGTCGAAGCCCACGCACTGGAGTGCATCAACAAGTGGATCAAGGGTGGTCTCGCTAGCACCGATCTCACCGAAGGAGGGCTTGGTACGGATGTCTCTGTTCAGTTCCGAAAGGCCACACTCTCTGCAATCTCTCTCTTCACTGCAGCAGCCCCGGCGGCGGTGCTTCCGGCCCTGCTTCCCCATACTCTGGGGCTTTTGGACAACGAAACTATCCGCAAGTTTAGTGCCGTCGATGTTGAAATCTGGAAGACACCCGAGGGGCAACTCTACGTCGATCCGCTCAAGCGCAGCGGATCAGGAGTGGTTGATGATCGACCCCGCAACGCCGATGAAAAATGGGAGCGCGAGCTACGCAAAGAGTTGGACGCCAAGAAGAAGGCCTCAACCACCAAACCCGCGCAGGTTGGCGCAAAGGGCAAAGCCTCGGACCCAAAGCAGGCCAAGCTCGAGCGAGAGATTCAACAGGCCCAGCTTGAAAAAGAAGCAGCTATACGGGCCGAAGTCGGCGCAGCCTCATGGAAAATCAACCGTGCCATCGACGTCCTCGAGAGCATCCTGTGCGGAGTCGTCGAAAGTGTCGGCGAAGAAGCGCGAGAGGTCTTTGAAAACTGGCTGCCATCGGTGCTTTCTGCACTGCTCAATGGCGTGATTGTTCGCGAGCAAGTGTACGCTGACGAACGATCTCGTCGCGCCATGTTCGTTGGTGCGCGAGCATTTACCCTCCTGGCCCTTGCTGGCCGTGCCACGGGCAGCAAGCTCGAAGAATTCGTCGACCCCCCCGTCTTGGCGATGACCATCTGCCGAGCCATAGGCGTGCACGAAGGCGAGCACAGCTTGGACCATCGCTGGTGCGTCGGCGATCTGGCCCAAGGGATCTCGGATGTTTTCAAGCGGCTCCGCAGCACCATCGAGCTCTCCGGTCGGTTGGATCCGGCCTCATTTACTTTTGTCTTCCCCTTGATACGCACCGTTGCGCTCCGGGAAGGAAAGATCCAATCGCTCAAAGAGCGGGCGATCACCGATTTGTCAATGTCTGTTGCCGACTTGCTGTTCGCGCACGCTGCCCTTGGGTCGTCAGTGGCAATCCCAAGACAGTTCTTTGCCAAGTCGACCATCAGCCTCATGGCCAATTATCCCAAGCTACACAAAGCATCTCGCGAGGCTCTCTTGGCTTTCTGCACTTCTATCGAAGCCTCGGGCGACGATATCGACGAGGCCGACGATGAAGACGGCTCTTTGGCCGAAATCGATCGCACCGTCGAGGGCAAGGATGCACTGTTCAGGGCTGATCTGGAAGGCGTCACCCGCGAGCTCCTCGATGGCCTGTTGAGTCCCGAGCCGGTGGTGAGGGAAGCCTGCCTGCTCGCGCTCGCTCATCTGCAAGTTCCTGAATCTAGCGAAGATATCTTTGATGCACGTGTATGGATCACTCGATTCGATAGTCGCGAGGTCATTGCCAAGGAGGCCAACAGTCTCTGGGAGCAATGGAATGGTGACTTGGATTGCGGCGAAGAAAGTATCCCACTCATTGTCGAGATGATCAGTAAGTTCGGTTTTGTCGCGACACTGAGCAAAAAGCGTTCACTAGTGTACCCGAAGGGCACAGAGTGGCCATACTCTCAGGATGTTTGTTGCCTCGCCGAGTGCATCCTGCTGTCCGACACTCAAGCGCCACTTTGATCCAACGCGAGTGCCTCACTCTCCCTCTCTGCTAACTCCTCTCGTCTATGCCTGGATTCAGCCCACAAAGTGAAAGATATCCGCGAGAGCTCTGGACGCTCGCTTTGCGCCGTCTTGCGCGAGTATCCCGAAGCCGTTGGCCTGACCCTCAACCAGCTCTATGATATCTATCAGCTGAAGGTAAAAAGGCTCCGCATTGCGTTTGGCTGCTGCTTGTACATCGCCTTGGGGGGGATGCCACTGTTGACGGCGATTGTTAACCTGCGCCTTGCATCGATACCAGGCGGTGCTCCCTGCGCCAGAGTACGACGAGTACGGCATGATCATCCCCGAGTCCTTGAACAAAGAAGACGAATGGGGTGCTCGCGCAGGCATCGCAAGCGCACTGAAGGCATGTGCACCCGTTCTGGTGGAGCTGGATGTTTTGAAGGCCATGCTCCGCTTCTTGATCGAGGGCGAAGCCCTTGGCGACCGACACGAGGACGTTCGCCAAGCGATGCTCGATGCAGGCTTGACTGCCGTCAACACCACCGGCAAAGATCACGTCCGCGACCTACTTGAGGTCTTTGAATCGTATCTGGACAAGCCCGCTGTTCCAAACGAGGTGCACGACCGTATTCGCGAGTCCGTTGTTATTCTTCTGGGCACGCTCGCCCAACATCTCGACGCATCCGATCCCATCATCCCCGTGGTTGTTGACAAGCTCATCGAGACGCTTCGCACGCCGTCCGAGATGGTCCAGATTGCTGTCTCTGAGTGCTTGCCCGCGTTGATCAAGTTGATCAAGGACGAGGTGCCACGTCTGCTGGACTCGCTGTTGGATGAGCTCTTCAACTCGCCAAAGTACGCTGCTCGCCGCGGTGCTGCCTACGGACTGGCGGGTGTCGTCAAAGGAAGAGGCATCTCGGCCCTCAAGGACTATGATATCATGGGTCAGCTGCGAGACGCTGTCGAGGACAAAAAGAACCCGCAACGCCGCGAGGGTGCTTGCTTTGGATATGAAGCACTGTCGCAGGCCCTCGGTCGCCTGTTTGAACCCTATGTCATCCAGATTCTGCCGCTACTTCTCGTCTGCTATGGCGATAACTCGCGCGAGGTCCGTGAGGCCACGCATGATGCCTGCAAGGTCATCATGTCCAAGCTCTCTGCCCACTGTGTCAAGCTGGTGTTGCCCTCCCTCCTGGACGGACTGGACGATCGCGCTTGGCGAACCAAGCACGGATCGATCGAGGTTCTGGGCTCGATGGCCTTCTTGGCACCCAAGCAGCTTGCGCTGTCGCTGCCGACGATTGTGCCGCGACTTTGCGATGTCCTCGCTGATTCGCACGCTAAAGTTCAGGAGGCCGCCAAGCTCGCGCTGACCCGGTTCGGCGGTGTCATCAAGAATCCCGAGATCCAAACCCTTGTGCCCGACCTCCTTGCGGCCTTGGTCGACCCCAACAGCAAAACCCAAAAAGCCCTCGTTGCTCTCCTTGACACAGCGTTTGTCCACTATATCGACGCCCCGTCTCTTGCTCTCGTCGTGCCAATCTTGAACCGTGGCCTGAAGGAGCGTTCGACAGAGACCAAGAAGAAGGCTGCCCAAATCATGGGCAGCATGGCTTCGCTGACCGAACAGAAGGACCTTGTGCCGTATCTGCCGCTGCTGATGCCGGGGCTCAAAGAAGTCCTGATCGATCCTGTGCCCGAGGCCCGCGCGATCGCCGCCAAGGCTCTGGGCTCCATGGTCGAGAAGCTTGGAGAAGAGAACTTCCCGGGCCTGGTCTCCGAGCTCATCCAGACGCTCAAGACCGAGACCTCCTCTGTCGACCGCTCAGGCGCCTCCCAGGGACTCAGTGAGGTTCTGGCGGGCCTGGGCCTCGAACGCCTCGAAGGCATGCTCCCCGAAATCCTGGCCCACACCAACTCTGCCCGCGCCCACATTCGCGAGGGCTTCATGACACTTCTGATTTACCTTCCTGCCACCTATGGTGACCGCTTCCAACCCTACCTCGATAGAATCGTCCCTCCGATTCTCCGCGGTCTGGCCGACGACTCCGAGACGATCCGCGAGGCTGCGCTGAAGGCCGGCCGAATGATCATTCGAAACTACGCTACCAACGCCATCGATTTGCTGCTTCCTCAGCTCGAAAAGGGTCTGTTTGACGACAACTGGAGAATCCGGCTCAGCTCTGTGTCGCTCATGGGTGACCTGCTGTACCGCCTTACGGGCATCAATGCCAACTCGGTCATCGAGGGCGACGACGAGACCTACGGCACCGAGAACAGCCGCCGCATCCTGGTGGATTCTCTCGGCAAGACCCGATACGAGGGCGTTCTGGCAAGCATCTACATTGTCATCAGCGATGTCCACGGCCTGGTGCGCCAGTCCTCGCTGCATGTCTGGAAGGCAATCGTCACCAATACGCCCCGGACCCTCAAGGACATTCTCCCTGTCTTGATGAGCCTGGTGATTTCTTTGCTGGGCTCCGACAGCTTTGAGAAGCGGTCCGTTGCGGCGCGAACGCTTGGCGAGCTCGTTCGCAAGCTTGGCGAGAACATCCTGGCCGAGATCATTCCCATTCTGGAGCACGGCCTCGAGAGCGATGATGCAAACACCCGACAGGGCGTCTGTATCGGCATGAGCGAAATCATGGGAAGTGCCGGCAAGATGCAGGTCGCCGACTTTGGCCTCCAGATTGTGCCGGCGATTCGCCGAGCCCTCGTCGACCCCGAGCCCGACGTCCGCGAGGCTGCCGCCCAGGCCTTTGATGTCTTGCACCAGCACTTGGGTTCCAAGGCGATCGACGACGTGCTGCCCTACCTGCTGAACGAAATGACGACCTCGACGGCCTCGTCCGAGAACTATGCTCTTGGCGCGCTCAAGGAGATCATGGCTGTCCGCTCGAACGTTGTTTTCCCCGTCTTGATCCCGGCCTTGATCACCGAGCCCATCACTGCTTTCAATGCCCGGGCTCTTGGCTCGCTCATTTCTGTCGCTGGCTCTGCCCTCACTCGTCGGCTGAACGTCATTCTGCCGGCGCTGATGTCCGGACTCGAGCAGAAGGACGACGCCGTTCCCGACATCAAGGAGGCGCTCAAGGTGCTCATGCTTTCGGTCGAGGAAGACGGCCTGCATACTCTGATGGTCCTTCTGCAGGATACTATGGCCGACGGCTCGCTGGAACGAAAGCGCACAGTCTGTGAGGCCCTCGCCATCTTCTGCGCCGGCAGCTCGGTGGACATCAGCGACTATGTTTCCGACTGGGTCCGCCGCCTGCTCGAACTGCTTACCAGCAAAGACGCCGCCACCGTCAAGACGGCCTGGGCGGCGCTAGATGCTCTGATCAAGACCATCAAGAAGGACGAAATGGAGCGCCACGTCGCTAACACCCGGCGGGCCATTGCGTTCATCTCTGAGCGGCTCAAGCCCGATGAAACAATTGCCGGTTTCTCGCTCCCCAAGGTAGGGCTGGGACACGATTGACGGAAGCGGGTGGTGCGATATTCTCCTCTCGCCTCGTTTGCGCATTATGCCCTTGGCACTAACCCGGTCGATGCTTCTTCACGCTGCATCAGGGTATCTCGCCCCTCCTTCCGATCTTCTCGCAGGGACTCATCGCTGGCAGCAACTCGGACGTCCGTGAGCAAGCTGCCCTCGGCCTCGGAGACTTGGTTCGCCGAACCAGCGTGCCAGCACTTGGCCCCTTTGTCACCCAGATTACTGGACCTCTTATCCGTGTCATTGGCGATCGGTTCCCCTGGCAAGTCAAGGCAGCCATTCTGCAAACTCTCAGGTACGCATGTGCGGGTTCAGGTAGCGATTGGTGTCGGTGTGTGTGGGTTGAGCGATGCAGTCGGATCAAGTGCGAGGATGGTGTAGATGTTGAAGGGATGGCATCGGCGAGTGTGTTCATGTGAGCCATTGGGATAGCCCGCTCGCGCACTCGGGCCACTGTCCCAAAGCAAGGATGCTCTGGGAGAGGAGAGGAGAGCCACGTTGCGGAGCACCGGCGGCAATATGGTGCTAGTCGACCTGCCATCCGTGCTGACCGTGCACACCGCCGTCACAGCTTGCTCCTTGTCAAGGTCCCTGCACTTCTCAAGCCCTTCCTGCCTCAGCTGCAGCGCACGTTCGTCAAGTCCCTCTCTGAGCCGTCGTCCTCTACGGTCCGCGAGCGTGCGGCCTCGTGTCTGTCGACCCTGATCGGACTGCAGACTCGACTGGATCCCCTGGTTGTCGAACTCACCCAGGGCGTCAAGACTGCCGAAGACCGGGGTGTCCGCGATGCCATGTGGCAGGCAATCCTCGGTCTGCTCAAGGGCGTTGGCCCTGGAAGAGAAATCAGCGCTGCCAGCCAGAAGACCGTTGCCGATCTTGTGCTTGATGCGCTGCTCAGCAGCAACGAAAACGAAGGCAAGTGTCCTGCTATGCCTGGCAGCGCGGGACTGACACTGGGTCCGTCGTTGGAGCTCTGGTCTTGTGGACGGTACTTCAGTGTCGGAGAGCTCTTCCAAGAGCAACTCCACCAGGCTCGACCGTTGCGCGCTGGTTTTTGCATCCCCGCTATCCGGGCTTGCATGGCACTTGGATCGCCGCCCTTTCATTCCACGAGGGCGTGCTGGCTTTACATATTGTCGCCGTGTGCGTAACATGTGGCTGACCGACGACACCGTCGCTTGTACAGAGTCTCTGCGGACTCGCGCTGCGAGATGCTTTGGAGTGCTGCTTGGAATCTTCTCTGACGATGACGCCCGGGATACACTTGAGTAAGCATGCCTGTCTCCCTCTGCATGATCGCGCGCGGCTCTGAGACCACGATCAACGCCCGGCCAACAGCGATCCCTGACTCGCAATGCCGCTTCATTTCCTGTAATAGGGGTCGCATCCTCTCGGTGTCTGCAAGCGAGCCTTGGCACAAGATCCATGGCGCTGCCGTGGGCCTTGAGGCTGTGTTTGTCGAGAATCCCAGCAAGATTGCCGACCTGAACCTGGTCTCTGAGACCGTGGATGCGGTGGCGAAATGGGTCACCCACGAAAAGTCGCCCGTTGCAGAGGCCGCCGTCCATAGCATCGGCAGCTTGCTGACACACGAAGGCTACGCCGATGCCGAGATTGCCGGCACGCTGGTGCCTCTGCTGGTGGAGAACGTTGCGGCCACACGGCCCTCGGATGTCCGCCGCGAGACCTTGGTTGTTCTGAAGAATGTTGCCAAGCTTCAGCACGGTGCCGTTGCGCCCTTCCTCGGCACCATGGTACCGGCGCTGATGACAACCGTGCGCGACCGAACCATCCCTGTCAAGCTAGCCGGCGAACGGGCACTGGTCTACCTGCTCCAGATCAAGACCGGAACAGATGTTCTGCAAAAGTACCTCGGCACCCTCGATGGCCCCACCGCTCGCTCGATTGGCGACTACGCACGCAGAGTCCTCGTCAAGATTGGCGAGAAGGACAGTGACGACGAAGCCGACGACAGCTAGAGGACTGCCCGAGGTGTCCCAGGGGCAGCGACCACAAGGGTACAAGAGTCGCCCCGCTTGGGGTGGTTCTGGATCAGACGCTTTTTCCTCGCTTCATTTGCCCCCAGTGCCTCTTGTTTCACCCCTCTCCACAGCTGCGCTGGAATACATGATCCCCCAATGTTGTATGTGATGTGAGCAGTTCTGGTCCGCTCTCTAATCTGCGGCACTGCAGCCCGTTTGGGCAAGTCGCCATCGAAACAACGCAACGCACTATCGGGGCCAAGTTGGGTCAGATACAATACCAAAATATCTAGATTACGGCAGGAAAACGACATAATTATGACATGGTGACGATCAGCCATCTGGCGGCTGCCGTCGGCTGAGCAAGGCTCACAGTCGACGAGCAGGACGGAGCATTGGGTTGACGGATTGTCGGCGCTCGGGAGACTGGGTGGGAGAATTAGGGCTGGCAGAGCCATTTTCGGCATAGAGAACACCACTGCTTGGCCGGGAGACAGATGGGGTCGGAAACATGACGCCCGGTTGTTGACTCTCGGACACTACCCTCGGCAGGACGGGAGTGCCTTGGATGGTCTGTTGATATGAAGGCGGGAAGATTTCGGAGGATTCTGGGTTTACGTGGGAGACACTGTTGAGCTCGATGGATGAGTCGCTCGGAATCGCTGGGTTTGGTGAGTATCGGGGAAGGGTTGAGGTCGATCTCGCTGCTTGGCGGATCGAGGCGGGAAGAATTGGAGGCCTTCGCGAAGTCTTGAAACGCAGATAGACCACGGCCGCAATAAGCACCGCTGGCGGTCCACAAAGCAAGGGCAAAGACGACGGAGTGAGTCCGAGCAAGCCGGGCGGATGGCGGGGGAGGGACAGCAAACCCAGAGGAGGAGGAGGGCACGATCGCTCCCCTCCATGACGGCTGGCGGCTGGCGGCTGGCGGTGAGCGACGGGGAGATCGCTCGACAAAACACCTACGTGCAGCGATGAGCCATAGGAGTGCGCTGGGCTTGAACTGGCTGTTTTGCGAGTTTCCATTTGACGGATTTGATACGTTGAACGGGATCTGGGCAGAGAGACTGAGGTTTGGGACGCTGAGAAGCGGACCTAAATCGAATTCGCCTGCGAGCCCTTGGTTCGGTACGCATTTGTTGTTCAGTGTGAAGCCCTCCACGCCGTTGCCGCCGGCTGTGCAGTTGGCATCGACGCCATGAGGCCAAACGACCATGTTGGGCGACCCCAAGTTGCTGTCGACGGTGTAGCTTCCGTCCGGCATCTTGGTGCAGTTCTGGTAGATGGGGTCTCGGACGACAACGCTGAGATTGGTGCAGGTCGAGTCGCCAAAGCTCCTTGCGATATATGAGAAGTAGGGTGTCTTGAAGCCTGAGTCCCACAAGCTGTGATGCAGGAGACGAGAGCAGCGATAAATACGACGACGAAAAAAATAGGGCGAGGGCCAGCATACGAAGCCGGTCAGCGGGATCTTCACGAAACAAAAGACCTGTTCCGAGGGCCTCGAGGACATCACACCGCACCGCATATGGGCTGATCCGAAAGCGAGCCATGTCACAGAGCCAAGAAAGTAGAAGCATCGACGGATGTGCATCCAACGATGTTCCGCTTCCTGTGATGCCACTCATCCCGGGACTCTGCCATCGCACCGAGAGCAACTCACTCAGTCGAGAGATAGCTCTTGTTGCTGTAGGCCCCTGTGAAGAAGCTGGCTGTGCACGGATCCGAGTTGAGGGTGGAGAACTGGGCGGCGACGGAGCAATCTGTTCGGCAGGACGAGTCCGACCCACAGTCACTGAGGAAGATCGAATGGCTGTCTGGAACGACAGAGAGATAGGCGTAGCTGGTGGCCGTGCGGTTGTCGATCCAGGCCCGAGGCATGCAGCGGTCGCTTGCGTACAGGACGTCGCCAAGGCTCTCAGGAAAGACCAGCGCCTGGGCATTGGAGGAGTTGACGCAGCGGGGAAGAATCGACCGACGGCCATAGTGAAGCAGCCACCGGACGTTGGCGGGATCAAGCGCGGGAGGCAGGAGCGACATGGGTGACGGATGCGAGTGCAGATGCAGACGGAGACGCAGGCCAAAGATGCAGGTCAGAGATACAGGTCAGAGATGCAGGTCGAAGCGAGATGGCGGGAGAACAGACGACCAAGGAAAGACGGCCAAGGACAGACGACCAAGGACAGACGACCAAGGCGCCGGTGGGGATTTCGGATGCGTAAGCGGATTCGGGCGCAACACAGAGCATGTTCTCGGTACACAGACGGTGTGGCTGGGTGGGCTGGCTGGTGTGTATGCGTCGCGCGTGAGTGGCTGGCCCGCGCGCCAATCAGCAGCGCGCAGGCCGCACCGCGTGACCGCCGCCAATGCATCGCCGCCGCTGGGCCGGGGTGACACCAGCAGCACAATTCCCCACGCCCACAGATCTGTGTCGATGGCTTCGTCTGCAGCGACGAAGGGGGGTTCGTCCTGCAGCGAGGGTGCCTTGATGCTGCATCGGCGGCGGCTTTTATTCTCCAGCAATGTCGTCTTTTGCATCTGGGTAGTGCGCGGGGATGCGATCCTCTCCTCCATGGCGAGCCGCCCGGAGAAAGGTGGCGCGTGTTGGCCCATGCCAGGCTATTGAGCCTTTTGTCGGCGCTCCTTGGGTGGTGCGTGGTTGGGCGTCCACGGACCCAGCGAATCCCGAGCGTAAAAGTCCATTGGATATACCGACTGCCACTCTGCCGAGCCCATCAGCACCGCTGCCTCGTACGGGGTCAGCAGGGGCTTGGGAAAGGCGTATCCCCAATCAATCGAGAGTCGAGGACAAGCGACCTGGATCCAGACGTCGACGTTTGGGAACTGGGCCAGCTTGGACGGGAAGATCTCCGACAGCAGCACAGTGACGTATGGGATGCGGCGCGAAACCAACTGTGACTCGAGGTGCTGGGGAATGGATTCATCATTGGATGCGTTGGCGCGGTGAGCAAATGAGCAAACAACAGACGGGATTGGACGCAGTGCCGCTTGAGCCCGACTCGGCGCCATCGGCTGCATCTGCCCATCATGACGCACATGCCACGCCGATCACGGACCAGCACTCTGCTGCCATGCTTGTTCGGCCGATGCCATGCATACATACCTCAAGCACCTTGGGGCTCCCTTGGCGGCCCAGCGTTCCAAGTATTAAGCCAAACTTCTTGCCCCCCCTCGCCTGTTCGATGGCATGCTGGCGCGCTGACCGCATCTCGTCATGGTTATACCGTTCACGCGTAAAGACCTTGGAATACGGGTCGTAGCGGTACGCGGGCAACTCGGGATTGGCGATCATGATGGCTTCGAGATGAAAGCGACCGTCACCCAGATATCTAGCAGCCCGAGGTAAGTCGGCAACCAGTGCCGTGGTGAGTGGCCCTGCCAATAGATCCCCGAACGGGCCAGTGTCCGTGATGCCAACGCTGCCAAAGTGCTCAGCTCTGGGCGTCAGCTCTTGAAGCATTGCCAGGACTTACATGATGCAGTCATGACCGGTCAGCTTCGGAGCTGTGCATCCGAGAATTTCGCCTGGAGACAGAGGCTTGGACTGTGGAATCGCCACGGTGTAGTCGTGCTCGAGCTCGGCTTTGGCACCCTGAATAATGGCCCATCCAATAACCCCCGATCAGCAAGCAATCATCTTGTACGGCCTTTCGGTGAGGCCAACATCGGCGACATGCTGCCACGAGACACACTCCTGCTGCGTCCACAATGCCTCACCTGCAACGAGGTCACAAACTGGATCGTCGCCACAATCACCAGCCTCTTGCCCTTCTCGATATTGTACTTGACCGTCTCGACAAAATGGTGCACATCAATACCAATGTCGACAAAGACATACATGGTCTTGATCGTGGTCACATCCACCGGAACTGGATAGGCGTTGTCGTTCATGCGGCGAGGCCAGCGAACGCAGCGAATATGGAATATGGAAGATGGAATACAGCATGACGAACGGTAACTTCAGAGGGCCGGCCATTACGATACCCGACATTTGCGCGAGGCCAGTCCGGGAATAGCAATGTACGGCCTGGCGAACACATCTGTCGCGGGAGACTCCACTTACCGAGACAGCTGTGGCCGTAGTGGACCATGTAGTCGCAGCCGAGCGCCAGGGCTGTAAAGTCATCGACGCAGCAGGCGCCGTATGTGACATCACCCATGATCAGCGTCTCGACCCCGGCGAATCTGGATGGGGTCGGTGTGGAAACAAGTCGATAGTCGGCACCCAAGATCAGAACCCGCTGCTGGCGCTATCACTCCATTCGGCCAGCTTGGATCGAAGCAACCCGAGTGTCATTACAGCACCGCTTCGAATCCAGAGAAGATCTGGTGAACGGAATCCAGCGCCGTCGCAGAGACTTCACCGATCGAGGCCCTCGGTCGATCCGCCTTATTTTCGAGACCGTACAAACCCTACCTTTCGATAATATCCGAGATCACACAGGCAAACATCTGCAAGCCTTCGGGGAACTGGAGCGCGACTGTGACGGGATGAACGTTGGAGAGTCAGTTCTGGCCGTTGAGATCATTGGCACTTGCTGCCTCGCCCTCATCCTCGCCCTCATCCCCATCCTCATCGCCGACTCGAATCTGTGCTGAATGTAGCAGCTTGCTACCTTTCTTTGCTTGCTGCCGCTGGATGTTCCAGATGGTTTTGTGGATCTCAAAGTTGTAGTTCCTGGGAAGCTGTTGGCAGACGGATGGCACAGAGGCCCCGACCAAGGAATCGTTCCGTTGAGATCGATGCACTCGTGCCGATGGCTTTGCTTTGGACCAGGCAAGCAAGCAAGCAAGAGGAAGACAGCAGGGCATTTGCTTTCCTCCTTCTGCCCTCCCCTTCTCGAGACCTGGTTCCTGTCAGCCATGCTATCCTACCTGGGCAATCGCCTCATTCAGTTGGGCGTCATTGAGGATACTCTCTGGAATCTGGTTGATCGGCCGGACGATCTTAGATCCCGCCGAGGCTGACACCGTGACGGCCGTTGTATCGGGAGTGGAGGCGGTCTGACTCCGAGCCGAGCCGACAAAGCGCTTGCGGGCCAGCTCGGCCCTGGACGGAGCAGGATTGGGCGATTCGGCCATTTGGCACTGGAGATGCTTGACAAGGAGGGCTTTGGACGAAAGGAATATTGGCAGAACGACGACACACCGTCTCTTCGGTGATCGGCAAAGTCGGTGCTGGTTGAGCAGCCGTGGGGCAGGATCGAGGGGATCAAAGACTGGGTCCGAGACTGGGTCCGAGAGCCGGCACACAGGAAGGCGTTGCCCAGCAGATCGAGTGGGGCGAATGGTGAGAGAGAAAAAAAAAAATGGCGACACGCTCGCGAAACATGACCATGAGATGCCGCTCGCCAAACAGCCTCGCCCGCTGCCACCAGCAGTACCCGTCCATCGCTGATGGATCGTCGCTGACAGTCGGCTGGCTCTCGCCGCCGAGAACTCGGAGACGACGCCCCTCCCGCACCGTCGGGCAGTATCGTAGGCGCTCGTGTCATCCCCCCGTGTCCAGGCGCACGGCACACAAGCCCATCGCAGCGGTCAACGAGGGTAAGAGGTGCATGTAGTATTCAAGTGGTGAGGTAGAAAAATATGGCGTTGGCAACTAGAGGTCCTTTTCACTGAGAATGTAGATTTGGCCGCCGTGCTGGACACGCTGTGGCCATTGGGATCCAGGGACGCATGCGTGGTTGCAACGGTCGTTGAGGATGAAGGCAAGGGCGAGGATAAAGGTATCAGTGGGGACGGCATGCATCTGTTATCCAGTCCCGCCGACCAGGAGCCATGGCGAATCGACTCGATTCATAAGAGACGCAGCACCCGCGCTTCTCCCGACCGAACCCCATGAATCCAGAGGCCGCACAGGATCGCCGATCTGGTCTCGCCGATCTGGTCTCGCCAGTCAATGCTGACGATCCCGTTGACAAGCACAGCGCACCTCAATGATCTCGCGAACTTCGGCCTTCAGCAGCTGGTTTTCTCGCAGCAGCTCGTCGTTGTAGTGCATCAGCTTTTGCGCACGTTCCTGCTCCCTGGATAGAGACTCCTCCAGGGATTTGCTAGCGTTGCAAGAATTCCTGGAGTCAGGGCTGCAGTCATGGGGATCGGCGTCGCGGAAGATTGGACGTCGACGCAGACACTACTTTGCTTACCATTTATCGTTAGCCGTCTCAAGTTGACGGACGAGAGCAGCATACTTGATCTCGCACTCATCGTGGACGGTCTGGGGAATGTCGTTAGTTTGGCCGGCATCCGGTGAATCTGCGAACCGATAGGAAACAGCCAACGGGACGACATCAATGTGCTGGCGCTTGTAGCTGCAAACTCTGGCTGTATCCTGCTGCTCCTGGCCCGCTACGACAGTCTCATCTCCAGGGGGGGGGCATTGCTATCAGGAACCGGGCGAGGCAGCGAGCCTTGCGGCTGGTAGTGCCAAGATACGAACCCTTTGGCGATTCCTTAACGTCGTTGCCCTGGTTCTGACTTTGGTTCTGGTTCTGGTTCTGGTTCTGGCTCCGGCTCTGGTTTTGGTTCTGGGCAAGAATCCGGCTCTCGAGCGAGTTGATTCGGGCGATCAGCATCTTAAAGTACGAACCTGGAGCCAGCCGGAGCGGGCCGAAACCATGGATAATGTTGGATTGAGTTGAGTTGGACGGGGTCGGGTCGTTTGCCCAGCCGCATCCGTGTGGGATGGGCCAGTATTGTCAGCACGAGGCGGCAGAGCGTTAATATCTGACTTGACATTCAGCCCGCTCCAACGCACACCGTCCAAGGACAGCTTCAAAGCAAGGTCGCTTACTCTGCTGCAGATCGTCCCGGGATTCGGCCACTGAGCCGTCATCGCTGCTCATGATCGAGGCGGTGCCGACGGAAGCCGTGCCTATCGACGATCGGAAGGGATCGTCCAACGGCAGGTGTTCGAGCTGGTCCTCGACAAGACTGAGCTGCTCGTTGAACGACCGGACTCGGGACAAGAGAGTGTCTCGCATCGGGTTGGCCGGCTGGATCTTGCGGGGAAGTGGGGTGCCCACATCGCCGTTGGTGGTGGGCTCGATCGAGCGCTTGGTCTTGAGCTTGAGTCGGTGGCTTGCAGGAACAGGAGGCGGCGGCGGGAAGGACGGCTTGGTGCGCCGCTGCAGAGGCGAAGGGGCGACGAATTCGGTCGTCCAAGTGGGTCTTGGAGGGGACTTGAGCGCAGTGTCGAGAGCAGCGCCGGCGACGGCAGCATCTTCGGCTGGCGAGGGAGACCGCAGCCCCAGCCTGGAGGGTTTCCTGGGGAGCGCCGAGCGAGTGGGCGACCCGGGGGCTGCGGGCTGCTTCTTTGGGGTGGACTGAGAAGGCGAATCGGCGGGGACAATGTTGCTGAGGTTGTTCTGGGTGAGCGGCAGGCGCATTGGTGGCTGGGCCAAGGCCCGCATCGGGGTGGTTGGCGTTGGTGTGCGGGTTGGGTTGGGAGGAGCCGGAGGATCCATGAGGGAAGAGGGGACTGGGAGTTAAGAGACGAAGTGTCAGCAAAGGCCAGAAGGCAGAGTGGACGACCCGAGAGAAGGGGATCGAGGCAGAAGGGACAAGCCCAAAGGATGGCAGGGCGATCAAGGAAGGGCAAGAAGACGATGAGCGGGGGAGGGCGATCGAGACGGCAAAGAAGACATGGCGACAACGACGGGGAGGGCGGGCGACCCATGGCGAGAGAGGGAGTTGAATGCGACATCGGATGTGATATCAGATGCGATATCGGATGTGATGATGTGATATCGGATGTGATGATGTGATATCGGATGCGATATCGAGTATGGCGATGTGATATTGGGGGTGACACCGGATATGATGATGTGATATCAGATGCGATATTGGGTGTATTGCAATGCCATAGGTCAATGCACATCCAGCATTGATACATCCAGCGTTGATACATTCCGTCGACGGATTCCATGCGAATGAGCGTCGACTCGAACACACCCTTATGTCGTTCAATATCATTCAACCACCCATCCATGCGATCCAACTCAACCATCCGTCCATGCGATCCAACTCGGCCGCTCGGCCCTCCTGCTCGTCCGGACTTCTTCCTCCTGATCAGCGCCGCACTGTCCAATCCGTCGTCCATCGGCTTTCGCTCGCTCGCTCACCCGCTTGCCTTGCCCGGCTGGCCCTCGTCCCATCCGCCGGATCGGCCTGTCCACTTCTGCCATCACCATCATCATCATCATCATCTGCTCGTCGCTGCTCGTCGCGGCGCATCCCAGCCATGGCCGATGAGCACACTCGTCTGCTTGCCCAGACAGAATCGCCTTCCCTTGCCCACGATGCAGCTCACCATGCCTCTGGCTCCTCTTCCTTTCGGCCGCTGCTCGCATTCGCCCTCCCTGATCATGCACCCTCTCCTCGGGCGTCTCTCGCCAGCCTCACCGTCATCGACTTGCTCGTCGTCGTGATCATCGGCACATCCACGCTCGCTGTCGACACCCAGTGTCTGCTCTACACCCTCGGCTCGGTGTTGCTGCGGCACTGGGATATGCTCGTCCTGCTCCTCTTCCGGTCGGTCCTCGCCGTCGGGATACTGTTCCGTGTGCCATGGGCCACCCAAATGCCTCTCCCGATCGCCCTCGCTTGCGTAAGTGTGTCATGGTCGCCTTGGCCGAGCATTCTGAACCAGCGCCAGCGCATTGCTCGGGGCCATGACGCATCGCTGGACAGACACACCTGGTGGATTTATTCATTGATCAAAGGCCGAGCAATGCGTCGTCCGAGTCGATTCCCAACGGCGCGCCCGCTGATCAGATTGCATATCTTCCTGTCTTCTCCCTCCGCCAGGCGAGCATCTCATATATCTTTGTCCGTTCCCTCGTTGGAACCTTTTCCGGCCTGGGTGCCGAAATCCTGAGCGCCTGGTCCTTCTTTGCCACCTGCGGCCAATTGGCCATCTACATGCACGCCATCGTCGTCGTCGACAGCAGATATTGGATCGATTCCGCCTCAATCCTCGCAGATGCTCCTCCTCTGGACGACCAGCGCCCTGTCTCGGACGACACCACCCATTCGCCTTCGTCTGCTGGCCTCACCGACCGAGAATTCGGCACAGCCCCGTCCTGCTCAACAACCGAAGCCGAAGCCGAAGCCGACGCCGATGCCGATCATGTTGGAGCTGCTCTGCTTGTCCACGTTCCCACTGATATCATCGTCGACAGCGACATGGACACTGACGACGACGCCGACACTAGCCATCTGGACCCAATTCTGCCGCGGCCTCAGCTGGAGTCGTCTGCGCCCATCCCTGCCAATACCGACACATCCCCGAACCACTCAGAGTCAATAGCAATCGCTTCTGCTGTCTTCTCCACGCCCCCTGCAGCACATTCGCTGGTCTACCCGATTCTCGAGTCCGAGTCCAGCTATCGGCAGCTCGAGCCCTCCAGGTTCCCCGATCCGACCGCCGTCTTGGACACCGTTTCCTCCATCACCGAAAGCTCGAGCAGCACCGAGCCATTTTCGACGCCGCAGGACTATCCCGACGGGCATCTCGAGCTCGTCCCATCGTCGTCAACCGAGGATGCCACGACTGCTTTGGGCCAAAACTCGTTTGAATCACTCGATGCTCTTGGGTACTCACACCCACCACCACCCGGTAAGCCTTTGGTCAAACGGGGCCCACACCGTTGTCGCTTATCATGGCTGTTAGCGTCGACAGCGATCTACAATCAAGTGCTGCGACTACCTCCGGCAACTAAAACCAGCACTCCACCGCTTGCTTACTGCTAAGGCTATGTCCTTGATGCCATCCAACTCATGTGGAGCGGCGATATCGCTGCGGCCAGGACTCTACTCTCGACTGAATCGGCTCACCGGCTACTCCCACGTCCGGCGCTGCATTATGCTGAGGTACGCTGGCTTTGCCGCATGGCTCCTGACAATTTGCTCCATCTCCATCGCGGAGTAATCGCTCGACGGATCAGTGTAAGGTGATACTTCCTAAACACGAACATGCGGCTGTTGCTCCAGACATTCGTGATAGAGCATTATCTGACTCAGAGCTCCGAGTGCGAGCAGAGCGCACGGAGCCAAGTCGGCGTTTCAGAAGCCGTTATCCTCAAGTTTCTCGACAATGGATTGGCGGTATGCACTCACGCTCCCGCCGATGCCGGTGCGGTCTCTGGGCTTGCTTCCTCGCTCACTCGAGAGCGGTTGTCAGGTCGCTGCCGGTAGTGAGCGCAACTGACCAATGCACTCTCATATCGCTGTCAAAGGCTGAAGCCGGGTTGCCGATTCGGCCCTCCAGCCCGTCGCCCCCAACCACTCCAGTCTCATCGCCGCCGTCATCGAGCCTGAGCGGCTCCTTTCTGGCCACCCGACGGCGGTTCTCGTCGTTCCAAAAGCCCACCGGCCACGACGCGCATGAAGATGGAAGTTTGATGCAGCTGACTCGCGCCGACTCCCAGTGCTGTCTGGCAGATATATGTGTCATCAAGGGGATGTACCAGGTCCTGGACGGTCGCGATATCAAGGGAGCATAGTAAGCATATCTCTGTTTGCCAGTGCTTGCCGGATATCACATGTAACCGCTCAAGTGGTTGGCGAGGATCAATGTGCAGCTACGGTGATGCACCGGCGCCCGATGGCCTGAACACCCCTATGTTTGCGTTGCGTGGATCGCTTCGGCGGCACCAGATTGACCTTGTTTTGTGTATCCTTCATCACCCAAAGCTATCTGCGGAAGGCGTGGACCATTTACTCGCAGCTTTGGCACGATATCACCTCAATTCGACCTCACGACGAGCCAAGCAACCCCCAGCGCCGGCCCGTTGAGCACGTTCGCTTCGACAGAGCCGCCCAGGAGTACTTGCTTTCATGGGACTCGGTGCGCTCCTCTGTGTCGTGCGGCATAGGACTCTTCAACATACTGCTATCGATTGTACGTACTCGATTGATCGCATGCCAACCGCCGGTCGTCATCGGCGGTCCAACTTTCCTCGGTCTTGCCATCGCTCATCCCGACCCAATCTCGCTGATCATCTCGCTCAGCTCGGCGAGTCCTTTTCGGTGTCATTTCGCAACATCGGAGTGAATGCCAACGTAGGTGCTGGTCTCGGGTTGATGAACGAGGCTGTTCATGGCAATAGCTTCCGAGGTACGAGCCGTTTTCCTTCATCTCACCGCGCAGACATGGCGCCATTCTCGCTCCGTTGTACTTTTCATCGAGACTCTGCAGCTTGTGTGCTTGCTGGCCTTGTCCTCTCGATCATACTGACTCTGATCGCCTTTGTTCCCATCTCTCACCGCGCCCCAGCTCCCGTGGCCGCCGTGCTGCTCATCCAGCACTATGTATCCCATGGACGGAGCATGTCTCTCGCGACGAACAGGCTCTCGTCTATCGGTGGTAGCAGCAAAGTCCAAGAGAGCTCCCTCGTTGATATGCGTGCCTACCTGGAGAGACGCTTCCCGTGAGTGGACTCTGCTGCGTTGTCGGGGTGTACAAGAGGAGGGGTTGCTCTCTGCTTCGACTGACCCTGGGCACGCTCTTCGGATAACCAGATCAGGCCCTGTCGTCCAGCACATGCTCGCTCAACTCGATCGATCCCATGGAAACTGGTCGCAGCAGGTGCCGGTAACTGCTGCACTCGCCCACCAGCATCCTGGCTTCCAACTGCTCCGGATCGAGTATGCCGTGTCGCTGGTCATCGAAGGCAACTGGGCCGGAGCCGCAGACATTCTCTCGAGGCTGTGGCGTCAGAGCCATCAACCTCAGCCATCGGCGGCATCCACGCATACAGAGTCGATAGGCTTCGTTGATACATGGCTACTCGTCGGCATCCTGTTATGTGGCTGCCTGTCTATCACCGAGCTGCTCCAGGACAGTCCCAACGACCGAGGATCAGACCACGAGGGCAGCCTGGAGCGGCCGAGCCTCGCAGTGGCCTCCAGGCTGTCGGAGCAATCGCGGGCACTTCAAGGCACTCACCGGTCCCTCAACAACACTCCAGGACGGAGCTATCGGCTGCAGGTACGGCCCGATGGACTTGCACGGTGTGAAGAGAGCTCATCCCATCAACCCCAAGAAAGCAAATGCTTTGTTCTCTCGATGTGCTCCTCTGTCTGTATCGGCATACTGACTCGGTTTGTCGACTTCCGCTTGCATGGGCTCCGCCAGTGCTTGCAGCACCTCCTGCAGATCACAAGACAGATTGAAAACGAGGCCAAGATTCGCACCGTTTCGCCACTGTGGCTGTTTCTGACACTTTACCTCCGACGAGACCTCGAGTACGCCTGTTCAGATCCATCTCGGTCGCCGGCAACCCAAGCACTCTATGCAGCCGTTAGTCGCCTCAGCACCAAAGCGCGCGATGCTGCTTCTTCGTCAGGCAGTCTGGAGTTTGTCGCAATGCACGAAATTATCTGGTCGCTTGTGCGCGGCGCCATCGCCAAGTACAGCATTCTGCCTTTCACAATCGCTCAAATGGCACTGGACCCCATCGTGAACGCATCCTCACCCGCGATCCAGAGTGGCATTTCGCCGGCTCAGGCAGACAAGCCATCAGCTCAGATAGGCGGCAGGTCACCGGTACTCACCGGACGTCCACCAACCCAAATCCAGCAAACTCTCCAACGTGAGGCTGTGGAGTATCTCAGCAAGTGCGCCGAGCGCCAAACGCTGCCCACACGAACCGCTGCCAAACCTGACCCACTTGTCACCATGGCGGCGCTCTTTGCTGAGTTTGAGCTGGGCGAGTATCTCTGTCTCATGGGACAGCGCGCCAACGGGGTCTTGCGGCTGCGGGCGTGCTTGAACTCCCGCCTGGTCAGCAAGGATACCCCGCTGATTGTCCTGCACCGGAGCGGACTGCCCGAATGCGTCATCCACGATCTTCGGCAGCGCTGTGAGCAAGCGATTGCCAAACACAGTGAACCCCATACTTTGCCGACGACCGACACGGCAGCCCGTCCGCATGGCCATCGCCCGAGCTGAGACCCTCAACAGCCTCACAAACCAAACCACGTCGCTCTGGATATCACATACCTCGCCCTCGTTGGCATGCACACAGCAGCAAGCCGCTCGTCCTGCAGGGCCCATCGCTTGCTTGCTTGCTTGCTTGCACAACCGCGGTCCTCGTCAAGAACAGCACATCGTGATGCATTCTGTTTAGTCTCATCATTCCGGCCACGTCGGCCAACTGCTTCCTTGTTTGTCATTGCTGTTGTTTTTGGCCTGCTACTGCTATTTTGCTCCTCATAGCCTGTGCTAGCGCTGCACTGATTCACATCGCGAATGTCCCCGTCAGAAGCTCCTCGTTCAGTCTTCAGGCTGTTCCAAAACCTGTCCTTGTCCAGCTGAAAAGAAAAAATCCAACCGACAGTGTCGTGCTCTCATACTGGATATCACGACGTATATTCTCCCGCTGATCCATCGCCTTGAATACAGCCATGTCTGTCTCCGTCTTTCCGCTTCACAGCACACCATCGCAACCTCGAGGATGCCATATATTCCAACGGACACGATGTAATTGTCAGCATAATAGTCGGTGTGGCATCAGCATGACGTTGGCGCTTGTGTCTCGAATGCGGTAAGGGGGATTGGTTATCCGGCCACATTCGGTCATCAGGTGATTGATCTCAAAACAGAAGAAGTTATCTCCCGTTTTATTGTGCAAGCGGATTAACCTCCCTGCCCAAAGCAGGCCATATATGGAGGATAATTGCCTTATCTAACTGGCAAACACATAGCAGTATAGGCATAGACGACAAGCGGCATAAAGAAGACACAGGGCTGTGAGGATAGAAGGGGTGGGCGACAAAGGCACCAAGAGCGGGTGTGGGAGTGGATGGGTGGGTGGACAGTAGAATCGTAGCGGGAAAGAGAGGAATCATAGCGGGACTGCAACACAGGCCAGAGCCAGGCAAACACCCTCGCTCAATGGCTTTTACCACTCTCGTCCGCGAGAGGGGACCCCGAGAGCTACAGAGCGGATGTGGCTGGTGTGTTTGCTTTACCAGCGGCCCTCAAGAACGGGGGCGACGTGGCCGAGCTTCTGGATGTAGGCGCCGAGGACATCGGCCATGACGTTGCCCAGAACAAAGTCCTTGATGCCGGGGACGATGATGCGGTCACCGCCGGTGATCATAAAGTCGTTGCAGACCATCTTGTAGGTCTTGGTGTCGTCAAGGTCGACAAAGCCAGCGTCAGTCTTGACCTGGAGGGTGAGGACGCGCTGGTAGGCTGGAAACGTGGATGGTGGTTGATGATAAGTGGGCGGTGATTGGTGAGCAGCAAGCAGTGAACCGGCCAACCATCCGCGGCCCAACGGGATAGGGCAGATCAGAAAGAACCAGGCAAACCTGCCGCCTCATCGACAGCCCCATCGACACTCACTCGCCCCACAGCTAGCACATTCACTTACGAGGGCGGGTCGAGTCGTGGGTGGACTTGATGCCGGCCCACTGGGGAGGGCTGATCATGACGTCGTTGGCGGGAGCGAGGCCGCTGTTGACATCGGTCTGGGTGATGTAGGCGCGCTCGAGCATGTGGCGGATCTGGGCACCGGTGTAGTCAAAGTTGACCAGGACGTTGCCAAAGGGCAGGACGGTCAGGACGGTCGAGTAGGTGACCTTGCCGGCAGGGATCGAGGCACGGAGGCCACCGGCGTTGGTGATGGCAATGGAGACGCCCTGGTCCTTGACGCTGTCGAGCATCGAGTCGGCAACAAGGTCGCCAAGGGAGCACTCGCCGTTGTAGCAGCCGGTCTGGGTGAAGTCGCCATCGGCAACGCCAAAGACAGTCGAGGTGAAAACGTTGAAGGCCTTGGTCCAGTCGGCAACCTTGCCGGCGAGCTCCTTGTCGACGGGCAGGTCCTGGGTGAGGTAGATGGGATCACCGACGAGGGAGACGAGGTGGTCGTTGTCGTCCCACTCGATGTCGATCTTGCCGAGATAGTCACCCTGGATGGATCAAGCGAGAAAGCAGTGCAGTCGGGTCAGGTCAGGTCAGGCCAGGTCAGCCTTAGCCACGGAAAGCTGGCCGTCGATGCGGCCAATCGAGTTGCCACATGCAGTCTTGGGTCCGAGGACTCACGTAGCGATGGGCCTGGACGACGAAAGTGTCATCGCCGTTGAGGTTGGTAACGCGGCTGGGGTAGGCACCCTCGACGCCAGGGAGCGAGAGGTTCTTGAGGAGGAGCGAGTGCGAGTGACCACCGACGATCAGGTTGATGCCGTGGGTCCTAGTGTCACGGGAGAGTAGTGGTGTCAGATGGGTTGGTCGTCAGTCGAACAGATCACGTAGCGAAGAGGGTAGACCTGGTGGCTGACGACCGTTGGTGGTTGGATTAAATGAGGTAGAGCTGGCTAGCAGCGATACCTACTGGGAAGCGAGCCACTTGTCATCGGCATATCCGTTCTGTGGCACGGTGCGGACAGAGACATGGCATGAGTGAGTCATCTGCCAACAATGCACAGGCGATTGCAGCCGTCAACCCGACAGGCCCCTGCGCCACACATACGTGGGAGACGCAAATGATGCGGTTGATGCCCTGGGCGTGGAGCTGATCAACGACGGCCTGGACAGGCTTGACAGGGTCGGGGAAGTCGATGCCGAGGTTGTTGGTGATGGAGGCAGTGGTGTTGGTGATGAAGCCTGGCGGTATTGGTGCAGGACGGCGGTGCGGTTGTTGCAACCAAAGTTAGCGAAGGCAAATGTGCATGAAGACACGAGCCTATCGGTTTTGGGTGTTTATCCACCCCATCAACATCCAGAATACTCACCGATGACGCCGAGGTTGTACTTCTTGATGATCGTGTAGGGAACAACACCAGCAGCCTTGAGGTACTTGGCCTGGTCGAGGTTGGTGTTGGCCGAGACGACGGGGAAGGTGAGGTTCTTGAAGAACTCGGCGGCGTACTGCTCTCCACGGTCAAACTCGTGGTTGCCGATGGTCATGACGTCGTACTTCATCGAGTTCATGACCTCGGCGGACTTGGAGCCACCAAAGACGGTGAAGAACAGAGTGCCCTGGAACTGGGTGCGGCAAAAGTATAGGAGACGAGAGTCAGCACCAACCCGACATCCCGGACGAGCCTGCAGAGCTTGCAGAGCTTGCAGAGCATGTGATGTGTATGCGTGCTTGGCCAAACGGAAACGGGTTTGAGGCTCACCTGGTCACCGGCATCAAAGAGGAGCGTGTGCGAGTTGTTGGCACGGATGTCATCGACGGTGCGCTTGATACGAGCGACACCACCGACACAGCGGTCGGGAGCGGTCAGAGCACCGGTGGTGGCTGGCAGGCGGTTGAAGAAACGAGTCAGTGCGCATGTCAGTGGCAGACTCGCTGCGCGGGCCCACTTTCCTTGACAAAGTCCGGGCAGATGAGAGTGCGAGGGTGCAGATGTGCGGAATAAAGCTCTTGCAGGATCCTCCCACTCGCCATTGGGGGTTCTCACGGCGGAGCAGACAGGACACTCAGACAGGACACTCAGACAGGACACTCACCATTGCGGGCACAGTCGCTTCCGTACTTGTTGTCGAACTGGTCCAGACGGGCGTGGATGTCGTTGGTGTGGAGGATGGTGACCTTCTTGGGGTAGGCGACCGGGGTGGCAGAAGGGGTGGCAGAGGCGCTGACAGTGGCAGAGGTTTGGGGAACGCACTGGCGGAAACAGAAATGTGAGAAAGCGCGACGGTCGGCTGCTGGTACCAGGCCGGGCTTGCGAAAGCGATCTGGCAGAGGTGCCAGGCAGGAGGTGCCCGGCAGATCCCCAGACAGTACTGGCAATCATTCACACCTTATGGGGGGCGTAGGTGTCGTCGCGCTTGTAGATGACAAAGGGGGCCGAGAGGGCGCTGGAGGCGAGGGCCAGGGTGGCCAGCAGAGTGAACTTCATCGTGGCAGAGACGAGATGGGCAGGGAGACCGGCGTCCTGGGCAGTTCTCGACAGAGTCTGCGGACAGGAGCCGGGGGCAGCGGCAGTACTTATAATCCCCGCAAGCTCAAGCTCAGGGCGGGTGGGCAAGGACATGGCCAAACTCGCCGGCCCACGGCGCTCGTGCTCTCGGATGGAATTTCTGCGCGCCCTTTCTCTGGCAACAGCACAGTCAGCGCTGCAGCCGCGCAGCCAAGCACAAAAGAGCAAATCTGTCGCGGGCCATCGGCGCTCATGGCAAGCCCCCCCTTGCTGGTCGCCGGCATGCTGGTGGTGGTGGGGATGTGCATGTTGAGGGGGTCGATCTGGGCAAGGAAGCATCGGCTGAAGGACAGCGAGGCGCGCGACAGCAAGGATGGATTCCGATGCACGCGCCCCATCCAGCACTTTGGCGGTGAGTGCATGCCACCCGGCTGGGTTGGGCTGTGTCTTGGAGTGCAAGGAGAGCGCAGGGAGAGCGCCGCCAGAGGACAGAGCACGCGGCGTTATGCGGGTGGGGCTGGGCCGTGGGGAGGGCGGCTGTGTCGCAGATGTACACTTTGGCGATGGACGACTGTGTGATGGACGACCGTGTGAACGCACGCATGGGCCAGCGGGGGCAGCCGATCCAGCGCACGCCAGGGCCGTCGCACGTCGCTCTGTGCGCTGGCTGTGCTGTATCTGTATGCCAGCCAAGATTGGCACGGGTGTGTCGACCGGTGTCTTGCTTCTTTGCCCAGGAGGATGCTCTTCCCCACTGCGTGCCCTGGGGCATGCGCTGCTCATCCTCTTGCCAGAAACCTCGCTTGCTACAGAGAATGCTGCAAGGCGTGTTGCATCTGATTGCATTCGATTGCATCTGATTGCACCTGCTGCATCCGCTGCCTGGGCATGCCTGCAGCAAGTCCCTGGAAAATCCAAATGGGCCTGGCGGATGAGGGTCCCAGGGACAATCGGGGCAGCGGTCGGCACTCAAGCATAGCTCTGGCCCTCGTCGGTGATGACGTTGATGAACTTCTCGACCTTATCGATGTCCTGTCGGGCCATCTCGGTCATCATCAAGAGCTTCTTGATGCCAATCGACAGCTTGTTGGCCAAGCCGGCCCTGGTCAGGCTCTGGAGTGCCTGGTTTCGCTCCGCATCGGAGAACAGCTCGAGTTCCTGCTCGTGGGCATGGCAATGGAGCCAGCACGATTGTATGGACACAATAATCAGTCGGGGATGCATGTGCTTTGATTCTCACTGCTGCCCAGAGATGCATCTCCAACAGAGCCGCGACTCGGTCCCGCCATCTCGCTCTCCTCCCGCATCAGCCGAGGTCGGTCGTTCAGCGGAAAGACAGACGTACCTTGAGAATCACGTCAACAGAGCTCAGATCCGTCACGTTCGACACATAGATCTGGGAGTTGAAGGCGTCGACCATGTCCATCTGCTCCAGAACATGTCGCTGCGAAGTCGTGCCGAGAATCAGGAGGCGGCGGTTGCTCGGCGGCTGCTTCTTGAGGAGAACCAGGAGGGTCTGCAGGACGGTGTTGGAGAAGCGGGGTCCGATGGGCACCCAGTCTGGCGGTTTGGAGCATCGCGGTGCACCGAGTTAGGACAGAGTGCTGGCTGCCATTCGATCTGGTGGCCAAGAGGGCCGAAGCTCTGTGGGTGAATTCCGCGGCAGCCCAAACACAATCCGCCATGCACGATGCACGATGCAAAACACGCCTACCCAGCAGACGCTCGATCGCATCAATCACGATGATACTGAGCGGCGACTTGTATGCATCATCAAACACCTGTTGTGTCGCCCATCGGATGCCGCCATCCAGAAGAAATCACCGCCGTATGTCAGGGAACCACCACGACAGTAGCAGCAGTAGCGACAGCAGCAGTGCTGGCACGAGAAAGCATACCTTGGTGATGTAGTTGTTCTTTGCGTTTTCCGAATACCCAACGAGCTGCTCTGGTGAAATCAACTTGATCAGGGGGTACTCGCTCGCCATCGCAATGGATGCTGCCAGCGCGGTCTTGCCGCTTCCCGACGGACCTATCGATCAAAGAGCCAGAGAGCATCGAGTCAGATGAGATTGGCACACGACTACACGGCATAGAGCTGGGTGTGCACCCTCACAGCGCTTGTTCTGATGTTGATTGTCCAGATGAAGCAGCTCAAAGCCATGGGCCCACACGCCTGCTTCGAGCATAACCAGTGGCGTAAGCAGCAAGCGTGGCATACCGTGCAGGAGCACGCTGACAAGAGGTGTGCGCGCGCTGTTGCGGACTTGCTCGACGAAAAGAGCGCCGTCCGACAGGATTCGCTAAAACGCATTCAATGATTCAGTGGTTCAGCTGTCAGAATATGGGCCTTCTGAGCATCGCCAAGCCATGCGCCTCCTCTCTCGCCGATCTTGACAGCGGCTGCATCGACCACCTACTGAGACATTGGTGTTGAACTTGATGATGCCGTTCTGGATGCAGGTCTGGAACTCAGCCTCAGACACACCAAACGAGGCGTGGACCTCATCCAGGGCACGCAGGAAATCGGCGCGATTGACTTTCATGTTCTCGTAGTCTTGGCTAACATGGGCCATGTTGTCAACCTTGACGTGTCGGCTGAAGGCAAATGAGGTTGCGCTCTTGATCAAGCCCGCTATCTCGGCACCACTAAAGTTCTTGGACAGGTTGGCCAGCTCGTTGAGATCCACGTCGCCATCCAGCACGTTGTTATTGGTCATCTGTTGAGGATATGCGCGAGTGTATAGGGAATCAGGACTCGTGCTTCGGGTTGAGGCGAGCGAGCATCGTGGCTCTGGTGCTATCATTGCACAGACTAGAAGACCGGCTGGACAAAGAGCAATAGAGCAGCCAGCCAGATGCTAGAAGCTTGATACACAGCCACACCCATCCACTTACCTTGGTAGTATGGATTTTGAGGATCTGCAATCGACCCTTTTCGTCAGGCAGTCCGATCTCTGTGTGAATCTCGAGGCGACCTGGAGGCGCGACGTAGTTCCCACACAACCGCCACGGTAGCATCGGGCAGCGGATGGGGAGGATAAAATGCTCAGCACAAAAGACAGGAGCTGCGACAGGCAAGTTGCATGGCTGGTGCAAAGGGCAGCTGCGCTGTCCAAACGTCGCTTTGGCTTACCGGGACGAAGGAGAGCTTCATCGATCATGTCTTTACGGTTGGTCATGCCGATGATCAGGATGTTGTTAAGCTGGTCGACACCATCCATCTGCGGCGCCGATGCGGCATGCTCGTTAGTGCCGATATCAGTAAGTCTGTCTGGTGCTGCGACCAGTGGGCAGGTTTGGTTCGCTTCGTGCAGCCTCGTACCTTGGAAAGCAGCTGGTTCACAATCGAGTCGCCGACGCCGGTTCCATCGTTCTTGGAGCCACGTTGCTTGCAGATTGCATCTAATTCGTCAAAGATGATGATGTGTAGCGAGCTTTCTTCGCCTCGTTGCTTGTACTGCAGAGCCATGAGTCCAATCCGGGTGAGTGAGCACTATCGCCACTGGAGCCGGCGTGTTGTTCCGATTGGCTGACCATGAGTTGGTGGGCGACACTTACCTCCTTCTCGGCATCGGCAAAGAGCTTGCGGACGTTCTCTTCGGATTCGCCAACGAACTTGCTGAGGACTTCTGGGCCGTTCACAATCTTGGGCTCACGGGCGTTGAGCATCTTTCCGATCTGGCGGGCAATCAGGGTTTTACCGGTACCGGGTGGTCCGTAGAGCAGGATGCCCTTGACGTGCTGGATGCCGAGCTTCTCGACGATATGGGGCGGGAAGATGCGCGAGGCAAAGGCACGTCGGAAGATGTTGGCAAACTCCTTATCGAGACCACCGATACCCATATCTTCGAACTTGAAATCAGGCTGAATCAGCATATTGGCCGGGGCACTGGTAGATAGGAGAGAGTCAAAGGGGAGAGAGAGGACGAGCACGGATGGCCGTTAGCATGCTTGTGTACTGCCCGCTGCTGCTTGATCGACAGCAATACGGACAACAGCCATCAGCTCGTCCAACGCACCGGGTCTGTGCTCCTTTGAGCATAATGGTCGAGTCCGAGGCTTTAGTCCAGGCGACGGATGAGTTGTCCATGAGAATACCACGCATGATTTCCTGGCTTTGCTGCGTCTGACCGCCGCCTTTCTTGAGGGCCTCAAAGTTGACGACATCCAGTGAAATAACCGTCGCAATGAGGTTCATTCCATGAAAGTCGAAGATGAGCGACTGTGTCCAGAGGTCACACGATGGAAGTGGAGGGTTAGTTGGCGGGGCAGCACACACAGCAGGAGGGGAACTGGGATCTGACCGAGCATACGCCGATGGCGATATCCTACTCCGACGCTTGTCGAGTGCACACACACGCTGCAATCTAGTGTCATCCAAGGGAATTTACCTGACCACGGGTGAAATAGTGCTGGCTGAAATTCTGGGACACCAAACAACGGCGTCGTTAAACGGGTACGAGTCAGGATATGATGCAAGACAACTCGACCGCATCGGTAGCGAGGGATGTGGTTCACAGTGGTGCATTCCGGAGAGCAGAGACTCACTCGGATAAAGATTGACTGGAGCTCGTTGGTATCGAATGCTTCCTTCAGCTGGAGCCCCTTTTTGAAGAGCGAGACCTGCGAGCAAAGTCGAGGCCTGGGTTATCGATCGCCTCATATGCCGATCTTGAGTGAGCGGCACCGCGTTTGCGCTCTTGTTTGGCTCTGGTTGCGGCTGGCTGAGATATCAGCGCAAAACATACCTCGAGGGTGATTGTTCCGATATAGCAGTTGAGGTTCTCTGCGAAGGGGTTGTAGGCAAACGCCCGAACCTCCTGTGCGAGGGAAAGGAAGGCAAACTTGCGGTGGAACAGGGTCGTTCCAAGTTCTCCAGCGGGGAAGCCATCCACCACCCTGATGACCCATTATCGTCGGTGAGGAGATGCAGATTGTTCGGCGGGATCGACGGAGCAGAAGCCGTTATTGATGGTATGTTGATATGGCGACCATCGCAGGACGCCAGTCGTCCCAGCACAGCAGCGTTATGGCCGACCACAACCAGGAGAATTGCAATTCACAAATAAAGCAGACAGACCGAGGATGTTAGACGCTTCCGAAACCAGATTCGGGGAAACCGCTGGGTGAAGGGTTATCTCTCGTCATCGTCGCTAGACGAATGGCCGCTTGGTGCTCGATGATACCAACTCTTATCGAGTCGATCGAGAGGGCCCAGACTCCATGTAGCGTGGCAGCGGACAACTCGCAGCGAAGCGGGACACCATCGCTGCACCGATGCACACCGTTGCTCGGAAGATTATATTACTTTAGTGTGAAGACAAAGTTTCCTCGGTCGCCAAGGTCGATCAGGAGATACTTGCTGTTGGGATGGAAGTCGCGGGGGCTCGCGATGATGCAGTTTGTCAGCGCAAGTGCATCGCTGGGCGATTTGTTGATCTTCAGGATTCTTGGAGGGCCGTCGGTCATGGTTGCTCGGAGCCGGGCAGCGGCGGGTGGCAATAGGACAGGCGGGGATCCGGCCGATGCAGGCGAGTGATGCTGGGGCGAGCAAGTTCGAAACAGCCAGGCTCGTTCGACAACAAATGGCAAGGGCCTGGCAAAGCCACCAACAGCGGCGCGTCCACGTGGCGTGCGCTGCGCTCGGTTGCCACGGCTGGAACGAACGACGGGGCTGTTGATTGCGCATGGTTGGGCCGTCGAGTATGCAGTCGTGAGGGATGGTGAGCCAGCCGGGCGAACAATGACGGCGGTCGCATCAGTCGAGAGCCTGTATTTGGGTCTGCGCAAACAGGGCGGCGCAGAGGAAGCAGAGCCGTCAGACCGTGAGCGAGCGATTGTGGCAGCAGCAGACCACTCCAGTCCAGTCCTGAAGGCAGCGGGCTCGAGTTCCCAGACGCAGTGCTCGGCAAATCAGGCTCACCAAGACCGTGTCTCTGAGGACTCGGTAGCGTTGCTTGATCGTTGCCACATCTTGCTGCTCCCCAGCTTCGAGATTCTCCAGCCGCTTGCACAGAGCCGCAAGACGGTCTTCCTGGCAGCACTTTCGGTTCTGTTGCGTGTCGATTTCATGAATACTGGATGCAGGCTCCATCAAGCCTTATCCATAGTCAGCCAAGGGTGGGACCAAACACCTACCGATTGTGAGTCAGACCTTGCTTGGCTGTCCCATCCGCTCTCCATGAAGAAATGCATGGCCGACGGAGAGTCGCGCGGAGAGAATGGAGCCGTCCAGATGCGCTGGATCATCGCGGGAAACTCATCCAGTTCCAAGCTACGACGAAGGATCCGAATACTATGTTGCGTGGTGGCCTCTGAAAGTGAGGCAGTCTTTGAAGAGTATGTGCCCCAGCTGTCCTGAGGGTCTAACAGACATCCGCTGAGACTACCGTACACATTGACCGGCGGGCTCAATGGACTGCGTTTCCACCACGAGCCATATCCACTTCGCCCCATACCTGTATTGGTCCAAACTGCTTCATAGAGAGTGTGAGCCGGAGCATCGCCCGAACCAACACGCACTGTCGGTCGAGGGGCGACACCTTGTTGCTCAAGGAATCGCAGCAGCTGAGCGACACTGAAGTGCAGGGAAGGGACTCGGAGATCGATGTGTCGGACCGGACCGGCTATTTGCTCCGTCTGCCAGCTGGGCAAGGTCCACTCGTGTGCGTAAACCCGGATGACATTCTCGGCAGAACGCATTGCCAAAGATGAGTAATGAAGTAATAGTGGCAACGGAGCAAACGTGTGCCACTCTCTGGCCATTCCACGGACTGACCGAATGTGTGACTCAGAATGGCCGCTCCAACGGCAAATAGCAAACCCGGGTGAGTCGCTGGCACAAGAGCTTCGAGATGGTCCGTGAACCAAGTCGCTCGATTCGCTGTTGCGCCAAACCCCTTCTCTGCACACACACGATAGTAAGCCACTGGGCAAGTAGCTATATTTGGCCGGTTCGCCTTCGCGAAAGTGAGTCAGCACCAAATCCTCACAGCAGACCCTCCATATCCTTCATGAAGGCATCATAATCGTCGGGCTTGGAGGACTCTCTGACCTTGCGAATCGATTGGAGGGATCCGCTAAGTGCGTCGACCAGAGATTGCGGTCGCTTGACCTCGGGTCCGCGCTCCTCGTCGAGGTCGGGTGCAGCATTCACTTGCGGCTTGCCCATTGCCGGGAGACTGGCGCTTGGCTTGAGTGCAGCGCTGGTCTTTGATTTGCGCAGAAGAGACGGTGGGACGAGCGATGTGAGCTCCTTTTGAAAGTCTCGTACTTGTGGTGCGGCCGAGATAACGGTGCCAGGGGCCGGAGCTGGCCGTGGTGTCGGCGGCAGTTGTGGAGGTCGCTGAGCCAATGTTTGTGCACTGATAGTGACTTCCTTCATTGGGCGAATGGGACCCTGTGAAGGAGGTCGTCGGGAAGAGCCCGGGACGTTGAGGGGCAGAGGATATGGTCTCGGTGGATATGCATTGAACGCTGGAGGGTATGGCAGCATCCCTGGAGGGCCGCCCATATAGGGAGCAGCAACCATTCCGGCTGAGCGCGAGAGTTGGCGTGACAGCAAGACACAGTTGTTAGATAAGAAAGTGAGTAGCCCATTCGGCTATCTTGGATGGAATGTGCAGACCTCACACCGCATCAAGTGCTGCTGATCGAGATACATACGCATTCCCATGTACGGTGGATTCCACTGTGGCATGCCAGGGTGATACATGGGCTGCATCGGCCTCGGAAACGATGGTGCAGGCAATGGGCGGATGGGGCCGGGCGCCATTGGTCGAATCTGACTCGGACCAGCTGCAGCCTGCGCTGGCTTGGAGGCAGACGGCATGTAGTCGGCCTTGTTTCGAATCTCGGGCAGATCCAGGGTATTGAACACATGCGCTTCAACATCGGGAGCAGGTCCTGGGGGGAGAGGGATATCCAAGTCCTCGAAGGTGATGGGTGGCGGCTGTGGCTTTGTCTCCTCGACTGATGTGCATTGCAAAGTGTCAGCTGCAGGCGTTCGTTGCCGTAGATCGATCCCGAGCAGCGCTGCCTCAACATTGCGAGGCCGAGGATGCCATACACCACTGCGAAACAATGCCGAGCCCATACCAACAGGTTCTGGTGCCGATTCTGTTTGTTGCTCGGGCTCAGACTCGGGTTCTTGAAGGGTTGTGACTTGAACTACACCGCCTAGAAAGCCAAAGCGACGCTGTTAATATCAACGCGGAGCGACATGTGAAGCTGGTGCACGGCTTCATGTGCTTGGAAAGGCGAGCCGAGATAGCCGAGCGACACAATGGCTCGATGAATGAATGTCTGCATCCTGATTGACGCGAATGAGATATACGAGTCGGTATGCCACGGAGGACGAGTGACGGATCCTACCATCGGTACGCTCGATATATGGCTTTCCAGGAGGTGGTGTTCCAAACGGGTTCAGAGTCGGATGGTAGTATATCGACTTTGTTGGGTCCCTGGGAGGGGGCTTTGCCGGTGCTTCGGGAACTTTGACCGTCTGGCGAGCGAGCCCGAGTTTCTATACGAGTAGCCGGCGTCAGTGCAATTGCTCCAGGAAGACGAGTCGAACGACGGGCCAACATGCCCACCGATATACCTCTCGTGCCGTCTGGATGGCTTCGAACTCTTCTTCAAGCTCCTTCTTTCGAGCGGTCAGGGACTTGTCCAGAGTGCCATCGCGATCTGTTACGGGGAGACATAGGGTTGAGCCAAGCTCCCAATGGCGCATGGGAGTGCCATTTTCAATCGAGACGGAGCCAGCAGGAGATTGGAGAGTGCTCTGCGCTCTACGCCCTATGCTCTCCTGAGGTACTGGGGATGTGCTTTCGTCTTGCCTTGCTGGAGGAGCGAGCCAAGTTCTTCCTGGAGTTTGCTGCTGTCCTTCTGCGCGGCCGAAACCAATCGTCCTCGCTTCCTGTCTTCCTTGTTCTGAATGCAGCACAGCGCAGAGTGCACATACAGCATATTCAGTGGGGATAGACTGCGAATCACTCTGCCCGTCGCTCTGGACAGGCATGGATATCCTGGCTGTGATCGGGCGTTCCGCCAAACCTGTCCGTTTCTCGAGGGATCAGCGCCCGAATGCTCGCGCCGGACGCACCTTTTTGAGCTCCTTCTTCTTCTGAAGCTTGCGGTAGAGCTGCAGCAAGACACAAGATCAGCGCTCTGCGATCGGAGGGCGGCGCTGGGCGATGCCGCCAGAGCGTTGCCTGTTTCCGGGCACACACACGGCCGCCCAGATCTGGGGCTCGATTTGCAGTTGTGCTGGCAAGCTGCTGGAGCGCCAGCGCAGCACCACATCAAAAACTGCTGCACTGCTACACTGCCGTCTTACGTCCGTCGGGTTGAGTGATTTTGATCCCTTTGCCATCGTCAGCGCTGTTGGCTTCGAGCCCGATCTTGGAGACTGACGCAGCCTCGATCAGGGCCGGTGCGGGCTGGTGCGGGTCGGTGTTTGCCCCAATTATCCGTTGCCGTCACGTGCTCTATGGCTCGATCCGGCTCCAGCCGGCTGGGCGGCGCGCCGGAGATTTCGCGGCTCAGCGATTCCCACGCGTCCAGGCCGGGCGAGATCCTCCATCCTCTGGTCCAAGGGCAACACCGAGAGCGCCGCCGCAGAGACCCTGACCCGGAGAGCACGAGGGGACCTGTCTCTCTTTCTCTCTGCCCCTTTGTCGGTTCTTTGGAGTGCCATCGGCCGCACATTGCCCACATCCGTGCTGCCGTGCCATCCACCACCATCTCGCCAGTCCTTCCTCCCACGACCCTCATCGGCATCACCGTCGTCCCGCCGCTGCCATTGCGTCCGCGGCAACCAAGTCCAGCGCGTGAGCTGCGGTCTGCTATTAGTGGCATACGGAAGAAGCGATAGTGCTTCTGCAAAACCCAGTGTCACTTCTGCTTGTATCGCTGTACCTCTATATCTGCGTGCCTGTGCTGCTGCAAACCAAGTGGGTGCATGCCCCCAAAGCTGGTTCTGGATAGGTAAGTCCCGGACGTCGCGTCTCTTTGGGCTTCTTTTCGTGTCTTCACCCAGTAACCACGGCTGCGTGCCCCCGTCCGGAGTACTCTCCGCTAGACCTGCTCTGGGTGTATCCGGGAGCACTTTTGAACTCGATGACTGCATTTGTGTCTGGTGGGAGCCAGCATGCATCTTCATGTCTCCTTGCGCCGTCCGCTGCACTGTTGGCTGCGTTGTTGGCTTTAGTGCGCTTGCGCACTGCCCGCGTCCGCCATGGCGCAAGTTTAACGACTCGCTATTGCTGGGGCTGACGACTGCCTCTGTCCCTTCCGTCGCTACTCTCTGCACACGCGCGCAATCACAACTACTCGTGTCGCATGGCTCGGCCGCCGACTGCACTATTCCATGCGATTTGCCCAACCCCACCATCGAACACTCGCCGCCGGCTCACCGCATCAAGACTCTCACGGAAAAAAAACTACCCTCCGCTTGACATTGTGACTTCTTCGAGCCCCGGAGAGCTCCCAAACGTCCCGCTTATCTCATCGCCACTCAGCGCTCCACTTCCGGCCCGACTAATTCATATCTCCCATCACCAAAGCATCGAGTCGATCGACGGGAAGAGCCGCCTATCGACCAGCTCAGCTGCCAGGGTAACTCCTATTCGCCACCATACGATCTCTCCGGAACACCGCACGTCCTCCAACCGCGCTTCTCGCAGCAGCACCAGCCATATTTCAAGAACAATGTCGCTTCGCGATCGCCCCGCGGTGTGGACAAAGTCGACCACGCGTCAGATCAACTACCCCTCGTCACATATCCTCCACGACAACTCTGGCACTACGCCGCCCGGGACCACTCCACCAGGACCGCTCGCAGCGCCTCATGGCCAGGGAGTCGTGACCACGAGCGGGCCTCTTATCCGCTCCTCGCTGTCGAGATCGGCGACCAAGCAGGGCGCCAGCATCGTTGATGTGAACGACAGCGGGCTCTCCGTGAACCTGATCGGCAGGAAGTTCAGCCACTCGCACATATCACAGCGCGCGGGTGCAAACCAGTCCGCCGACGGCGCCTCGATATACTCAAAATGGGATGAGCGCGGAGGGCGGGAGCACAACCTCCGTGGCCCGGTGATGCTCCAGATGTGTGTCCACTACATGTTTTTCTTGCCCGTGCTTGGGGTGGCCTCGGTCAATTGGGCACGGCAGATCCGCCTGTTCATGTGCGTATTTTACTTTTGCGCCTGCTTCTTTGTGCTGCAAATCTCGAGGCTCTCGTACAAGCGCAACCCAAACTCGGTAACGCCCCTCTATCTATCCCTGCCGCCACTGGTGCTGCTGCTCTTCATTTCTCGCGAAGCACACATGATCACGATGGTGCTGTGGTACGTCTCCTTTTTGATCATCTACCTCCAGTCCGGACACAACGAACTCCAAAAGCACCTGATCTACTACTCGGTCTTCTTTGTCGTGGCGTACTGCCTGAGCGTCGTCGGCATGAACTTTTTCTACGTCAACGGATGCTCCTCGGCATTTTGCGGCGTGGGTCTCAATCCCACGATTTCGGTTCCGCAGGAGGGCGTGCTCGCTGCCGCAACCGTCATGGTCGTGGGATGCTTTGTGATGCTCGAGCGGTTCGTTAAGATGAACGCCCAGATGCTCCTGGAGCGCGAGAACCATCTGCAGCAGCTGTACCAGTCCAACATCAATCTCAAACGCCAACTGCGGCGACAAAAGACCGACAAGCAAATCGACCTCGAGTCGCCTCTTGCGCGCGCAGTCCAAATTCTGAAGGAGGTCAAGGAGAACGGCGTCGAGCAGTGGGTTGGCGACGAAATCGATGCCGTCATCACGGTGCTTTCGTCCGACCAGCTCTACAATCCCAATCTCTACCAGAACGCCGGAGACTCGGATGTGCACGACTGGTTGAAGGATATGCTCTTGGCTGACAAGGCCCAGGACACGGCCCACCGCACGGTCTCGAAGCAGTCGTCCGCCGGATCGATGGGCGTCAGCATTCCGCAAATCGTCACCACTGCGACCCTGTCGGCGGATATGCCGTTCTTTGAGATGTACGAGCAGAACGTCAACAACATCAACTTTGACGTTGAGCAGCTCGAGACGGCTTCGGGACAGAGCCTCTACTACATAGCCTGGAGCATCTTTCGCCAGCACGGGTTCTTTGAGCAGTTCAATATCCCGGAGCCCATCTTTCTGCGCTGGCTCAAGAAAGTGCAGCACGGGTACCGGGGCACCAACCCGTATCACAACGCCGTGCATGCCTCGGATGTGACGCACTCGATGCACTTTTTCGTCACCCGCGCCAGAATATGGAGTGTCCTCACCCCCGAAGAAAAGCTGGCGTCGATCATTGCGCCAATCATCCACGACTACATGCACCCGGGAGTCAACAACGCCTTTCTGATCACGACCCGCGATGCGCTGACGATGCGATACAACGATCTTTCTGTCCTCGAGAACTTCCACTGCGCATCTGTGCTTGAGTTTACACAGGAGGAGCAGTACAACCTCTTTGTCAACATGACCGTCGACCAGCGGAAGCTCGTTCGCGAGATGGTGATATCGATGGTGTTAGCCACCGATATGGCGGCGCACTTTGAATGGATCGGCAAGTTCAAGAACAAAATGTCTGGATCTGGGTTCAATTTTGAAAACAAGGCCGATCGCAAGATCATGTTGAATATGGCGATAAAGTGTGCCGACGTCAACAATCCGACCAAACCGCTGGAGCAGTCAAAGCGGTGGACCGAGCTGATCATGGAGGAGTTCTTCCGTCAGGGCGACATTGAGCGGTCGCGTGGAATTCCCATATCCATGTTTATGAACCGAGAAACGACCGATATACCCAAGTGCCAGATTGTAAGCCGCAGACACACTCCTGGAACGGCGAAGTGCATGCGATCCGTGTGGATCGGGGTGGAGTGGAAGAGCTGCAGCAGTGGACAGGCCCTGAGCCTCCACCGTGACAAACAGCACCGCATATCGGTGTTGCTCGCGATGCAAAGGCTCAGCTGCTGCGACTGCACCGCCATTCTGCTGACACCTGAATACGCTCCATCCACCCGGTCTCTCTGCAGGGGTTCATCGACTTTATTGCACAGCCGCTGTTTGACGCATGGTACAGCTTCATGCAGGAAGACATTCAGATTCTCATGGATAACATCAAAGGCAACAAAAACTATTGGAAAAACAAGTCCGAGAAGGTGTCTTTTGGGCCCATCAAGCCCACGCCATCCTCAACAGAGAGCCTCAGCAACACTGCAAAGGCGAGTGCGCTAGCTATTCCTCCTGGGTCAAATATCCAGACAAGCGTCTCAACGCAGCAGATTACCAACACCAAGAGCAGTGACTCACTAGCGCGCTGAAGCCCCACATGCCCCCCCCCGTTGCTGTACAGTAACTGCTGAGCGAGAGAGTAAGGCATATCACAAGCGCTGCTGCACTGCAGACCCGAACGCTGCACCGATACAAAGAGCAGAGGCGCGGCTGGCTGTCAGCCTCTACGGTCTCGGTGATGGCGATCAATGTCCCCGACTGGACCAAACGCTGCGTGCATCACCGCCGTCGCGTGTGCTATCAGTTTACAATGGCCACAAAACGGGACACCTGTTTTATAGTTGATCAGCCGCCCATCTTTGGGTGGGAATACACATCCGTCATCCACAATGGCTACCCAGTTCGCAAACGCAGGGCGAGTGATATGGGGCAGATGTCCAGGATCGGCTACGCATCGTCCTGGCCAAACTGTGTGTTAACGATAGCAGCCACTGTTGTGCAATCAATTGAACCGCTCTGCCCCAACTGCATCCACATCAAAACGAGCACGCCATAACTTCTGGTGGTGGAACTGCCTGGAATAGCGAATGAACCTCGGATTTGTATTCCCACCCAAAGAGATGAGCGGTTGATCAGCTATAAAACAGGCGTCCGATTTCATTTTGCGAGCGTTACAATCCCCGCAAAACGGTAACCCACACGAACGCTATGCCTCCTCGTGCTCTTCCTGAATGGCCCGCTGGCCCGTGCTCGTGTAGTTCTCTGTGACCATGTCGTTCAGACCCAAAACCTCATTTTGCTCCCAGGTCCGATCGAAGCTGCCAGAAACAAGTCACGGTTATCATATTGCCACATCGTGAAGACACAATGCTGGTGCAGAGCGCTGGCATAAACAATGCGGGGTGTTTTATCTCCCCGGTGTCGACTGAATCACGCGCTACTTACAACTCGATAGTCATGTTGGGGTCGTCGTCAGGAGCAAAGATGTTTTGCAAGTACTTTAAGGGGAAAGGGTGCCAGAGGAGTGTTAGTGGACTCATTGGCATCCGAGAACGATACAGAGATGGGCAAAGCAGGAGTGTGATATATCCACGCTGCTGAATGTGGATATCGACTTACCGAGTTGTTGAGTGGATCCTCGAGGACCAGGGTGAAGGGAATCTCGAAGTTGATGACCTGTATCGCAATCCAGTACAGTAAGCTCAGGAGCAATATCGCAGCGCGAGCAAAGCATCTCGGCTCGGCATCTCGGTTCAGCATCTCGATTGAGCTACCTTCTTGAGACGTTCGAGGAAGCCCTGGAAGCGCTCGCGGCGATTGGCCTCCGACGAGTCACCATCAATGAAAGGAGTTCTGTTGTCCAGCTCCTCGTGGACCTGGCTGAGCAGACCCTCGATGGTGGTGAACCGACCACCAAGTGTGCCGCTATCGAGTCGGAGGTCGACCTCGGGAATGTACAAGCCGCACGTCTCAGACTGGGGCGGTTTCAATGGTTGAGTGTTGGTCATTCCGTCCCGACATGAAAGGCCCATGGCCGCGACAATAACTGATCAGCGAATGGATGGTCCACTCGACACGGCTGCCCGCAAGCATGGCCACGCCCAGCGGGAACTGCAAGCGATGGCAAATGACAGCATCGATAGCTGTACCTTCAGAATGTCACGGTTAAGGTCCTCGGAGTCAACGAGTTTGAGGGTGATACGCTTGCCCTTTTCGGAGATGGCACCGCCGGCCTTGACTTCGTTGCTCTTGTATCCACAGGCGTCACAGACAGTGGCCATGATGACGACTTCCTTGAAATGGGGAATGTCTGGATACGCATGAAGGAAGGGGTGTGGATCAGGATAGAGTCGACGGTCGTGCCATTCTCGGGGGCTCGGGCAGTATCCGTTGCACGGGATATGGCCACCGGTTCAGCTGTCGACTGGGGCTCTCCGGACTCACCAAGCATGTGCATGTTGGTAGTGCAAGGGGCGTTGCAACGAGAGCAATTGCCCTCGAACTGCATGACCTCTCGAGCGAAATCGTCAACGATATCGGGCTCCTCGACTTGCAGACCAAGCTGTTCGCTTTGCTCGCGGGTGCGGGCGTAGTGCTTGATCTGCAGCGCCGGATCGGGGTTGGGAGCGCATAGGTTTTCGATGTAGCTGTTGCCGGCGGGATCGTCGAGGATGAAGGTGAATGGAGTCTGGCCCTCCCGGAGATCCTGGAGTTTCTCAATGATCGCTTGAATGGCTTCGTAGACGGCAAAGTCCTGGAGCTGTACCAGAGGGGTGGTCGATCGGATGGGTCAAGGTCGAGATCAAGCCAAACCAAGCCACCTGATGCGATCAAATCAAGGGCGACACACAGCCCGTGGATATCCTACCAAGCGCTGGGGTTGATCCTGGCTGAGGCCATCGACAGCACGAGACAAAATGCCCTCGACAGTGCTCAGCACACCACGCTGAGAGTCCGGCGGAATCTCAAAGTCAAGCTCCTCGAACCGCACAGAAGCAGAGTCTGCCTTGACGACCTGGCGGTTAAGATCCTGCAATAGGTCGTAACGGAATCGTCAGGCGGCTGGTCGATCCGCTGTCCGTCGATCGATGGGCGAGTCGGCCGATGGGCCAGCCCATCCACCAGACCTATCGATGGGCCTTGTATCGAAGAAAAACAGCTGGCTGGCAGACTGGCGGACGCATCGCGCAAACCAGCGCGGATAGCGGGAGCCTGGGTGACCAGAGAGCAAGTCGCTGGGGGTTTGGGCAGCGCAATTCGGTGCCGCCTGGCTCCAACTCGGCGAGTGCCAATGAGCACTACAGCAGCGGAAACGTACGTACATCATGGCCGTTGATGCGGCAGGAGAAGGTGCAGCCCTTCTCGGCAACGGCTGAAGCCGATTGGATTTCGCTGTTCTTGAAGTTGCAGTGAGGGCATTCGAATGCCATCAAAATGATATCGCGGAAGTGCGGGATGCTGGTGAGGAGCAGCCGGGTAATGCCGTTCTCGCCACAGTTCATGCAATAGGACTCAATCTCGGTCACGGGATTGTCCGAATTGATGGGATCGAAGAGCGGGTTGTGGCCGACGGCTTGCTGTGGCTCGGTCATGGCGAAGGATATTCCGATACGACAAAGACGAGACGGAGAGGGACGACACTGGGCTTGGGCGATGGACTCGCGGTGGCTGGCTTGGTGTTGCGGCGATCAGGACCAAGATCGAGTCTCGATATATCTCGAGATGCGGCGGAAAAAAAAAAATGGTGGGGTTGCTGGGAACACGAGGCGGGCTGCGGTCTGTCGCTGACGCGTGTGACAGACAGCACCGCCACCGGGCGCGCAGCAGGCCGCCCTGCGACAAGAAGGATCTGGAGCAATCGTGGTGACCGAGCCAGGAGGGACGCCGTGGGAACAGCAGCGTCGGGAGTGTGCCGTGGACTTGTATGTATTGTCCAGGAAGACTCCGTGGAGGTCGATGAGCCTGCTTTGCCACCGGAGGAGCCGCTGCTATTCGCGCCGCCGCTGCCAGGCGGCGCATCCGCGCAGAAACAAGTTGCTCAACGCCCCGATGCTGGTGCCGATTTTGGCCGCGTCTTCCTTTCGGGCTTGGGGCCCTTGCCAGTCTTGTGGTGGATCTCGACGGTGCTTCCCAGGAGCATGGGCCCTATGTCCTTCAGGTGCGCGATGCCATCGGCTCGTAGGTGCGGTCGCGGGTGGGCTTCTCCAGGCGTGCCGGCTGCTTTGGACACCCTTTGGATGTCCATCAGCGGGAGGGCATGTTTGGAGGCGGGTGCGCTCTGCGGACGCAGTCGCTTGGAGCGATTCACCCACGACCTCACATCTCCGAATGCGCTGTGAACTTGTTCACGCGGAGGGGCTGGCAGTACATCCTCCAGACCAGAGTCTTGGTCTGATTTTGGATGGCATGGGTCTGCGCCGTGTCTCTTGCCCTCGCTCGGGTCCATTCCTGCCTTTTCTCCTCTGTGCATGTTACTGTCCGTCCGGTGCGGCAAGGAGAGCTGGTTCTCCGAAGGTCGAGGCGTCCATCGGGCACTGTGCAGGCCAGAGTCGTGCGATCCGAACTTGCTGCTCAACCCTAGCGATGTGGATGGTCTTGGATGATGGACGCCGTAGTCGGAGACACGCCGGGGGGTCTCGGTGGTTGGGCTGAGAGCCTCGCCAGCAATCGATTCGGTGTTGCCGTCTTTGCTCGAGTCCAAAGACCGCTGGCTCCTCGGCATCTGTGGGCTACCGACACTGGGCATCGTGATGGGCCCTTCTCCGTCGCCGGTGACGCCACTGGCAAAGGCAATGATGTTGTTGATCAAGTTCTCACGGGCAGAGATCCGCTTCAGCCACTCATCTCTGTCCTCGGGCCCGACGAGCTGGAATTCGACATCCGCCGAAACGAGCCGTTAGCTCCCACAGCCAACTACCTCCAAGACATGCCATACCCCCACAGTGCCCAATGATTGGTATGGGTTTGGAACGGTCAGCCGCACCTCATCGTCCAAGGGCATTTCGCACTTTTGTGCCTGAATGTCACTCAGACAATCGTAGAGGGTGTTCAGAACTGCGTTCTTCCTGGCCGGAATGGACTCGCTGGAGAAAATGGCGGTCAAACAGGCGTCATCGCGTTGATGCACTGAAGCGCACGCTAGCGACAGCTTGGATATGGCCATGTGGATCGGAATCATGCGCAACGAGTGCAGCTACGCTTCAGATACGGGCTGTTTGAGCAACTTTGCGCCTCAAGGCAGATACTCACGTTGCTCGCCGTTGTTCCATTTTTTCCTTCGACAAAAGCATGCTGCGGAGCCGGTGAATGTCCTGACGACACTTTGCGTGCAGCTGGGCACCTTCGTTGCATGGCTTCTCTATTGTGCCAACAAGGACAAGTATTAGACATGTGCAGACCACATCCGACAGACTGCGATGATGTGCTCTGGCGATGGACTGCGGAGTGCCGGGTTGAATGCGATTGCGGCCAATGACGATAATAGAGCGACTGAGAACGGACCCTGTGACTCCTCGGCTGTGGGAGGATCAGAGACAAGGATGGTCGGAGCGAATACAAGGCTCTTTGGGACCGTAGTCGATGCATTCCACTTGGGCTTGGTAAAGTCGGTGTTTTTGCTGGGAACAAAATAGGCCGACTGCGGGTGAGTGCAAGATGCGGATGCTCGTTGCGATAGAAGCAGTGCGATGGGCTGCCGCCTTGTCTTTGAGCTGGGCTGTACTTCCCAGCAACGGCACGATATTCTGCGCACGTACCACCACTCCTCCCATGTTCCGTTGCTCAAAGCCGAAAATCGACCAGATGCTAAAATAGCTTCAGGATCGACAGCTTGCGCTCCAGACAAGGTCTGCAGCACTTCACATTCTTGCCCGCTCGTGTCCTCGATGTATGGGGGCTGAGACTCGCCCTCGATATGAGGCTCATTTGGGCTCAGCTCAGCTGCAGCACCAGCGTGAAGCGATTCGGAGTCCTCATGATCAGACGGTTCAAGCTCGGCCCGGTCACTTGGAGACAACAGAGAAAATCCAGAGATGCCCTCCGAGTCGGTGGCAAGATTTGTGCTTCGTTTTGTTAGCCTGGCAGATCGACTGCATCCTTCAAGCCAATTGATTTTGTCATCCCGCTGCGCCAATACATCGGACAGCTCTGCGACTTTTTTGTGGAGGGCCTTTACTTGCAGATGACGTTTGGCGATATCTTGGAGGAGGATTTTGTGCTCTGCCACGGCGTTGGACTTGAACAATCGCAGCTCGGTTACCTCGGTCAAAAGCTTCCCTCACATCAAGAGCATCGAGGATGGGGATCAGGGCGAGAAATCAATGTTGAAATGCCACCAGACATGAGAAATGGGTCAGTCGGTACCAAGAAGGATGTATCTCGGTAATATCTTGGCGCTGTGCCAACATCGAGCACTCGAGAGCCCCAGAGGAGGCCAGTGCAAATACCTGGCTGTTCTGAGCGGCCATTCTCGTATTTTCATCTTTCAAGAGACCGTTCTCTCTCGTTAGGGCGAATATTGTTGCGTTGCATCCATCGTGGCAAATCCGCTTCAGGACAAGGAGAGCAATCGATGGCCACAAGCGGATCGATCAGCGACATAACATAGTCACTAACAACAGCGGTTCCACGGCATCATGAGCGGGCCTGGACTCAACTTGGAAACCAAGCCAACCCACCTTTTCGTATTCAGCGACCACGGCGGCTCGGGTGACGTTCCGGACCGTCTCGACATTGCGTTGGTGTAGCTCCATGAGCTGCTTTTGCTTCTCTGGGGGAGCCCGTTTATGGGCGAATGTCCGGTGAGTGCGTGAACCAAACCATTCCTCGTCAAACGCCGCTCGGTTTCACCTATCAAGTAGCGCACAGCAGCCAGAATAGGGACAGTGCAATCTTGTGTCGAATCTCTGATGATCCCCAAACTTGGCAGGCTGCCGCCATCTCAGTAATCAAGAAAGCGATGCCAACTCCCAATCTGCAACGGCTGGACTCGCACAGATCTTGCTCGCCTCCACGACTCCATGGCATACCGTTGTTGTTCTTTTCGATATATGTGTCAATGTCGTCAAGGACTTGGGACAGCTTTTGATGGGCCATTCGCAGCGACAACAGTTTCCCAGACTCTTTGTCGCCTCGGAACACCTTCGAGTTTGGTCGACGTGCATTGATTTCAACCGAAGGGCGGATCACATTCTGGAAGAACGCCCGCAGTCTCCCTGGGCCCATAGTCGTGCTCAGTCGGTCCTGCACAAGAGACTCTGGTTCACCGACTTGGAGACGGGACTCTGGGTTTCGTCCGGCTGTGTCTCCAACCGGCTCCGACACTGAAGAGTCTTTGAGGATCCCATCGACAAGAACGCTGGAGAAACTTGGTCGTTGCGATAAGCCGCGCTTCTGGGTAATGGGACTTGTGGAGCCCTGGCGACTGGCGGTGCTAGGGCGTGGGTGATGTGGGCTTGCGTTTGGGCTGTGTGGCTCGCCATCATGTTCGGCGATCGCCGAGGTGACCAGAGATCGGTCTCCATATCGGGAGGAGCGCATTGTCTCTGAGAAAGAAGATGTTCCGCTTTGGTGGGCCGAGGCTGAAGCCTCGCGAGAGCGGGTCCGGAAATCAACAAAGGCAAGATCAGGCGGTCGCTCGTCTTTCTTTTGTAGCGTTGACATGTCAAAGTTGCTGGTAACGTGCGCCCACGCCTGGAGCTCGTCCATGTTCTCCGATGCCACCAGCACCTGGTCGTAAAACTGGGCTTTCACAACGGCTGTGTCGGGCGTCGTGGGGGTGTTCATGATTTTCGAGGCCTTGACGATGGCCATGAAGCCATCGGAGACTCCGTAGTGGGCCGGAGGCTCCGTTGTCGACCGGCTGACGGACGAGTTGCGGGATGGGGAGTGGCCGGTGACCGAAGGTGATCTCGAGGATATCATATCGACGATGCCGATGAGACTTGGTTTCCGTGATCCGGTCATGCGTGGCGTTTTTGGTATTGGTGTCGACGCTTTGTCAGGCTCGGACTCTGGCGGAGCCTGTGGCTCTTTGGGTTTGGTGCTTGGAGCTGCCATGGAGAACGAACGTGTGAACTGTGTGGGACTTGGGAGGGGCTCATGCGAGGCTGACAACGGTTTGTCGATTGGAGATGGGCCAGGTGTCCCTAACGTTGGGTTGGACACGGATGTTACTGGGCTTGTTGGGACAGAGAGGGCCGAGAAGGTACCTGAAGCCGGTGCAAGCGAGCCTGCCGAAACCGAGTCCGGAATCTGCTTCGGTGCTTCGCTCACAGAAATCCGAGCGGACAGCTGCTGGTCCGAAGCTGCCAACACGGGTACCGATGGAGATAAAGTCGAGGGACTGGCGAGTTTAGCATCTGAGCTCGACGAAGGCAGAAAGTCGAGTGGTACTTTTGACTCGAGAATGGAGGGCGATGTGAGACTCTTGGTGACATGGGGCGTGTGCTGGGCTTTGTGCGAGGTGATGATGGGCGGCGGGCGGGGCCTGGTGGTGTTTGAATCGGATGCCTCTGTCGAGCCGGCGGCCAACCCACTCGTGAGCGAGGAGCGTGGGGACAGTGAAATCGATGCGCCAGCAACGAAGGGCGGCGTCGGCTCCAGCGGATGGGTCGAGCTGGAGATGGAGCTGTTGCTGTTGGACGGGATGGAGCCAGTGCCGACGACAGCAAGAGAGCGAGCCCGACGAGCCCCCGAGACACCCATATCTCGCGTTTGAGGTGGGCCTGGTGCATCGTCTGCAGACGGTATTCCCGCGAACGTCACTGACTTTTGAATAGATTCGACAGGCGGATGGGGCAGCGATGAAGTCGACGAGGATTCGATCACATCGGGGAGGTCACGGTCATTCATCTCGGTTACTAGCGAGCACGGGCCAGGAGGTGGATGTGAGGCAGAAGCGAGGGAGGTGTCTGAGCGGCACAAGCCATCTGGGCTCCTCCTCCCAAGGGCCAGTGATTGGCGAAGGGGCCTTGGCCATGATGCTCCGAGAAGGGCCGCGAGTGATCCATGGGCAGGACCGTGGGAAACGCGGGCCAAGCCGGGGCGGATGATAGGGTTGCGCCGCAGGGCTTGTCGCCAGGGCTTTTCCTAATGCGGCCGGCTGTGTCCGCGGCTCTCGCGTGGCCGCGGCGCCTCCTCGCGAGGCACGGCCAGTCGCCCTCCTGTTCTCTTGCTGCTCGTTTCCTGCTCGCTTGCTGTTCGTCTGCTCGCACCGCTGTCGACGCCGAGCATCCTCCGGCCCACCACCCGACCGCCAACGACAGAACGCATCCCGCGGTGCCCCCCCATTCTGCGGCCCTGTCTGCTTGGTCCTGACCCGCCTGTCACTCCGGGACCCTACGTGTCGCTCCGTCGCTCTCCTCTCGGGCGGCAGTGTTCGCCAGCGTCGAATCGCAGCGCATCGTGTTGCCCATCCGAGCCGGGCTCTACCGACGCTTGCATCCTCCGCATCGCCACGCCAAGCCAAGGCCGCTCTCGCTGCCCTAAAATTTCGGCCCAAGTTGCTCTGGGCTTTGGTCACCCGGATCTTCCACCATGTTCGACACGCTGCTATGCTGCGGCTCATGCTACAACCATGTTACCATGGTCAACAACGTCTTTCCCAGCCAGCCTGGTGAAGAGGGCCCCAAGCCAGCGAGTCTGTCGCTGCTCGTCAACTATGCACAGACAAAACCCCACAAGTTAACCAAAATCGGCGTCTATCTCGAAAAGCGGCTGGCCAAGGACAAACGAAGAGGCAAAACCGGGTGAGTGGAACGCCGATGCAGCGGCTGCAGCCTTCACCGGAGCCGCATCCGGAGCAGCTGTCCAGGAGCCTTGCCTTCCATATCCTTAGCAGTAGCCGGATAGCGTTGGCACACCCGCTCCGTGCCCTCCGCTGCCTCCTCCGCCGTCCTGGAGAAGCATCGGGGCAGTATCTCCATGCGTGGTGCGTCTCGTTGGGATCGATGCTCAAGCGACCGTCTCTTGTCTTGCTGAAACGCATACCGGTCTCCTCTCAGCTACATCAAAGTGACTCTCGCCATCCTCAACAAGCTGCTGGCTGAGTGCCATACCCATCTGAACCTGATTTCAAAGTACACGCTGAGGATCGTCATGGAGATTCTGGACTATCCGGATACCGAGCTGATGTTGGATGCCACGAGCACCGTACGTGTCTGCTCTGGAGCTGTGCTATCGATTGCGTGTCGTGCAGCCAGTCAATCGACTGGGCCGTTCATCCGCTGCAGCCTTCTCGGCCCATTGCTCAGAGCTAGCAGCGACCACTGCGTGCTCTGGATATCTCGGACAATTCGCAACGATGGCGTCACGTCCGATGCGCCTTTTCACACATCCACTCTCCTTATTGCCTTCCACAATGCAGTTTGTGATCTTCAGCGAGTACTACCAGCACGAAATCACCGACCCCGAGTTTGTTCGACTGTACGTGGAGCTTGTTGGCAAGTTCTGCGACAATTGCGAGTGCAACTCCACAGACTCGCTGCTGAATCACAAGTAAGCGTACTTTGCCAACTCTGCGCTTGAGGGTCGTGCTTGCGCATTGATTCCCGTCATTGCACACGGACGCTCGTTAGTGCATCGAGTGCCAAGCTGCGTATGCCAGTGCACGCTGAGCGTGGCTCAGATCAGTGATCAAGCCCCATGCCTTTGACGAATGCGCCGCTGACATGCTTGTTTCGCCTCCGCTGGCATCCATCGATAGAACTCGAATCTCTGGATTGAAGGCCATCCAATCGATCGGATCCAACGACAATTTCCTCAAAGATGCATCGGTCGAGCAGCTGGTCAAGCGCATGATCCCATCCTCCCTGCACAACCTAACCTACACACAATCGAATCGAGATCCCCCTAAGGCCACGTAAGTCTTCTTGCGAGTCGGAGTCTATGGAATGTGCCAATAATCGTCGGCACGGAACATCAACAGCATCCGTCTCTCGATTGAGATACGAGCTTTGTTTAGATCCAAACCGCATCGTGGGGTGTGTTGCCTTGTTCAGCATGCATTTGTCAACGGTTTCTCATCCCGCCTTCTCAATGCGGTAGCATGAATACTGCTATGATGTCGCACTCGCGCGCCTCCGTGATCGATCACCTCTTCAACGACGATGAGCTGCACCAGGTTGCCTCGAGCTTTTTGAAGGAAGTGTTCCGGCGAACAAATGTCAACAACATCAAACTGCTCTCCGACACGGTCTTTGGGTAGGTTGGCGATCTTGCGATATCCCGCATGATGCCATGATATGGAGTGTCCATGATGCAAAATGCCATGCCCATACTATGATGCCCCTTATTTTGTTGTCTGCATTCGCCAGACTTTCCTGCCCGGAAACCTGCCGCATGTTTTCCAAAGAACAGTCGGCATTAGTGGCAATTCGATTGCCACCCCCCACACTTGCTGACGAGACAACGTTGCTGACGAGACAACGTTGCTGATGAGACAACGCGCATATGCTCTCGGTTTTACCACCCAGCTTCTTCTCGGAAAACAAGGCGTGGAAGGCATCCGAGAATGTTATCCGGGCGTTCGAGATCATAACGAGTGCCGTTCCCGTAAGTCAAGCATCGTAGACTGTGTGTGCATCCGCATGGCCCAGGCCATCGTGACGCTCGAAAACCAGCATCTGTATCACAGTCCTCATAACCATCCCTCCACCGCTCTGAAACTCAGGATCAATACCGCCACGTTCTCATGAAGCGGATTCTCGAGCTGCTCAATCATGAGGTTGCTGGAGAAGATGCAGCTCGATCCACGCTCGTCCAGACCTTGACGCTACTGATTGCGGCCGGTGGAAGCTCGGCGGGTCTGTCGCCTATGGAGCTTCTCGAGGCGCTCGTTCGGCACCTGATGCACACAGTCACTGTTGGACACGGCGATTCCGTGACTGAAACCAGGAGCCAGCAGCGTCTGATCGAGGCCATTGCTGCCATGAGCAAAAACATTGCGTATCCCGAGCAGCCCAACGAGATCCTTGTGTATTTGATCAACCGCCTCGCGATCGACCCAGCGGCCCCAACGACCACCACCCCGGACGATCAGCAAAACTGCACGCGACTGGTGCTTTTCAAGACCATGAACTGCTTCTTGGTGGAGCGCATTGAGATGCTGACCAAGCGCGACTCTCCCAGTGGCGGTCTGGGGCAGACACGTCGCCAGTCATTTATCCGCTCTCCCTTCGACATGAATCTCCTTGTGCCACTGCTCAAATTTTACTACGACAATCGCTCAGGTGGGACGCTAATGGGTGGAGCATAGAGCTGGATCGCCCTGACACCGGAAACACTCAACGCTTTCACTGTTGATCGGAGCGCAGCCGATTGACAGCACCTGACTCATCATCATACATTCGATAGATGTGCGACATGGATTTCACAAGTTCATGTATTCGCTGATGACCCTTGAGGGGATCGAGTCTGGGTAGGTTTCCGCCGCCAGCACGCGGCTCACGGCTGTCCTTCCCATCCTCGAGCGCGGAGGTCAAGCAGCTTTTACATCAGCCGTGACTAAACTGTGCTATCGCCCTGTGTAGCTCTGTGTATTCTCCTATCGCCGATCGATTCTGTATCACGCTCTTCCGCACCCTCTACGACTATGCTCAGAATCCATCGAATCTGCCTGCCGACTACGTCGCCATCGGACTGAGCTTTTCCAAATCACTCACGCGCTACTACGGCGAGGCCCTTCTGGGAGTAACCCCTGTGCTCTTCAAGCTCCAGGTGCGCACTTTTGGGCAGGGACGAGTCGATACGTATGCGAGCGCGCTTGAAATCCCAGTGGCAGGCACCATGGAGGCACCATGGGTGTCAAAGTCTGCTTGTCCAGCGCTCTCAAAGCACCGTGAACTTACCGGCAGAGGCCACGATGTCGGTTGCTTGCTGATTCCCTGCTCATCGCGGTTCATCCAGGCATTGCTTCAGCAGGGAGCAATTGAGTTCCCGCGACAGCAGCGCGGCCTCAACAATGTTATCATCGGGGTGTTCTTGCAAGCCGCTAGCATCTTCAAGAACGCAAGTCTTGGCGCATATGTGGAGCAGGTAGGCATTTCGTCATGTGTCCTTTCAGCGGAAGGCCCAGCGAATGTGTCTGATGGATCCAATCGGGGCTTATTTTGTCAGGTTCAGCATGAGCTGTCAACCCACCAGTGGGCTCCCTCGATCGAGATCTCGTTTGAAGCATACGAGTCGCTGCTCGGCAAAACCTTTGAGTATGTATATACGCTCGGATGCGGCGGTCTGATACCCCAGCCGAAGGAACTACGAGCGGGCACATGGTCATCGGGCTGCCTGATCGAAGTGATCCCGGCGAATCGGAAGTGATACGGGTAAACCAGTCATGTTCGGCCACCCTGGCTCACTCCCTACTTGAATTGCAGCGACACCGAAGGTTTGAGCTCGGACTATCTCCAGCCGGTATCGGTCTTCCTTTCCAGAGAACGGGTGATTGATATTTTGAGCAGCGAGCCGCAGCTCAGCATGGTTAGCGATCTGCGGGTCCAACTTGCCATCGAATACAATCCCGAAGAAGTCGAACAAGGTACGGGCGGCATGATGGCTCTCCTCTCCTCGGGCACTTGATGCGTCGTCGCGACAGTCTGCCACGGCTATCGACAGTTTATTCTAACGCAGCGACTTTGACACAGCGCTTGCGGCAGGCGCCTCACGGAAGCGACAGAAGTCTCTTGGGCGGCTAGCTCCCGCAACAACGTTCCTCAACCCCGTACCAGGCACTTCGCCCACTCCCGGCAAGGGCACCTCGCACAAGTCCAGCACCGTACGTATTGCTGGTGGTGCTGCGCGACCGACAGTCCGATACAGCCGCCGACGATACACATGACGACTGCCGTTCTCCTCGACATACTTTAATTACTCACTGTGCATTCTCTTTTCCAGAAGGTGGAATCGTCGCCGATAAAACTCGAGGAGCTCAAGGAGGCTCTCGGTAGGTGGCTTGTGGCGCAAAGTGTAGAAACAGCCAGGCTTGACTGAGTTGGCCGGTGCATCTGTATCGAACGCAGCTGTTGCGCCGATTGCAAGGCGGTAGTCGTCCTAACAGTCCGCTTTGCACCCCCGCCTCCGCCTCGCCAGCCGGACCCAGCAACATTGTTGTGACCAACCCGGCAGCCGAGGCGCGCGACTCGGTCAGCCCGGCGAGCGATCTCGCCACCAGAGTGGGTATCACGAGCAGCGTCAGCGCCGGAAGTGGCTCATTGAGCCGGGCTGTGGCCGATCCCATCAAGGACGTCAAGAATATCCTGGGCTCTATCAAACTCTCCACCGCGTAAGCAGCTTGCCTCGGGCCAGACTTTTGCGCTCCATATGCGGGGTTGATTTAGCTGGCGATAAGGTGTTCCGGAGTAGAGCGCTTCGGTGGATGTTGCTCCATGGATTCGCCTGACACAAATGGGAATTGCCTTTGTTTCGCGAATGACAGCGACAAGTCCTCTGTCCGATCCGAATCGCCGTCGCCCAACTTCAGCTCCGTGAAGGGCACCAAGCTCTCTGCATCAGCATCCACCACAGCTCTTCACGCCAAATCACCCAGCATCTTGCCGCAGCGGGCCATACAGCCCCAGGTGATCGGCGAAGCTCAAAATGGATCCGATGAGACCGTCGATGGAGTTCCAAACCGCCGTGTCGACTCTGATGGCAGCCTCGCCGACGGCCGAGCGTCGGCCTCAAGTCCCCTGGCGCTCGCGCTGCCCGCCATTCGGCTCAACAAGACCCCAAGCTCCAACAGCATGTCGAGCCTGCGTGCCAAACAGCCACAGACCCAGCTCTGATTCGAGATCCCTTGTGGCTGATGTTGCTTGCTGGAAATCGATCACAGCCGCAACGGCTGCCTTGGCGCGATTGTGCCCGAAGGCTGCAGAGCCAGCCCCAGAGTCCATGCACCTCGCTGCTGGCTGTCACGCAGCAGCAGGCCAATTCTTTCCCGTCTTCCCACAAGGTCCAGTCTTCGTTTCGTGCTGTCTCTAGATTGGGCACCTTTATGCGTGCTAAATTTCGTTAGAGTCGTTCCTGTACTTCTATCTATCGCCTTTGCCTTTCCATTTGCCGTTATTCCGAAATCTCTCCTTCTTTACGCCATTGTTTCCGAGTATCCTTCCTTGTGCCCTTTGGATCTCCAAGGCAATGGCTGAATACACCTTGGCCCTCTCCTCCTTCATCCCATCGCCGAGCGCGGCCCAAGGAGATGCTCCGCATAACATTGAGCAGGATGATCCGTGATTTCTTCATTTATTAGCGACAGCGAGTCGCCCAGAGGGAAGAGATCGGTCCGCCAAGTGTGCCCAACATCTGGTGGGTGTCGTGTATGTCGAATCGTCCTCGTCGTTGGGATCGTCGCGGGTCCAGACGCATATGTCCTCTAGTTCAACTCGGCCGCCACGGAGGCATTGGCAGCGTCTTTTCGCTCCTTGGCGAGCACGCGCATGCGACGTTGGTAGCTGGAGGGAGAAGGAGGGGGGAAGGAACCAACCTGTTCAGAACAATACGGATCGAGAGGACGCCAGGGCTGCATCTTCCGCAATCGCCAAACATCCAACGGCAGTGCTAAGCCCCTGTACATCCGCCGCATATGCGTGAGCTGGCAAGCCGACCCCATGGGTCAGTAATCAGTGCAGCGAGTGCTTACTCGTCGTATTGGCACTTTTGCCACGCCATTCTTTCGTTTTCGCAGTGCCACGGGAGGTAGTAGCTGTCGATCCGGCAGCGGTTCAAGTCGGGCAGGAGATGGGCACAGTAGTCGCGCCAGGCGTGAGGGATCTGAGTCTTGTCCAGCTCGGCCTGGGAGATCCGCATCTCTATTTCAGTCGGGGCACCCGTTCCGGTGGAGGAGATCCAGCGATCCACAGGTTGATTCCGAGGTTGGAGAATTGGTTTTGGGTGCACAGCATTCGAGTTGAGCCAGCAGATTCAGCACGTTCATCGGAGCAAAGCATGAAGCGCAGTCGAACCCGGAACGATAGCGATAGTAAACGATGGGTCAGCGTCGCGGGAGAGACTCGTTCCGGCATCCGGACAGTTGACATCGATAGACTTGGCAACCCGATGGGGCGAGCTGCATCCCGTTGTTCGCATGGCAAAATACGATCTCGGTCGCCGCGCAGGCCCGAACCGCCTGCCTCGGAGGCTCTTTGACCCACATCAACGCGCGCTACAGCATTCCCGGCATTTGCCTTGGACTCGAGCGATGTATCCTTGCCAAGATCGCCGATGGCAGGGCGGCGCCCACCCCAATGGTCTGGGGTCATCGGGTCAGGGCGCGGGATTGTTCCCCGATGCGAGCCATCGCGGGGGTGCTCTCCAATTGCGTGCTTGCCACCACAAACACACATGCACGACGACAGGGGCTATGGATACGACGCATACTGGGGGGAGCGATGTCGTCCTCGTTGTGGTGATTTGTCATGGCGTCTGGAAGGGCCGGCTTCGGGTCGGGAGAAGGGGATATGGGCGAAGGACGGTCAGCGCCTGGTGCAGAGAAACGGCGGTGTCGCTCGGGTTTGAGCAAAGACGACGAACAAACCGGCGTGCAGCCGGATCGAGCCGGGCAAATAATGAACTCATTCATTTGTGTGGCGCGCAGTCGGGCCATTGCCGGGAGGAGCTCTGTGACACGCGAGCCACACACACACCCTGGCGATCGAGGACATGCTCATGACGGGCCGCGAGTGCCGTCCAGGAGGCACCCATCTTGGCCCATGGTCTTTAGGATCCACTTATATTGTATCCCGAATATCGAGGATGAATGGACGCTTGCGATGTGGAACAGCACTTGGTCACAGCAATACGGAATGCCACTGCGCCGCCGTGCCGGGTCGATGATTCTGAAGGGATTGAGGGTTGCCGTGATGGATTTACTCGTCGAGTTGGCACTGAGGTATACAAAGTGTTTATGATATGGACGAAGCCTGTGAGAAAGTAGCGGACGACAGGCAGCAAGACGTGCAGTTCGCTGTGGCGGGTGATGCTCCGCCTGCACGCTCTCGGGATCCATTGAGCCCGCCAATCCCATGCTCAACCCGTTCAGAGCACATGGACATTGTGTACGATGAAGGAGAGACGCACACGCACGACAGAGAGCACAAATAAAGAAACTCACCAGCAATGCAACGCCTTTGGCTATCCAATACGCAGGCGGATACGAAGTCGGCAGGTTGATCGAGACAATGAAGTTGGTGGACTGCCCCGTGGTCGAAAGCGTTCCGGCTCGCGCCGATGTCTTGTACAGCGGGCAGACATAGAGGGTGCTGTCGGCTTGGGGAATCTGGGTTGGAATGAACCTGAGGAGAGGCATGGTCTACGGCAGTGATGGTAGCGATGGTCAGAGGCGGCGATGGGCAGCAGCTGATCGCAGCAACAGCCGGATCATGCGTCGGTGCGCTCCAACGGAGCTTGTTGCTGGTGACTCCTGCGTCTTTGACCTCAAACTCACCGAAAACATCTCCATGGGAAACGAGTCGTGAAGTGACCGTTTGTCTCGGTCCCATCGTGCACCTTCGATAAACAGTCCAGACACAAACACACCGTCATGATCCGGATAGGTGATGCCCTCATCGTTGCCTTGGCTTGAGGTATATTCTCCGCTGCTACCAGGAGCAGACTCAGAGCCATCAGCCGCCGCCGGTGTTGCCGCTGCGCCTGTGTTTCTCGTCGTCCGGATCGATTCGCCGTCCTCATAGTCGGAGACTTTGTATGCAAACACAAGCGTGTCGATTGGCACGTTGTACTTGCGTGCATGGTTTTGCAGAACTCCGGTCAGGAAGCCTACATGAAGTCATGTTTATGATCAGACGATGAGCGAAAGTACTTGGGTGTCGATATGGTACCGCCCAAGGCAACGCATTCGGAGAGGGGACTGGTTCCGTCCAGCGCTACCCTCCTCCCTCAGAACGAAAAACGTCTCACTATCAAGTGCAGCGATGTTAAATCCCCCCCCCGAAGCCGCGGTACTCCAGAGCGCCGGGGATATTGTGCTGGACATCCATGCATGCATGCACGCATTTCATATTCCAAAGGCGCCGGTCAGATCACACGCAGCGACGAAACGGATTGATCCAGTCTCTCGTACCTTGTGGAAAGTAAAAGCCAGAGAGCCAGAACGACGCGGGCTGCCCATGCTCAATCCACTGATTTAGTTCTGCCACTCGCTTGTGAAAGTCCTTGACCCAGCCGCCCAGCGGCTTCAGAGATGGATACGAAACCGCCGACCAACTCGCCGGAACCTGACAATTATGTCGCCACCAGGTTATGGTTGCGGAGGATAAGTATCTTTGCCAGCGCTAATGCGTCCCTCCCCCCACGATGCGCACCCACTGATTTCGATCGACGAACCTCGTTATTGAGCAAGCTGCGGAACACCTTCTCGAGCTCGGAGCTCATCACCACCAGTCCTTTGACAGCCTTGTTGAGCGACTCGAGACTGGCTCGCACAACCAGATTCAGCTTGTTGAATCGCACGGTTTCCTGCAGCAGCACCGTGCTGAGCGAATTGAGCATCCGGCCATCTTCGTCGCGACGGAACATCTCCTCGAGGATCTTGCTGTTCGGCGCGTCGCTGTCTTTGATGGCTCCCTCGCTGCCGGGCACCTCGACAGTGATCGCCCCAGGCCATGATTCCAGAATGTTGGTTGCGATGTCGCTGACCATCTGATCGCTCGATTTACCGCCTCCAGCCGACATGAGGCGGGGCTGGACATCGAGGACAGTCTTGAGGAGTCGGCGGGTTTCCTGAAGCTGGAAGCTGATGTTGGCATTTTCGTGCATTCCAAAGACCGAGGGCTCCTCCGTATAAGGCAGCGACTCGATGTAGGTCCGAAAGCTTGCAAGATCGCCATCAGGCGGCGCGTAGTACACCCCCGAGGGCGAGAATTTGTAGCCCTCCTCGAGGATCTGAGGATTGTAGTACTTGGCCAGAATCGATTTGAGCGTGCGCCGATCCCAGTCGTCCGTGACGCGGCCGCCGAATGTGATCTCGCCCGTGAGGTACGTGAGTGCGTCCCAGGCGACTGCCTTGTGCTCCTGCAGAAGATTCCGTAGCATAATAATCGAAACCTCCAGATCCGAGTTGCTCCAGTCGTACATGATGTTCCATCCGAGGGCACCGAATTTCTTCCGCTCGTGAATGATGGCGTTGAAGAAGCACACGCCAAACAGCAACTTGCGGAAGCGCACGCCCTGCGGTGGGTGTTCGTCAAAGAGGTCTTTGGAAATATCGGCAAAGCTGCGGGCAAGATTGGCTCGCAGGCCCTTGGGGGGCTCGTTGGTGATCTTGACGCCCTCTTGCAGCACCGCCGTCGGAAACACCTTGGACGGCATCGATGACAAAAACAGGCGAAAGTTACGATGGATATCTGCCTCGGGGCTCGAGAATTCCTTGACCATGTTCTCGAGCTTGGTCATCCACGACGCGGCCAGGTGGCAGTTCTGCAGGAACACCCAGTCGCCACTGACCAGGGCGCGCCGAACAAGATCTTCTGCGATTGGTCCTTGTCCCTGTCCAAGCGAGATCATGTGGAGCCGGTCTTGCATCTCAACATCCTTGGAGGCTGCAAACTTCATTAGTGCTGCGGTAGGATCTGACCCGGTCGAGAGTATGAAGATGAAGGGTGTCTGGTAGTTGGTGTCTTGGAAGGCTTTGGCCAGGTCCAGGGGCGGGATGTCGATGAACTCAGAGCCAATGTTGCGCTTCAGAAAGTCAATGACGGACTGGACGAGCTTCTCTTCGCGAAGGACCCGAACCAAGATCAGCTTTTTGAAATCGCTGAGGTTGCCCTTGGTGTCGCCCGGAATGGCTTCGAAAAACGGTGTATCGGACTCGACCATCTTTTCCCAGTCGCTGGTGTATGTCGACATGTGCTCGACGAGATAGCTATACTCTGGGATCGATGCAGCGAGGTCGCAGCAGTTCTGCCACATGTAATTGGAGAGCCAGCGGCAGGTGGGCTTTGGCGGCAGCTCAGTTCTCAGCGCCCCACCGCCCCGAAGGAAAAAGTTCCACTCGGTGTCGTCGATCTGCTTGCGCTCGCGCATGATCTCAATGCAGATCATGAACGAATAGATCATCTTATGCTGCTCAAACAGCCCGCGAGAGACATTCGAGAAGATCGTGAATGTAATGTTGCTGCACAGGATCTCGATGCGGCGCAGCAGGTCGTCCGACTTTTCGGAATCGACAATGCACCTGCTGAAGAGGTTCTTGAAGTACTTGAGCGAAAACTGATACATCGAGTCGATCTCGGACAGGTCTGCGATCACAAAGTACAGTACCGAGCCGCGGATCGCCACGGGGCGATATCGCTCGCGCGCAATATTGATTTCCTTCTCGGTCTGCTCGGCCTGGGCTACGCGCTCCTTGATCGCGGCAGAGGTGACCTTGGATTGGTTCAGAGTGTTGATCAGCTCCTCGTCGTCGAGGATGTTGCCCTGGGAGTTGAACAGGAGCTTGAGAATCTTCTCCTCAATGTCCTTGAGCTGCTTCTTGTCGTTCGCAATATTGACAATCAGTGAGTTGCGCTGCTCCTCGAGCTCGGGCCGCTCGAGCTTCACGACGTCTGCGAGCAGCTGCCCCTCCAGGCCGGCCTTGGTGACCGTGAAGTTGATGATTGTGACTTTGATGCACACTTCCGGCAAATAGTGCGGATTCGCAAGCTTGGTGGTGATATACAGCTTGAAGTTGCGGTCGTACTCGACGAATGAGTCTCCGAGCTTCATCAACAGTCGGCCACCCTGCCTCACAGTTTGCTTGAGCAACAAAGGCTCAAGAGCAGGGTCGAGTTGCTCGCCCACGTCCTCCATCAACACGGGCTGCCCCGTGCGGATCGCATTTTCCAGAGACCGCAAGAACTTGGAGTCGCTGAGCTTGACAATCTTGAGCTCGTTGCCCTCCATCTTGCGGATCCAGTTGTTAGCCTGGCCCTGGGGATCAATCATTAGGGGCCAACGGCGACCGCGTGTGACAAGGATACCGTTTTCGATCGAGAGCTCGTCTGCGGGGAGACCCTGAATGTTCCAGTCCCGAACAACCGCGGGATCGGCAAGGTGCTCCATCAGTGTAAAGTTATCCGACACCGGGATGCCGATTTGCTTGCAGCGCCCGACCCACTCCTGAACGAGCTCGATGCGGTACGTCGAGGTAAAGGCGCCGTAGTAGGCTACGCAGGCCGAGCTCAAAAATATGTTGCCGACCAGCGCCTCGATCTGCTCGCTCAGCCGCTCCACGGACTCGGTCCAGCGGATCTGTTCGTCTGCCAGAGCCAGCGTCAGCTTGCTGGCCCGACCCAACCGCCGGGTGGTTTCCTCCATTTTATCCGAGAGCTGCTTTTTGGTTGCAATCGAGGTTTCGTATTTGTTCTTGAGCTTCTGCAGCTGCGACTCGACTTCTTGCAGAGCCGCGGTCTTCTCGGCGAGCTTGGCCATGGTGGCTTCAAGCATTTGCTGGGCTTCTTCGAGTCGCTTGCGCTTTGGAGCCACCTCCTTGAACACGCGCGAATAGAGATCCATAGCAACGACCCACATGCACATGCTCTTGCAGGCCTTGGACACTCGCTCGACCGCCTCCGGGTTGAAGTTTGGGTTCTGGATGTACTTCTGCAGCTTTTTCTGGATGGCCTCGGGGATGTTGTCTTTGTCGTAGTCTTGCATCTTCTTCATGAACTGTGAGTCTCCCAGCAGCTTTTTGGAGTTTTCCCAGTCGGGCTTGACCTTGAAGAGCAAGCAAATGGACTCCATCACCATGAGCACCGCATCAGGTGGTTTCGTGAACACCTTCAGCTCCGCAATGTCCTTTTTGTCGAGAGCCTCGAGGGCCTTGTATGCCGACTGCAGAGCGGGCAGGGCTTCGTCCAGATCCTTCTGCGCTTCGGCAGCAATGGCCTCGGTCGCAATGGCCTTTTCGCGGACAATCGCCTCCTCCTCAGACACCACTTTCCGCACCCCGTCTGCCGTTTCCTGGTCCTTGGCAATCTTGACCATCAGCACCTCCACGTCCTGGGCGCTCTGCTTCAATACCGGGCCGAGCTGCTCGAGCTCGATTTGCATGTTGGCGACAAGGTCGTTGGTCTCCTGCAGCTTGTTCAGGCCGTTTTTGAGCCGATCACGGGAGGCCCCCAGCTCCTTGCGCTTCTCCTGTAGCATCGCAACATAGAGGTTGATGAGCTCCAGGTAGCTTGTTGGCGTCGTGTAGTACTTTCTCCTCAGCGCTGTGTAGAACTTTTTGGCCATCTCGCCCACGGAAGAGTGGATATCGACGCACATCGAGGCGATCTTTTCGCGCATCTCCTCCGAGCCAAGATCGACAAACTCAAAGAATCGCTGCGACACCGATAGCAGGGCATCTTTGGGCCACTCGTCGAACCAATCGATTGTACAGCAGTTGACCAGCGATGGAAACATGCGGCATCGGTTGCGGAAGGTATCTCCTACGGGGCTAGTGGCAAGCACAATGTGCAGATTGTCTCGGACACGGCTGATGAAGAATTGGTAGACGCTGTCACGATCCTCTGGCAGGCCCTTCTCGCGGGCTATGGGCCGGAGATCGCCGAGGACTTTTTCTCGCTCGTCAAACTCGAGAAGATTCGGAACCTCTCCAGAGTTGAGGATGTTGTTGATGTCCTCCAGGAAGGACTCTTGCTTGATTTGGGTGTCCGAAAGCAAGAAAACCGTGTTCTTGCCATCGACACCGGCAAGGCGATACACTTTCTTGATGTCTTCACGCCACTCGACATCTCCATAGGTTCGTGTGAGCTCAATCTGCAGACACTGGTAGTCTGACATGTGGCAGGCCAGTCGAGTCAGCGACTGCTTGCCCGTGCCGCCAACCCCGACGAGCAGAGCGTTGCCTCGCGGTTGCCGAATGATGCGGGCGATGCGCGTGATGTGCTGCTTGGCGTCAAGGAAGAAGATGAGCCTCACGTCCTTGCTCATCGTGACGTTGTATTCCTCGAGATACTCCTCCAGAAGCGTGTTGAGTGCCTTCATGTCCGCCAATTCAACGTAAAGTCGTTCCTCGGGCGGCACGCCGCGCTTTCCAAAGTCGCCAAACATGATCGGTCGCTGGCCGAGCGTCTCCTTTGGAATCTGAATCGAAAAGTTCTTCTCGACCAGCTCGGATAGCACCTTGTTGTAGTATTGCCGATCGGTGTCGTCAATCAGACGGTCGTGGAAGACGCGAGACGATTCGTGGCAGAACAGCTTGGCCATATCCAACCGGGTCTGGATGGTCATGGGCTTAACCTGCAGGATACCCTGGATGACTTTGGACAGGTCTCGCATGTTGAAGGTGTAGTGCGACTTTGCTGGGGTCGGCAGCAACTCGGTGCACATGCGATGGTAGATTTCGATGGATGAGTTGACAATTGCCTCTCCTGCTGAGCGCACGTCGGAGGTGAACGGTTTGAGGAACCCTTCGACGATCGAGCGGAAGATCTTGGCCAGCGACATTTCGTTTGGTGTGGGGATGCTGAACAAGTTAAAGTGGCGGATCAGGCGGGGCGTAACATGGTTCCTGCCGCCACCAGGCGGAGCGCAGGCCGCCACAATCTCAACGTCTTGAATGATGGTCCAGCCCAGCTTCTCGCGATCGTAGAAACCACCAAAGTCCAGGTACTGCCGAATGAGCTCGATCGGAGGCTGGGATCCATATGTATCGAGCTTGGGCATGTTGAGATCGTCTACAAAGAGCACGAGCTTGTTTGAGCCTGTTGGTGCGCCCAGGATGTTCTTCCGCTTCTTCTCCAGCTTGAGTTCGATCTGCTGCTGCGTTTGAAAGCTGCTTGTTTGTGCCGAGAAATTGAGGGTGACTGACACATAGCCATACTTTTTGGAGCATCGGTTGAGCAGGTCCTGAACGATGATGGATTTGCCGACGCCAGTGCTGCCCGTGAAGAGCGTAGGGTAGCCAGACGAGAGCAGGGCCTCGAGAAGGTAGGCGTATTTGACCGTGTCGGTCGTGGGCACAATCATCTGGAAGTACGGGATGTCGTCGGAATACTTGAAGGCAGGCACAATGTCATCCCACAGCGCAAATCCCTTGGTCTTGATGTCGATGTAGTAGCAAAACACGTTGTTTGAGGACGGCAGCTGCAGATCGGCAAGGGGCGTGGTCTCGAGCATGTCGCGGAGGAAGGTATCGAATCCATCTTGCTCCCCGTTCGCCAGATTCCCGCCGAGTGCCCAGACATAGCAAAAGACAAAGATGTGGCTGAACAGGATCTTGAGGTCCCCGATACCGAGCGAAAAGTCAATCTCGGTCCGGCGATTCACAAAGGTTTGAATGAGGCGACACAGGCTCGCGACAAGATTGATGTTGACACTCTTGATGTATTCCTTGCAGAACTTGCGGACGTAGCGTAGACCTCTGTCGACATAGAGGTCAAAGAGAGAGACGAAATACTCGCACAGTTCTTGTTTGATGTGTTCGGGAAGCCGCCGGGACCACGCAAGCACAAACGGGCGCCATCCCAGATCGACCGGGTCCATGTACACCATGCCGCAGCGACTCACGGTTGCAGGCGATGCAACAGCCAGATCCATAACCTCAAAGAGCATGTGCATCTGCGGGGTCATCTTGATTCTCTCTCCGTTGATAAGAGTGAGGAGCTTGTTGTCGTCCAGGACCGTATTCATGTTCTCGATCCAGAGTGCATCAACAGGGCCGTCGCAAACTGTCCACTTTTCATCGGGGGACGTGTCCTGGACTTGCGCACGGAACACGATGCCGATCAAGCCGTCCTTCCACTCCATAGTTGCAAGATTGAATTCACCATAGAGCTCGTTCATTGTAACGCACTAGATTTGCCGAACAAGCACCAAATCTGTCATCAGCAGTGTGGTCCGTGCCTCGAAAATGCCAGGCGCCTCGCTGCTGGGTCATTGAATCATCCCCTCCCCAATGCAAAGCACTTGTTACTCCAGCAGCCACCAGCATCTCTGCCCACTAAAGACCATGCCGCTTCAACAAAAGTTTGAGAGCGAGCGGCGCTTTCAGCATCGGCACTTGCCTTTGGATTCAGCACCCATGTCTTGACGCGCTGATAGTCGTTACCAGGGAGGTTCCGGTCGCGAATCCTTGTGAAGCTTTCCTTCAGCAGCTCGTAGCAAGTCGTCTTTCCGCCTCCCGTGGGCCCAACAAGCATGACGCCATGCCGGATGCGCATAGTCTCGGCCAGCTGACATATTCGCGTAATGAAGCTGTCCACAACTTCGAGTGATCGCTCCCTCATCACTTCCTTGATGACGATGACCAGATCGCCAAAATCGCGCTCGACGATCTTGACTCCAGGGAAGAGATCGCAAAGAATTCCTTTGAAAAGTCCGACATCCTCGGCAAGGAATTTGGGCAGATTCGAGTCGCGTAGGGATCGAATCAAGACTTCCTCTTCGCTCAGCTCCGGACTCGCTCGCTTGAGGGCGCCGGCCATGATCAGCACGGACTTGACGGCCCGCATGCCAAAGTCATAATGATCTTGCTGCGAGAGCTGCTCCGAGCAGAGTTTGTAAAGATTCACGACCTTGCCGGAAAGAACCTTGGCATTTTCGAATCCCTCCGAGAACAACATGATTTCGGCAATCAGCCCGTAGTCTGCTCTTCCAAGATAGACGATGACGTCAGTGAGGCGGTTAGTACAGGCCCCAAGGCACTCGATTAGCCACAGAATGCGATGGTTTCGTTGAGAAACGGAATAGCCCGCAAGTTCCGTTGCTGCCGCGATTCACAGACCTGGAATCATCATCGCTATCGGACGAAACAGCGCCTTGAGGTTGTCTGGGAGCTCGGTGCGTCCTGCATAGCCCGGATTCATGGTGATAAACGCCGTGCAGGTTTCAATCAGGCGGATTTCGCGCCCTTCGAACATGAACTTGAGTGCCTTCATGTCCTTGGCATTCTTGATGGTCAGCAGCTGCTGTGCGATCACCGAGAGCACCTCGATGTCGATGCGGTTGAACTCGTCGAAGCAGCACCAGGCCCCCGACTGTGCCAGACCCGCAAACATCTTGCCCATCATCTTGTAGTCCATGCCGTCCGAGCAGTTAAAAACAACGCACTGGCGGGCCATGGCCTTGGCTAGATCCTTGACGGTCTCGGTTTTACCTGTTCCAGCGGGCCCCACGGGCGAGCCGCCGAGATTGAGCTGCATGGCACCCGTCAGAGTCAAGTAGCAGCGATCCGTCAGCGGCGTGATCACAAGCCGCGGCGAGCAGCCAAGATACTCGTATCCGTAGTTGAAAAGCGAGCTCGACATCTTGACGTGGCACGTATCCGCCTCGGAATCCCAATAGTACCGCTGCTGCTTGGTCCATTCAAAGTCGCCGAGGCCATTGCACTTTGTGGCAATGAGCCCGTGGACAATGTCGCGGTTATGGACGTCGATGGTGATCAGGGCGCCGAGAATCGCTCGCTGAATCTTGGTCAGGTCGCCGCGGACAAGTGCCGCAACGTTGGTGAGGTTCTACGCACGGTGGTCGCAGCACATGCGGAAGGGATCGGCAACGCGACAACGGTCAACGGAATTCCATGAAGTGAGATGCTCGCCGCAGCCACAATAGCCATTCGCAAGGCCAACGCATTTGTGGTCTGTGAATAACCCGATACCCTCCCCCACGGCCAGAAGTGCGGCGCTTACATGAATACACTTTTGCTTGACCTGAACCATTCCCTTGACTGGATCGGCTGTCTTGAGCACGTCCGTGATGTCCTTGCACCACAGGATCTGATTGCCAGTCAAAACGACCTGCCCGACATGCTCTCGGATCCAGTCGTTGCGCTTGGGCTCCTCGTACTCGGCGATCGCAGTCTTGATGAGGCGCCTGAGGACTGCCACCATGGCCTCCTCGACGCTTCCTAGCCAGGCCTCGACATTTCCGCGCGCCTTGATGGTCTTGTGGAATGGAACGCGCTCGCCTTCGGGAGAAACCATGGCGGCAATATCGATGCTTTTTGGGTCGGCTGAAGAAAACTCCAGGCTCTTGATGGCATCGAAGCATTTGCTGAGATGGGGCTGGACTGCCTGGGGGTTGCGCGTCTGCGACAAGATCTCGAGCAACTCCTCGTTGGAAAGAAAGTAAAAGCGCGGGAACAGCAGCCGCTTGCTTTCCAGATAGTCTTCGAGGCACTTTTGGATCTGTTCCAGCAGCACGTTGTTTTGCTGCATCATTTCGAGAAGCCCGGGCATGGTTCCAGACTTCATGGCATTGGCGTTTCGGGACACTTTCCGCATGACGTCTTTCCACGAGCGATCGACCTGCGAGAACATTCGCGCCTCGTCGGGCAGCTGCCGCTGAATATCAGGGGCCGAGAAGATGCTCTCGAGATACAGCCAGTTACGCTGGCATGTCATCCAGGCCTCAAGAGTCTCAGCAAAGAGCGAGAGCTGCTTGTCCCACCGCTCGACCTCGGCCTTGATCGGCCCAATGAATCGCGAGCTCTTGATGGTCGCGATTGTGACCTGGCTGTCCTCCAAGAGTGTCTGGATGTCGTCAATGGCGCCGAGAATGAACACATCCTTGCTGTCACGATAGCTGATGACAATAAACTCGGCCTCGTTCCACAGCTTCACGACGCGGCCGAGCATTTCCTCCAGGGCTGCCTCGGAGCCAGCCTGTGCGGAGACGTTGCTGATTTCCTCCTTGAACTCAAACACGCGCAGCTCCATGAGCTTGCCCAGGGTGAAGGTTTCGTCCTTGATCAAAGTCTTGCCGAGGGCATCTTGAATCTTGTCCCAGTGCCGCTGCTTGAGTGCCGGGTTGCGAAGATCGACGATGGTAGGATACATGGTTCGGTATTCCTCCACCATGGACTTGAGACGTGGGACGACTTCGTTGGGCGGAAGACCTTTGTCGAGGTTATAGACGGTCTTGAGGTAATTCTGGATCTGGGCACTGATGTCCTCGGTATTGAGCGAATCAAAGCTTTGATCCTTCCAGCTCCTGTATCAGTGCCCGGGAATATGGTTGTGAGAACATGTCGCGCGCGTGGAGCGACACTTCAGAGGACTCTGCGCTGGCGCTGACCGTGCGGCTGCCGCTCTGCCAAACAGCGCGATATCGGGATGGGCGGATCTGTGAGCGCAGGGATATTCACACTTACACCGTGAGATCGTCCCAGTCCTTCAAGCTGACCCACAGCGTCCTCTTCAGCTCGACTTCCACCTTGGTCTCCTCAAGCTCGCCGCCTTTCTCGATCTTTTGCTGCTGCTTCCCGCTTTCGGCCTTTTGTCGCTGCATCTCGGCGATTGACCCGCCGCTTTTGAACAGCTCGCCCCACATCTCGTATCGTTGCTTTAGAACCTCGACTTTCTCGAGTTGCAGGCGAAGGTCTTCCAGGAAGGCGATCACCACCTCGCTCTTGGCTCCGCTGTTGAGAACCATCGGGTCTTGGGCGCGGTTGCGGATATCGGACACCTCGGTCATCAAATCAGAGACGGCCTTCTCGAGATCCATGGAGAACTTTGTGATGTTTTCTTCCTTGGTGTCGGACGCCATGTCGACGGCTTCCTTGAGTTGGCGAATCGTTGGACCGAGGGTTTGATACATAGCCAGGTCGGTAGGCTGGATGGGGACGTGATGGACCTCCATCAAGTTGTACAGACGACTAACTTCGTCGTAGAAGCACTCAACGAGCAGCATGGAGTTTTTGACTGGATAGAAATGCACGGCCGCCAAACGATACAACATCAGTCGAGGTGGCATGTTGAGATAGCGGCGCTGGTAAGCCAGCACAAGTGCGTGAATGCGAACCGAGAAAGCCCTCCTCCCGCATCGTATTGCGCCACATTACTGTCCACTGCGACGACCACGAGTGCCACGACAGATGCATACCCTTTTCAAGCCAGCCAAGGTACTCCACAAATCCTTCGACGCTTGTCGGTGGCGTGTTGAGTATGCGCACCCAGGTCTGGACCTCGCCCAGGAGCAGGTCATTCTTGTCTCGAGCTATGTGCGGCAGGATTTTGGCGACCTCCTCGAAGCATCGCTCGGGACTGGGAGTAAGGACACTCTTGAAGTTCGTAGTGTCGATGAGGAGATTGTTGATGATGGAGGTTGTGGAGATTTCGCCCATCTTCTGCTTCTGAATCGAGAACCGGACCAGCGAGCTTTCAAAGAAATCGACCATTGGGGAAACTGAAGCTGCCGTCAGGGCGAATCTCGACGTTCGCGCCAAGGCTCAGAACGTCAATGTCCTTCGGATCCGTCATGGGAGCACCGGTGGCTTGGTTGGCTTCGGTCTCGCGCTGCACAAAGTCGGCCATCAAGAATGCCGAGATGCCTCCCTCGTAGCTCTGGCTGTTGGACGTTGCCAGTAGATAGCCGATGCGGCCGGCCGCCGTCTCAAGGGCCTTCAGGCCCACAAAGTTTTCGTTCTCGATCCACATCCTGCGAACCTCCTCCCAGGTCTGCATCCACCGAGTGGAATTGGAGAACATGCCGACGAGCGTGCCTCGGATGCGGCCGCATATCTCGCGAAAGTATCCGTTCTCGATGATAATGTTGCCGACCTGTGGGCCCTCACCATATTCCGTCTCCTCGAATCCTCGAACAGAGGAGTATGCTCCGCCGGACATGCTGGACGGATCCAAGTACGGAATAGTGTTGCTCAGGAGTGACACCTTCTCGACGGTCGACAAGTACAGCTTGATGAGGTTGTCGACGAGGGTTAGGTATTCCATGAGACCTGGATTGAAGTACAGATGCTTGGTGGGAGCCGTCTGAGCTATCAGCTGCTCGGTCTTGAATAGCGGACAGAACGTGTGCGCCTTCTCCTTCGAGCCCTCCTTCTCGCCTTTTTTTGCCGCCTTTGCCGGCTCGGGCTTGCCCGGAGCTGCCGCGGCGACGTTGTGGGTTTCGTCTTCCATCTCGGCGATATCAGCAGGCGAGCCGTCGTCCTCGATGATCTCGGTGAGCTCCATGTGCTCCATCGAGTCCTTTACAATGCGACTCAAGATGGTCGGGAATCCGTCAAACCCCTTCTCGATGAGCTCGCTGGTGCCGACCTCGGTTCCCACGACCACGCCGCCGACTTGCACGCCAGGGATCCGCTGGATGTACGATTCAGCCTCCATGGCATCGCCCTCGGGCGCTTCAAGTCGCTTACTGTCGGCTTCTCCATCCCTGGCATCGTGGCTGGCTCCGGTCTCGCCTTCAAATACGACTGGAGCAGGGGCTGGATCGGCCGCGCCGCTTGCGTTATCGACAACGACATCCGCGTCCTTGCAGCCGCGATAGACGTACTTGAGCAGATCCCTGGTGCTCTCTATCGCCATGACCTGCAGTGTTCCGACGATCATGTAGTCAACGAGCTTGACAAAGCGTTGGATCCGACGACACTCGGATCGCCTGGCTGCTTGCTCAGTAAAGGTCAGTTTGCGAGGAACGAGTTGATCCTCCGAAAGCGGCTTTTGCTGTTGCTGTTGTTGTTGCTGCTGTTGCTGCTGTTGCTGTTGTTGTTGCTGCTGTTGCTGTTGTTGTTGTTGCTGCTGCTGTTTCTTGGCGCCCGTCAAAGTGTTCGATGATCCGGATGGCTTTCCATCCTTCTCGGCGGGTTTTTGGGCTTCCCACTCGACCTCAAACCCTTTTTCTTGCAAGCAAGCCACTCCGGCTTGCTCAACCAGCTTGCGGACGTCAAGTTCGAGGGCGCTCAAGACCTTGGTCCCCACCGACTCAACCCACTCCACCTGCTCCTTCTCAAACTCGGATAGGTTGTAGCTGTGCTGCTCCTGGATGCGGACAAATCGCCGATAGATAATAACATCCGCGCAACAGGCTCGGACGTCCAGCAGTGTCTTGCGCAGAATTGGATGCACCAAGAACAGGTTGTCTGAGAGCCGACGCTTGGAAAACAGAATCTTGGTGTGTAGGACCGTGCGCTTCCACAGAGTGAAGCACTTCCACATGCGATACCGAGCAAAGAACGGAATCTTGAGGAGGCTGTGGAAGAGCGCATACTCGCGTAGCCACTGCTTGAGGGGCGTGAAATCGCCGTGACCCTGGTGGTCAAAGTGGGTGACACCCTGGAGCGCAAGCGACGAAAGAATGAGCAAGCACCACCACACAAGCCCGAAGCAAAAGCGCAATGTTGCTGTGTGAGGACATGGCACGCGACGGCGCGGGCAAGCATTCGGCAAGCAATCGCTTGAGTGTAGATATGGCATGCGGGACCGCAAGATCTCGCCCCCCCCCCATCGCTAATAGCGATGTCAAGTGCTCTGTTATACTGCGCTTGATGAGAGATGATGAAGGAAGGAGGGAGGAATTAAGGCTTACCGCAAAGCTCAGTGTATAATAGCCGTTGCTGGGCGACACCTTGGAAAAGTCGACAATCTCAAGATGATAGGGATTGAAGGTGGACTGGCTGCCCTTGACGGCGTCGCTGATGCGATTCATATAGACAAACTCGCCCGTGCCCGGGTTGGCATCGAGATATTTGATAAACTGGAAGGGGTCTCGGTGTGCCGGCTGACTCTGAGCAATGTCTGCGGCCAGGGTCATCGATCCGGAAACATCTAGATCCATGTCGTCGGGTACTTCGGCCTCGGGAGGAGCAGATTCGGACTGTCCGTCTCGGTCGGGCTCGACCATGCGCACACGCTTGGCGGTGCGGCGGGACGCAGGAGCCGTTGCCGAGGCAGACTGGGGTGCGGACGAGGGCGACATGGGTGTCGATGGGGCCGAGGGGATCGGCGGAATCACGGGGGTCTTGGATCGGATGTTGAAGTGAACCTCCTCGGTGACGAGGAGCTCGTCAGTTCCGCGTTTGGGCGGTCGCAGGATATGGTCGAGCCGGGACAGAGAGAGACCCTTGTTTTTACCGCTCTGGGCGTCGAGCCGGTTGTGCGTCGAGCTGGTTGGAACGACGACGGGCTTGCGGGCCTTGAGTGCCGAGTTTTTGTTCAGCACCTGCGGAACGGCTGGTGGATTGCCCGGCTGTGGCAACACATCGGAAGCCAGAGATTCGATGATTTCAATAAGCACGGTGTCAGAAAGCCCCCCCCCTCTCCTCTCTCTCCCTCTGTCCTGCCACCTCTGGTTCCACGCGCAAAAACATGGGTCTGCAGCGACGGTGCAGTACTGTCGCTCACCATCGGGAAGTGCTTTTCCTGGGTCTGGTAGTCCATGGCGTTGCCAATGGGATCAAGGCGACGCCTCGTGGTTGGGATCTGGCGGATCTTGAAGCGCGGGTAATCTTTGGGCTCGGAAATCGTGTAGAGGCGCTCGAGCAGCTCAAGCGTCTTTGGATCGTCTTCGTTGGCATCGGCGCCGGACACGTCGTGGACCTGCACCCCGAACTTTGCCCAGGCAACCGGGCGCGTAGCAGTATCCAGTCGCTGTTCAGACTCCTCCAGCGGCGTGCGCGTCGACGACGTGCGATGGATGAGCTGGCGAGCAGAGGCGGCGGTGGCGGGCGTGTGGTGCGCCGAGATAGGGGTTTTGTGGGCAGCCGGCGATATGCTTGGTTCAGCGGTGCTGCTTTCGGGGAGGCCAGACACGGGCTGATAAGCTGAGGTGTCCATGGCGACTGGGAGCAGTCCAGACCGCGAAAGCAGAGAAGCGGTCGCGTCTGGAGTCAAGAAATAGAAGGGAGAGGTGTGCCGAACGGGCTTGAAGGCGCAGGCAGAACGGGAGTGTGCGATGAGGGCAAATTGACGGTCGAATACGGTGCAGAGACACGCAACAGACAAACGATCGACTCCAGAAGTAGCTCCAAGCGGGGCAGACCCCGGGCAGCGCTGGTTTGGCGGCGTGGGAACGATTCCGCGCCAAAGCAGGGCCCAATCATGCAGGCCAGTCGTGGATAGGCACGAGGAGCGGCAGCGATCTTGGCCAAGAATGCAGATGAGGCTCTGTGTTTTTTGTGTTGGCCATGGTGGACATTGAATGGGTGTATATTCGGGACCCAGAAAAAAAGAGTGCCACACCTGGCTCAAACCAGCTGTACACGGTCAAATCAAAGGCAACAAGCAGTTTAGGCCGCCGATACATGATAGAAAAGCACAGAGTACCATGGCCGGGATCAAGCCTTTGGGTCAGTCGAGAAAGGGTCGCGCAGGAGGAAGAGGAAAAGGAAGAGGAAGGGGGGTGGCGAAGATTGGGGCTCGGGCCCATGAGCATGTCTCAATATGGCCCGCTGTCCGCCACACCCTACCAGCGCAACAGATCAATCAGTCAAGGATATGTAAAAAACCGAGTTGCCTTGCCACAGACAAGGGGTTGGGCCAAAGAATGGCGCACCGAGCTATTTTGCTCATTCGAGGGACTAGCCGTCCGTCTTGGCAGCGGCAGCGGTGGTGGTGGTTGTGGTGGTGGTGGTCACCGATACGGGCTTCTCGACGACCTCCACAGTCTGTTTCTTCTCGGTAGTGAGGCCAGCACCAGTCTGGCTCGTGCGAACGACTCTTCGCCGGGTCGTCGTTGTGGTCGTTGTGGTGGCGTTGGTGGAAGAGGCCGCGGTGGCCACTCTGGATGATACGGTGTCGCTCTGCACCTGTTTCGAGCTTGATTTTGCTCCGGTCAAAGTGCTGGACACCTTCGTATTGGTGCTGGTGCTGGTGCTGGTATCGGTGGAGGCCTTTGCGGCCTTTGCATCGATGGTGCGGCTGACAGTGACGGCGTGCTGTCTGGTGCCGGAGCTGGCGATGAGCGACGCGATCGCTTCCTTACTGGGGATGCTTTCAAATACCGTCGCAGGAGCAGCGGCAGGCGCAGCGGAGCCCAAGATGGTTGTAACAACAGGGGCGACGGCGGCAGTTGCGGCCGATGCGGCAGGGACAGATGTGGAAGCACCAGCGGCTGTGGTCGTGGTGGTGGCAGCGACGGCAGCAGCGGCGGTGGAGGAAGTGGTCGTAGTAGTGGCTGTGGTGGTTGCTGATCCTGAAGGTTTGGCGACGGCAACAGAGGAGCGCGAGGATGTGCTTTTGGTGTCGGTTGTGGAAGCATGTGCAGCACCAGCAGCGGAGAGACGTTTGGTGGAGTTGGCTTCAGAGGCTACTGCCTTGGACGCTGTTTTCGCATCGGCCGTTGTGTGAGTATGTTCCTTTGCCAGGGTTGTCTGCGCACTGGCCTTTGAGTCCGTCGAGCGCTCGTGCTGGTGGCCGTGGCTGCTGTGGTTGTGCCCGTCGTGGATGTGGTGGCCGTCATGATGAACGATGCGCTTCGAGACGGCTACCGAAGCATCGTGTGTGGTGGTTCCCTTTTCATCCTCGTGGGAGTCGAGAGTCTTGGCGATGGCGGATTGGAGCTGATTCTGACGCTCATCGACAACATCCAGGGCCGTGGCCGTCTCGCCGTCGGAGACATAGTTCTTGGAGAAGAACGAGCTGCGCTTGCGGCGAACAATAACCGTGTCGATCTGGATCGACTCGGACTTGACGATACGCTCTTCTTGCGAAGCCTCAGAGTGCTCCAGAGTGTCTGATACGGCAGAGACGGCGCTGCTTCCGACGGATTTCGACTGCATCTCCTTCACGGGGGACTCGGCGCGGGAGTACACCGGGGCAGATGGCAGGGACGCAGCACCGGAGGAGACGGAGCGCGCGGCCGACATTGTCTCCCTGGAGCTCTTGGAGGATACAGATCTGGACGCAGGAGCACTCGCCGCCCCGTTGACGCTGCTCGTAGTGGTTGCAACCACGGTGTTCGCTGAAGCCTCCGTGGTCGTCGATACCGCCGATGTCTTCTTCACATTCGTTGTCGTCGCCGTGGCAGTGCCGGCCGCAGCAGCGGCTGTGCTGTCTGCAACCGACTGGGCAGAGGTAGCAGAGCGTGCCGTGGCAGTATGGCCTGCGGTAGATTGGCCTGACGACTCCTTCAGTTTGTCCCGCGAAGTTTTTGTCGACAGGGTCTTGGTCGGGCTCCGGCGGGCACCCGAGGAAGCGACCGCAGGTGGGTCACGCTTGCTGGAGACCACCGTGAGTTTTTCGAGAAGAGCGACTGCATTTGCCGCCGTCAGGGTCTGCAGCTCCTCGGGAGGCAAATTGGTCGGCGCAATGGCAACGTTGTCGGCTGTAGATAGTTTCTCAGGGAGGAGGTCGTTGCGACTCACAGGGGTGATGAAACCAGGGTAGTGTGTCGAATTGCTTCGGCTGCGCGTGGTCTTGCGAATGATCTCGGTGGCGGGCTCGATGGCATCCATCTCGTAGACATATTCCTTGGTAGGAGAGGAAGCACGAGAGGCCTTCAGCGGCAGAGGAATTGCGGTCGAGTCCGTCAGAATATCCTCGTTCCCGTGGCGCACATCCACAAGGCTTCCCAGACCGAGGGATTTGCGGCGCTTCGAGAGACCAACAAACTCTTGTTCATTCCAACTGATGCGGTAGTTTTGGAAATCAGACAGATTGGCGCTGAAAGCCGGACCCGTGGGCTTCTTGGGCGGGGCCGAGGAAGCGGAGGTCGTGTTCACAGCGGGCACGGGGTCGGCGGGAAGAGGCGTGGTGTGTTGAAGCATGGAGGGGAAATGCTTGTTGAAGTTGGCAACATCATCGACTACAGGAGGCAAAGGTGGAGGGGCCGGGGTCCAAGATTCAGCGGAGCGGTTGTCAGGAGGAGGAGACGGGTGCTGCTCTTGGTGCTGGTAGTGGTGCTGATGTTCTTGGTGGTGATGGTACTCCTGGTGATGATGTTCCTGGTGGTGGTGCTGTTCGTGGTGGTGGTGCTGTTCCTGATGGTGGTGGTGGTGCTGCTGCTGCTGCTGATGTTGCTCTGTGTGATATTTATGAGGGTCCCATTGTTGGGTTGGCTCATGGTACTGGTACTCTGGTATTTGGGGCTGTAGCGCGTAGTACCGCTGCACCTCAACAGGATAATGATGGCCTGTGTGATAAACAGGGCTCTCGTAACGAGGCTGGTGCTCATACGGAACATACACAGGCTGTTCCTGGTGATGGTGATGGTGATGGTGCTGTTGCGGCTGCTCCTGGTGATGGTGCTCCTGATAGTGGTGCTCCTGGTGGTGATGGTGCTGTTGCGGCTGCTCCTGGTGTTGGTGCTGCTGATGGTGGTGCTCCTGATAGTGATGCTCCTGGTGCTGCTGATTTTGTTCCTGCTGATGGTGTTGGTGATGTTGGTGCTGGTGGTGTTGGTGTTGGTGGTGCTGGTGGTGTTGGTGGTGTTGGTGGTGTTGGTGGTGGACCGCAGCCGGAGGGGAGGGGGCGCTGTATGAGGGAGCATGGCTGCTTCCATCCGAAGTGTTTTGAGCAGCTTCTGCAACCTTGGCAGCGGCATAGGCTTCGCGGGAACGCCGGAGGGCCTGAGCGAAGCGCGAGCAAGCCCAAATCAGCCACGATGGACGTTGCCAAGCAGAACCAAGTTTGGAATGCGACTGACTCGACTGAGAGAACTGACAGATGATGCAATGGCGGTGATTACCTCAAGCGTAGCTGCACGCTCCTTGGCAGCAGGGATACCGATCTCGGTTATATCATACACCGAGTGCCACTTTTGGACCAAGTTCACATACTGCTGAGAATGGCCACCGCTTTGGTAAAGCATCGCGCGGATTGAGAGCATCCAAGTTGCGTTAGCTATCGATACTGCATCAACCCATCAAAGATGCAGCACGACCAAGCATGCCTTGGTGGTGATGAAGGCGACGAACGGAGCTCTGGGGCATAGATGATACGTACGTGTTCCAGACGGTTCCATCGGTGAACCTCGACCAGTGCCAGGGCTTAGTGGCACCGATAAAATGGACGATGGAGACATTGTTTCCGTATTGCATGAAAGCGGGCAGATACGAATAGGACGCCGACGGAGTGACGTTGAAGCTGAAGGGGAGCCGAACAGCGTTCGCTTTGGTGGCTCGCTTATGAGAGGGCGGCAGCATGTAGCTCCAGGATGAAAAGAATGAATTCAGAACGCCTTGGTCGCCGCCTGATCAAGTGTGGCCCGTTTCAGAAGAGGACAGAAGGAAGGGCAGTGCGTATCAGCGGTGTGTCCAGGTCGTCGCCAGACGAATGCTGGCAGCGAATCATCCACCGACAGCGGCTCGCCAGACATGATCAGAAACAGGGATACGCGCGAATCAGCTGGTTTGATGGGCAGCCGCTATGCATCCGCCAATTGTGCCGCACAGAACGCAAGCATCCGCTGCACCTTCCCCATGTGTCCAGCTGACGACGGGCATTGAAGACAGAATGATCTGTGGCTGCAATGCTCCCGCGTTTCACCACAAGGCCTGGGAGACATCAAGTCTCATAATGCCACCCACGATCCACCCATTGCGTGGTGGCCCTCATAGGCGACTAAAGATCCGACTCCGACCCGCCACAATTGCATATGCAACCTTGGCAGACATCACATGGGACAAGACAAGTGTAGCTGGACTACATTGAAACCCGCCCGACAGACCTACTCACACCCCCACCCGCACGACGGGTGACGTTGACATGAACAAGTGCTTACCATCGAAACTGCCATAGGACCGAGCAAACTCGATGATGCGAGAATATAGCGTCGTCGATGGCTTGGTCACAAACACTCCCGAGTTGAAGCAGTCGGGCCATCCAATGTCTGGCGCCGCCGCAAAGTTGACATGGTCCTCGTCGACATAGTCAAAGAGCTCGTCGACGTTCCTCAGCACCAGTGTGTCGGCGTCGAGGAAGACGATGCGGTCATAAACGAGCAGGCTGGGATCCCACACATGCAGTTTGGTGAAGGTCACGTCGAGCTCGGGTCGGCCGAGGAGCGAGAGGTTGGAGTGATCGTTGGATCGCAGGATCGGCACAAAGAGGACCTTGTCGAAGGTCCTGAACAGCAGCTGGACCGAGTAGACCGAGAAGGACTCGGAGGCGACGATGCAGACGATCGGGTACTGAGTGGCGGTCGCCCTGAGCGATGCCACGAGGGTGACGGCGCCAGGGATATACGACTCGGACGTCAGCAGAGTGACATAGGCAAAGTTTCTGAAGACAGCCATGCCAGAGATCGCTGCTGGTTGAGCACCAAGGGAGAGTTAGCGGCAATGATGTACAGATGGCGGGAAGCTGGAGATGAGATGAGGTAGATGCGGCAGACGAGCTGGACAGCGCAGGCACCTTATCAGGCGGATATGTGCCAGCAGGAAGCGAGAGGCTTGGTGGGCGATAAGCAGCAGGGGTGGAAGGAGCAGAGACAGACGAAGATGCCAAGACAGGCGATCTTAGCCGAGGCGAGCGGGGGGTGGGGCGGAGGAATGTCCGGGACAGAAGGGACGGAAACTTATATGGGGTCTTTTGGGCGAGCGAGCGAGCGACGAGAGCAATGGCGACGGGGGCTGGCATCGAGGGGTATAAGACGGCCGCTGTGACGCAGCGAGCACCAAAGGACACCGGGGTGGTGCACAGAGCGAGCACAGCGCGGAGGGCGACCAGCGGGACGGGCGAATGGCAGGGCGGGTCACGGCCAAGCACGCAGCGCCACGGGCGTCCGCCAGACGGAGACGGGCGGGTGTCGATGGGGGGGGGCGAATGGCGAATGGCGATGCGGAGCGAATGCCGTGTGCAATGCGAATGTACGAGAGCATGGAGATGGGGAAGTAAGTGCTGGTGGAGTGGTGGAGATGTAGATGCAAATGCAGATGCAAATGCAGATGCAAATGCATATGTAAATGGTCATGAATGTATTGATGCATATATTGATGCATGTATTAATGCATATATTGATGCGATGGCACACTACTCAACGTGGAGGGTAAAGGTCGCCAGCGACCACCCAACACACCACCGGCAACCACCAACCACCAACCACCAACCACCATCCACCATCCACCACCGTCCGCCAAAAGACGCAACGACAACCACCGGACAGCCACCGGACACCACAGCCGGCCCGCTCAGCAGGACAGTCTCCCTGTCTCCCGCCGGCAACCGCAGGCCGACACAAGCAGAGCGCAGTGACCAGAGCAGCGGCCCGGAGCGGGGGTGGTCCGGCACGGCCGCGGGGTGCTCGAGATGCCGGGGATGTGCGGGGTCGACTGCCTGGCGACTTGATGGTGGGCGGCTCGGTGGCCTATTTGCTCGCTGGATATCCTTCTCATCTTGCTTTATCGCTTGCTTTATCGCTTTCTCCCTTGCTTTATCGCTTGCTTTCTCGCTTGGCTCCTTGCTGGAATGTCCAGACACCGGCCTGAGGAGCTTCCCCGGCCGCCTTGATTGCTGGTCGCGCAAGGGAAAACGGAGGCTGAGGCGTCACCACTGCTCATCCGCAGAGATGACACCCCCGGACCACTGCCTCCGCTGGCCCGGATGGACCGCTGTGGTGAGGCCATGGCTTCCCGTAGCGCATGTGGACCACAGAGGTCGTCGCCGTGGCGGTCCCTCGCTGCAGCCGAGGCGCTGGGCTCTGTTGGGCCGCCGCCGAGCGAATCGACATCGCCGAGATCGACATCGCCGAGACCGATAGATGCTATGCTGCCTGCGGTGTCAATGCGGCCGTTGCCGCCGAGCAGCATGCTTCTCCCTCCATCCCTCCCGACGGCTATCCCCGCACGGTCCGCCTGGGTCCGTTAACTCACGAGCAGTTTGCTGTTCGGATCCAATCGCACTTGCCTTCCCATGCCATGCCAGACCAGGTCAATTTGCTTTCCGATGGCGGATCAGATCAGATCAGATCAACTTGCTCCCCAGACTACTTGATCAGCCCTGGCGGTCGATGTCCGTCTCCGCATTCGCTTTTGCCCAGGGACCAGCGGCCCAGAGGCGTCTTTCCTTTGGCCCTTTGGCCCTCTTATCCAAGCCCATCGTATTAGCTGGACCTCGCACAGCCAATGCCTCGCTCCTGAGCACTTGTTCTGCATGTCCACCGCGGCCATCTCACCATCGCTTCCTCCAGGATTCGCCAGACGGACGCCGACGCTGGACTCCATCCGCCGGCCCCAACGATTTCTTGGATGTGCTCCGTCCGGCCCCGGTCGACGATGCACTCTGGTCCGCTTGCCGCCGATCGTTCCGCTGCCGTCCCAAGCCGCTATATCCATCAGCGCCCCCCCCCTATCGTTGCCATCCATCCAGCGCAGTCCAACTGCAATGACTCCCTCCATGATCCGTATCTCCGCGCTGGGCTGCCACTCACTTCCCACACGACATGATCCCCGCCGCCACCTGGTGCGTGCGCAACAACCGAATGCTCGCCGATATGGGCGTCCGGCGAGGGGGCCCGCTGTCTCCCATCGCTCCAATCGGCGAGGGATGCTGCTCGCTCATTGCGGGCGACGCCTGCCGGCCTGATTGGCTCCGGAAAGCGGCAAAAAAACGAGCGCAAGAGCTGCTCCAAAACCCCTCGCGATCTCCCTCGCCTGCGTGCATCATCGGCCCAGCCCAGAACCCGCTCACGAGGACTCACCGCCAATGCCGCCTCATAAGGGATTTGCCTATGTCACTCTGCTGACGTCCGAGTCGTATATCCCTGGCGCCGTCACCCTCGTGGCATCGCTCAGGGCGACCGCCACTCAGTACCCGATCGTCTGCATCGTCGCCTCCGAGTCCTTCTCGGTCTACTCGGTCCAGCTGCTGTTCAGGACCTTCGACAAGGTCCTCTTTGTGCCGATCCTGCGATCCAACGATCACTCCAACCTCTCGCTCCTCGGCCGACCCGAGCTCGACGTGACCTTCACCAAACTGCATGTGTGGGATCCCAGCCTGCTCGTTTATGACCGCATCGTCTTCCTCGACGCCGACACACTGGTGCTGAGGAACGTCGACGAGCTCTTTGACTATGTCGACGAGGACCATGTCAACTTTGCGGCGGCGCCAGACATTGGATGGCCCGACTGCTTCAACTCGGGAGTGTTTGTGACCAAGCCATCGACGACGCTATATTCTCGCATCATCGAGTTTGCTCGGTCCTATGGCAGTTTCGATGGTAAGCACTTGTTCATGTCAACGCCACCCATCACGAGAATGCTGGATCGTTGGAAATTGCTCAATCAAAAGCCCCCCCTGTATCATGACAAACTCACCCTTAACCCCCTCCGAACTTGCCCTCCCAGGTGGCGACCAGGGCCTGCTGAACGCCTTCTTCTCGTCCTGGGGCCAGACCTTGCCAGTGAGCCGCCAAACCGCCAGCCGGGTCAATACCGCCCGACTTCCCTTTACCTTCAACGTCACTCCCTCGGCCTCGTATTCGTATCTGCCTGCATTTGTGCAGTTTGGCCAGCAAATCTCGATTGTCCACTTCATCGGCAAGGTCAAGCCCTGGCACTGGGAAAGATTCACCGATGGCTCGGCCTGGAACAAGTAAGAGCTGCAGCATCATCGGCTCGCTATGCCTCGCTATGCCTCGCTATGCCTCGCTATGCCTCGCTATGCCTCGCTATGCCTCGATATGCCTCGATATGCCTCCATGTGTTTCCTATCCACACACTGTCCTGATCGGATCGGGCACAATAGACTGCCGCCCAAGGCCGACGCAGTGAGGAGCCAGGGTGTTGCTACCAACCCTGTCCGTCGCCCAGGCAGTGCCCTCCCTCACCAGATCGCACCTCTTCCTCACGCCACCAGAACCGGCCAGGCCGAGTCCTACACCAATCTTGTGCAGAAGTGGCTCGATATCTACGACACAACCGAGCTTGGCCTGCCCGATGCCGAAGCCAGGCAGGAGCTCATGCAGGTGGGTTGCTCGGCCGATCGTGCACACGCACAATCGGCTGCCGCTCCTTCTCCATGGTTATTCTCCCCCCTTCAACAGTCACTCAATCCCCTTGCTCTCTTGCCGCCCCCAGCGTCTTCCCTCGGCCTCGTCGGAGAGTGGATCCGCCACCAACGATTCAACAGCCCCCACGACGGACCCGGTCCCCTCCGCGCCGCCCCAGTCGCAGCCCTATGGACGATACGGCAAAGCTCCCATCTCCACCACCCCCCAATCTCAAAGCCCAGCGGCGACACCGGCTGCTGCGACTCAGCCCGTCCAGCCGACCGCCAGTGTTGGCAGCAACAACTATGTCCTCTTCAATGAACAGTTTCCATCCATGATCCCTGAAACCAAGTATCCGGAGACGCAGTATCCAGCTGTGCCCGCTGCGACTGCAGACACCCCGGCAAGCCAGGCAGCAGCATCTGCGTCCGGCCAGTCCCAGAACCCGGCCTCCTCTGACTTTGGAAACTATCGCATCGAGTGGAACGAACACGAGTTCAGCGGCATGAACCGCATCCGAAGAAAGTCCCAGTCGCTCAGTCCCGAGTCCGGCTCGCTCAAGCTCCAGGACTTTGTCACCTATGTCAATGAGCCCCGGGACGAGCAAAAGTCACCTCGCTCCTGAGCTAGCCAGGGGCACCTCAACCGCTGTGTGATGCTATGGATGGATGGTGGTGAGAATCGAAACCAAAACGAGTCCACGACTGTCGGGCTCGGTGAAATGAACCCCTGATCGAATATGTGAAGCAACCGCAGACGGGAACTGTACTCCCAAGTGTCGCAAGGATTACGCAGCTGGTAACCCCGTGGTCTTGATGGCCAGCCGGGCGTCAGCACGTCTCCCTGAGTTACAATTGAACCGCTGAAATGTAGTCCGTTTCCAAAAAACCAAATCGGTGGGAAACAAAAGAAATGTGTGTGGAGGGGCCACCTTGATATTCAACGACAGGCCGTTGTTGCAGAGTCGAATACATGCCCTTTCCAAATGACTATGGCAAGCATCTAGGGCGGCCCAGTCAGTCGCGAGTACACAAAGTCAATCTTGATGAGCGGTAACCACGAACCAAACCACGGCATTTGTTGCTTTGCTGCACCTGCCATCGTCGCGGTATGACTCAACGGCGCGCACCACTTTATTTTGGATGGTCCGAATGAAACTGGCTCATGAGACAGGGAAGCAGAAGTGGTATTACAGCGCACCCAAAGCGATTCATCTCGCTGCAAGGCCTAGTTGGACTCAGGCTATCACAGATTATTCCCTTGAGTGAAAGGCATAGTAGCAGTGTGTGACGATCGACTACCACGAGCAGTAAAATGAAAAGTAGATATGAGACAATTGGAAATGCAAAGTGAGTGAGTGAGTGAGTGAGTGAGTGAGTGAGTGTGTGAGTGTGTGAGTGAGTGAGTGAGGAGTAAGATCAAATGAGCAACCCGTAGCCAGAGCTCTCCTCGAAAGCTTGAGGCTGCTCGAGCACATGTTCACATTCGCTGTGTTCCTTGTCGTTGGCTCCCAAGTAGGGCTGCTATTGCTACGTCTGCATGGGTGGTTTGGCATCCCCTGCAGCCTCGTTCTCGTTGCGATTATAGAGCAGCTCCATGATGGCGAGTTTGTTCTGGAGATCGCGGGCCTGGACCATATACATGATTCCGTCGATCGCGAGTCGAAAGCAGTCGGGCTCGGTCGAGTCCTCGATCCAAAAGTCTTCAAACTCGCAGCACATACCGAGCTGAGCCAAAGCAGACCAAGAGGACGGGTTTGCGATCCAAACGTGAGCAAGCAGGTCGAGCGAAAGGGATGTTGATGACACAGCGAAGCATCGGTCGCAGAGCAACAACTCGGATGCCTCAAAGTGCGCGGCATATCAAAGACGGCATTTATGCAAAATATTCTCTCTATCCCCTCCTTCTGCAAGCCAACGTAATGAAGAACGAGTGGGGCTCCTACCGTTTCATCAGATTCCATGTTGTCTGCGGGCGGGAACAGACAGATGGCCTGCTCTTGAGCGAGCACGACCAGATTTCTCCTCACCCAGACGTTGAAGAAGCCCTTTTGTTTGATCACAATATCGAAGGATTTGCCTACACCGGCCTTCTTCTTGTTCGAGGCCGAGGTGCCAGGGCGAGCCGTGCTGGCCACGATCGAGTGGCGTCCTTGACCATCGTCCTCCTGGGCGAACGAGAGATATGCGATTCTGAAGAGCGTGCAGTCTGGCGGGACAAGAGCATGGCCCGTAAGAGTGAGAATTCGGCGATAGCGTCGGACAATGCGACGGATCACACGGGGAGCAAGGTCGCCCAGGCGCACCGTCATTCTGGAATCAAAGTGGGGGGAGGGTGCAGAAACGGGTTGGGTTGGCTCCTCCGTCCCAAAATACATCCCTCACAACTTACAGAGCGTCAAGGCATTTGCCATGAACACCACCAACATCCTGACGTAGTACTGCGTGTGTTTTGTAAAGTCGACACAACCATATGTTAGTACATGGCCATATACTGTTATCCACGATCACGGGGATGCAAGGCGAGCAAATAGGTGTGAAACAGCATACATTGCTCAATAGAGTTCCCGAGGTGCCGTAGAGAATGATGATGACAATGATTGCGCAGATGATGATGAACTTGTTGGCATAGTCGGTCCACTCGCTCTCCATGTACTCGCAAGTGACGCTGCTTGACAGTCCGTTGAACCAGGTGATGAACAGGAGGATGATGCTGTGATGTGATTGTCCAGAGTCCACAGCATGAGCATCTATGGCGCCAGGCAAGAAACGAACAAAGCACAATCCATGCACTCGACCTTGAATCGGTCGCCGGCAGCCCATTCAAAGATGCGATATTCTCATATTGAGATTCAGCCCAGATCCCGAATCAGCATCACTCACCCGTTGATGACCAGGAGGACCGTCGCATATCGTAGCTCGGTGGAGGACGAGGTCGAGTGGCACTCAAGATACCAGTTCGTGTCCGTTGTGATCGTGGTGGGCACGGGAGCATCGCTCTGAGACCACGAAGCCAGGATGATGATGTTGGTGACAATCAAAATAATGATGGAGCAAATCATTGGCATGCTCTTGATCGGGATTTGCTGGAGTCGTCGGTTCTCTGTCAGAGTTTGGGCAGAGAAAGAAAGTGAGACAAAAACAGCTACAAGTGCGATAAATGCGTGGCTGTCATCAACAACGGGCAAAGACAGGGTTTGCCAGGGTTTGTCAGGCGGGCAAGCAGAAAAATGGCAGTTCCGATGGTGAATCGGCCCAGCAATGCGAGAAAGAATCCACGGTATCGGGATTGAGAGTTCAACGACACGTCGTCGCCACGGCGGGTGCGCGGATAGCCATACCAAAGTTCCTCCAAGCCCAATAAGATCGAGCAAGAACAGCGCCGGCATACTGCGAGCAAACGATGAATCTTTAGTACCACTGCGGGTCCCATGCGGCGCCATCATATGGCGGAAACAAACAACTTGTGGAGAGCGACGATGCCCAGAGCATGGGTTCTGGGGAACTACCGACCACAGAAAAGGCAATCCACAAGATCTTTTGCTGGATAGCACACGTGGTGACAGAAACTCGGCCTGTAAAGCCAAAGATCGATATCCAGGATATCGAAAGACCCAGCTGTGGTCAAGAGTCGCCAGATGTCAGTTGGAGCCCGAATGTTGCAATCAAGTCGCGGAGAGGCAAGCATAGCCTCAATGGACAGGGAAGCAATCAAGTTCTGCCGAGTATCGATTGGAGATCGACAATGGGCCAACCAAGACGCCAAACACTCTGTCAAACAGATTGGACCGCTATGGGCATACGAATGCAATACTCACTGCCACGAATAAGTAGTAGAGAAGCGAGGTTCGTTGGACGGCGCGAGATCCACGATTCACAATCAAGGCACAAGCCGAACCCAAAGTGATGAGCAAGCCTGGAGAGCACCGATACTGCCATTGTTAGCAAGCTGAGAGTGCTTGTAAAAGCGCACCAAGACCGTGGTTGAAAGGCACCGGTGTCGAGTGAATGTGCTTTCAAGCCAGCTATGCGTACCAATGACGTAGAGGATGACAAGGACGATGGGTCCGCCGCTGTTGTATGCGACGACGACTTCAGGCAAGCCTATGAGCACAGCAACACGATTCAGCAAATCGAACTGGAGCTAATCAAAGCAGCCAGACCTTGACATCGCTGCAGAGACACAACGGTCCAACCACCGGCTTGCCGCCGAGATCCACTCACCGATGTCGTCGGCCGGCACAGTGGTGGATCCTCCGTAGAAATACTGGGTCGACTGCGACTGGAAGACCAAGTTCTCTTGGACAGTTCCAATGATCGTGCTGCTCAGAGCGTTGCTCTGATATCGAATGTTGGTAACTGCATAGGTGTCGATGCGATCGCCGTTTGTGAAGTTAACAAGACCGGTGATTCCAGTGAATGGAATAAGGAACTGGCTGAGCGGTGTGATTGGAGCTTGGCGATTGTAGATTGCCGAGACAGTCGTGAGATTGTTGACCAGGAGCTGTCAGATGCAAGGAAAGAAGGGGGGAATCGAAGTCAGCGCAGTTGAGGCGTGGGTATGAGCGATGTCGTTACGGACAATATCTGGCAAAGTCAGGCACCAGAAGCTCAGCAACGAAACAGGCACTAGAACCGAAATCTACTCACGTTATTGAACGCATGGGCAATCGCGTAGACGCTGTGACCAAGTTGTCGCAGCGCGATGGACAATCGAGTGAGTGGATGGGAGTTGGTGAGCGAGTGGATGTGGCGTGCAAGTAGCAAGTAGCAAGAGAACGGCCAGTGCAAGGCATTCCCGTGCTGTGCTACAGGCTGTAAGACGATTGTAGTGATCCGAGGACACGACAAAGCCCTACCAGTCATAGCAAAACATCGAATTGGGGCCGGGGGCGCCTCCGTAGAGGCTATTGAATTGAGACAGATAGCTTGAAGACAAAGCAGTGTTGGCACTCTCGGTAGCGCCAAAGAGATTCACGCCATCAATGTTGGCCTGATCGGCAGCGGTGTATCCTGGGTTCGATACAGTGGTGAGAAGACTACTGCATCCATCACTGCAGAGGTACATGTAGCTCGAATCGATCATATTGTACGCTCTGTGGCGGGGATGTGTGGATGTCGAGTATAGGGACGGGTTTGAATGTCAGTCCCCGAAAGGCAACACTGGCCAATTCAGTGTACTCGAACGGGAGCAAAACGGGAGCAGTGTTGGGGCCGAAGCGAAGAGGGCTGGTGGCCAGCGCCGAGCCTCGAGATATTCGTTGGCGTTGCCTACCGGGCCTGGCGCATAAACAGCAAGAGATCTGTATCGTATCCAAGGAAGGCAATGATGCGATATCCACGCTGCCGAATGCTGGAGAGACTTGAGGCAAAGTCGGATGGCGCGCTGGTTGTAAAGTTGGACGGACAGTAAGATTAGGCACCATGGGCGCAATATCGCAGCGGACAGGCCGGCCGATAGACTGGCACACACCTGGCTGGAGTGTGGTATTGGAGCGACAGTGGAACATTCAACTGTCCAGAAACGAATGTGCTCTGGTTAGCACAGCGATGGCGCCAGATGCGGAGTGCGAGCCCCCTGCGGGTTCGTCGACGAGGAGAAGCGAGTGCGAGCTCGGCTGTGGACCCACCCCGATAGTAGGAGCAAATGTTGTAAATGCATTCTGCAGTCCGGTTCCGTAGGCGTCATCCTGCATAGAGTGTGGCAGATGAATGAGCAACCGAAACTCAGTTTCCAACGGACATTCAGCCAGGGCGAGAGACATATGATTGACGAGCAAGCATGTATCGAGTGAGAGCGTACCGAATAGACCAGCACGACGTTTCTCCAACCCATGCCATAGATATAGCTGGCGATTGCAGGAGCCTGGTAGTTATCGGGGGGAACCGTTCTGCACATCGAAGAACATCAGTACCAGCTTGGATGGCAGTATTATCCGCACCCCATGGGCCTTTTCTTGATGCTGGGACTCGCAATCGGCTTCGTACCTGAAGAATGTCGAGTATGTGGTCTTATCGGATAGGGTGGGGTCCCTAGGAAAGAGAGAGTTTGCGTCGAAGCCACCGTTGAGGAGCAGCTCGATGTCTGTGCAATCAATGGGCAGGTTGAACTCACGTCGCAGTGGGGGAGCATTGGGTAATCTGTGGCGAATCGACGATTAGATGCGCCGGGTCAAATGCAGATGAGCCGAGTCATATGTAGATGAGCCGGATCATAAATTCACAGTCAACCACAGGACCAGCTCTGTAGTAGCTAGCCACGCCATGTGGATGCGACCCTGACAATGCCAATTCGACCATTTGCAGTGCGCGCTTACATTAAAAGCCCTCGATACAAGCGCAAGCGGCTCGGTCACACTCGAGAAGAACTCGCCTGGAGGGTGTGACCGAATCATGTACATGTTAGCCTCGGCACAAAGCCCATGTGAACACCGAAGCGGCACCAGCATGGCTTCCGACAGGGTGGCCATCAAGCACAAGCACGGTCGAGGAAGGCATCGAGCACATTCCAAGAATCGACGGTCTCATACCGATAATTCCAACAACCCCGGGCGTAGTGCCGAGGGCGATGCCTGTAGCAACGACTTGGTCCTGCAAGACAAGACAGGAGCGACGGCAGGACCAATTGCAGCCCATCAGCACGCGTAGGAGCACTCGCAGCGAGGCGGGAGGGACAAGACCAATTATAACATACTTGCGCAGTGTTTGGGTTCATGTAGACATAGTTGAGGGTGATACCGGGCAGAATGGTGTTATCGTTGTTGATGTTTCGAATGGCGAGCTGAGCACTTTGGTTCATGCTCTGGGCCATGGACGGAACTGTCCGCCATCGCGGTTCGAACGAAGACGGCGAATGGGTCAACACAGAGATATTCTGCGCGGACAGAGCGCTCTGTTGGCGAGACATCAGAGCCAAAGTGAAAGTGCACGCAGGTGGACCATAGGCTTCGCGATTTGAGTGAGGGTGAGGAGTCCGGAGAGAAACCTCGTGGACGTTTTACTCACTGATGTTGTTGGAGATGACAATTCCAATCGTCCACTGGTTCATATTTGCAGCGACAATGGCCGGCAGGATGCACAGCGCGAGGAGGCAAAGCAGGCGCTCGTGTGGCATGGCTCCTCGAAAGCGGGCGGGGGGGGGGCGTGGGAAAGATTTGACTCTGGACGATTTCGAGCGGCAAAGGGCGATCTATCGCGTAACAACAGCCCGCAACTTGACTCGGGCGACGTCTCAAAAGAGGATCCAAAGAAAGCAAAGGATGCAGGCAAATTCAAGCGGAAATATATGCCGCTGGCGACATGAGCCGGAGCCGACATATCCGGGGGTGATAGTTTATGGTGCGGAATGAATCTATTCTCATCGCCGTGGGCACAGTGAAAATGAAGCCGTAGCTTGATTGGAGGACATTCAGTGACGACAGGCGATGAGAGGCAAGGATTGGGCGATCGTTTGGTCACGTCAGTGGCCCAGCATGAGCCCGTAGACGGTGAGGTAATGCTGCCAATCACGAGTCCGGACTGGCTCGAGGCTGCTTCAGCATCGGTGATTTACAGCGAACAGCGCACATGTAATTCGTGGACGGTTGCGGTCGACACCGTCCTAGTGCGGCGTGGGCTTGGATCCGTCGACCCGCATATTGCGGGTTGCTGACGGGAGGGTGACGGTGATGCCGTCTAGATCCTTGTTCATGATGACCTGGCAGCCCAGCCGTGACGTACTTGAATCGGAGACGAGAAGGTGGCGAGCATATGTGCAGGAGAAACGTGGATGAATCGGTCAGGCGATGTGCGATCGAATCCTGCTCTCAGTGGCCGGCGAAACAGACGAGAAGCGGCGGCCGGCGAAACTCACTCGGTCAGTCCAAAAGCGAGGTCAAGCATATCGTTCTCTTCATCCGTGGGTTCCTCCAGCTTGTCATAGTATTCTGGATCAACAATCACATGGCCTGCGCCGTCGTATGCACAGCACAGGTTAGCAATCACAGCGACAGGGAGCCGGTAGGTGTGGAGAGCTTGCGCATAATGATCGTGCATGGAAACGGCATGCCACTCGGTCCGAGAGCTGGCCAGCTACAGCGAGCGAAAGCCGCTCTAGACGATATCGATGCTGCACGCTATCTGCAGAAGACTGTTCCAAATACGTACATGTCGAGCAAGCGAGGGAGCATTCGCAGGCACCTGTAAGCCATCAGACAGAAAGCGGCAGCGATTGCCACGAGCGTCAGCTTGGCGGCAGCGGCGGGGTCCTTGACCTCCAGCACAGGGGCGAATCGCCATTGCCGTCTCCGAGTCCAATCCACAACGCCTCCCGGCACTGTTGCACTCCTCTCGCAACGACGAGTGATCAGATCATTTGGCCCGAACCTTCCAGATCGATGTTGTTCTTGTGTGCGAGCTCAAGCAGATTGTCGCCGTCAACGGCCTTGACGGTCTTTCGTGCACCTTCGGGAGAGACGTATGTCACCGTGTAGCTACATTCCCGAGATCGAAGGATATGTGGCTGTTAGCGACATGGCTATGGCGTCTGAGGTCGCTGTTTTGCTTAGTCGAGAGTGTATCCTGCTCTGATCGAGCGACCAATTCAGCTGTCGACCAAACTTGACACCCCGACGAGCTTATGTTCTCCCTGTGCAAACGCTGGCATACCTGCCGGAGAGTTTGGGCACTGACGTGGCAAACGATCTCGACGCACTGAGTGTATCTGGAGAGGAAGGAAGTGGAGAGCCACATGGGCCGGACGATCAGCTGCTCGGGATCACAGAGGCCAAGCACATTTCCCGATCTGTGGCGGGTCGTATCAGCACCGTTGATAGACAGAGCTGCAGACCCGTCAATCTCAGCTTGCGATCCCGTCAACTCGGCTGCGATTCCGCCGGCATCGCACGCTGGCTTGTGCTGGCCTGTGCCGACTTGCACACCAGCTTGCATCGTGCAGTCCACGATGCCTGGCTTACTGAAGACGCTCTTGAAGGTCTGTGGGCTTGCATGTGGGCGAACTGCCAGCAGAGGGAGGCTGCGATCGCCGCGGGCGAGCCGGGCAAGATAGAACGTGCTTCTGCGCATGGTGGCAAGTTGCCGAGCCGGATTGCAGACGGAGAGGTCGAACGACAACGAAACAGCAGGCCGAGGTCGGAGCGGGCTGGCGAGATCAAGTTTTGGGTTTGAAATGGCCACGTGACTGCACAGGAGGCACTGCGGATGTGTTGTCGCGAGTGGGGCAACAGAGCCGATGGGAGAGCAGACAAGAACCGTCTGGTGGTCATGGGCGCTGGTGTCCTCGGCAGTCTCTGGCAGGCCCGTCGGCAAGATCGCTGCAGGCAGTGCCAGGATCCTGGGGGAGCACGGGCTGCGGCCAACACACTAGAGCTACGGGCTCGGCAATCAAAGGCGCCGAGGACGGCGGCGATGGCGGATGGATGGGCATGTGTGTATTCAGGCCCCAGAGCAAAGTGGCCCCGTTCAATTAGCACAGAGTGTGGCAACGAGTGTATGAGCGGCGTGGGGTCGACGAGGATCACCCGACTCGACTCTCCCGGAGTTGGATGGCGTCTTTACATGGCACTGGCGCCAGTAATGATGTCAATCTGGAGGGGGGCAAAGCAGCATGACGACAGGCGTTAGCAACCCGACCGATCATGAGACAGGCGCGGCAAGTGCATCGGGGCATTGGGGCACACGCAGAGCCCGTACACAGCACCCGTTCGCCAATATACAGCAAGACCATAGGACGCATTCTGCGACGGCTACACTGGCGTTGTGGCACTCACCAGATCGTTGGTGATACTGGCTTGACGGGAGCGGTTGTAGATGAGGGTGAGCTTCTGGATCATTTCGTCTGTGTCGCAGAAGGGAGTGGTCCTATGGGTCAGCAATCTGGATCGAGGAATGCCGCAGCTAGGCCGCATTTCATGCTTGAAGAGCACAATTCAGCGGTCGACTCGAAGAAGTGATCCCGTAGCTGCAGTCTCGATGGCGATGACAGTTGGAGCGAGTCTCACCGGCGTTCTTGGTAGCGTTCTCCATGGCAGTTCTCTTGGCAGCCATCTCGGCAGCGTTGCCCTCGGCGATGGCCCAGTACAGGCTGTTGGAGAGGGTAAACTCCTCGAGGTTCTTGAGGGTCTCGTCCTCGTACTCGTAGTTGGAGAGCTTGGCTGCATGCCGGAGATCAAGAATACCCCAGTCAGCGGGGTACCTCAAGCAACACGATACCCAAATGTCCGAGGCTGGTTGGCAAAGCACCCTCGACGGTGAGATACGTACGAGACTCCGAAATGGACTGGAAGTTGTAGAAGGGCAGGACGGTGGCATCGTAGGCAATGACGGAAACGAATTTGTTGTAGACGATCTTGCCGGCGTTGAATTCCAGACCACTCTTCAGGATACGGTCGGCAATGAGGGCAGCCTCGGTGAAGGAGGGCAGGTTCTTGGCAACCTGGTCAAAGGTGAGCTGGATGTTGTCGCGGTGGTCACGGGCGATCTGAACCTTGGCCTTCTGGCCGAGAATGACGATGCCAGCATCCTTGTAGTCGGCAGCGATCTTCTTGGTGGCCTTGGAGACGCTGGAGTGGATACCGCCACAGAGACCACGATCGGACGAGACGGTGACAAGCACAGGCTTGGCATCGGCAGGATCAGCAGTCTCAGCGTGCTGGAAGAAGGCTGCGGATCGTAGCAGGGAGGGACGGAATACGACGCACGACTGATAAGCAACTGATCCGCGCGCAAACGACAAGATCACGCACTCGATCTGGTCGCTGGGTGTGCCTTGGCCCCAAGCAGCCAGAGCACAATAGAGCCGGATCCGCTGTGGCGACCACAGGATGTTCGAGCATTGCCAACCCGGATCGCTGATGCCACGATAAAGCCACGGGTCTAGGTCCATGCGCGGATCTTGGATCGTTTGCCGGAGACAACAGTGGCCGGTCGAGCGCAGCCAGCAATCCGCTTTGGTTCTGAACAAGAGTGGCCCATCCGGTCGTTGATCGATATCCAGTGTCGGTGACAGGACGACTCCGCATGGTTGACAGTCATCATCGAGCGCAGCCAAACACATCTCGACTGCCACCAGTGCGAGCACTGCAATAAGCATTACCATTGGAGGCAACACCGTAGACACGGGCGTTTTCCATAATGCGCTGGGCACGAGCAACCTTGGTGGAAGCAATCATCTTCATGGACTTGGTGATCTTGGCGATGTTGGAGACCGACTTCAAGCGAAGCGAGACTGTCGAGCGACATACCCGACATCGGGGCGAGTCAGTATGCGATGTTGCGTATCAATCGACCGATGCCCGCCTCGATAAACAGGGAAGGGCTGTGGGTTGGCAAGACAACGGATGTCGCGCCAGACCAAAGCCGTGCATCGAACGGCCAGACAAAGGGTGGTCCTGGATTGATACATACTCTCCTTCAAGGTGGCCATATCACGGGCTTGGATGGCAAGCACCCTATAATGTTACGCGGGAGCGGGTGGGATGGATGAGTACACTGATGCAAGCAGCAGCTCCCGCTGGGGACTCGGATCGAAAAACCAGATAGATGGCCAAGCCTATTCCGTTCGGGGGCTCTCGGCGGCGAAACGGGGCAGACGGGAATCGAACATCGGCGCTGCAGGGATGGGGCCATCCGTGGATAGACATGATGTCGTCGCCAGGCCCGCTACGATCCGCAGCGGAATAGAGTCCAATGGAGAGGGCCGCCCAGACAGGACAGTATGGCGCTTGACCGAAGCACATAAATCGGATGCAGCAGCAGCAGCGACGCTTGGACGATATGATTTACGAGTTGATGGCGACAACAGGGCGGGTGACGGTGCGAGCAGCAAACATGGTTGAGACCCAGATGGACGACGAGCCGACTGCGATGAAAGGAAAGAGGGCCACGACCAAGGCAAAGACGCTTTTGACCCGCTGGGGACTGGATGGAGACCGAGACGCAGCGACGGGCGTGTCAGGCAAGCAAAAAAACGAAAACGAGCGAGAGGCAGCGAGGACGGGGCGAGGAGCGGCGAGGGCGGCGGCGAGAGCGCGGCGGCGAGGGCGAGCGAGACGCGCTGCGCGATTGGCTGGCTGCCCGCGCAGATGAAATTCATTATCGCTTCATTAGCGCACTGGAGCCGGCTGCATCCGGCTGGACGCACTGCCACATGCGCAGCCGCGAGCCGTCACGTGGCCGAGAACGTCGCCGCTTCTCGCCCGCAAGCGCCGATATCGACCGCGATGGCCCAAGTCAACCGCAGGTGCAGCCCATCGACCTGCGCCCTGGTCGCTGGCTGCCGTGCACGGAGAACGAGCCCGCGGTCTGCTGAAGCTCCTTGCAAGTCCGCAGCAACCCGCCTTCCTCGTGGCCTCCTCCTGGCCGCCAACACCCTGCCATGGCATCGATTAAACTGGGTTCGCTGCTGATCCGGACGCTGGCAAAGCCCATCGCCAGCTCCATCAAGGAGCAGGTTCGTCATCCCTGGTCCGCGGCCCGGTCCTGTTCGAATGCAGGCGCTGTTCGTCAAGCGCGGCCACACCGACGCATCTTGCTGAAACGATTTGGCCAGCATAATGTGGTGCAGGATAAGCGTACAGCCTGTGTGTCTGGCATTCGCCCTGGAGCACTCCAAACCAAGAGCAGCCAAGCCCAGTCCTTGGGCAAACAGCAGACCACTGAGCATCGATCGTCGCTGACGCTTCGCACTTATTCCTGTGTCTCTGTCCTGGATGTGAACTTTCTCCTCGACGCGGCCGCTATTCGCTCTCGCTGCAACAGGCCAAGGTATGCTGTCGCACTCGAGGCTCGGTCAAGCCGCATCGGCTTTGCAGCCTCGCGATTTGGTTCCGCCAGCCGGCCTGCCCACCTGCCTGCCGCTGGCTTGAAGACATTTACCGTGGCCAAGAACGAGCGGATCCTGTTTACGGGCAGTTTCCAGCTACGGTCGTGGGACAGGCGACTCGCTGCAGCCGCGGGTCGAGGCATTCTGTCACAGCAGCGCTTCTGACTGTCGCTCTCGGCCCTTTGCCTACAAACAGCAACATCCCCGATTCAAAGAGTTTTGTATGGGCGTCGCCCAGGTACGCAATCGCTGCGAGTAGTCCCTATCGATCCGATCCACTGGTCTGGCCAGGCCCGCCCCCTGCCTTGAATGCAATCCGTGACAACCACTCTGCTCGGTGTCACTCGTCCTCGGTGCCCATTTCCCCCTACGCCCGCTGCTCACATCGTCTTGAACCCTATGCGGCTTCCTCCAGACCCTCAACACCATCGACATGAAACTCAAGATGAGGTGCGTCCGTGCGGCACGATGCGAGTCGACCTGAACATCGACGCCAATGTTGACTTTGGTGCCAGCACCAACTTCCCAGCCGCCACGGACACATTCGATTCCGATCCCCGACTCGGATCCCACTGACATCCGCGATTCCTGTGTGCTCAATGCGATATCATCCAGGTTTTTTGACTACAAAGTCGAGGCGATTCGGCCCCTGAATGATGCCAAGGCCGTCGAAGTCGGCGCCACCTTCATCAGTGAAGCAGTCATATTCTCTGTGGCAGGATTAACAATTGGTGGGTATGGGGCCACACCCAAAGCCTGCTCGTTTCGATTTCACCTGTTGTGGTGCCGCTTTGATGGAGGGATTGGCCCGGAAAATCGTGCTCCATGTCTGATGTAGCATGCTGACTGGGAAGTGCATGGGTATGGCGGGAATGTTGCTCCGTCGCTGTCGTCGCTGACCACGTCGCATCACCTCATGACCCAACTGCATCACACCATCTCGATGTAGTTGCTGAGGTATATCGCTCCAATATAAAGAGCAACAAATCGAAAGCCGAACTAGAAGCGCGACTTACTGGATTAGCCGATGGGAACGAGGCCTCCCAGGCCCAAATCAAGGAACTCAAGCAGTCAATAGAGCAGCTACAGACTGAACTCGAGGCTTTGAAGGACTCGCTGCATTTACCAACATTGCCAGACGCAACGTCATCAGCGTCCCCTGTCCCGGCAAAGTCGTCCCGCTGGTTATTGGGTTGAATCATCTCTGCCGGTTTGGAAGTGAGAAGCGCAACTATGCTCAATACATGGAGGATAAAACTGGGCAGTGCTGCTCCCTCGGTTGCAGCCATGGGGTTCAAGTCCGATGATTGCTTTCCGTCTCGGGTGGAAAAATCAATGCTTTGCTGTGGGCTTTGGGAGCATGCTGTTGAATACACCTGGTCCATGGGCGATCATCGACTGGCATTGAAATTGCGGCTGTAGGAGTGTCGCGGATGGATGATATGCGCGGGCCTGCATCCTCATTGTTCTGCTGGCGAGCTTCGACTCTGTGGACTCTTTGTGTCCGACCCTCATGCATGCTTCATGGATCCAACGAACAAAATCGCTGGCATCGAAGGTTGCATTTAATTGCAATGTCTATGTTCACATACTTCATTTTTGTATAAAGGTACTACAGGCACGGTGTGGAACTGAAAAATAGAATGCTATCGACAAGTGTTCGAGCGTCGCCTGCTCTCCAGCAACGCCATTGTGCCGCAGAGGGAGAGACAGCTGCAGTGCACTGATAAGTGTCGCCATCGATGTTAGGATTGGACAGCGAGCGACTTTTGTCCCAGATGCTGCATCCGCAGATCAAAGACGATGGCTGGTCGGACACGCTAGCAACGGACGCGGCAGCTCAAACGGCATAATGAGCTTTGCCGTGCTCGTTGATGACACAGATATGGTCCAGGTCGCGGAAGTTCTGGAAACAGCCCAGCAAACTGGTCGTTAAAATGCAGCACATATCGACGGCGGCAGACATGCATACACTGCACTTGAGAACATGGCAGAGCATCTCAGGTACCTCGTTGTAATCCAGCTAAAGTGGTTGCAGTGCGGCCCGGTAGCAGATATGGATATGCATCAGAAACAGCGCCACAGAGATGCCCCCCTCGCACCACAGGATGTGGATCTGGTGCCGCTGCGACATGCACTCGCGGCCGCGGCTGCCCAACGGCACTTGAACAAACTTACAGCGTATCTGTTGGTATATCAATGAGAAGCACAAGTCAACAACACGGCATTCCAGTCCGGACGAGTCATGCCGGAATCGAAATTCACATAAGATGGTGCGAATCGATCCGCAGCAGTATTCCAAAGCAACATCCAGAATGCGTCCTCAAATCCAGCTCTTGCGGTGTCTTGGAACATCAACTCACCCGACAACGAAGAGATCCGGGATCGAGAAGCCAACATAGTCGGGACTGGGCAGGTTTGGGAGGCATATCCGGGATGTCAGCACCATTTCGTCGAGCTGGGCTTGCATGGACAGATCGCGAGCCCATCGCCGCAGCACGGCCGACAAGCTTACATGTAGCCGTTGCTATGCGGGGTTTTCTTGAGAAGCAGACTGACAACCCGGATGCTGGCCGGCTCGTAGTTTTTCAGCTTCTTGATGAGGGCAACCATGGTGTTGCCTGAGGAGTGCGATGCAAGGATGAGCAAGACGGCGTCGAATGAATTGAGGCGGCCGTCATCGCACGGATGCCTCAATGGGTCGCGACGATTCAAGAACATCGCTGTCTGTCGATGCAGCTCGGATCATTCACCCGCCTATGCGAGGTTGATGGCCTTACCAGTGTCAATGATGTCCTCGACAATCAACAAATCCTTTCCCTTGAAGCCCTGCATATCCTCCTCGGAGAGAGAGATCTTGACGTCGCCCGTTGACTGCTCATTGATGTAGCTCTTGACTTTGATGAACTCGAAGCTCAAAGGAACTAAATATGCCACCGACATTCAGTTGTCGATTGCCGATTGTCGGTTGTTGGTGAGACACAGGTCCCGTTGTGGAATCGCAGAGTTTGGCTGATGGCGGTCGCTACCAAATCAGCGCATTCGCCCCTCTACCCGCCGTGATGCACCGACACACGCGGCAGCGCTGCTCCAATGCCAGCAGAGGCAGCCGCTTACTCGACTCGCCATTGGGACGGCGCAGCTTCTTGAGGTCCTCCATCAGATGGGCAAAGAAGACATGGGCGCCCTGCCGTCGCAATCAGCGACATTGGAAACCAATGTGAGCACGCCCGTGCCATTGAAGGCGCTCACAGCCTGTGCGGAATCAGGACATGCAGTTGCATGGTGTGCCAGAGCATCGCATTGGGAGGCGCAATGCCGTGTCATGAACCATGCCCACCTTGAGGACGCAGCAAGCAACCAAAGGCTTGGTGGAGTTCTGGGCAATATCGTGCGCCAGCTTTCCGACACGATCCCGGATGAGGCCATAGGGAATCATGACGCTCTGTGACAAAAAGACAGCAAAGGCAACACGGGGGGAGGGTCAGCTCATGGCGAGATGCGCATGGCAAGATGCTCATGGCGAGACGCCCATCCCGCCAGCCGCAGACAGTGTCCAGAACCAGCGCGACTGGATCAATACCTCCAGATCCTCCTTGTAGTGCGAAGGCAGGACAAACTGCTGGAGGGGATAGCCCTCGCCCTCCTTGATATCAATCCAGTCCTTTTGGGCACTCATGGCGGCGTTGCAGGTGGTCCTTGGGGGTGCGACGGCAGCGGCGGCGGCGGCGGCGAGTGTGCGCAGAGGCAGATCTGTCGGTCGGCCGAAATCCGATGCGGAGGATGGACGGGTGGACGGATGCCCGAGTGCGCAGGACAGAAAAAAACTCGCGCCGCCGACCAGCCCGACGAACAAGGCCGCCCACACAGCCACAGCCACAGCCCACACAAGGGCCAGCCGCGCTGCTGCGCACGGGCTGCGCGCAACGCCCATTGGCCGGCGCGAAAAACGAAAAACCGTCGCCATCCTTCCCGGCAATCTGCGCGATCGACAGGCAACCCGCCGCGCAACACCGCCGATCGAGCACTGCCCTGGACGACATCATCTCGCTGGACGACATCCTCCTCCTGCATCCCAAAGTCGCTCGGCCAGGCACCAACTGCGCCGTTTTCACACTGTCGTTTATTTGAAAGCGAATCCACAAGCACAAGCACAAGCACAAACACACGCTCCATCGACGATGCTGTCAGCCCGTCTCTTTTCTGTCACCACCACCACCACCGGCGTTGTCGCTGGCTGCCGTCGGTCGCTGCTGTCCCAGCTCGCCCGGCCTGTTGCTACTCCTGCTCCAGTGGTCCGGCGCCTCTTTGCCTCGGAGGCCGTCAAGCCTTCCATGTCTCTGCTAGCCAAGCTGCGCAAAGAGACGCAGTGCTCCATTTCCAAAGGCAAAGATGCCCTCGTCGCGACCGGCAACGACTATGCCGCTGCCCTGGAATGGCTCGAGCGAGACATGGCCGAATCGGGCGCCAAGAAAGCCGCCAAGCTCGGCAGTCGAGTCGCTGCGGAGGGCCTGATCGGTGTCACCGTCCATCCCAACGGCCAGCTCGGCAGCATCGTCGAACTCAACTCGGAAACCGACTTTGTCGCAAAGAGCGAGCCCTTCTGCGACCTGGTCAAGAAGATGGGTGCGGCCACCCTGGTCTGGTCATCCGAGATCAAGGACCGCCACGATCCGATCCAGTGGCAGCAGGGCCCATCCATCCACCCTCTCGATGTCGAGGCCGTCTTGGACTTTCCCGTGGTCCCGCTGCCGGATGCTGCCCCGGCCGCCGAAGCTGCCGAAGCGCCAAAATCGTGCAAGGAAACCATCGTTGATGTGATCGGCAAGCTCGGCGAGAACATTCGCTTCCGCAGGGCTGCACTGGCCATGCCCTCGGGCGACTTTCTCAAGACGGCCCAGAGCCCCGTCAACGTCGTTGGCGGCTACGTCCACTCCCAGAGCGGCGTGCCGGCGGGTCTGGGTCGCATCGGTGCTCTGGTGCAGCTCAAATGCATCCCTGTTCCGACCACGCAGGCGCCCAAGGTCCAGCAGTTCGCTCGCCAGCTTGCCCAGCACATTGTGGGATTCGCCCCAACGGTCAAGTCGACCCACGAACTCCCATCGGGCGACCAGCTCGCCGAGCTGGCGGGCGGTCCGGACCAGGTCGAGGCCTATCTGGATCAGTATGTGCTGCTGCGACAGCCCTTCCTGATGGGCGGCGGATCTGTGGAGCAGGTTCTGGCCACCTTTTCACAGGAAAACGGTGTGCAGCTCAGCATCGATGCCTTTGTTCGGTACGAGTGCGGCGACGGCATTGAGAAGAAGGCCGACAACTTTGCCGAAGAAGTGGCACGCCAGGTCGGAACCAAGGCGTAGATCCGTCGAGGAGGGTTGTGGCCTCGTAGGAAAGCAGGATCGGGTTTGTCGGATCGATCGGCCCAAAGGAGACGGAAACACCATGCTGTTGCGTGCCGCCCAGCCGGTTCTGCAAATACAGCTTGTCAATCGACCCGTTGAGCAGATGCAGAGAGCCAGAGCAATGCGGGACTCGGCAATCTGGCCCGGTCCACGAACATATGGGCAGATGATGGGCAGATGATGGGCAGATGGACGAGTGATGCGCGCCAAGTCGGCCGGGTTGATCGCTGCATCCACATCGGCGAACGAGGCGCGGATCAGCCTGATCGTCCAGCAACCGGCCCTGTCGTGCGGGTGGTCGCCCGGTGGTGGAGACTGATCATCAGCCAGCAGCAGCCCGGAAGACTCGACGCTCTTGCAGAAGGACGTTGCCCAACTCTGCCGATAGGCGACATTGCTCCGTCTCGGATCGCACCTTCCACCCATCCCCGCTGTCGGAATGTCGTCGCTTCCAGTTCCTGCCAAAGCCGAGTTTGTCCCAACCGATGCAGTCGACATCGAGGATCTCTCCAAGCTCAAGTGTCTCAAGCCATGCGTGCCGATGGTGAGCCTGCTGCAAGCCTCCCGCAATTCAAGCGGGGAGATGAGGGCAGGGCTTGATCCGATCCGATCCAATAGGGACACTTTCGTCCGCCTGCACCCGGCCTGCATCCACTTGGCCGTCGGTCCTGTCGTTGACATGCCAGTTGATCCTTCCTGACTCCATCGCACGGCTCTCATCCTTCTGCGCTCGCCGATCAGTACGGCCCTATTTTGGTCCGCGACCTCCCGAATGGAGCAGTCAAGTATTGGTGCACATGCGGGTAAGCTCGAGCGCAACAGGGCCGTCCGACCTTTCTGTCGGCCGACAACGACTCACTCGGCAGACAGCGATCACTTACTAGCTTATGCTGGGTGTGGGTGTGGGCGTGGGCGTTGGGATATGGCCGTATTCTATCGGGCGTTCTCACGCAATCTCCCCAATGACAGATTGAGCAAAACACAGCCGTGGTGTGATAGTAAGTGATTCCATGAATCCGCTTTAGATGCATCCCAGCATCCAGACCTCGGTCGCAGAGTCGATGCACCGCCTCGCCTCCATGGAGGGCTGCTGCCCCAAGTCCTTCGGCCACTCAAGTCCATCGAGACGGCCGCTGATTTCGCTCCATCCGCAATATATCCCTACCCTCCGCCAGACAGCCATGTCGGCACCGAGTTCAAGCCCTTGAAATGGGTTGTCTCTGGCAACAAGCGGGACGGCAAGCCACAGACACTCTATAGCATATGCAACTGCAAGTACACCCGCGATCCTCCGTATTGCGACGCTCGGCGTAAGTGCGAGTGCGCCGGAGGACATGTGGCAGCTCCGAGGGATGCCATCGGCACCGAAGGCGTCGTTGACATCGCAGGCGGCGTGGGCAACTTGATTCGTCGACTGGGACTCAAGGCAGCGACCACTCGACGTCGACGATGGAACTAACTCCTCCTGTCGCAGACATTGATCTGCCATGCGACTACCTGGACGCCCAGGAGCAGTGCAAGGAAGACCATTCCAAGATCGAGAAGCTGTGCACAAAGTGCGGATTCAAGGCCCCTGCTGCTCGGATCCAAGCGGACGAGGCCGGCGTTGTTTGAAGCGGGGATGGTGGGGGCACTCGATTCTCCTCTGGCTGCCGAATAAATGTTCTTGTTGCAGCCGACAGCAGAGCCAGCAGATGCCGGTCAGGGCAGACAATGGCCTGAGCAGCATCCTGCATCATGCGATGCATCCGCGCGCAGCTCCGTCTCCCCCCGGCCCGCATGAAGCGCCGGGGTTGATTCCGGTGTGGAGCCAGCAGCGAGGGCGGCCGGCTGTGAGGGCCTGCGGGAGAGCAGGATGCTCAGGAACCCGGGCCATTTGCACAAAAGCCCCCCCCCCGCGGCCATTCTGATCCAGATCGTCGTCTGTCGCTGAAATCGGCCAGCCGCACTCGCCGCCTCGTTATCCATCTGATCCCTCTCCATCGGCCAGCAACCATCGAGCAACCATCGAGCAACCATCGACGAGCAACCATGAGCTCGGAACTCCATCTTTCCACCCGTGCCCTGCACGCCGACCGCTCGCACTCGGGAGTCGATGTTACTTGCCCACTCCACGTCTCGACCACATACGGTAGGTAGCCGCTGCCAGCCGCCGGCTATCTGGTTGCCGACGACCGATCGTCGTGGTTGGCCTTTGACAGCTCGTGGTTGGCCTTTGACAGCTCGTGGCTAACGACGACACCTCTCGCTGCTGCTCCATCCGTGTCTGGACTTGCTCCGTCGAGGCTTGCAGAGTATGGCCAGCTGCTCAACGACCAACGAGCCGTTCAGCAAGGATACCTCGATTCTTTGCCAGAGCCCAGTCCCGGCGCCCAGGCCCAGACCACGGCCAGCCCACATATCTACTCGCGACAGTCGATCGAGTCCCGCGAGCGACTCGAGGTGGTGCTCGGCGCCATCGAGGGACCCGAGGCCCACGCAGTGACGTATGCCTCGGGCCTGGCCGCCATCTATGCCGCCTTTCTCTTCTACCAGCCTCGCAGGGTGTTTATCTCAAAGGAGGGCTACCACGGCACCCACAGCTCGCTCCAACTCTACGCTCGCGGACGGGATCATGTGGTGAGCAGCAGCGCAATTGCAGGGACACTTTTGCAGTCCTCTGAATCGAGACAACCGTGTGTGGGCAAGAACTAACGCCCGAGACCGGGGATGGGGAACACCCCTGCGTCGACAGCAAATCATTCATCTCGAGGACGCCCCCAGTGAATTCCAGCCCGGTGATATGATCTGGCTCGAGTCGCCGCAGAACCCTCGCGGTGAGATCTACGGTATGTCAACGCCATAGCACGCGATGCGATGCATGTCATCCGATGCGATGCATGCCATTCGATGCGGCTCGATTCGAGTGCGCATGGTTCTTCTCAAGAGCCATTTCTCAGTGACCATATGATCGCAACCTCTCCTCGGCAGATGTCGAGTACTATGTCAAGGCCAGACCCAAGGGCGCCATTGTCGCTGTCGACGCAACCTTTTCGCCCCCGCCGCTGGTTTTCAACTTGAAACACGGTATGCGAGCTTGCCCAACAGCATTGGTGGCTTTAGTCTTGCCTCGGCTGCCGTGGCAAGTGACAGAAAGCACCGCCTACCGTGACCAAGTTGCAGAAAGCACCACCACGCCCAACTAAAACTTTGACTACGCTTTGCTCCTCACTGCCGTGGTTTGGTGCTGGGGCGGGGGCAACAACGGACGGACACTAGGTGTCGATGTCGTGATGCATTCGACTACAAAGTTCCTTGGGGGCCACTCGGATCTTCTGGGAGGTTCTCTTGTTGTGCCGTCGTTGGAGACGGCCCAGAAGGTAGCTAGCTGCTGCAACGACGATGGTATTGGTCCGCGGGGGCCTCGGGTCGACTGCTGCCAATACCGCATGCATGGGATCGCCGTCCCCTGGACGCAGGTGACTTTGGCGGGCTGACTCGTACTGACTCGTACTGACTCGATATGGATGTGGGACCTGGATAGCTCCGAGCGGATCGCACCGCGCTTGGATCGGTCATGGGCAATATGGAGGCTTGGCTGCTACTTCGTAGCTTGAGGTAAGAAGCGTGCGGAGCCGTGGGGCCAACAGCAAGTGGGGGGAGGGGGCAGGGCTGGACTGGTTGTCCTCAGTCGGCTTTGGCTTTGATCGGCTTTGGCTGTGAAGGCATAGGGCAGTTGTGCTTGGTGGGGCTGGTGTCATCTGGCGCACATGGGCGAGGCGATGCACCATGGAAATATGGAGCAGCCCAGGGCATGGACATCAGCATCGGCGCAATGATGTACATCGACATGGGCATCCGGGGTCTGCGTCAGCGTATATACACAGGTGCAGGGCCACCGAACAGCCGACGATCCAGCGTGATCAACGCCGATGCAGATGTCCATGCCCTGGGCTGGTTTATCGGGCAGCGCCGCCACGACGACTCACAGCCGACTGCTGCAATGCTCTGCTTCAGATCTCTCAATGTTCGCGTGTTGCAGCAGTCCCGCTCGGCCACGGCGATTGCCCAGTGGCTGAACAGCCGTCTGGATGGGACGAACAACAACCCCGAGGACGACTGCCTCAGCATCGTCGAGAAGGTCTGGCACGGGTCGATTCCCGGGCATCCTGGCCATGAGGTCGCCAAGCGGCTCGGAATGGGACACTCGGGCGTATTCTCGGTCGAGGCAAGTGTCTGGCGATGGCGGTGGCGATGGCGGTGCGGTGCGGCGTGGTGGTGGATGGTGGAGATGCATGCTCGGATGAGACAATATGCGCTGTCCGGGATATTGCCGCTGGCTCGCCTGGCCTACGCTTGCACTCTGTATCGAGAGACCGGCTGACGCTCGAACTTATGCTTGAACCACGCCGCACGCAACTCGGCCCGCCTGTGCATCTGCAATCGCTCTGCGTTGGTATCCGCCCCTCTTGCCGCTCCGCGTCTTCGGCTCGACATGATATCGGACATCCGTCCACCCGGATCCCCCCTTCGCTGGGCCCCACACAGCTCACCAACGCCAGCTTTGCGCGTGTCCTTCCCAGGCATCTGCGTCTGTTCGTGAACGCCACGAGTCTCGGCGGCGTCGAGTCGCTGATCGAGTGGCGGGCCGTGCAGGACCCGCAGATCAGTCCCAAGCTCTGTCGGGTGTCGGTGGGCCTGGAGGACGTCGAGGACCTCAAGCACGACCTGCGCCAGGCCTTTGGGGCGATTCTCCGCGAGGCGGCGTCATCGTGAGCAATCCCTGCTGTGGCTGGCAGTTGCGAGCCGTTGCTGCCAGCCAGTGCCGCAAGCCATCACTGTGACCAAGCAGAGGTTGCACGAAGGCCGCACAGACAGAATAAATGTTCCGCCGATTGTGCCCAAGCCACCCGCCAGCCTTGTTTGTGTGGGCCGCGCAGCCTCCGGCAGCAAGGACGCGGTCGCGCGGGGGCGCTGGTGTGCCAGGGCCGCGCCTTGCGCTGCTGCGATTGGTCCGATCTCGCGCTTGTCACGCCAGGATGTCGCCTGTTACACGGTTCTCACTGTGGATTCACCGCCAGGCAAGCATTCGGGGTGGAGAGCAGTCACTGCAGATGCGGCCTCGACCCCAAATGCATATGCATGGTCTGCGGGCCAGCAGCGGGCCAGCAGCGGAGACAGCGGTTGGAGACAAGCGGCGAGAGGGACATGTTCAATCGAAGTGCTCGGTCGAAGTGCTCGGTCGAAGCGTTCGGTCGAAGTGCCCGGTCGATATGTCGCCGCCTCTCACCAGCACGGTGTTTTGTCTGCCAGGGGCTGCTGGGATGTCTCTCTCCATCGGCACAGCAGCATGCGCTGAATGTTCTCCCGACGAGACCAGCACACCCTCTAAGGCTGCCCTTGCGATGGGAGGCCGGCGCTCCCCGGCCCCGCACAGCGCAGGGATCTGCCGACGCAGATGCGCTTGTCTGCGAAGGAGCTGTTGCACCGAGACTGAGCTAGGGCGAGAACAAAAGCAAGAGCAAGAGCGGGTGCGGGAACAAGATCCAGCACTGCATTAGAACAACACGACCGTTGAACAACACGACCGTTGAACAACACGGCATTTGAACATCACCGCAGTCGACATCACCGCCCACCAGCAGCAACAACAACAGCAGCAGCAACAACAGTATCAACAGCAGTATCAACAGCAGTAACAACATCTGCGGCCGCGTGCGGTCCCGTCGCCTGGACACACTTGCAAACAGACCCGCCGTGGCCTCTCGCCCGCTCTCGCCCGCTCTCGCCAGCAGCACGGGGCCGGCCCTGCCCCCAGCAACAAACACCGCTGCCGCCGCCGTATCTCGGCCTGCCTTGCAGCGTCCCCCACTCCCTCCGCGCTGCCCCGCCCATGCCCACCCAGCCGAGCCGTTGTTTTTTTTTCGCCTCCTTGCCGACCCCCCAGCCAAACCATCCAGTGCCTCATCGACTCTTTCTGCTGATATAAAGCCTGTGTGTTCTCCGACAGCCCTCCTCTTTACTGACGGCTTCCCTCCTGCCAAACTCCCGTCTTTATCTTTCCGACTTGTCCCAGTCCATCTCTCTGGCCTCACCACATAGCGCCTGCCGGGCTGCCTGTACCATTCCTGCTGAGTCGATAGCGTCTGCTGTCTCCGTTCCCCTCCCCCTCGCTCTGCATCTGCCGTCTCCCACGCCAGCATGTCCTCGGAGCAGAGTCTGCTGCCTTCCCATCCCGAGGGACCTCCCGATCCAAGCGCGGCTCCGCGACGAACTCCCCTGCACTTTGTCCAGCAGCCGCATCAGTCTATCCCGCCCCCGCCGGGTTATTTGGTTCCTCCTGTCAACTCGGGTGCTCCGGCCCTCCAGTCGCCGGGTGACAAGCCCCTCGATGTTGTCTCGCCCACAGACTCGGACCTGAATGCTTACGGCGTCCGCCAAAAGTCCCTTACCCGGTCCAATGCTGCTCGCCACAACTCGGTCATCTCTAGCAGAACCAACGCCAGTGTCCGCTCCAATCGCAGCAACTTTGGCCAGTCTGTCCATGGCCTGGCCAAAGAAGAAAACGCCGAACACTTTGACTGGAACACCCTCGGTCGCTCCTCAACCCACGGAGCCTCCTTCTCGCGGGGCCACGCCTCCATCCGCTCTGGCCTCGACCGCCAGAAGACCCGCAAGACCGAGGTCTGGACCATCGTCAAGGTCACCTGGACCGTTCTGTTGTGCCTGGCCCTCATCACCCCGTTGATCGTCAGTAAGTTGACCACCGTGCGATGCAGTGCAGTGCAATTCAATGCAGTGCGGTGCGATGCAATGTCCGGTCTGCACCGCATCCTGCTGTCTCGCCCCTGGGTGTTTCGGCGCATGGCCACATCCTTTGTCGGTGGCGAGAACGAGACGACAGCCACCCGTCCCTGGCAGTCCAGCCCCATTTTGGATTCATATGCCACGCCAGCATCCCCCCTGCTGTGCCTCGCCGGCCGTGCTCGCCGCTTCACCACACCACACCGCTCCTCCAGACTAACGCTTGCCCTTCCCCCATCCAGGTTATGCCCTGCGAATCGCCATCATCCCCTCCCGCTATGTTACCCTCGGTCTCTACGGTATCCTCGTCCTGGTCCACTACACTGCTCAGCTCATCTTTGCAACCCTCAACCGCAGATGGGTCCGGCGGCTGGTCGAGAAGCGACCAAGTGACTGGGTCGGTGTCAGCACCGGCCTGCTCATTGTCGGATATCGCGAGGACCCCGAGCTCTTCCGCCAGTGTCTCCGATCTGTGCGTGAATTGAACTACGAGAATCTGCGAGGTAAGCCCCGGCTGTCTCCCCCACCTCATCGAGTGGCCCTGGCTGTTTGGTTCAACCAGCCCAGTATGGCATTCCGCTCGCTTGACATCTCCCTCCCCTTCACGCATCCTGCATCCTGCATCCTGCCTCTGACTCCCTCTGGTCTGCCTTGGCACAGAAATCATCGTCGTCGTCGACGGCGACAACGAGGACGACCGATACATGGGGCAGATCTTCCAGGAGGTCTTTGTCCACGACGATGCCACGCTCCTCTACCCCGGCTTTGCGATCGCCGATGTTGACCAGAACGACCCGCGCATCCAGGAGCTCTACGCCGACGCCCAGAAGGCCAAGGGCCCCATTTGCATCCTCCAGTGTACGTCACTGTCTCTGCTGCTTCCTGCTAGTGACCCCATCGCCGCTCGTGCCAGGTTGCAGACGGCTGGATAGCCCATCTTGACCCACATCATTCCACTCCTGACTCGCATTATCCCAACTCACCCAACCATACTGTTCCACCCCACCAGCCCACGGAGGCAAGCGCCACGCCATGTACACCGGCTTCCAGATCCTCATGAACGCCCTCCCCGTTGACTCGGTTGTCGTCACGGACTCAGATACCGTGCTCGATCCCGAGTCGGTTCGTGAGCTGGCCTTTATGCTGGAGGACCCCAAGGTCGGCGCCGCCACGGGCGATGTTCAGATCTGGAACGACGTCAACTGGCTCTCGTTTTTGACTGCCCTCCGCTACTGGTATGCATTCAACATCGAGCGTGCCTGCCAGAGTTTCCACCGCTGCGTCGGCTGCGTCTCGGGTCCCCTGGGTATCTACCGAACCGAGGTTCTCAAGGAGATTGTCGAGCCCTGGGTCACCCAGACCTTCCTTGGTGTGCCTTGCACCTACGGCGACGATCGGCACTTGACCAACCTGACCCTCAAGCTCGGCAAGCGCGTCGTCTACACCCAATACGCCAGCTGTCTGACCGAGACGCCAACCAAGTACATTCGCTGGGTCGTCCAGCAGACGCGCTGGAGCAAGTCCTTCTACCGAGAGGGTCTGTTCAACCTGCGTTGGCTGCACCGACACAGCCCTTGGATGGGGTAAGCCTTGCCCCAGATGATGCCCATCGCGGGCGTTGATTGCACTACGGACCGTCGCTGCGACTCAGCCACTCGATGCGATTTCGTCTCGTCCATCCCAAGACGCAACCAGGCTAACACTGACTCGTAACTGGATTGCCCGATCTCCTGGACAGATACGAGCTCATGTTCCAAGGCATCTACCCGTTTGTTCTGCTCTACATTGTCTTGTACACCCTGTACGCTCGAACGCTGTTCCAGCTGATCGTCTGGGCCAACATCGTCATCCTCATGGGTTTCTACAAGTCGATCTTTGCCTTGATTCGTCTCGGGCGAGGCCCGCTTCCTGCTCTCTCCCTTCTACGGCTATCTGTACCTGTTCGGCTTCATCGTTGGTGAGTCAACACCTCCCCCCTCCCAACCAGCGCAAACCGAGGCATCCCGGGCACCCTGTCGAATGAGCAACGTTGCAATGCTATTCTCTTTGCGTCTGTCTAATGCTCTCTGTGACACTCTGTCGCTGGTTTCTCCTCCACCCACAGCCAAGATTCAAGGCCCTGCTGTTCCTCTGGGATAACGGATGGGGAACGTCGTCGCGCTTTGGTGCTGCCTTGTCCAGATGGCAGCAGGCCATCTTCCCTATCCTGTGGTTCATGATCGTCCTTGGCGGCGTTTCAGTCAATTTGTGGAGATTCTTCACGGACTCGAAGCAGGTCTTTGGCCTCAAGGACATCATCGGCCTTGGCGTCCTTGGCGGGCTCCTCCTCTTCTGGCTTGTCGGGTACAACATCTACCAGTTCCACCGCCGCAGCCAGAGGGTCGACGCCTCTCCGAGTCAATCCGTCTAAAGCACCTTGCCCGAGTGCCCCCCCCCGCGCCAGACTCTGCAGCGCCATTTACCCGTCGATTTTGTATCCTGTGCTCTGGACGGACGTCTTCTCAATCCCTCCCCTCCTTCTGATCATGCGCGCCGTACGGCCGTGACAATCCTCATCGCCATATTTTTCCCGTATCCCTACCTGTCTACGCAATCTCATCTATCGCTAAGCGCAGCGCCCCGTTTGTCTCTTGGCGTTGCTGCCTTAATTTACTCTTCTCATTAGCTGGCGCAGCTATTCCCGCCAGCACACCCGCCTGCCTGCCTACTGCGATCTCCCAACAGTTTTGTCTTGGGCTTTATCATTTTGATTTCTGCAGGGTGAACCATATTCCCCTCATTGCTTGCGTTGCTATCCAGCTCCTCCCACTCCGTATGGAGAGAGAGAGATAAGGCCCTCCTCCTGCCCATCGGCCGCATCGGCTTTTGCAAATGCGCTTCTGACAGCGACCTTCTCCCCCCGTCCCTGAATCGAGCAATAGACAGTCATCCTCTCAATGCGATACTCTGCTCTGTTTCCGAGGACGGGAGAGCCTGTCGTTCGTCAGTGGGGATTTGCGGCTGGTGACTCTCCTGATGGCTTTGATGGTTTTGATGGCTGGCAAAGTACCTCGCGCTCTCTCCTTCATGGCAGCGCGGAAATTAGTTTATAGAATGACGGCTCTCCGTCTCGTCCAAGTTCTCGAGGACCAGCCGCTCCTGGGCTGGCTGGGCCTTATCCACCCGACTTCATTGCTTCCTTCGCTTGTTCGCTTGCTCGTCCTTTTCTCTTCTCACAGCGTTTCCAAAATGAAACGGGACACCCCCGTTTTTAACCAGGACGGTGTTTTTTCTGGAACCTGAATACACTCATCGCATTCATGGCCAAGCAAGTGTGTCCGAGGAGACCGAAGTGGTGATTGCCTTTGGGAATGTCCTCTTGGAAACAGGGGAAGGGATATGCATTCCAGTCCCAGGAGACTCAGGTTTGCTAAGTATTTGAGCAGCTCTTACACCACCAGAGACGCCCACCAGACCGACCCGTCTCCAAGATCCATGTGTGCTCGGTGAACGAGTTCAACACATCTCAGGTGTGCTCACATTGTCGGGAAGCCAAGCGACTCGAGAAGGTCGAGCATCTTGATATCGAAAAACCACACTTTGTCCGGAGCTGTACAAGCTGCCATACGCTGTGGGATCGAGACATCAATGCAGCCAGGAACATGATCTCGGTATGCCAGTCGATCATCGCCACAGGAGATCGACCGGGTGTATTCAAGACTGTGCTCCCGAAACCAACCAAAATCACTCGATTGCCAACCAGGACGGGAAACAATCTCACGGCTTGCTCACTGGAGCCTACAGTCAGTCAGCGGGTTTCAGACATCTGAAGCCAGGAATGGAATCTGTCCCGTTTCTTTCTGGATTGACTGCTCGCCGATATTCCTCCTCCAACTGATTATTGCACTGAGTGAGATGGACCCGCCACTTGCTCTGACTTCTCCCCTGGTCGCGTTGCACCCAAGAACATCACAATGAATTATTTCACGGCCGCTCATCTCGGTCACCCGAAAGTTACGCTGTATGTTGCGCAGAGTTAGGCTGCTGCGCATAGACTCGACTTAGTGTTGTTTGCTGGTATTCGGTATCACCTTGAGCCGACTGTCGGTGATAGGGTACCAGATCCTCATAATATCCCAGAAGTACTTTATCACGTGTCTCATGCTGCGCAGAATGCATTCGATCCTGGATGCATCCTGGATTGTTCCTATTTCCGGCTCCAGCCGGCTCCAATGAAGACAATCTTGGTTCATTTGGCTTCATTCATTTGGATTCCGCTTCCATTTCCATTGGTCGCCCGCCAAACCCCGCGTCCATCCAAACTCGGGTCCTCCGCTTCCCCGCCAGTCCATTGCCTCCGCTGCATGATCCCCACAGCGAACCAATCGAGGACACCTTCCGTGGTCATCGTCCCGCCCTCGCCGTCAAGTCCGCCCGCTCGGCGCCGACACAATCGGCGCGAAGGTGGGCGATTGGCGTGGAGGAATGACCAATTGTATCATTGTATCGTTGTTGGAAGCTCCACTCCGATTACGGACAAGATGTAAAGGACACCATCTGAATCTCTCTGGTTGGAAACCTAGTCAAGCGCGGCTGTGTGTCAGTGAGATGGCATAACCATTCGCCACACAACCGACTTTCGCATCGCCAGATGTCTTCCCACGACTGATTGAGCATGGGAGAGCATTTGGGGTTGAGTCACCACCGATTTGGGGTTGAGTCCCTCCAATCCTGGGTCGAGCCACCCCGATCACACCGCCATTTTCACGCTCACATCCCTGTCTTGAGCCTCTCGGCGATTTTTGAACAGGGTCACTTCCCCAACCAGCCCGCAAAGACGGGCTCCTGCTCTCGGGTATAAATGCCACACCTTCGTCCTGCTGCTTTCTTCCCTCATCTCGCCTTGATCTGATCATCGCGCTATTGTACGATAAAGAGAAGTCTCTGCTCTGACCAGTACCACTGGCAGGCACCCAGCATCCTCTGCCCCCATGCCTCCGAAGCGTAAGGGTACCGGTGATGGCCAGCCTCGGCCACCCAGGCCCAAGAAAGCCAAGTCACAGTCGGAGCCTGTCTCTGGTTCGTATTCTGATCTCACGCATGCTTGTTTCTCTGTTGCTCCGTCGCTCACCACCACTGCTTCTGCAGATCCAATGGATGTCGATCCCACCGAGCCTGGTCCATCTACTTCCTCGAGTACCGGCAAGCGATGTCGCCAGTGCGATGGTACCGATCACGAGCGAAGCAACACTAGCAAGTGTCCAAAATACCGGCCCCTCAAGAGTTCTGTCGTCCCACTCGTGGATGGAAGGTCATCCGCCCCTCAGTTCAGCTGCTTCAAGCAGACCATGGATGGCTGTTGTCTCAATCCCGCTCTCCGCGACAAGATCCAGGCCACCGTCGAGGCCATGACCCAGATCCAGTTCGAGGCATCCAGGCTGCTCAACCTACATATCCTCCGGTGCATCGAGCAGGATCTTCCCGTCCCCGTCATCTCCAAGTCCACCCCTGCTTTCGTTCGCCAGTGCTTCAAGATTGTCCAGGCCGATGCCCTCTCGCCGACCGGGGACAATGAGAAATACAACAAGCAGCTGGTTGATTCCTTTGGCATCTACCAGTCCGTCCGACACCCTGGCTTGCCTCCGGCCCTCGTCTACCTTCAGGAACTAGTGGACACCTCATCGGCATTGCAGTTCAGTCCTATGCCACCAACTGAACCACCCGCCTCAACCTGGCCTACTGGAGACTCCTTCGTCGCTTCTGTGCTGCTGTCTTTCCTGCCAACGAGCACAGAAGCGACGAATGAGTCTCCTGTAGGCCAGGTTGAGGTGCGTCGTGCAGTTGGTGGCATAGGACTGGACTGCAATGCCGATGAGGTAGTGACGAGCACCATCAGGCAGACGAGGGGCCGGAGGCAGGTCTGCGTGCCGAGTGGTCTGGTAGTCGCCAAAGGAAGCGATCAGCTTCTGCTCGTTGTATTTCTCATTGTCCCCGGTCGGGGAGAGCGCACCGGCCTGGACGATCTTGAAGCACTGGCGGATGAATGCAGGGGTGGCCTGGATCTTGCCTCAGAGGTCGGGATTGAGCCACTCGTTGTACTCGTTCTTCCAGAAGAATCTATCCATGGTCTGCTTGAAGCAGCTGTATTGGGGGTCGGATGTCCTGCCATCTTCCATGAGAGGGACAGCGGGGCTCTTGAGGGGCCGGTAGTTGGGACAAGCCTTGCTCGAAGCCCGAGAGTGACCTGGGAGCTGGCATGAAGCAACAGACAGGACCAGTGGCCGTTGTAGCAGCAGCAGTGTCGCTCGAGGGACCGGGTTCGGTGGTGTCGACATCCATCGACTCGGCAGGAAGCTCGTGGGTGTGGGTGGCATGGCCCTGGTTGCGGAGCGTTTGGGCCTGGGTGGCCGAGGCTGGCCATCACCGGTACCCTTACGCTTCGGAGGCATGGGGACAGAGGGTGCTGGATGTCTGCCAGTGGTACAGGTCAGAAGCAGAGACTTTTTTTATCGTACAATGGCGCGATGATCAGATCAAGGCGAGATGAGGGAAGAAAGTAGCAGGACGAAGGTGCGGCATTTATACCCGAGAGCAGGAGCCCGTCTGTGCGGGCTGGTTGGGGAAGCGACCCTGTTCAAAAATCGCCGAGAGGCTCAAGACAGGGATGTGAGCGTGAAAATGGCGGTGTGATCGGGGTGGCTCGACCCAGGATTGGAGGGACTCAACCCCAAATCGGTGGGGACTCAACCCCAAAGAAGTTCTCGATGGGATTGAAGTCGGGTGAAGCAGGTGGGGTGAAGATCACTGACCATCCTCGGCGCTCGATGCAGTCCAGGACAGCCCTTGTCTTGTGCATGCTGACATTGTCCATCACAACCACAGAGTCGTCTGGGAAGCTCGCTCGCTCAAAGAACTCGACCATCGAGTGTGTCTTGAATGATGTGGGGATATACATGCGATGCAGCACACCAGAGTGGTTGATGGCAAATGCAGCCGAGACAGACTTGTGTTTCATGTGATTGCGCTGGCGAAGCGGAGCACCCTTCGGTGAGTATCCGTAGAGAGGAAAATGGATCTCCTGATCCCTGTCTCATCGACAAAAACGAATCGCCGCGGGGTCAATGGAGCGGACCTGGTCCCTGAACTGTGCCACTCGCTCATCCAGTCGCTTGGACTTGTAGAGGTGTGTTGCCCTCTTGTGTGAGAGACCTGCTCGGTGGATGGCAGTGTGGCAGAGTGAGAGTGATACTTTCCTCTGGAGGATGGACTCGAGCTTGCATCGCAACACAGGACCAGTCTGGAACGGGTCCTGTTCAATCAGGGTGCGGATGACTGGACATGCCTGCTCAAAGAAAGTGGATCTGCGAGCTGGGACCCGGGATGGGTCATCCAGCTTGCATCCTCGGTGCCATCGATGGATGGTGCTCTTGGATACACTGAATATGGAGGCGAACTTGCGCAAGCTGCGGAGCAGCGATGCGGAAATCGAGGGTGCTGTGCTTGGCCATGGTTGCAATGAGTGGGTGGGTGGGTGTATTCAGGTCACAGAAACACCCTGTCAGGTCACAGTACCAGGGTGTCCCGTTTTTTATTGGATTGCCATTATTCTCGCACGCGGACTCGTCCATCCACCGGCCGATTCCATCCGTTCTTCCTCGTGGCCTGCGTCCAGCCCCGCAGTCCCGCCGAGGTCCTTAAAACCCCCACCGGGTCTCTGCCCAGCATTCCGCACCATCGTTCGCTCTCCGTCTCTGTCTCCCTTCTCTCGCTCTCCACAGCACCAGACACACGTCTCCCGGGCCATGCGTCTCTTCAATCTCACCACCGCCAAGGTCGAGGAATACGATGTTCTCGATCCCAGCAAGCTGCCCAAGTTCGCCGCTGTCTCCTATGTCTGGGCCGATCCCAAATCGTCCTCAGCCGCCGGCTGGCAGACCATGGCCATGCCAATCGGACCTGACCAGTCTCCCGCCCCGCAAAGCCAGCTCTCGGCTCCACCAGTCTCCCGCCAGCGGTCCTCCTCGCCGTCCCGTCTTCCCGCCCAGCCGCAGACCCAGCAGCGCCAAAGTGCCGCCACCTTCACGTCGCCCTGGAAAATCTTCAGCTGCTCGTCGCAGGAGCTTCTGGGCGCCATCACAGCAATTAAGAAGGCGCTGACCGAGCCCTCGGATCTCAAGAATGCCAGCGAGACCATCGAGGAGCCCCCGGTTCCGAAAGCGACGCACATCTGGATGGATGTCCTGTGCATCAACCAAGGTATGCCTCTCTGCCGTCCGTCCGACTGACGCTCCCAGATGGCTTGTCGTCCGCACCACACCTCGACTCGGTGTCCGCTCTGCCTGCGTAGAGTCTTGCAGAAGACCGCAAGCTCCATCCCCTCGCTCCACATTCACACACACACCCAGCGAGTGCTGCTTCGCTAATCTCGCATTCGTTTCTGTCTGCAGACTCACTCGAGGACAAGCAGAAAGAGGTCCAGAACATGCGATTCTACTACGGAAAGGCAGCGTGCGTCTTCACCTTCCTGGATGTCCTTGGAGTGCCGAGTCTGCCGGTGACCCCCAAGGGCCCCGCCAAGTGGTTCACACGGCTGTGGACGCTCCAGGAGTGCATTCTTCCCGACAATCTATTCATCTACGTTGATACTCCTTCCCAGGGACCCCGGTGGCTGTCCCGATCGACGACCTGTGCTCTCATCGCCGGTCTCGGCAGCTTTGGCATTTGGTCTCCTCCCTCCGAGGAAGCTGCCACCGTCGCTGCCCAGCAACTCCAGGCCCTGGCCATCCGCTCGCCGTCGATCCACACCATCATTCCGCTTGCCATGTGCCGCAACGTTCGATTCAAGCACGACCGCTTCTACGGCATCATGGGCCTGCTGACCGAAAAGTGGGTCAGTCACTCAAAATTCAACTACGATCTCAACAAACCCGCAGAGCATGCTGCCTCCCAGTTTGCCCGCGCGCTCACACCCCAGGGCATCGAGGCCTTTGCCCTGTTTGCACCGTCATACGCCAACATCTCGTCGGTGCCGCAGATTGTCAAAAGCGTCGTCAGTGCCACTGGTGGGTCCAGCGCCGAGAAGAAGCCCCAAGCCCCTCCCGTCGCTCCTGCTGCTGGCCCGGTGACCCAGCCTCCGTCGCCCATATCGCCGGCTGCAGTGCTGCCGACCATAGCCCAGGTGCAGGAGGTTGGCTCGCGGGGGCTGTCGACCCTGGTTGCCAGCGCAAGAGATTTGACAACGTCTGCATCGGTTGCTGTCAGCACCTCGACGCCAACTACTGCACCAGTTGCGGCCAAGACAGCGACGGGGCCTCCCGCTGCCAAGACCCCAATTGCAAATCCCACAGCTGCCAAGACCCCAGTTGCAAATCCCACAACTACCAAGGCTCCTACTTCAACTTCCACAACTGCCAAGACCCCAATTGCAAATCCCACAACTGCCAAGGCCCCAGTTGCAAATCCCACAACTACCAAGGCTCCTACTTCAACTTCCACAACTTCCAAGACCCCAGCTGCAAATCCCGCCGCTGCCAAGGCTCCAGCTGCACCGCAGGTCGCCAAACCCACTTCCACCAACCCCACGGTCAAAGCGCCGGCTCCATCAGCCAATGCGGGCAAGCCTGCGGTATCCCCGCCCTCAGCCCCCGCCCGAGCTGCAGCAACAGCCAAAGCTCCAACACCAGCACCAGCACCAGCACCAGCTACAGTCCCAGCCATATCCATCACCAAACCGCCAGTTGCTGCACCCGCCACGGCCGTTGCCCCGGCTGCCGATACCAAGCCAGGCGAGACCCAACCTGCAGTTGACAACCAGTGCCCGGACACCACGCTCAATCAAGAGTTTTCGTGGTTCGCCAAGTTCTCCACCCATTCGTATATCGTCGGAGGCGTCCCCATTGTCCTGCCGCGTGAAGAGGCCCTTTATTATCTCGAGACGGGACAGCTCCATCAGCAACTCGGCACCGAGTCCCCCAAGAGCACCGTCAGCTACCGGGTCACCTCCCGCGGCGTCGAGCTCACCGGCACGGTGACCAACCAGATTGCAGCGGTCCAGAACCTCGAGGGCGTTGCCACAAAGTCCTTCGAGTATATTGGCGAGCGGTTCGAGAAGGCCAACTACATTGCCGACATTGCGATGCTCCTCGTGGGCTTCCATGTGCCGAAGCAGACGGTGCTCTGGGGACTGGGCGAGGCCGGCCGGGCCGTCCAGCAGCCCACTGAAGACCAGACAACAATCTCGGGCGCTTGGAAGAGCTTCCGAGGCTGGGTCAAGGACACGGTCATCAAGTCCAGCATTCCTCTCCTGGAGATGCTCGACCGAGTCATCTTCTCGGGTTACTACCCGAGCATCGTTGACACCTACCAGATCTCCCTCGCCAACGGCAGCGTCCTCATCGGTCGGCTGACGCCCTCGCCAGAGCTGCTGGAAATGGCCGAGTGCCAGCGGAAACGCGAGCAGTGGGAGCAGGACGACGAAGATGCCCGGCCTGCTCCTCCCAAGCCCTTTGGCAAGAAACTGTATCTGACCTACATCAAGCGGAGTGTGTACTCGGTCACGGGCTGCGCTGAAAACAAGACCGACCTGTATACACTCTGCTGCCAAGAGGGCGAGTTTGACGGCCAGAACCTGCGGGCCCGCAAGATCGGTGTCTTCCACGCGACAGAGATCGTGTCCCCCAAGAAGACCAGCACGTTCGATATCAAAAAGGTCATCATCGTCTGAGCCATGTTGATCCTCGGCGAGGGCGCGTATGATGGTTTGTATGAAGGGCTTCAAGAATACCTGGCCGAGCAGCGAGAAGTGTGTTGGTGCGGAGCGCCGCTGCATCGGCCTTTGCTGCTTGTAGGCATCATCCAGATACTCCAAGGAAGGTGAAGCAGCCCCGCGTGCGCCCGGGTGCAGCTCGAATACACCTTCTTTTCTCTGTAATAACGGCATATGCAGGCCGACGCTGGGACGCTTGCACTGGGTCGTGGGTCGCAATCGCCACCGCCCGGGGCGGTCCACCCTCCTGGCTCACCTCTGTCCATGGTGCATGTTGTGGGGGAGTGCAACTGATCCTGTCGCACCAACGACTGCACAAGCCCATGTCGTCTGTGGCTGGCCCCCAACAAACCACAGCCCGCTGCTCGGGGCTGTGCCTGTCCGTCTGAGCTGGTGAATGCCCGCTCCAACAGCCTCCTGTCCAGCATCTGTCTGCATCTGCCTGCACCTGCAGCCCGCCTGTGCCCGCACCTTCGCCCGCATCTGCGTCTACGCCTGCATCTGCGTCATGTCGGCCCCGCCTCCCGCACTCGATCCCGCCAACGTCCAGTGGCTGCTTCACTATGGCCGTCGGTCGATTCTTCCCCGCTGCGTCAACTCCACCAACATCAAGACCATGACCTTCCCCGACAACCTGGGCGACATCCTGTACGCAAGCAACCGCTGCATGCCTCGGGCATGGATCGACAACCGCACGGCCACCAGCTACGCCTATCTTTCTGTCGTTCCCGCCGCCGGTCGCATCTATCTCAGCGACTGCGGCCGGAACTCATCCTGTCGGGCAGGATGCACCGTCGCCGCTCAGTTCTCCACACACACCTTGGATCCGTGCACAGCCAGCTTCTTCACAGGGGCCTACAGCAACAGTGACTATCTCTCGACCGAGTGAGTCACTGTCGGTGCGATGCTGGCTGGCCCAGGGACGCGGGATATCCCCGGATGTCGGGATTTGATGGATGGAGAGTCGCTGGATACAGCACCGATCGATTGGGAATCGCTGGACAATATCCCTTGGCCCCTGGCATCCCCCGCTTCCAAGTGGGATGCCTGTCCATGTCGGGTCTAACTGATTTGCATCTCATGTTCGTCTTCCTTTCCGTCTTCTCGGCTGTCGTTGCCCTCGCCTCTTGCATCGTAGCCTGTGGGACCCAAACTTCAACACACCGTATTTCGCATACATTACAAGGAGCTTTGGCGACTCGACCTGTGCCAACGTCAGCCTTGCTATTCGGAACCCCATCTACCAGAACTGCACCAAGATGCCGGACGGGAGCTACAGCGTCTACTCCAACACCGAGACTCCCGGACTGGTCTTTTGGAGTCGCAGCAGCGATGCAAACTGTTCAACCAACACCGGCGGCATATCCAGATTCACCATCAACACCCGCTGCAGCTCCAGCCAAAGTTCTGGCCTTCTTGTTGGTGGATACGAGCAGGGCCCGCTTCTCAACGTTCCAAGCCTCAACCTTTCGGCCCGCATGCCTGCGTCACGACCACGGCCACTCCCGCCGCCATCATACCCGTCGGGATACTCACCTCCGATCGGCCTCATGGTTGGGCTTGTTGTCGGGCGTAAGTGATTTGTTGCTCGGTGGACACCGCAGTCCATCCGGGATGCCCTTTGCTCGTCTCGATAGCACGCCGCCCCGGAGCACCCGATTCTGCTCGATGTCGTTCGTATCTGACTCCACATTCCCTCACTACAACATACCCCAGCGCTGCTTCTCTCCGTCGTCATCTTCACCATTCGCAAGTTTTCAAGTCTTGGCGCTCAAAGCGCTTTCAACTTCCAGCAGTCTAATTTTGGTCCAATGGTCATCGATACCCTCCCACGCTACACGCAGCAAGGATCAACTTCAGAAACCGAGCCGCCTCCGCCCGCAAGACCGTCACCGCCGCCATACGCAATGGACGCCGACAGCATACCCGCTGCTTCGTATGAGCTTTCCGACGTTCGGAGACAGCAGCAACCCGCATCACCTGCACTTGACGGCGAGCCGCCAAGCTACGGCATGCTGTATTCTAGTGAAGATGGAACTGTCGCCGAGCCACCTGCTTCACCAACCGGATCGACGGACAATATCCTGCGGCCGGCAGGCGACCGCAAGTCGGCGAATGGCTAGCCTCAATGCAACCGTTGGTTTGGGCCAGCCCGTTTGTTATCCAGGCGCAAAGGGTCTGCGACTACTGCGCTGGCTGTCAGAAAAATACAGAGCACGCCGGAGCGGATGATGCCCCGGCGCTTCCCCGTGGGGATGATGGACAGAGAAACAGCGGCTCCAGCCCCATTGCGTTCTGGGGACATGATTCCATGGTGATGGCAAAGGCAAACTTGGGAGGACAAAGCCGCGCCACGCGGCACCGCCACGAGCCAGCCCAATCAATATTCCCATATATGGAGGGGAGATCCATGTCGGTTTCGGCGGTGCTGTTTCGTTTTGGTTCGGTTCGCTTCGATTCGGCCAGCCCAGGCGTCCTCTGTCGCTCCTTCCGGCTCTATCGACTGCATCGACTGCATCGACACCAACAGACTGCACCTTTGCTTCATTCACCTCGAGCGCTTCCAGCCGCCATGGACAATCAATACGATGCTGGTGCGCCGCCGCTTTCGTACGAAGACGAGCAGGCGCTGCGCCGATACCAGCTCGAGCAGTTCAGGGCAAACCGCCTGGCCCGAATCCAAGCGTAAGCGATCCGGTGGCCCTTGCGTCAGTTCATGTATGCCGTCCGCAAGCCGGGCTGCAGCAGCTGCACCGATGTTGACTGTATGCCTTCGGCCGTGCTGCATTCCTTCGCTTTCCTCCTCCCTCCACCAGCGAAAAGCTCAAGAGCCAACGCGAGGCCCAGAGTATCTTTGCTGTGCCGAAATCCGTTCCGCATGAGCCAGTGCTGACAATGATTCATCCATGTAAGTGGGCGAAGCGAGTCGCTGCTGGCGAAAGCGTCGGAACAGCTGCTCCTGAACCGCTCGGCAGCAGAGCATGCGGGCCTTGATGGTGCAACCCACAGCGATCCAAGACCCGGATGATTGATGGCAATCTCGGTGGCAATCTCGGTGGCAATCTCGGTGGCAACCTCGATCTATCCAAGCCCTGCACATGGCGGCGCTGCTCAGATTTTCGCATGGGGCTGACCTCGAGCAACCCGATACTAACGCACGACTGCATCATCCCATCAAGCCCTCGAAACAGAGGCCCAGCCCGCCGCTCCTGATCCCAGGCCCAGTCAAACTCGCCCACCCTCGAGACCTGGAACTGGTCGTGTTCTGGCCACCAGCAGCTCCTCGCGCAGAGCACAGTCAGCCAAGAGCGACAGTGGCTCAACGCAGATGGCTGTCGACTCACCGGATGTGGAATCCCTCTCGACAGCAGCCGGACCTCCTGTGTCTTCCAGAACCCATGGCCCTGCGAGCGAGCCGTCCATGCCCCGACCTGGAGCTTCAATTCGCGCGCCGTCAAATCCCATGACGATGCCTCGATCCACCAGAGCGCCAAACCGCCCGGAGGCGGTCAGCCGGGCCAGCCGAGAGCCATCAAAACGACCAGCACACCAAAAAGATGCGCCAAAGCCGGTGGCATCCGCACAGGGCTTCCAGCAGCGAGGTGCCGTGCCGCAAAATGATCGCCCCAATACAGCTCGGAAGCCCCAATCCCAAACGACAGAGCCCAGCATTGCCGTGTCGACCCAGAAGAAGGTCTTGTCGGCATCGTCCTTGCGAGCAGAGCTGTCTTCAAGCCGCCTGTTCCGTAAAGTGTTTGTAGACGATGCTCTGAGCGCTCTGCCAAGCGGATCAGCTCCCGCAACGGTGGAGTCTGGCAATATGCCGCCTCGGCCCGACCTCGCTCCGCCCCCGTTTTCACTTTCGAACCCGATTTGCTACGAACGGTAGGCACTTTTACAGCCAGCATCCTGCTGATGCCATGCCCTGGGCTTCTATGCCCAAGCCAAGGTCGCAGCAGACTTACCTGGACACAGTGCCCATCCGCCACCGTGCGAATTGGGAATGCAAGACTCCGCATAGCGGGGCCTGGCTCGCCGCGAGTGCAAATGGAGCTACAGATTTCATGTTTTGCTCGTCGCTTCATTTTGCTGATGGTTTCGATTGCCTTTGTCCATGCACTTCCGCCGCTTCCCACGATGATGGATCAATGCCCAAGACCTCGCACGCCTCCCCATCTCTCCATCACAAACACCCGATGCACCCAAACGTCACCAACGTCTCGGTCGCTCTGGGAGTCCGAGAGCGACCTGGTGCCTCACCAAATCGAGGACTGTGTGTGTGCTGCTGAAGTCAGCGAAGATGGACGGTACATCCACCAGGCAACCAGCACACGGGATCGCCTTGCATCTACATCGGCTCCATCTACATCAGCCCCGTCCCATCAGTGCACAGTTGCAGCCGACCACAGAGATGCGCAGACCGACTCTGAGTTTTTCAAGGCCCAGATGAGGTATTTGAGGCCGTGCCATCTGCATTGAACCGTCCTGCTCGCACCTGGGCACCTTTGATACACTGACCCACACTGCATGCTCTCAGAGCTTTCCCTATCGGCACATACATGCTCTCGCGGCCACTGCACTGTCAAGTGCTCCACCACGACTCTAGCAAAGTCGTCGGCGAATATCGTCTGGATGTTCCGCCGCTCGATTTGTTTGATCCGCTGGATGCTATCGCAGCGGCAGAGGTGCGTACGAACACTGGTGCAAGGCAGATTGCATATCTTGTACTCCAAAGCCGCCATCCATCGCGATGTCGACACGGATGTTGCTTGGGCGAGTTGAGTCGTGGCGATAACCGGGGCTCCCTCCTTTGCAATCGCGAACTCACACTCACCGGTCGCACCTCGGTTTCTCGGAACGGCACGACGGATCTTTTGGGTGTTGCCAAGCAGGCAGGAAACGTGCGTGTCGCTCGCTTGATCTTCCAAGTGCTGGCTCTCACATCCTCCAATCAAAGCACCGTGTACTTTTTCAACGGAGGAAGAGACCATCGAGTCACGTCGGCAGGGCAGTCTATCGGCCAAAAGGAAGGCATTTGGACATTGTGGGCGCTCTACGAGGAAATCTGGGGCCACGACGAGATCGCCTTGATGGTGTTTACAGAGGCCGAGAAGCGTATCCGCGACGACGAGGTAAAGCGGGGAGATGCTTTGCGGGCGATCGACTGAGCGCAGGCAGCATTGCGGAGAGGTGCCGTATGGGCCGACAAGAACATCGCCGTGATGGAGAGATGTTGACGCCGGCATCGGCAGCTGCGCTGGCACTGGCACTGGTGCTGACATCAACGTTGCGCACGTCTCCCAGGAGCGGGCAAAGCTGTCTCAGAAGCTCAACGAATTCCTTGTGCGTCTCTCTGAACGAGAGCAAGAAAAGGTCGGTCATCGCACTTTGTGCTGCACTTTGACTCCCTGGCACCAGTATGCGAGAGGCGTTGCCGTCATTTATATCACACCGTTGCCGCACCGCTACCCCAACTGTTCGCTCACGACGCCATACATTCTGGTCGGTGCGCGTGACAGACTCCTGGCATTCATTCCTCCATCAGCTCAATGTCGAACTGGCTGGAAGGTGAGCGCAGTCTCGAGCAGTTTGCTTGGCGAGAGGGGGTGACACTCGTGCCCGTGGAGTGGTGTGAATACAGCAGGAACCATCGCCGCCGACTCGGTCTGAAGCATCCTGCACGCCTTTGTTTAGCAGAGTACGAACGAATCAAGCCTGAGCCTGAGACTGCCGCCGACGATACCCCCGAAAGCGACCCAGATCCGTTCGACGACGAGTCGTACTACCAGGATCAACTCGGCCAGGCGCAGCTCCACGACAGGGATGGTCATGCCTCAAGTCACAGCCTGCCGCAGCAAAAAACCGGTGCTGGCATCTTCCAGCGATCGACGGATGCCAAGGCGATGGGCGACTCCTTCGTCTTGGTTTCCGATGACCTTGATCTAGACACCAATCGACGTGCCCGCCCTGTCAGACGCAGTGGTCGATTCACGGCTCCTGTGACTGACAGCGATTCGGAGCCAGAGATTCAGTCCGCAGCTCATCGAAACTTTGGAACCGCTGCCGCTCTGGACAGAACTGCTGCTGGCGGACCACAGACTGGACACACAGCCGGTCTGGCACCTCCGCGGGTCCGTTCTAACAAGGAGCCGGTTTCAGCGATTGTCAAGACGCTTAGGCGGCTCAGCGTCGCCGACGACAGCCTGAGCATTGAAGAGCCACACGAAGACGACCTCGATGGGTTTGTCAAGATTGAGCAGTCGGGCCAGACCAAATCAACGACCGGACAGGCGGCCACGGGAACGCCAAGGAAGAAGCAGCTTGGCGTCAAGTTTGGTGCAGATGATGGGCAGGGAAGCTCCATCACGATTCTGACTCCGGTCAAGGCCAAGAAGCAGCAGCGAGAAGGTACGAGCTCGGTCTAGATTGGCGCGGTGTCTGCCCAACCCGACTGATATTGACACGAGCGCGCATACCCACTTCACAGAGCTTGGTGTCGAAGAGGTCCTGACGCCAGTTCGTCGCTCTCGCCGCTTGTTTTGCGAAGCGGACTATGTGGCCTCGGTCATGGACCTGGACGCAACTCCGACGACCGCCGGACAAATCAAGCGAGAGGATGCGGCTGTGAAACAAGAGTACGATGACGGGCGACATCATGGTCCTGGACGCCTGCATGACGGCATCGGAAAGGGCAATGTTGCCAACGATGACAGCGATGGCGACGGCGACGACAATGAGGGTGAGGATGACGATGACGACATTATTGTCATCAGCGCCTCAAAGCGCACGGGCTCAGTTGCCGATGCCCGCGATGTGGCCACTATGTTGAAGGAGCACGGCTATGCATTTGCGCCGAATGATGTAGGTATCGCGTGGCGGTTGCTCCGCTATTCCGGTCGCAGGGTGCACATGCGAATGGCGCTCGAGAGAGCAGCGTATCACAGAGCAGACCTGTACACTTCGATCCGTTGGGTCGCCCACACAGCTGACTCTTTTGCCCGTGCTTGCTTCAAGGCCCTTGCTCCTGCCAGTCGCAAGCACCGATAATATCCGTCGCTGGCGCGGGAGACAGCCATTGTGCATCATTGTCTATCCTCCAGCCCAGCATAAAAGCAAGCGGACTTTGCCCCCTCCACTGGCTTTGTATCCCCCATTCTGTCATCCTTATCTGATTTGTTTTTCGTTTTTTTGGCTATGCGTTGCGCATTCCGGCTGTCTCGACTGCTTGCACTAAACACCCAAGCCGAGACCTAGTGAATACTGAGTGCCGGATCATCATCGTGAGGCCGGACGGCCAATGCGTGCACCAGGACACAAGTTTGGATCTGTGTTGAATGAAGAGCGCCGAGCATCCTCCTCCTCCCATATCTCTATCTTTGCCATGGTTTGTCGGTGCAAAAGTCTGTATTTTGATGTGTGCGCATGCTCGGCGCTGCTCGAATTCCATAGAGCCCTGCTGTATCTGTTTCGCCCGGCTCAGAAGAGTTGCTGCAAAAACTCAGTGTGTGTTTTGGGGAAGGGCGGCAGTGCCTCGACGTGAGCCAGCGGCAGATGGAGACCCCGCTTGCTCTTGGGCGCTGCTGGTCCGCTCGAGCCATCGACCTTGCTCTTGGGGAGAGCCGTTGCCCGGGCCGACTTTGCCAGCTGGAACTTGTCAACGACAAAGTCCTCCAGCAGCTTGAATATCTCGGTCTGCGCCCCGCCAGCATTCATCGAGTGGTCCGAGTCCGGATAGATCTGCATCCGGTAGTTCCGGATGCCAGCCCCGGTAAGCTTCCAGACCAGGGCTGCGGTGTTTTGCCAGTGGACTGAGATAGAAGGAGACGCGAGGCAACGGAGGTGGCGTCAGTCGAATGAAATGCTGATGGCGCGCTGTTCCAGGTGCGGAGACATGACGAGAAAGCCCGCACACACGAAGGAATCGGGCTTGTTGCTGCAATCGTCTTGCACTCACCATTGTCGTCACCGGAGCCGTGGATGATCAGATAATCGGCATTTCGGAAGCCCTCCATTGAGTCGACCGAGCTCTGCTCGTATCCAGCACCGTTCATCGCCGGAGTCTTCATATAGCGCTCCGTGTACACGGAATCTGTGGCCAGCAAGCAAGGTACAGCACAGGCAAACGTGAGTGCCCCTGATCAACCGAGAGATATCGCGAAGAGACGCATCCTCGATCGAGGGATGAGCGGATTCGAAGCTGTCACGGACTACAACCAAACTCACCATAGTAATGCCAGTCCGTCACCGGCGCCACCGACACGCCAAGACTAAAGACCCTGGAGTTTGTTTCGATGACTTTGGCTGTCAGGTACCCGCCGTAGCTCTGTGGAGGAGCGGAGGGAGACGACAGTGTCAGTTGCGTTGCAATACGAGCTAGCCACGATTCATGGCAATCCTAGTTGCATTCCTAACACCCAGTGCCAGATGGTGAGCGGAAGACACTGTTTGATGGCCCAGACTCGGCCGACTCACCCAGCCCCAGATCCCGATACGGTGCTTGTCCACCCACGGCAGTGTGGCCATGTACTTGGCAGCGGCGACCTGGTCTAGGCTTTCGTACTGGCCGAGGCTCTTGCTAACAATCGTTCGGAACGCGCGGCCCTGGAGCCCGGTACCACGACCATCGACAATCAGCGAAACCACGCCCAGGGCTGTGAACGAGTACATGATATCGATTCCAAAGGTTTGTTGGACCGACTGAGAGTTGGGGCCGCCATAGCTGCAAGGAGGTGTCCACGTTAGGCTCGAATAAGTCAGGATGTTGCGTGACTTTCGCGCTGCGCTCACTGCCGGACGGAGCGGAGTGATGAGACCATCCGCGGAGGAAGGAGGCTACCGCACGTACCATTTCATCATGATGGGGTATTTGGTCTTGCCGGAGGGATCAAAGTTGTGTGGCACGATCAACTTGGCATTCATTTCTGCAATGGATCGGGGGCAGAGCGGGTCAGAACTCCGGACAGGACGTGGACGCATTGGTCGCGAGAGAGTCCGTGGTGGAGGCTGCCTCATGTCAAGTCGACGCGCTTGGAGAGACCTTACCATCTCCATCTTCGTTAGTGATGGTAAAGAACTTGACGGGTGGGAGCTGGAGATTGGAGAGTGTGCTCCGAAGTTTGTCGTTTCGGGTCAAAAAGGACGAGAATGGCTTTGGATTTGCCTCTACACGCCACACAGGGGACCAAATTTGAAAGCATGAGCAACGGACCAACAATCAGCGAGCGAAAATCGACAGCCAACCAGCGAGTGCAGTCCGCGATAGGACAGCAAGTGCTATGCATCATGTCCTTCAGCAGGGCTGACGCAGGCACCGCACCTCCGGTTCGCCTGGCTCTCTTGCTCCCGTCTCCAGACGTGCGGCTTACCATGGGCTCCCTGGACCTTGACGATCTTCGAGTACGGCACATCGGGCCCTTCGTAGGATAGCAGATAGTACTTGCACTTTGGGCTAAAGCTCACACTAAAAAACGCCTCCACGCCGACAGGCTTGGCCGGCAAGTCTCCAGGCGTGGCGTTGAAAATGGGCATGACAGGGACAAGCGTCGTCGCCGGTGGGACCGACCGCGCAGACTTGTCGGCGCCATGGGCCTTGGAGCCTTTGGCGTCGTTCTCGGCAGCGACGGCTGGAGGGGTGAGCTTCAGAGGCGTCGATCCGTCCAGATGGACGCTGTAGAGGTGGCGTTGCGTCGAGCCCTCTTGTGTGGAGATATAGTAGATGATGCCACGATCAAAGTCGATCCCGGAGATCTGAGTCACCTCCCACGGCCCGGTCGTCAACCACGAGGTTGGCTTGTTGGCCGACACCTTGGCGTAGTAAGCAATGTGCGTGTATCCGTTCTCGTCTTCGGCAAGCTCGACGTAGCTGGGTTCAGCGCGTCCGACAGCCGACGAGGGCTCGATCACATGGAGGGGCCGCAGCTACAGTACCAGCACGGCGCCAGAAGCATCAGCACAGAATCAGTACGAGAGATTTCAGAGCGCGAGCAGCATCGGCCGTACGCGGATGGAGCAACAACAGCAACAACAGTGACAACAGCAACAACAACGGACATAGCCCTCTGGTGCCACGCTATCGCCGAGAGCTCAGAACAGACTCGTGTCATGCTGCCCACCCACCTGATTGATCCAGGCACCATCGGGCGTTGTCTCCTCCCGCACAAGCGTGCCAATCCAGGCCGGAAGACCCGAGGCCTGGTCCGTGGTGAGGCTAACCAGGAACAGTCTCTGTGTGTCCTGGACACGGTTTGTCAGCCGGACCAGGAGCCGGCTATTTTCGTCGACCCAGTTCACCTCGACAATCAGCCGGTCATCGTCTCCAAAGTTGTGGAGGGGGTCAAAGACGACGGGGAGGTCGAGCGAGCTAGCATTGGAGCTCGAGGGAGTGGCGATGTGCAGCGTGACAATCGGGTTGTGGGCACCGGCCTTGGGGTATTTGACCGAGACCTCCTTGGGATACGACCCAGCACCCTTGGTTTCAAAGAGCTCGAGGTGGTACTCTGGGACGCTCGTCTCGTTGAACTTGAGATAGGCGACATGAGTGCTGTCTGGCGAGAACCAGAGGGCCGAGTGGGACGACAGGACCTCCTCTGGTATGTGTGCCGATCCGGTGCACATCCGCAGCAGCAACGTCCGAGTTAGCCATCAACACGGACGAGTGGATATGACCAAGAGACAAATCCAGTGACAGACGAGATATGTTAGTCAAAGACAGGGGAGCTGTGCCACGCCGATTCTGTTCGTCCAGACAGCGGCCGTCCACCGAGATCGGTTCGCGGCGTTCCTTGGCTGAGAGGTCTGGCACAGGCCAACATACCTTCATAAACCCAATCCGAGATTCCGTTGATGATGTTTTTGGAGCCGTCGTGGGTGAGACGGACCTCAACCGTGGAATCGACGGTGACATACAAATCGTTGTCACGGACCCACGCCTGCACCAGGGCGGACACATGATGGATGAACAGACAGATGGATGCATGGATACATGGCAAATGCAGTCAGTACGTGAATGGAGTCAGCAACACAGCAGGCGTGATGAGCTGTTTGATTCAGATCGGCTGCATCTACTTGCCAAGTGACACGGATCCCAGCGCATCCATCCCGTTCACACACAACTTACAATCGAGTGGCCTGAGGGGCTCCACAGCGCCAAGGCAACCTTTCCGCCCCCAATTTCGTTCGGAATGTGGTGGTCGGACGACGATTGCGCCAGCTTCGTGGCAGTCTTGTCCTCGGTATCGTAGATCCAATAGTCGGCGAAGACCGAGTGTCTCCAGCCCTAGCAGCCGCAGAGGCAGTGGCGATGGGAGGGGGAGAGCAACGGACTCGTGTCAGAGGAACCACCATGGCGCCGGATTGAAGGCTCCGGGCAGCTGCGTATGCAGTCGGCGGGATAGGCTGGCAAGTGGATCTGTCTCATCCATATTTGCTCACTTTCTCGGCGTTCGTTCCCAGCAGCAAATACTTGGCATCGGCAGAAAGTTGGAAAGTGGAATAGTAGATCGGATTGCCGTCGCTCTGTTTCAAGTTACGAGCGGCACGTGAAGCCAGCATTTGCCATTTTGAGATTGTCGGTAGCAGGTCGATTCGGTGCGATCCGCGAAAAGAAGAGTGGAATAGCCGAGGTGAGTAGTCGGTCCAGCCAAGCGACAGCCCAGGCCAAGACCGATGCTGAGCAAAGCGAGCAATCGACTCACATCCTTCAAATCTGCGGCCTTGGCCAGCGAAAGATGATAGCTGGAGTTTTCGACATGCGCCAGCGATAGGTCGCCGCTGGTCTGATTCCGCACGAGATGAGTGCCGTCGTCTCCTGTGGAAGGCCGCCAACCGCAGATCCGAACGAAAGTAAGGGCGTGAGTTTCGAGGTGAGTGGGGAGAGAGGAACAGAGAGCCGTGCATGGATGACAGGGCTGTTGGGTGGGAAGGTACATGCGAGACGGAATCCTGAGCATGGCTCTTCATTAGATGTCTTTCTTTTCCTGTCGTGCACGAGGGCGGCACTGGCGCCGGAAAGTGAGCATGGAGTCTGAGACGAAACAGTACCCGCTGTTGTCCATGTCAGCGAGGCGTAGTCCGGGAAGAGCAGCAGATCCTGGGCAGTGTCGAATCCAAAGGGCTTGCGGTGGTCTTTGGAGGGCTCGCCCAAGATGACTGAGTCGGCGTGGATAAAGTTGACCGAGCAGATAGAGCGGCCGCAGGGCAGGCAGGCAGGCAGGCAGACAGGCGGAGTGATATCGTTAGTCGATTGTACCCATCTCGTCACATCAGCAAGAAAGCTCTTGTTCAGGATGGCTCCCTTTGCCCCGAATAGCGGATGAGAGCGACGAAACACAGCGACTGGGTTCAACCTGGCTTGTAGGAGACCAGAGACCGCCGAGCTCGACCCAGAGCCAGGCCAGCGAACAAAACAGGCCAAGCAAGGCTGCATTACCATCGACCGAGCCAGAGCCCATGACGGCGCTTATGATCACAAAGACCAGCGACGCCGCCAGGAGGAACATGAGACACCATGGGTTCCGCAGGATGCGATAGATTGGGTAGTGGATCTGGGACACGGCCGGCGTAGAGGCTGCGACTCTGCGCTTGCGACGGCTCCGTTTCTTGGAGGACAGGGACGACGGCGATGGCGGCACCAGAGCGACGGACTCTTCGTCGATGCCGGACATCAGCTCGGAGAGAGGCATCCCGGCCTCGGGATCATGGTCTGCTTCGGGATCCATGGGCGGAGGGGGGAAAGGTTGCCGGGCGAGCTTCGAGGCGGGCAGAGAGCACTGGGTGTGCTGGGATGTGGGATGGGGTGATGGAGGAAAGGTGGGAAGCTGCTCCTGCGACTCCAAGGCCGGCAAGGCGCCACTGGGTCGCCAGCCAATGAACGGCGGCAAAGGCACAACAAGGGCGGCGTGCTGTGTTGCCTTCAGCCTCGAAGAAACCTCAGCGCGCCTGGGAAGGGAATGAAGCAGCGGCACTCGGCGCACATCGACCAGGAATATGCGGGTGTGCTTCATCTCTGGAGGATGACTCGAAGCAGGTCCGCCAAGAGCGATTCGTCCATCGGTGAACGAGGTCAACACATCCCAGGTGTGTTCACATTGTCGGGAAGCCAAGCGACTCGAGTATCCGGATATCGATACACCATGGAGTTGTCCAGAGGGTCGAGTGCATCCATCACACTCACACACCGAATGGATGCACCACACTCCCGCATCGACACATCAATCATCGCCACAGGGGATCGGCTGAGTGTATTCAAGACCAAGTCAACGAAAACAAAGATATTGCCAGCCAGGACAGGAAACAATCGCATGGCTTGTCCACCGCAGCCTACAGTAGACCAGCGGGTTTCAGGCCTCTGAAAACAGAAAGGGTGTGTCTCGATTGATGGTCCCTCTGTGCACACAGCCGGAGGAGTGTCGAGAGCGAGCTGCTTGAGGGCCCAGTTGATCCTGGCGGCCAGCTTGTTGATCTTGGCCTTGGTGGTGCCGAGCTCAGACTTGGCCGTGGTGAACCTCTTGTCGTCGGGGGGAATGCCTCTGGCAGTGAGCTCGTCCAGCTTGGCCTGGCGCTGCAGCTCGGTGACTCGGAGGGCGGGCATGTCACAGTCGATCCACTTGTGGACATTGTCGACCATCTTGTCTCGGGCGAGGATTCTCACATGGTGTGAGAGGCGATGGAGGGCCCGGAAGCGGTCCTGGTCGTTGCTGTACCAAAACTCGTCCAGGATGTGGCCAAACTCGGGATAGAGGAACTCGAGATCGGCCTTGGGTGGTGTCTGCCCTGGTTTCTCGAAGAGCTCGAGACAGGCCTCGATGGCTTCGTGCTTATGCTTGTTGGCTGGGAAGACGGCAGCGCAGAAGCGGCGAAGGAGTCTCCAGTAGGCCAGATTGAGGTGGGTGGTGCAGTTGGTAGCATAGGCATTGACAGCCAGTGTGAGAAGCTGACTGTGAGCACCATCAGGCAGACGAGGGGCCGGAGGCAGGTCTGCGTGCCGAGTGGTCTGGTAGTCGCGAAAGGAAGCGACCAGATGCTCGTTGTATTTCTCATTGTCCCTGGTCGGCGAGAGGGCATCGGCCTGGACTATCTTGAAGCACTGGCGGATGAATGCAGGGGTGGCCTTGGAGATGACGGGGATGGGAATATCCTGCTCGATGCACCTCAGGATGTGCAGGTTGAGCAGCCTGGATGCCTCGAACTGGATCTGGGTCATGGCCTCGACGGTGGCCTGGATCTTGTCGCGGAGAGCGGGATTGAGACAACAGCCATCCATCGTCTGCTTGAAGCAGCTGAACTGAGGGGCGGATGACCTTCCATCCACGAGAGGGACGACAGAACTCTTGAGGGGCCGGTATTTGGGACACCTGTTGGTGTTGCTTCGCTGATGATCGGTACCGTCACACTTGCGACATCGCTTGCCGGTACTCGAGGAAGTAGATGGACCAGGCTCGGTGGGATCGACATCCATTGGATCTGCAGAAGCAGTGGTGGTGAGCGACGGAGCAACAGACGACCAAGCATGCGTGGGATCAGAATACGAACCAGAGACAGGCTCCGACTGTGACTTGGCTTTCTTGGGCCTGGGTGGCCGAGGCTGGCCATCACCGGTACCCTTGCGCTTCGGAGGCATGGAGGCAGAGAATGCTGGATGCCTGCCAGTGGTACTGGTCAGAACAGAGACTTTTTTTTATCGTACAATAGCGCGATGATCCGATCAAGGCGAGATGAGGGAAGAAAGCAGCAGGACGAAGGTGCGGCATTTATACCCGAGAGCAGGAACCCGTCTTTGCGGGCTGGTTGGGGAAGTGACCCTGTTCAAAAATCGCCGAGAGGTTCAAGACAGGGATGTGAGCGTGAAAATGGCGGTGTGATCGGGGTGGCTCGACCCAGGATTGGAGGGACTCAACCCCAAATCGGTGGGGACTCAACCCCAAATCGGTGGTGACTCAACCCCAAATGCTCTCCCATGCTCAATCAGTCGGGTGAAGACATCTGGCGATGCGAAAGTCGGTTGTGTGGCGAATGATCATGGCCAACACGCGATGGTATTGAGTAACAAAATATTTGATCAATGGTCAAAATCAAGGGTGTCCTGTAAGAACCCGGCAGCACGACCTATCCAGGCGGCGGCACTTCCGCGGGAAGAGACAAGAGCGACGCTGCAACAGGGCCCAGCCAGGGCTCCAGGGACCACGCTCTTTCCGCTTCCGATGGTGTGGGAATCCAACGTCGCCCCAGGACGAGGCCGGGCCGAGGGACGACGCTGGAGGTCGAGGCCCTGTGGGTGCAAGCGCAAGGGTTGGCGGGCGTGAGGTCTGCAGCAATAGCCGATCAAGCCTCCGTCATGGTCATTCCCGTCCTCCGTCGTCTGCGGCGATATCTGTCCATTGACCACGATCGCTTTGGTCGCAAACGGCCTCGATCGCCATCGGAGCCATCTCGGTTGATCGCCTTCCACTCTGCTGCTCATGGACACCCTCGCCATAACCGATCCATGGCCCTCGCCGACCGACTCCCCGACCGACTCCCCGACCGACTCGCAGCCGATACTGACCGATCTGCTGCCGGCGCCAACCACCACAGGGACAATCAGCGACAGCCCGAGGCACACCCGCCAGCATACTCGCCAGCACACCAAGAGATCTTCGCGAGCTCACCACCATCCAGCCAGTGATCATAGGACATCCCAGAGCGCATCCAGCTCCGACACTATCGCAGACAATGCAGCACTCCCCGCAGCCACAGCTCCCACTCTGTCGGCCGCCGGCTTGCCATCGTCTGGATCTGCAAGCAGCAGCAGCAGCAGTAGCGGCGGCGGCCTGTTGGCTCTGGCGACTCTCTCCAACATCCCTGCTGCTGTTGTGGCCGGAGCAACCGCACCGGCTTCCGACCCGACACCGACATTGCTGGTCTCGGCTGTTCGTCAGGCGGCCACTCCCAACAGCCACATCGTCGGCACTGCGAGCGGGGCAGCATCCGCAGCTTCACCGCCCATGATCGTCGTCATCGGCTGCGCCGTGATTGCCTCCCTGGTCATCGCCACCGTATTCGCCCTCCTGTTCCGCCGACACTATCGTTCCCACCGTCCCAAGCAGCTACCAGTGTCGCTCCCAGGCACACCCACTAGGGAGCCTGCCCCGGCCCCCTCGGGCCCCCTCAGCATCCGCATTCCGCAGCGACAGGGATCAGATCACATCGACTCGCCACTTCTCAAGCCCGGCACGCTCTCGCCGTATGTCACCACTCCCGTCTCGCCCTATCCAGCTTCCCAGCCAGGAACCACGCCACTGCCGCCTCCAAAGCATCCCGACCGACTCAAGAACATCGAGTTGCAGAGATCTCCGGATGCACATGGTCTCGATGCCGACCCAGGCATGAACTCGTACCGCCGCTGGATAGAGGCAGGCATCGGTAACCCCGAGCGGGTGCAGGAGGTCGCCGATCTTGCCATCAAAGAAAGCCGGCGGGCATCCAAAGCCAGGGCTGCTGCTGCTGCTGTTGCTGCTGCTCCGGACCGCCGCTTCACTCCACTCGACTTGCAGGCCGTGATGGACTCGCCCAAGCCTAGCCCTGGGATCGTGCATGTTCTGAAGGCCGAGGACTTTGGCGAGTCCGACGAGCCTTCTGGCTCAGGCAGCGCTCCCAGCAGCGACGACTTGGTTGACAGCAAGACCGACGACCTGACCCACGACAAGACCTCGGGCGACCGATCCGCCGGCATCGACCACATCAAAAAATGGGCCGCCAGTCAGGGACTGCAGCTCCCGCGCCTTTCCTACGGACTCGCGGACATAGCACGCTATCCATCGTCACTCTACAGCTCCGATCAACTGGACACTGTCCAACGGTCGCTGGGCTTGAGAGGACTTCGCATCAGCCGCCTGGATGTGATCTCGGTGGCGAGTTCGTCGACGAAAAACAGCTCGAATAACTCGGGTTCGTGAGCAGTGGGGCGGGAACTGGTCGCTGCTCTCGTTCAAACGCACTGCAGCCACCACACACCGACTTCTCTGGCCGAGTACTTTCGTGGCGATGCCCGGGCCATCCTCCGAGAGTTCAGAAACGACGGCCTCTCATGCATCTGCACCAACTGCTCGTTAATAGTATTCTGTTGCTTGTATGGGTTCACCCGGGTCTGTGTAGATCAGACAGAGCAGTGGTCGCAATACTGCCAAAGTGCGGCTGTCAGAAGGCGAGGGGCAGGCGGATTCAATGCATCGACTAGTGGGATGCACATCGAAATCGATTGGTCGCCATAATGCCCCCAGAACACTACTGTGGCGAATAGCCTCAGACCAGAACCGGGGAGGCCGCTGCCTTGAGAATGTCTTCAATCTCCTTGAATCCAAAGTGGGATGCCATCCGGATAACAAACGGGTAGATCTTAACACCTTTACACACAATCAACTTGACCATCTCAACCGAGTTGCTCCGGACGGCGGCCCCAAGAGCGGCACTGGTCCATGCGCTTGCATCGGCACCGTGCTGCAACAGAAGCTGGACGATGTCGAGGTGGCCGGACTCGGCCGCCTTGCGGATGGCAAAGTGATCCTGGGCGTGGACGTTGGTGGCTGGGATGCACTCGAGCAGGTACCGGACAATCGAGAGCTGCCCGTGAATGGCGGCGACGCACAGAGGCGAGTCCAAGTGGGCGTTTGGGTTGCCGCCGGCCTCGACAAAGAGCCGAAAGACGGGCAGTCGACCGGTCTGCGCTGTGCGGATCAGGAGCTCGTCGAGAAGCGCATGTGAGACAAAGCCCTTGGCCACCCCAGAGTTGATCGCAGAAGCAAGGTCATCCAGGTTCGACCGAGCATCGTCGGTGTCGTCTCGTTTGTCTCGGTTGCGATCCGGCTGAGAGGCAACGTACTGTAGGCAGTCTCTCCACGTCCGCTGGATCGTTTCGGGTGCATACACCGGCCAAATATTGTGCAGTGCAAGCTTCAGGACATCGAAGCGACCGGATTGTAGCGCATACCGCAACAGCGCACCATCGCAGCTCAAGACATCGGCGCCCAGTCGGACGAGGACGGGAAGCAGGGCGTTGTAGGCCGCAAGAGTTTCCATGTCCTTCAGCGGTGGCGGCTGGCCCGACGGGGTTGGCTCTTGGCTCTGGTCTTGATCGACCGGCAGTGCCTGAGACGCAGGGCTCAACAGGATGGACAGTGCTTGGTCGGATCCCCGCCATTTCAGCAGGTATTTTGCGACTACCGAGTCGGTGATGCGTGCCCGAATCGAACGAGAGAGCCGGAGGAAATGCAGCGGACATTCACAGTGCAGGAAAATCGCACAGACGAGTTCATTGGGGAGAACGTCGAGATTCGTCATTCTGGCATGCTGTTGCTGTGGCGGATGGGGAGGGATGTGCGATGAGCTAGTGTGGGATCACTGGCGAGCGAGGTTCAGGAAAGGTGGAGCCTGGCCGACAGGATGTGCTCGAGCTTGTGACCACACCCCTGATCAGGGGTATGGCCACAACAGGTCTGGTGCGCGCCGTGTGTAACGCTGCAAAATATAGCACGATGAAAAATATGGAGCCACCTGTGGATTGACCAGCCATGTCAGACCCTTCACCAAGAAGTGCACAGCCATACGCTGTGGGATCGAGACATCAATACCTCAAGGAACATGATCTCGGTATGCCAGTCGATCATCACCACAGGAGATCGGCCGGGTGTATTCAAGACCATGCTTCCCAAACCAACCAAAACCACACGATTGCCAACGAAGACAGGAGTGCAATGCCATGGCCTGCCCGCTGGGCCTACAGTCAGTCAGCGGGCATCTGAAGCCAGGAAGTGTCCCGTTTCTTTCTGGATTGACTGTAAGTATCTTGTTCATTTCGACAGTGGATGCCGGGTCGCCCATATTCTGGGCAGTCCACTTCGGGGTTGCCATCCCTCTTGGGATGGTCGATGGGAGGTGTTTGACTCCCTTGTGCAAAGTGTGTGTGTGTGACGGCGAGAGGCTTCTCGCCTTCCCTCGGGGGTCTCTCGCCAGAGACTGCTCTTCTCGCCGACCGAGGTGGCTCCGAGAGAGCGTTTTTTCGTTTTCGCTCATTTTTTTGGCACGGGAAAGAAATGGTGCGTCCGTTCGCTTCTCAAAACGCTGAAGAAACGCATTTTTGCTCCATCGATCACCGCCCCGTCAGCTTGGAGCAAACCCTCGCTGTGGCACGCCAATGCATGATCGCTGCAGCTGTGCGGGTATCTACATTGCATCATATTCCAGACAATATATTCCGTTGGGCCGCAGTGGTATGTTTACTTGGGGCCAATCATCTTCTCGGGGCGGACGTACTCGTCGAACTGCTCGGGAGTGAGCAGGCCGAGCGAGACGGTGGCCTCCTTGAGAGAGGTTCCTTCCTTGTGGGCCTTCTTGGCAGCCTTAGCGGCGTCTGCAAAGGCAAGAGGCGATCTCGTTAGGCGACGCTACAGGAATGGGTGTCTGGCAGTGGTGTCAAGAGCGGGCTGATCGGTGAAAGCGGCGACTTACTGTCGTAGCCAATGTAAGGGTTGAGGGCGGTGACCAGCATGAGCGACTCGTTCAGGAGGGAGGAGATGCGCTTCTCGTTGGCACGGATGCCGACAACGCAGTTGTCGGTGAAGGAAACGGAGGCGTCGGAAATGAGGCGGATGGAGTGGATGAGGTTGCGGATGAGGACAGGCTTGAAGACATTGAGCTGGATGGAGCAAACAAGGAAGATCAGTGGAAGACAGGGACTAGGCGGTCGGCCGCTTGCATTGAGCAGGGTCTGCATCCCACAGCCGAGCCCAACATCCAGGAGGAGGCGTGCAGGCTGGTACGGCACAGGAGCACAGCACAGGCTTCTAGCAGCCTGGCTTCACCCCGGCTTTACGATGCGGCGACAAGCGCTCACCTCAAAGTGTCCCTGGCTGCCGGCAACGGAGATGGCGGTGTGGTTGCCAATGACCTGGGCGCAAACCATGGTCATGGCCTCGGACTGGGTGGGGTTGACCTGTAGACAGCAGCGCAGCGTCAGTGCACAGCATCAACTCGGCCTGCGGATGCACAATGAGGGGCAGGCAAGTGGGACCCACCTTGCCGGGCATGATCGAGGATCCGGGCTCGTTCTCAGGCAGGCTCAGCTCGCCAAGGCCGCAGCGAGGGCCGGAGCCGAGGAGACGGATGTCGTTGGCAATCTTGTTGAGCGAGACGGCCAGGACGTTGAGGGCACCGCTGGCCTCGACGATGGCATCGTGGGCAGCAAGGGCTTCGAACTGTAGCAGGTACGCATAGCACGGTTGTGAGCAGCATTTTCGCAACAGTGTTCAAGCCATGCGTGCGACTCTCGGCGGTTGCTGGCCGTGTCTCCTTTGGCGACATAGCCGTACCTTGTTGGGGGCAGTCTGGAAGGGAAGGCCAGTGATGTTGGCGATTTCGGCGGCAATCTTGACATCAAAGCCCTTCTTGGTGTTCAGACCCTGTGGAATGGTTGACAGCGAGATGGAGCATTCAGCATCGCAGACAAAAGAACGCCAGTCCGCATCGGGGCACGGAGCAGGATGAGCACCACTTACGGTTCCGACGGCGGTTCCGCCCTGGGCCAGGTTGTAAAGGTGAGGCAGGGTGGCCTTGACGCGCTCGATGCCGTAGGTGACTTGCTGGGTGTAGCCCGAGAACTCCTGGCCGAGGGTCAGGGGAGTGGCATCCTGCAGATGGGTACGGCCGATCTTGATGATCTTCTCAAACTCGGCGCTCTTGGCCTTGAGGGCAGCCTCGAGCTTCTCGAGGGCAGGCAGAAGGCGGTGGTGGATCTCGACGACAGCAGCGACGTGCATAGCGGTGGGGAAACTGGTTGGCGCGGACAGCGTTACTGTTGTGCCGGGGAACTGGTCGAGCGGATCGCTTGACGGACTGGCTGCAGTCCGCTCCACCGATTCTGCGCCCATCTGTCAGTGCCCCAGTGCTATTCCCGGAGCTGCTTACGTGTCGTTGGAGGACTGGCCGTTGTTGACATGGTCGTTGGGGTGGACAAGGTTCTTGCTGCCCAGCTCGCCACCAAGGATCTCGATGGCGCGGTTGGCGATGACCTCGTTAGCGTTCATGTTGGACTGGGTGCCGGAGCCAGTCTGCCAGACAACGAGGGGGAAGTGATCCAGGAGCTTGCCGTTGATGACCTGGATCGTTCGCACAATGACGGGTCAGAATGTGTTGGCATGAATGGTGGGCAAGCCCCAAGTAGATTGCGATCCCATGGCCGGGCTGTCGGTAATCAACAGAGCCAGGCTGTGAGACATCTCGGATCGCGTGCAGGACCCTACTTCGTCAGCAGCCTGGACGATGGCATTTCCGACTTTGCGGTCGAGGCCGGTCTCCATGTTGACGATGGCAGCAGCCTTCTTGATGACACCAAAGGCCTTGATGACGGGCTCAGGGATGCGTTCCGAGGGCCCGCCAATGTTGAAGTTCTGGAGGGATCTGCGATGTCGGATCGGGTCAGGATATGCTGAGAGACAGCAGCGACGGGCCCACGAGTATATTCAGCTGGGCAGATGGATTGCTGCACTCGCTTGCCAGACAAAACCTCGATTTTTTCGGCATTATGCTCACCTCTGAGTCTGAGCGCCCCAGTAGCGGTCGGCAGGGACTTGCAGCTCTCCGAAGGTGTCCCGCTCCACACGGAACTTTTGCTGCAGCCAGAATTATCGGCAGCAATAAGGCCGGCATGGACATGTTAGCAAGGCCATGGCGGCTGTTGAGGCGGAGCAGAGTGCGAGCACGCTTGGAAATCAACTCACCATCAGAGCCGAGCAGGAGCCGAAGCTTCTGGCGGACTGGAGTCAGCAATGATCTGTTAGCCCACCGGTGCCGCGCAACATGAGCGGAAATGCCAGCCAGCCAAGACGAGGCAGCCCACAACAGCAGCCCATGCACATACGGCTCGGACAGGGGCACACTTGATAAGGCCGACGGCACGGAGCATGGCGTTCGTTCGCTTGTTCGTTCTTTCGTTGTTCGTTCGGTGCAGTCGACGGCGCTGGAGGGCGGCGGCTCCAAGATCAAAGATACGAGTCAGCGATCGCGGCGTTCGCTGCGTTTGCGTTTTTGCGCTCGCGGCTCTGGAATCACGTGGCGGCGACCGCCACAGCCGTTCTCACGATCCGGCGGGAGCGGCATCCTGGCGGGTGCATTTGCCAGCGGGGGCATCTGGCCGGCTTGCTGGGCTCATCGACCGGTGTTTCGCGTTCTCTCCGACTCAGCTCTGGCAATCAAGCGTATCGCCGCACCCGTGGCCTCTCATCAGTCGTCAGTTCCAAACCCCTGGCCACCAACAGAATGATCACCACCCTCAACGATAACAACGACGAGCACCAAGCCGGCGAGGACGTGTCGACAGGTTCGTCGGGCAAGTTTGTCGAGCTGCCCTCGCTTGGGTATGCCCGCATGGCCAACCGTGAGGTCATCCCATCGCCAAACCGCCGCGATCGCAAGCTCCAGTTCGGCATCGATTGCGCCGAGCTCGTGCACTTTACTCATTGGTACGTCATATCTATATGCCGCCTGTTGTGCTGTCGCGCCTGCATCAAAGCCTTACCAGCGCTTCGTCGCTCCCACGCATGTCTGCCACGCTCGCACCGCATGTCTGCCACGCTCGCACACCTCTCAGCGTCGATTGCGGTCTCATCGCGTGTGTTCTGTACTGCAATGCAGGGAGCCTGGAGGAGAGCATATCAAGAGCCTCGTCGTCAAGAATGTTGTCATGAAGACGCAAAAGATCCGGTATAAGCTGCCACAGACAAAATACTTTTCGATGGACTTTCCAGAGACCCAGACCCTCAGCGCTGGCATGAGCTGGACGATCCCCATCACATTCCGTCCGGTCGCAAAGGTGGGTGCCGGCAACGAGTGCGTGGAAGCGGGTCGTTTCTTTGCATCGAATGCCATTAAAAATGAGTGGATGCTGCAGATGCACCCAAAGACGCACCCTCGCGACATCGGCATGACCAGCGCTGACCGTTCCCCGTGGTGCTGTACTTGGGTACGACAGGAATGCTACAACGACTTTATCGAGTTCTCGACGTCCTTTGGAAAGTTTAATCTGCCGGTGAAAGCAACGCTGCCCGAGCACACCCTTGAGTTTCCAGCAACAGTCGACTTTGGGCTCTGTCCTGTGCGCGAAACAGCAAGAAAGACCTTTCTGCTGAAGAACGTTGGCGAGCTCTCAAGCTACTTCGAATGGCAGATTGCTCGGCCGTTTGGTATTACGCCCCGGACGGGAACTCTGCATCCCGGCAACAGCGTCGTCGTCACCATCGAACTCTCGCCTCGGGCAAGTCTTTGGTGCCTCTGTGCTCGTGTGGACCTCGCGTTGCTGCTCCGGCATGATGCGTCTGTCTTGGCATACGCCATCGATTTTGATCTTGAGCAATAGCTGACTGGAGTATCCGTCGCATGATTACTACGCTCCCCCCGATCTGAACCGACAACACCATACAGGATGCAAGTGTCTACACTGCCGTCTCGGTCTGCAAGTTTGGCGATCAGAATCAGTGGGAAAAGTCGCAAGTTTCACAGGGCATGACTGTCTACGGCATCGGAAAATACTCGCACCTCGCGATCGAAGGCATGAGCTCGGTCTTCGATTTTGGCGATACCTTTGTCGGCAAACCTGCCGAGCTCAAGTTTATGCTCCAGAATCTCTCCGCAGTGAGTTACGCCTTACTCATGTCTTCCATGGAGCAGCCGAACGGATTAGTATCGACTGCTCTGTTGGCTCTCGCCTCAGCGGATGTAGACCGCACAAACGCTCGCAGTGCCCGTCGATCGATCCGACTAACAAGCTTGCTGCTTGCCAGGTACACGCAAACTTCCGCATCCGGCATGCTGAAAAGGATGTGGATCCGTACTTTGCCTTCTCTGTCCGCTCCGGAACCATCCAGCCCAATCGTAGTCTTGAAATCGGGGTGAGTGTAGCGGCTGTATCGCACAAGCATCCCCGCTGAAGTTGCCTCATGTCACTCAATCCCGCGGCCTCAGCCAGTAGCTCTCTTTGATTTGCTCTCGTTCCTGCTGACAAAACCGTTTGCGGTGCCAGATTACCTTTACTCCCTCTGTCGCAGGAATGGTATCGACGGACTATTTCGATATTGTGACGCTCTCGGGAAACACCATCCGCATCACATGCACAGGAAGGGGTGTCGGTGAGTGGATTTGGATGGGTGGTTGCTCGCTCCAATGCTCCCAGGACTCATGCAATGCTCCCAGGATCGCCGATATGCTGGCTCAGCGAACAATAGGTCCTAATGCATTGATACTATGCGCCGATCACCCAGGCCCCAAGGTGACTCTCAATACAAACCTCATCAACTTTGAAGACTGCGAGGAGGGCACAAACAATCTCCGCGCAATGTACATCCAAAACCACACCAACATCCCGGCGTACTATCAGGTGAGCCGCCGGAACCGCTGGAGCCGGGCCGGATCTGTTGTGGATTCCCGAGGCTCTCCGATCCTGGGAAGACTCGCCTGCTTAGCCCGACTTGCTGCCAAGTAATTGAGCCCATCGGACGAGCCTCGCTCCGGTCTACTAACACTGTCAACGGGGCAATGCAGTTTCTCACGGAGCAGAACAGCATCTTTAGAATCGATAAGATCTCTGGCACCATCAATCCAAACACGTCGGTCGCGCTGACGGTTCGGTTCACGCCCAAGGAGCCCATCAACTACTATCGCCGTGTGTACTGCTTGGTAGAGCATCAAGACGGACTGGTATGTACCCAGCAGAGCATCGCGCTCAGCAGCAACGGCTATGTCAGCCGATGCGAGACTTGTTTGTCCTCGGCTCACCTGCTTTGTGTCTCAGTTTGTCGACATTATTGGGACGTGCTTCAACAGCAAACGACGCCCGGCAACCTTTGATCCAAAGCATCTTGAGAACTACCGCGAGAGAATCAAGAACGGGCTGTGGAGCTTTGGTCCTGAGCAACTCGAGGAGGTTCGTATCGATCAGAGCGCGCTGGCCTGTGACTCGAGGATCCGTGTGGCGCTGCAGAATGACTGGACATATGCACAGTACCGTGACTGACCAGCGTCTGCGTCCGCCTGCTTGTTATACAGATGCTGAAAAGTGGCACGATCAAGTGCATTAACGGCATACTATCATACACCGACCCGGGCCATCCTTTCACGAAACGTACGGTCTCTTTGGCTGTCGAGAAGCCACGGCCTGGGAGTTCTCGTTTCTGCCTGCATGCCTGCAGATGCGTATATGCATATGCTAGCAAGCTAACATATTGATTCATTTGACTTGATCTTGGCGGATCTACACACGCCCAAACAGCGACACAGACTGACTCGCCATATCCTGACTCACTTGTCTCGAGCGAATACTTCTACGAGAACACGGGCGATACAATGGCCGTCAGTCTTCTCGACACCTTTGTTGATTTTGGTGCGTGTTCGCGCTATCGCCTCATCGAGAGCCAAACGATCCGAATCTCCAACAACACCAAGGGCAAAATGTCGTGTGTCTGGATCATGCCGGGCGAGACAACGGGGTAGGTGACTCGTAGCGGCGATGGCGTTGTGGCCCTGATGATGTGGCTTCAGCAAAGTCTTGATACTGGCCATCACGAACCGTCGCGAATCGGCGCGAATCAGCGCGAGCCATCGTGAATCAGCGCCAGACGCTCTTGTCTTCATAGCCCAAGCAATCTGGGACTGACTTCGTGTCATCTGTGCGACAGGGAAGAGCCCATCTTCTCGGTATCGCCATCCATCATGGACATCCAGCCAAGATGCATTGCCGAGTTCAGGGTGGACTTTCGACCCATAATGGACAACTCTTTCTACGGAGCGCAACTCGAGTGCTTTATATACTTCAAAAGCATGCGCAACTTTCGTCTCGTCAACGAAGACACGTTCACTCCGCCATGGTGCTTGACGCCAACGATCTCTGGGTAAGGCATCGGCACACCTGCAACTCGACCCATTCTGTCCCCATCCTTGGGCTCCGATACTCACCTCGCGGCTCTCCGCTGTTCTGCTTGGCTCGTGCTATCCGCAGCAACACATTCCCTCCAGGAGAAGAGTCCTTCATCCCGAAAATCAACTTTGGCACCACTCGACTTGATTTCACGCCTTGCCATGTCGACAAATCCATATACCGCACCGTGGGCATCTTCAATGCCGGCGACACCCCTGTCAAGTTTGCGTTCATGGACAATCACCCCCACTCCATGCTTGGCATCGGTGGTGGTGGTGCCCTGATCTCGTCAGGCGCTGACACGCCATTCTCAGTCAAGCCTCGCACTGGTCTCTTGCACAAGAATGAGTCGCAATTGATCGTGTTCCGGTTCTCGCCGTCTGAGCAGCGGTTGTACGAGCAATCGCTGAAGTGCTTCTTCAACAGTTCGTCCGTCAACAGCTACGTATGTATCCACGTCGCGATCGTGGACGGGGTGTGAGCTCCTGATTCCTTCGACATGCCACTGCACTGTGATCGGTTGCGTTGTTGTTCCTGGTGCTCCGAGTATACTCTGATAGTTTCGCTTGATCCTCCAGGACATACAAACAAAAGGAATAGGCTACTACCCACAGATATCGTTCGATAGCCAAAACACCATATGTTGCAAGCCCACCTGTATCGGGGCTGTGACCAAGAAGGCGTTCTGCGTCCGAAACGACTCCCGAATCCATGTCAATTTCGAGGTTGGTGGCTCCAAGGGCCGCTCCTGTATACTGCGGCACTGCGCGTAACAGTGTGATGCGATGCGGTATTGCTGATGTATCCGTGACTGCACAGTGGCGCTGTGGCAAATAGTCAGCAGTGGAGTCGAACAGATGGCCATTGGATGAACACGGGTGATATGTGGCGGCAACTCGACGGCGACGATCGCTGATGTGTTTCTGAACCGATCGCTTTGCAACACTCCCAAAACCAGTGGCGAGTTCCAAAGCAGTACTCTTCGCTTGTGACCATCACGCCTGTCCGGGGTCGTCTCTCGCCAAACTCAACCGAGACGCTGACATGCACCTTCACCCCAATGAGCGTCAAGAACTGGACACTCAAGCTCCCATGCTACTACTATCACGAGTCGCCAGACTCTGAGACCATCATCAAGGAGTCTGGTCCCCGGCGCACAACCCTGACGGTCATCGGCCAGGGCACACTTGGACGAATCGTGTCGGAGCCCAAGGATATTGACTTTGGCGCCATCCTCGTCAACACCGTCGTCGAGAAGGAGATTGTGCTCTTCAATCGATGCGAATGTGATGTGGTATACAGCCTGGAAATCTACCGACAAGAGGCCAAGCATGAGGTCAAGGAGAGCCCCAAGCGCGCGGCCCCGGGAAGTCCAAAGTCCACGCGCTTCTCGAACGTCCACACCCTCGACGACGACTGGGCCGACGACCCTGAGGCCGAGACAGAGGTGGTTTCCGAAGACTACACCACGCCGCTAGTCAATAGCGTCAAAGGTGCGTCTCTGGGCGTTGATTTGCTTCGCTGGTCAGCGGCCCCAAATGAGCATTGTCGCTCCAAGCAACGCTGGCTCAGTGGAACTCATCCCAGGTTTCTCCAATTGTCGTTCGCTGGTTCTGCTCAGAGTCGGAGCTTGAAGTCCTCCAAACACACGCGGTTCTGCCTGCACGTTCCCATCACACTCTCAAGCTGAGGGCGTGTCTGAAAGAGCAAACGCACCAGATGTTTACGATATTCTACAGGCTGACCCGTGAGTCTCATATCCATCATACATGTGACGATGTCTCGCAGCTACTGTGGCGTTGAATCAAGCATTGGCACCAGAGTCCGATGCAACACCTGAACCAGCACATGCCACGGCATTGTTCGCTCTTATCCCGCAACATCGTGTCTCATTCATTCTACAACCATATTTCAGTCCAGAGCCTCGAGGAAGGATATCTTGACTCCAACACACATCTCAACACATCCATGACCATCAACATTGTGAGTGCACTCTCTGCCTGTCCGGTTGCTGCGGGCCGGCAAATGTCACTCGTTCTCGGCTCGCAAGAGCCCTAACACCCAGCATCGCTATGCAACCGATATGTCTTTCGGCCCGACTAAATATGCAGCAAAACAAGTATCATCTGTGCAACGTCTCTGCAACTGGCGTCCATCCCTCAGTTCAGGCGACTGACATTCGCTGCGAAAGTAAGTCATCCAAGTCGTCACTCATAGGTCGAATTGGGAGGGGATTCGTGGTATCAGGCGCCGGAAGGAACCGCGGCAAGTGCGCTTATCTCTGCGAGCATCACCAGACATCAGCAAAACGGCCATGTGGAAGCTGTTTTCAATCGATCGCTTCAACGACATTCTGAAAGTTGTCGGCAACGACCGTGGCACACTCGAGGTACGTTTCTGGTGCATGTTGTCGTCCTGCAGGCTTCAGTCGCACCCAGCGCACGCATGCATACTCAGAGCCAAACGCACCAACCTCACTCCTGCATCCCCCCTCGCTCAACAGGCCGACATTGCGCGTGGATTCGGCGGCGAGTGTTCCTTCCCGACCGACTCGGTGCCGATTCTGTCCCCCGAAGAAATCGACGCCAATACCGTGACCTTTGACTTTGGGTCGACGCCGCTCGGGTAGGCTGCGAGAGGGCGTGTGGCCGGCGAGCTTTTGAGTGTTTTGTGGCTGTGGTATCAAATGCGATACGTGGCGGGACTGGCTTGATTTTTGCTTTACTCGCTACTAATCTGAGGGTTGTCGACGAACACTCAGCTCGAAATCAACGGTGGTGCACATGAGCCTCAAGAACTCTGGCGTTGTTCCAGTCGAATGGGCGTTCAACTTTCCCAACGACCTTGAGGTACACGGACTCGCCTGGCAGAGACTGTTTCTTGCTCGTAGTCGAATCAACCACCGTCGATTCGTATGCCGATGCTCACATTACAGGAATACTTTGATGATGCAGGTGGAGATCGAGCACTGGGCCGACCCTGGCGACTACACCGAGGAGCAGCTCCATCACAACCTCATTCTCGATAACAATCTCTTCACTATCACGCCAAAGGTCAGTCGCATTGTGCACTCTTGCGTAGGGATGCCGACTCTACCGCTAATAACCTCAAGTGCCCTCGATTCGCAATGCAGTCTGGATGCCTGCAGCCAGACGAGTCCATACATGTGGTGATGACATACTCCCACGAGTTCTCAGGGTCTCATCGGCTGCCGGTGGTTTTCAAGCTCAAGAACGGGAGCTCCACCACGACTGTCTTTGGCGGAAAGGAGGTCTTGATCAAGTTCTCGGGATACTCGATCCCAAACGGCAAAAAGTTCATTCACTTTCACACCAGCCAACATACCTTTTCCCCTGTCGACATTGGAACGATGGATCCACCCGCTCAGGTGGGTGAATATGTGATGGATGAGTGCTGTTCTTGGCGGCCCAGGTTAAATCCATTCATTTGGGCAAGAAGAGTAGCTCACCGTGCAACTGATCCGCCGCCGTGTGTGCAGACCTACGAGCTCATCAACCGCGGGACCATACCACTCAACTATTCGATCGATCTCTCAGCGCTAGATTGGGTAAGAGGGGCGGTATCTTGAGTTGTCATGCCATGCTTGCTGGACCGAGACTACCTGTATCTCTGTGGGATCCCGATGTCTGCTGTGATGCCCGAGCTGCATCAGCATCGTTTGTGGCACAGGTTTTGATTTATTCTGGTCATATCAAGCCTTGATATTCTGATAATCCGGTTTGCGCCTCTGCCATCGCAGCTAAGAGCAGAGGGGTGCGACTTCCCCATATTCGAGTGTCGACAGTCCGGCGGCACTATCTCCCCGAATGGCATCGAGCAGATCGAGTGGATTTTCAGGCCACTCGAGGTGCGGGAGTACGAGGTGGATGTCCCTATCACTGTCGCCGACGGCAAGACAACAATGATCACATTCCGGGGATTCGGAGAACAGCATCTGGCAAGTGTCGCCTGTGAAAGCGAGCTGATGGCCATGGACGCCGTGCTAACCCCCACGATATCACACACTATCAGCAACGTGGTACCGCCGACACCGACAAGGAGGACCCAAAACACTATGTCGATCGCATCCCCAGTGTGCAGGAGCTGGCCATACCTGAGCAAATTGCAGTGCTGTCGTTGGTGAGCTGCAGCTTGGTGCCGAAAGCGGGTTGTTGGGCATCGTTGGGTGCACAGTTGCCACTGACAAGCTTGGCCAAAGGGGTGATACGTTGTCTATGTGACTCGGACTCACGAAACCGACACGTTCGCCGGGCTATCTGCGCTGTGCAATATCCATTTGCAGGAGCGAATCAATTTTGGGTACGTACCGCTTGGCTCTGTTCTCCGACAGATTATCGTCATCAAAAACACAACCATGGATTCAGAACTGTCCTTCAAGTGGATCTTGAACAACATGCAACTGGAACAGCGAGATCGTATGTATACGTTCCTTTGCAGTGCATACTATCCCTGTGAACGCGACTGCACCCACATCCGCGAGAGCGACGACGAACCCGCGATCACGAGGATGGAGTCTCCTTTGGAAGCCTCGTGTCTGGCGCTTGAATCGACTTGTGTCTGATACGCCGTCTCGACATAGGGTTCAAAATCACTCCTTCCTCCGGCTCTTTGAAGCCGAATGAAAGTCGTGTTTGCAAGGTCGTGATTGTGCCCAGCAAAGAGCCCCGGGTGTACAACCTCAACATTGGATGCGAGATCACCAATGAAACCAAAAAGGTATGCACGAGCCTATCCATCAACTCAATCTGTGGGGACAAGCCCATATAGGATCGCGGCTCGGTGCTCTCCAAGGCGCTGACGAATCGGCTATCGTGCTATCGACAGGCCGAATACACCGCCAAATACGAGCAGTACGAGACGGCGGTCCGCGAGGGCAGAGAGCCGCCGTTTCTGTTCCGAAGCGACACTCGCGCCGGGAACTCTACTGGACTTTCAAGTGCCCAATCCAAGGGTGACGGGATCACAGCCCCAGGCAGCGCACGCTCAGCAAGCGATATCCGCAGAACCAAGTACAAGGCGCTGCCTCCCATCACGCCGCCCCAGACAGGCTCGCCGGGCAAGCCCGCATCGTCGCCGAATGCTCCCAACTCGACTGCCGAAGCCGGAGCCGGACAGCGGCCTTCGAAAAGCAGCAGATCCAGCAATGGCCCAAACCCATCAGAGATACCCGAGCTGCTGAGGGCCCAGTCGGGACTTTCAAGTGAGTTATTGTCTATCGCAAGCCGCGATGCAATTGGCGAATGTGTTCCGGGTTTGATCGCACGGCCGCGCCGTGAGACACCAACGCAAGGCTGCGACTGTCGGCCTTATACTCACTTCGAGCAATCGCTCTCAATCCTTTGTGGGCCACTGCTATCGGTTTCGCGCCTTGTTCATTGCCCCGCAGACTACGCCGACATTTCTCAGTACGACATGCCAATGCCGCCAACACCGTTCCTGCTCTACTTGTCGATCGTGGCCGAGTCGCTTCCGGTAAATGAGTTCAGAACCAGGTTCAGGGACTTTGACACGTATTATCACGAGAAGATGCCGTTCTACACGGAGCTCAGCTCGATGGTGCGTTGTACTTGAATTCCGCCAGTGGCCCTATTGGTGTATTGTGGCTGCAGTGCAAAGGAACGCAAAAGTCCAGACATTCGAGGCTCGCCGCTTTGTTCTAATGCCAAACTGCATGACGTGCCGACACGGTTCTAACGGCCTCGCTGTTGCCTATGGACGCACAGCAGTCAGAGAGCGACGACTATCTTGCTGAATCAGACCAACGCGACAGCCTTGACGCAACTCCGGAGTGTCAGGACATATGCCTATGGGCCCTTTCACAGGGACTCAATGACATTATCCAGGAGTTTGAGGTGCAGAACTTTATCGAGTTTGTGCACCTGGACCCACTGCCATTCCATGCACAGTTCTCCAACCAGCCTTGCAACGGGATCTATCTGCCCGAGAGTGGTGCACATTTCAAGCGATCCAAGAGTCACCATGAGAGCGCCCTGAGCCGGTTGACGCCGGGAGGGCCTGAGGTGCCCGGATACGGGCCAACGACAGGCATCTACAACCGATGCATCGTCGAGGACGCCGAGGCAAACGTGCAGCAGGACATTCTGACGTAAGTGGCTGGGAACAGATGCCGATGCGGATGTCGGCACGGCAGTGAGCCTTGACACAATAGCTGCAGCGGACACTGACACAGCTGTCTATCAACCCTGTTTGTGGCGGGGCCTCAGGTCGCCCGAGTTCCAGAATGTGTGCGAGAGCATCCTGGAGGGCACAATCTTCAATTTGATCCAGGAAGCGAACGTTGACGAGTTTGAGATGACGAGGCGATACATGTCGGTGATCTGACGTGTGGATATCGTCGCGAGCGGGCACAGCGATCTGGGCCCGACAGCCGTCACGACAGGAGGCCAATACACTCGCTGCCATGATCTGCCTTGAGGATTGCATCACATCGAGGTGGATTGCATCACATCGAGGTGGATTGCACCACAACGAAGACGTCCTCTGCCTTTTTGAACAGGACGTGCCAGCCGGGGTTTCACGGCCGAAGCAAACTCCGCCATTGGCACGTGTCAGCGGTTAAGCCTTTTCAGCGAGAGCGGCGTCTCTCGCCCAGCATGCAGGTGCACTGTCGACTGCGGGCTGCCCTCGCCGAGAGCCGCGAGAGAAGCAGGCGTTCTCGCCGTGTTCCTCGAATGCAAGTCGCTTTTGGTTTCTTTCACCGAGGCCAGACGCTGCCCTCCATCAACCAACACTCCTCCGGCCAGCACTCCTCCGGCCAGCTACCCGTCAGCCTCGCTGCACAGTTGCTTCTCCCCGCAGCGACTCGAACGACGCTCTTGGTGGCTTCTCAACTGCGCATCCGCATCGCTGCCATTCTGCGCTCTCGTCTCCCCAGTCTTCCCCACCACCCAAGTCCTCCTCTCAGGGCTGGTGGATTCCTGACCATCTAGACACTCGCCGCCGCCACTCTTCCCACACCCTCGCGACAGCAAGCCGGCCGACAACCATGCCCAGCCCTTCTGTCACCCCAGCGGTCTCTGGAGACCTGCGTCAATGTAAATGCTGTTCCAGTTCGCTGCTCGCTTTCAAGGGAGAGATGGGGGGGGGGTCCGTCGGGGCGACATCGAACGCATGGTCCTGCCATCCCCAAACGGGGGGTTGGGCAATCCACCCATCGCCGTTTGGGAAATCATGCCGTGGCCGCTCGCTCGCTCGCTCGTCCGGCCCGTCTGTCCGTCAGGACCTGCTCGCCGCCATCGTTTGGTCGCTGACTATATCAGCCTGAGCCGCCCCGTCTCTGCTTCCTGTTCTTGTCCTTGCGTTTGCCTTTTGCTCCTTGTCGTTGTGATTCACTTGGTGGCTCGCAGCAAGCGACTGTGATCTCTGTCTGCTCGACGCCATGTCCACCGCCGATGACATGTCGTCTACCGATCCTGCAACGTCTGCTGACGGCGATCCCAATCTCTCCGCACCCTCTGTCGATCCAGCCAATATTGAAAAGAGCTTCACCGACGCCACAGCCAGTCCCGCAGCCAGCAAGATATCGTCCAAGGCCAAGACCCTTGCCAAGTCAGCGTCGTCAGCCTCGCTCCCGCGGGATCAGTCAGCCGTTTCAACTACGTCGTCCCTGTCGGAGGTGTCCGAGAGGAGGCTTGCACAGGGCATCGTGGGCTCGCTCACATCGCTGATTCCAAACTCGATCCAAACTTCTGTCAACACCGTTATCGGCATGAGAGAAAAGACTCGTAAGTGGTGTCGGACGGGGTGCTTCTCGTGGTGGTGAGGGTGTATTGCCTGGAGGCGAGGATGGCATGGGCATGCTAGACTCTGTTCACCAACCACCAAGCCGCTGCCACCCGCTCAAGACGGTGGCTGTCTTGGACTCATACACATGGAGATGGCAGCCTAAGCACCTCCGCCGATCACCTGCTGCTGAGCATCCTGGTCGATTGCAGCCTCGGTCGATCAATACCGCTGCGCCGCGAGTTGCTGCGACTGTGCCAGGCTCATGTTCGAACTCCCTTCTTTTTCCAGCGGCCGAGTGGTATCACTTTGTGTCCGAAGGTGTCGCAAATGCTGCAGTCAGTGGTAAGCACAATAGCATGTCGGGCGGACTGGCAAAAGCGCGAGCCATGGTCCTTCCGCCTCCGCTCACAGTGCGAGCAGTTGGATCTTCCCTCGCAGTATGAGCAGTCGGATTTACTCGTGTGCTTTTTGGTCGATTGCAGCGGCGGTTGTCATCAAAAAATCACCGATCCCTGATGCAATCGCCTCCATCACTGGCTCCACGAGCGAGGGGCCCGAGGCACCCGAGGACACGGCCGACCTCGAGCAAAAGATCATGAACGTCAGCCAGATCCTAGTCGGCACGACGGTCGCTGCCACCGGCATCATGGCCAAGGCTGCCGTTCGTGCCGGGGCCGCTTACAAGCGCACCCCCGGATTCAGCGACAACAAAGACGTTGAGCAGCGAACCAAGCGATTCCAGAAGGTCTACGACGTGCGCGAGAAGTTGATTCGGGTGGCCGAATGTCCCGGTGCCATGCCCCTTGCGGCCCTGGTCGATGCGGCAACGCAGACAGATGACCTCGAGTTTGACGCCCATCTGATGCCTCACGAGCAGGGGCATCCCGACGATGGCGACGGTCATGATGCGGCCCTGCTCAATCCGAGTCGTGGCCTCAAGAAAAAGATCAGCGGCATCCTCATCTCGGGCGCCACGATGGTGGCGTCGTCGATTCTGGAGCGTGGGACCAATCTGGTGCTCAAGTCGCCCGGGGCTGCGGAGCCCGTTGGGTCGGCAGAAGGATCGCCCACGAGCCAGCCCACCCTGCGTAAACGTGATAGTATCGCCAGTCTGCGTAAGAAAGACAGCTCGTCGAGCCTCTCTCGCCACGGCGAATCCAAGAGCCACTTGCGGACCTTGAATGTCGGCGGGGCGGTCTTTACGACCACGGTAATGACCTTGACGGCCGACGAAAACTCGGAGTTGGCACATTGGTTTGGAGCCAAAGCGTCAACGGGCACTCCTGCGATGTCGCCCTCTGCTCAAGCCACGCCGTCGAGCCCGTCCAAGGAGCATGTTCTGGACGACGACAAGGCTGGACACCTGGTCTTGAAGGACGGTGTCTATCACATCGACCGCGAAGGTAAGGAAGCTGCGTGGGCGGAAGCATCGCCGCACTCCCAGACTGCCACATGGTACTAACCTTATGGACATGCATTGGCATCTAGGCAAGCACTTCCACCACGTCCTCAACTACCTGCGGCATGGCTGTCGCGTTGAAGCCGTGGAGGACGCCCTCCCGGACGATTATGTATCTCTATGCGAAATCTACGCCGAGGCAGTCTTTTACAACCTCGAGAAGCTGGCCGCCGTGGTCGAGACCAAGATGATCGAGTCCAAGACGCAGAAGCTAACGACACGGATCCGACACGATGTCTATGAGCTTGTCCTCTGCATCCTCCAACACCACATCTTCCTGAACACTCTCTTCAGCATCATCACAGGGAGCGTCATTGGCGCGCTGCTGTGGCTAATTTTCATGTCCTAGACGGGCGAGGCACCAGGAGGCATGGATAGACAGCTCTGCGCTTTCCCGGCCCCACCCTCAAGCGCAACCGCACTGAGGGACATGCCCGCAGCATGCTGCAGCCCGGTTCGCGGAGATGTCGGCTGTCGCTATCCTTTAGAGCCTCCCTTCCCTTTTGCCGTTCTCTGCTGTCTCTCGTTCAACACCAATGCCCACAACCATGAACTGTTTCAAGCATTCGTATTTCAAATTTTGCACCACAAAGCCTCCCCTCTGCACAAGCCTGGCGCCCGACTTCAGCCCAAACGCCTTTGGTCCATTTCCCAGGGGTGGCCTCGCTCCATCTTCTCTGGCCGGCTGGCTGGCTGGCTCGTCCCCAGTAGGATAGCAACACTCGCCAGCCACACCTGCCTCGAGAACCCCTCTGCTCGTTGCTGCACATATCCTCTTGCCGTTGTCTTTGCTCGTTTGTTCCGTTACTGTTTTGCTTGCTTTTGTGTCGAACCCATTGTGATTCCATTCCAGCGTCCTACCCCTACCTCGTACCGACTCGCTCATCCGACTCGCTCATCCGGCGCACCGAACCAACCCGGACGTCCTTCTTCCGCTGCTGCTTTCGTCACGGCGGCACATGCTCCACCCAACTCCTCTTCCTCTTTCCTTGCTCCAGATGATCTGCTCAATGTAGAAATTGATCCTCCTCCTCCTCTGTGCACTCGTGAGAATGATGATTGGTAGGCACATTGGTCAGACGTAAGGGGTGCTTTACAGGCAATCCAAAAAAACGAGACACCCAGGTTTTGACCATTCATCGAATATTTTGTTACCCAATGTTATCGCGCGCTGGCCATGACCATTCGCCACACATCCGACTTTCGCACCGCCGCATTGCGATGCTACGCCCTCATCCATAGCCTGCGTAAGGTCGCCTCCATATTCAGTGTATCCAAGAGCACCATCCATCGATGGCACCGAGGATGCAAGCTGGATGACCCATCCCGGGTCCCAGCTCGCAGATCCACTTTCTTCGAGCAGGCATGTCCAGTCATTCGCACCCTGATTGAACAGGACCCGTTCCAGACTGGTCCTGTGTTGCGATGCAAGCTCGAGTCCATCCTCCAGAGGAAAGTATCACTCTCACTCTGCCACACTGCCATCCACCGAGCAGGTCTCTCACACAAGAGGGCAACACACCTCTACAAGTCCAAGCGACTGGATGAGCGAGTGGCACAGTTCAGGGACCAGGTCCGCTCCATCGACCCACGACGATTCGTCTTTGTCGATGGGACAGGGATCAGGAAATCCATTTTCCCTCTCTACGGATACTCACCGAAGGGTGCTCCGCTTCGCCAGCGCAATCACATGAAACACAAGTCTGTCTCGGCTGCATTTGCCATCAACCACTCTGGTGTGCTGCATCGCATGTACCAAGGGCTATGCATCCAGCCCTCGGAGGCAGCGGTTTGCTCAGTACTTTGAGCAATTCGAGCACCACCGACGCCACCCACATCGCACTCATGGAAGCGTCAAGGTGGCCTCGACGAACGAGTTCAACACCACCTCGCAAGTGTGCTCCAAGTGCCTGGAGCCAGTTCGGTTGGAAGGACTCGATGCGCCCAGCGTTGCGAATTCCCACTTTGTCAGGAGCTGCAAGAATCCCAGCTGCCGGACAGTGTGGAATCGCGACGTCAATGCGGCGCGCAACATGATCACAGTATGCAGGTCGATTGTGGAGATCGGAGAGCGACCGGCGGTCTTCACTCGGAGGCTGCCAAAGTGATCTGTTTTATTTCTTGTGGCTTTGCTTGACGCAAGCACAGCACATACTACCTGTTCATGGAAACGGCTATGTTGTCCCGTTTTTTTCTGAATAAAGTGTAGTGTATTGATCAAGGGCTCATTCGAAGGAAAGATAAGATCAGAGCAAGGGGGTAAGGAAGGCGGGGCGAATGTACATATTCAAAACTGCAGCGACTGGTGCACAAGACAGGCTTTGGTGTACCGTCGAGGGAGCACTTGGGCTCGCTTGTTGCCCAGTGAGGGCTACGAACTAGATACAGAAGGGCGATCCAAGGAGCCAAAAATTACGGAGACAGGAAAGGAGGAGGGGGTATGTCATGGGGTTCTGTGGGTGGGATGTGGTGGGGAAGCGCACCGGGTTGAAGCAGGCAATCACAACAGCAAGTACGTTGTCAGGGGCAGGTCAGACTAGTTAAACTGCACCCAGCCCCCATCCGACGTGGATCCAGTCGGATGCGTCCGCCAGCTTCTGCTGCTGCTCGCGGACGTGGTGGGGAAGGAACGTCTTGAACTTGGTCCGGAGGATCTGGTTGGCCTCACGCAGAGACCGCGGAGAGCGCTCGGGCCCAGAGAGGGCGGGGTTGGACTTGATGTGGCGGTAGAGGGCCAGGGCCGCGGGAAGGTGCTGGCGCAGGGTCGCCGCCCGAGTTTCTTCGGACGGGTGAGTGTTCTGGAGCGGCTGGATAAGGGCTGGCTGGCCGTAAGCGTCATGGTCGAGTGGCTGCTGACGATGCTGGGGCTCGGCCAGAGCGGGCTCCGGCAGGGTCTGCGGATGGAGCGAGGGTGAGTGCTCGTGGACGATGGCAGCCCATTTCTCCCAGAGTCGGACGGCATCAGTCGGATCGTAGCCAGCAAGGGCCAGCAGGTACATTCCCACGAGATCGGCCTCGAACTCGCAGGTGCGCGAGTGTGCGTTGATGATGTCGGTCTCGGTGCCGACGAGCATTTCCAGGGCGATCTGGAGAGGCCCCGAGAGAGGCGACGAGGCTTTGAGAGGGCCCTCTGTGGTCAGAGACGAGGCTGGTGTGTGCTGGTGTCCGTCGTCGTGCTGGTCATGGCCGTGGCTCGAATGATAGTGGTTGCCCCACAGCAGATCGGCCACGCGCTGGCCACAGGTCTTCTCGGCAGTGTGCATAGAAAGGACATGGGCGAGCTCGTGGCTGAGAATCACGGCAAGCTCGGCCTCGGACTCGGCGATGGCAGACAAGCCAGTGAAGACAAAGACCTGGCCCGAGGGCAGCACCAGGGCATTCGGGAGCGAGTCGTCCTGGACCAGGTGGACGGTCCACTCACGCAGATCGGAGATGCCGGCGGCCGCGACGAGCGAGTGGACGATGGATGAAACAAACTGGTGGGCCTCGTGCGTGGGTGGAACCAGTTTGTTGCCGTAGGCGCTGAGCAGCTCGGTGTAGCCCGTTTCGCCCAGGCGCTGCTCAATCGCTTCGTCAAAGAACAAGAACCGGCTTCGGCCAGTGAGCGGGTGCGGGTCGTAAGTGGCCGAGGCAACGGTGGCGACACTCGAGAATCCAAAGACGAGGAGGCCGGCAGCCCAGGGGAAGTGTTGTGCTGATTCTGAGTCGGACTCTGGGGGAAACCGGAATACAAGACAAAAGATGAGTGGGATCAAATACTGGCTCAAGTGTGGGAGAGGCGTAAGGAAAGGCGGTGGTTGTGGGCAACGAGCTAGCGGGCCAGAGACAGATCCGTGCTGCAAACGTCGCCATGTACGTACCCGAGTCTTGCTCGTGGTGCTTCTCCCAGTCGGGAAGGTTGCCGATCGAGGATGGAATCCAGTGGCCAAGGGGCGACGGTGAAGGCGAATGCGAAAGCGTGGCTAGTCGGCGTACGGGTCTCCAAAGCACGCAGGGAGAGGATGCAACCGCCATGACAGAGCTGGATCGAGGGGGGCTGAGGACGAGTCTGGGGCCATGGAAGTTCCGGGCCATTTTTGTCCAGGGCAGTTTGGAGGATGAAGACATGACGGCGAGACGATGATCGGGCTGGAGACAGGTGTGGATAGGCCAGGCGAGCTCGACAGCGGACTTGGAAAGGAGGCTTCAGCGGGCCGGTGGCTCTGAGCTTGTGGGTTGGAAGAGAAAGCGCCGCCGACGTGGGAGAGGGCGGGAAACAGATGTGTCAGCGCGGGGACCATGGCGGGGTCATGAGAGTTATATGGGGCACAGAGCCACACGTGACGTGAATCATGCTGGCGAGGCGCGTGCCGGATTTGGAAGGAGTGAATCAGCGCTGACGCAAAGGGCGCTCACGGCGCGTCACTGGCGGTGAGTCAGAGAGAGAGAGAGAGCAGTGGCTGTGTCAGAGCGCCATTCAGCCAGCATGTGGCCAGGATGCATGTGGCCACCCAATCCGGCTGCATCCGGCTGCATCCGGCTGCATCCAGCACAGCCATGCCGCCATGCCACGTGCCCCCAGACACGCCGCTGGCTTGGCGCCCGCCCTGTCCGCATTTTCGATTGGCTGCGAGGCGGGCGGCCAATCAGCGCCGCGCGTGTCCGCGTCAGCAGGGACATGTGTCCTGCGATAGGAGCGCGGCGTGTGTGTGTGCGCGGCCAGAAATAGGCGATTGGCCCACCACGCCACAGCCGGACACAGCCGGACACAGCGACAGCGGCGCCGACAACTGCGACAATGCACAGGCGGAGATAGCGATGCGGCCACACACACACGCCATCACACAGACTCACACACACACGCCAGCCCACGCCAGCACATCGGCTCCACACAGACTGCGGGGCGGCGGCCGCCCCAATCGGCCTTCCGCCCACCCCCAATCGCCCCCAAACGGCCTATTTGACTGACTCAGTCCTCCGCGAATGGCCTATTTGACTGCATCGGTCTCCATCGGTCTCCATCGATCTGCATCGGTCTCCATCGGTCTCCATCGATCTGCATCGGTCTTTGTCGATCTCCATCGATCTGCCGAGTCGCTCTTCTTCCCCCTGAAGAGCCTCTGCTTCTGCTGCCGGCCTCGTCCCCCCGGTCGTTCTCTCGATCGCATCGGCTTCCGGCTGCCCATTCCCGTCCCTCCCACCTCCCTTCCCCAGACACACCGTCCTCGTCCCCGCCATGAGCACTCTCCCGCCGCGCAACCTGGACTCGTATCTGCCCAACGAGATCCTCAGCCATGTCTTCACATACCTGCTGGACCCCGAATACCGCATCCACCCTCTCGGCTTCCCGGAGCTGTGGGATCTCTCGTCCTCGGCGGCCTCGTCCTTTGCCGAGCTCGTGCGGCTCAGGGCCTATATGCGCCAGCTCTTCACCTGCCTCCTGGTCTGCAGGGCCTGGGCTGGCGTTGCCCAGCGCCTAATCTACAGCCACCTCTCCATCGTCACCGACAAGGACACCCTGCATCTGCTCGACAAGCTCTCGGCCGACTTTTTCGTGCCGCCCTCCATCACAGACCTGCCGCCACCGCTCCATCCTGCCCTTGCCCTTCCTTCGTGTCTGCTTCTCATCCGCTCCGTCCGCATCTCTGTCTCCAACATCAACATCGCCACCACCCGCGATCTGATCCTCAACCTGGGCTGCAACCTCACATCCCTGGTCCTCGTCGGCCGCATCTTTGACGACAGTCCGCACTTTGACGCCATCGACGACTCGGCCCACGAAAGCACCAGCCTCGACTATCTGCTCACCTACCCCAAGCCGCTCTCGGTCTTTGCTCCGCTCTTCTCATGCAACTTTTCCCGTCTGCGCACCCTGGTCTTGCCCACATTGCCGGCCCACATGCTCTCGGGCCTCGCCAGCCTCCTGGCCACGGCCTCGTCCAAGGCTGCCGCAGGGGCTGCCTGGGAGTTTCCCGTGCTGCAGACTCTGGATCTGTCGTCTCTCGTAACCTGCTCCGACCAGATCGGCGACTTTGTCGTCACCACCTTTGTGCAGGTAAGCCCCCGTCGTCGAGGCTACTGTCGGCATCATGGCGATCATCGTGGCAGCGCCACCACGCTGTCTCGTATTCTCCATGGAATCCATGGAATCCATGCTGCCAGCCAACGCATTGGCTCCAGGGGGGCACCATGAACATACCTGGCAGTGTGGTGGATGCGGCACCGCCACCCATTCGTCGACGCATCTGCCGTCTGATCACTCCGATGCCACCACCATCAGCAACGAATGCCAAATGCCGCTCTTTTAACCTCCTCCTCCTCCTCCTCCTCCTCCTCGGCTGCTCCTCGGATGCTCCTTTTGCCAGGCTTGCCCCAAGGTCCACTCCGTCTCGCTGCCCAAGGTTTCGACCGCCGCCCTCAAGCGCATTGTCGAAAAGGTCGGCCACCAGTTCAGCCATTTCCGCTGCCCAACCCTCAACTTGGTCGATGACGACGAAGCCCGCGAGATCCTCGGCCATCTGCCCAACCTCCGCACCTTCTTCATCGGCAACATGTCCACCTCCACCCTCGCTGTCCTTGCCGAGCTGTGTCCTGGACTCAGTGGCCTCTCTGTCGCCCGCGTCTCTGCAGACCCAACGCTCAACCACACTTCCGAGCATCACCAGCAGCGCTGGCTCACCGCCCGTGTCGTCGCGCTCCTGCAGAGCCTCAAGCATCTCCGCATCGGCTTTTGGTCGGGCCTGAGCATTGAAACCTTCAAGGCCATCTTCCGCTACTGCTCCAATCTGCTGACTCTGGACATCTGGGACCGCGACCGCATCAGCGAGTCCAGCGTCCAGGAACTCTTTGTCTGCATCACCAACGCCTGCCCCAAGCTTGTCCAGTTCAGGGCCAGTAGCACCTGCTGGGACAGCAGCCTGTGCCCGATCGTCTACCTGGCCGCCCGCCTGGAGCATCTCCTGGTCATTGGCGAGGGCCTCCTGACCCTCAACAAGCGCGGCTATTGCAAGCAGACCAACGTGCTCTGCGAGCTGCTCGAGCGCCAGAACTGCACCGACATGCGTAGCCAGCGACTCGAGAACATTGCGCCTCCTCGCGGCACTTCGTCGACCTTCCGCCCCATCGCTTCGTCCCGCATCGACATTGGCGTTCCCGGCGAGCCCAAGACCTCGTGGGCCGCACCCATCCGCCGTGCCTGCCGAGGCGACACCATCCTGGCTCAGGCTGTTGGTGAGGGCGATTACCTTGCCTTCCGCAACCGATTCATGCAGATCGGATCCGAGGCTTCTGTGGCCATGTGAGCCGACTCTAGGGGGCAGCCTTGCCCTCAGCAAGCACTGCACCCATGCACATCCCCGTGCTGTACATAGAAATCCCCCCCCCGAGCTTGCCACCAGTCGTTCGCCGACATGCGGTGACCAGCTCGACTCCCCCTGGCCCTGTCCCCACCCACCTCTTTGCTTTTTGGATCGTCTTTGCAATTGCCCATGCTGTGGTCTAGCGGCATTGCGACCTATCCAGTGTGCCTGAGCTTTTGATTTTGCCTCCACCTCCGCTGCTCGTTTGCCCTCATTTTGTTCACGCTGTGTGGCACTGTCTCGTGCCTCGGCGTCCTTCCCATCTCGGCCATGCCGACAGATTCTCCATACCCCCGTGTGTGATTGTGCACCTGCGCTCTTCTCGAGCTTCTGCCCACGCAACGAAACGGGATACTCTACGTTTATCGCTTTTGTTTTTTTGGATGAGAATATATGCACATCCATCATTCGCATGGGCCTTTCTTCAAGCAGCCCTGTCCTCCGGCGCTGCGTCTTGGAGATCCGAAGCAGGGAGAGGTGGCCCAGTGTCTCTGCCTCCTTTGGTGTGGCTGCGGCAGGGCATCGACCGTGCATTGCCACCCCACCGATCTGGATATAAGCACTGCATCATCCGGTCTCCCCAAGTGCCATCCAGCCCCCTGCAAGTGCCATCCAGCCTCGTCACAACAACCATGAGTTCCTCCGCGACCCCACACAGAAGCCAGCAGACCACGTCCCAGCGCCTCGACTACATCATCGTGCTCGACTTTGAGGCGACCTGCGGGCCGACCGTACCCAAGAGCGACTCTGAAATCATCGAGTTCCCCATGATCGTCATCGACACCCAGCAACGAGCCGCCACGCACGAATTCCAGGTCTACGTCAAGCCCACGCTGCACCCGATCCTCGACGACTTTTGCACCGAGCTGACCGGGATCACGCAGGACCAAGTTGATGCCGGCGTCAGCTTCGTTGAGGCCCTGGAACTCGCCCACGACTTTGTGCAGCCGTTTGTGAAGCAACGCAACCGAAGCGCCATCCTCACCTGCGGCGACTGGGACCTCAAGACCATGCTGCCGCTCCAGGCCGAGCGCGAAGCGGTCCCAGTCGTAAGTCCCTTCGACAAGTGGATCAACATCAAGAAGGACTTTGAGCTCGTCTACAAGACACGCAAGGCCGGCATGGTCCCCATGCTGAACCACCTCGGGCTTACCCTCGAGGGCCGGCATCACTCTGGCATCGACGACTGCCGCAACATTGCGCGAGTTGCATTGGCCATGATGGATGATGGTCATGTCTTTGGAAAGCCCGGGACGATTCGCCAGAGATCGTAATACATTTGCTGCAATTGCTGCCGCTGCTGCAACTAAAGTTGTTGGTGTTGGAGTGCACGGTCGCGAGACACTGTATATTCGACTCTCCGGACAGTACCGTACAAAGTGTGTCTTCTCGATGTCCATGGCCAGGTCGAACGAGTTGCTCGCCGCTTGTTTGGGACGGGCATCGGATGGTTTGGTGCTGCTGGGACACCGACAGCTGCCGAGCAAACGTGGAATAGATCCGTTTCAGGAGAAAGGGTGCTGGTGCAGTCTCTCGATGCCAGGCGCAACCGACGCAAGGGCCCGGCTACTCGTCGGGGAATCGAGTGAATCGCACTTCCCTCCCGAGATTCATGGCGCGCATCGTCAGCTTCCAACTTTCAATCGCCGTGTAGTTTCAGCACCCATCGCGGCTTTTATCCATCCAAGTATCCATGGCGTTCCTCAGCAAAGCGTCATCGTTGTGGCGATCGCTCCTCAGCATTGACGAGCCTGCATTCGAGGCCGGCGGTGAGGCGACACTGGACGACGCCTCGGCCATCCAGAGATACTTCAATGAAGAAGAAAACGTCCGGCCGGCCCTGGTAAGTGAATGCAAGCAGCAGCATGCCCATACCTTATCCTCGACTGCATGGATGGATGGGTCTCTTGCGAGCGAATTGGGTTCGTGGGCCCACTCACATTCGTGCGAGGGGAACCAGGTGGCTGCCTCCGGAATCGAGTCTGTGCTCAATGCTTAAAGTGACTGCCGAACCTCGAATCGCGATCGATGAAATGCATCGCCGCACCTGTGTCCGCCACAGATGGGCGTTTTGTCGATCAAGATCATCAGCACCACGCTCAAGCCTGGGCGGCACCACCGTAAGTCTCGACGAAAGGTGCCCAGTGGTGTCCGTTCGGCTGAGGAGGGAGCCCATCCCCGCTCGACTACAATCCCATCGCCGCGATCGCACACTAAATCGCAGAGTCGACCAGGGATTCTCACAGGATTCTGCAACAAGGCCTGCCAGATATCGATCCGCAACCTGGTCAAGCGGACCCGAGTGGTATCGTCTAACCGACAGGGCACCGTTGTCTGGGACCAGATCAAGCACTTCCCCGTCAAGGTCAGCGAGCGACGGCTTCGATGGCGAAAGCAACTCGTCCGGCGCCGCTGTTCTGATTCGCACGCACGCTCGCTCGCTATTGCGACTCGGCGTGCCCTTGTTCATCTATCCTCTTTTATGCTCACAGGTCGTTCGAAACCGCCGACACCCTTACAATCTCGTCAACGTTTGTGTCCTGGGTCTTCGGTCAGACGAGCCCGAGGCCCAGAGCGAGCTCGGCAGCATCGCCTTTCATTTGCACGATGTGATCAAGGTACATCATCGCTGCCATGCGCTCCCCCCCCCTCCTTCGACATCCCAGTTAACCGCTTGCGCCTCTTGCCAAACAGTCGAGCCCGGTCTCGGGCTTCTACGACCTCTGGAAGGGCAATGACCTGGTCGGTGAGATCCATCTGGAACTCACCTTCAACTACGGCTTCTTTGGATACGGCTACTCTTCGCAGCTGCGGGAAGAAGAGATCAAGCCCGAAGACCTTGTGCAGTACTCTTTGTTTCCCCGGATCAATCCGCGCCGAGAGTTTTGCGAACCCGGCGAGAACATCATGGTGGCCCGGGCGATGCCCCACCCGAGCTTCATCGACTTTAAGAACAAGGTTGCCCTGAGTTACGGCGGTGAAATCTTGGATTTGCTGAAGGAGATGGAGGCCGAGATCTATTCTCCCGAACAGTTGGTCAAGCAGCTCACACCGACCGCCAAAGTCCGTGATCAGGTGAGACCCGGTAGTGAGTGAGTGAGTGAGTGAGCGAGTGAGTGGGAGTCTCTCTCTTGCAACCACTGCGTCCAGTATTGGGAAACATGCATGCAAGCACTGACAGCATTGATACTGCAAGTACTATTCCTCCGGCGACCGAGTCGCAAGACTGATCAACCTGCACAATCTGCTCGAGAAGAGCATGCATGTGAGTTCTGTTGGCTCAACACGATACCCATTCATGGCTTTGACGGTCAGGTCGGGTCGTATCATCGGCAACACCACCACCGCCTGTTGAATCATGTCGCAGTCAACTGTGTCTTCTTCATTCGCAAGATTTTGAGAACCTCGCCGCCCCTGATCCCCATCTCTCTTTCTCGGTGTTCATCACGCTTTGTGTGAACGAACGCTGTAGAATACTGAAGCCATCGCCGAAGGCGAAGAAGCGTGGGCCGAGGACGCCCTTCCACCCAAAATGTACACGCAGTTCGTCCATCCCAACTCGCACGAAGTCCGGCCCCGAGATAACATCATTTCGGCCCTGCTGGGAGGGAACATCCTCAAAACCAAGGAGTTCAGTAGCGATGAACTCGCCGACAAGAGGAAATGAGGCGTCTCGACAGAGGATGGTGGTCCGTGTCGTTGTGTCCTTGAACGTACACACTGCGTCGATGATCCACACGATGCCCTCCAAAGCAGGGGCCATCGTTCTCTTTCGCCAAAGTTGCAAGGCACTTTGTTTCGTGTTGCGAAAAGGCTACCTGTATTGTCGTCATTTCCTTCGCCCATGCAAAAAATGCAGAATGGAGGTATTTCTACACAGTGAGTCTAGGGTGAGAGAGAGAGAGCTGAAGCGAAAGAGTAGTCGGAGCAAGAACCAAACAAGAGAAAAGAAACGGTCTCAACAAAGAGGGATAGAAGGAGAATAAAACAGGCTGTCGGGGTTCTTGAAAGTGGCAAATCAAAGTGAGTGGAAGCGGGCCAGTGCGTCTTGCCGAGCCATGGCGACAAGGGGCCCAAAGGGAGAAAAGTTCAGCAGAATCTGGGCAACGAAAGAGAAAGTAAATTGGGTGCGAATTGCGAAAGACAGCGCAGAATTTCCGCTGCTGTAAAGGTGTCGCCAAACAGAGGAACAAAATCCACGTTAGGCATTGGAGGGCTCGGCTGCCGCATAGCCCTTGCCCGTGCCCCGACCGCCGCGTCCTCCGCGGCTTGAATAGCCTCCTCCGTTGTAGTCCCTGCCCGACGAATGGTACTGGCCGCCACGTCCACGTCCACGGAATCCGCCGCCACGGCCACCGCGGTAGTTTGAGCCCGAGCCGCCTCGTCGAGAGTAGTCGCCGTCGTTGGCTCGAGCATCCGCACCATCGACGGGGGCTTCGTCCACGGGCTCCTGGCCCGCGCCCGTGGACGAAGTCGCCGGTCTGTCTTCGTAGGACCGGCCCTTGGCTCCGTCGCGCGCGCCGCGGGACGCCGGATTGCCGTCTCTGGGTTTGTGCTTGCCGCTGACCAGTTCCGCCAGCTCGTTCTTGGTGCTGACGGCACCGACGCGTGGTGCAACATTGTAGGGCGAGAAGGCGCTCTCCGCATCCACAGCTCCTTCCGCAGGCTGGTTGGTCTGCAGCAGCGAGAGGATTTGCTTGGAAATGTTCTGGGCGTGCGGGTCGTGGGGAACGGGCTCGCCGCCCGCGGGTCGCGGCTGGGCCGGCAATGCTCCCTCGGGCTCCGAGCGATCGTGCGGCCGAGCCAGCGGCGGACGCTGGAGACCGATCTGCTGCGGGATAAAATGCGGCGGGGCACCGTATGGTGGGTACGGCGGGTACTGCTGCAAATACATCGGCTGGCCATAGTTGGGGACGAGAGGAACCGGATAGCCCTGTGGAGGAGCCGGGTACGCGAATGGCTGCTGCTGGGGATGCATGCCGGGCTGAACCGGCATCATCATCAGAGGCATTGTCATCGGATGGGGTTGGCCAATGCCCATTCCATGTTGCCCATTCAACGGAGCCGCTCCAGCAGGCTGGGTGGAGGTCGGAGCCTTGGTGGTGCCCGGAGAGGGCTCGCCGATGTGCAGAACGTTCTTCAGATTTCGCGTGATTTCGCTTGTGTCGATTGCGGCCGCGCTCGTGCCCGCGGCAGGCCGCTTCTCTGCCAGATTCGCTTCGGGCTCGTTGGCGGCCGATTCATCCACAGGAACCGAGTTTCGCTTCTTGGCGACGGGGGGAGCTTTCTTGGGAGCTTCACCACGGGCGCTCGGCGGCCCATCGTACGGTCCGGCCGGGTGGTGACGGCTGCTGGGACCAGCAACTGCAGAAGCGTCGGGGGCAGGCTTTCCTCCTTTGCCGACTCCTGGCGCGGAGGGAGCAGCCGAATCCCGCTTTAGCGGCTTTGGTCCTTTGGGTACATCGCCATCGCCACCGCGAGTAAACTGTGGTGGGGGCGGCTGTCGGCTTGGAGTCTCAGCGCCGGCAAAGCGCTGACTGGTTTCTCCTGCGGCCCGGTTGGGCTGCGAGGCCGACTGCGAGCCCGTCGTCTGCGGTCGTGACGAGCCATATCCGGCATGCGCGGACTGGCGCTGGACTGAGCTCTGCCCACCAGCTGCCTCTGCGCGTTCCGGGGTCCCAGCGGGTCCTGCGCGAGTCCAGGGGTTGATCTTGGGGGGAGGTGCCGCCTGGACCTGTTCGAGATTGATCGGCGGCTTGAGCGAGTAGGCGACATGTCCAGGCTTAGGCTGGCTCTTGGCGCCCGTGCGTGTGCCGGGTGCCGTGGGAGCTGCATGGCCGGCCGAGGCGGCAGGCTGGTATTTTTGATTTTGTGGCGGCTGTGGGTTGCTCAGATTGAGGAGGCAGTCCTTGTGCACCGACAGCCCGCGGCCTGGCGAGCAGCGCCGGTCCAGATCTTGGCCGGTCATGAAGGGTGCATCGAATAGAATGTCGAGAGTCTTGCCGTCGATTCCAACGACAGTGCCCTTCGCACCGAGCCCCACCGAGCCCTCATCAAAAGCATAGACGACGCGATCGCCGAGACCAAAAGTTTGGTGCGAGAGACGATGCTTTGCGTGTGCTGGCTTGAGAACCGCCTGAGATCAAACAAAAGTGCATAAGGAGGGCTGCCCGCGACTGGATGCAAAATAGCCCGCTGCGGACGTTGGCATGCTTCCCAAGATTTCACGTCGGTCCGTTGACTGTGGCGCACCTGTCGTGGGACATTCTTGACAGTAATGTACTTGATCTTGATCGGGCCTGTCGACTCGACGATCCGGTCGATTTCTTGCTCAATGTTCATGATGGTTTCCTGTCAGGCGCGGCGAGCCATGCGAACAACGCAAGTCAGTGCCGCAGCCGGAGCGATCTTGTTGGGACTGTGCAGCAATCGAGCAAAGCCGCCATTGGGGATTCCGTGCATCGCTGTCGCAGCATACCTTGGCCAAGCTCTGAGCATCCAGGGGGGCAATGTCCAAAGACTTGACGCCGGCCTGCTTCAAGAAATCCTCCATCTCTTGGAGCTTGTCCTTGGCGATTTCCTCTGGATAAAAGTCAGTCATGACATGGAAGTCGCCCTTGGGTTTCTTGTCCAGTCCTCTGAAGAGCTCAGGGAACCGCGTCTGCCCAGGACATCGGATGAATGGATGGTGCGGGCGGTAAGCTACGATGATTTTTGATTCCGCGTGTCCGACCAAGTCATCCAGGGCCGCTCCCTACACTGCACCAACGATCCGACTGCTACACAACAGCACATCCATAACAATGCCTTACCTTGTAGGAGATGATCAGCTCGATAGCCTTGTCGGAGTACTCCCATCCACCGCCGCTCTTGCGGGTGTATCCGATGACCTTCTTTTGCTTGCCGTCAAATTTGAGGTTCAGGCCCACGTTGTACTTTTGATCAGAGCGGGGCAGCATCACCAGGAGACTCGAGGTGATCTTGGAGAGCGCATATGAGCCGCAGCCCACGGTCTTGGTCATTTGCCAGGCCGGGATGAAGCGGATGCTGTGGTACTCTCGTTCCGCCATTGATGTGACAAACACAAAGTCAGATTCGTATTCGGGCTGGACGGGTTTGCGCAGTCGAATGTTGAGGAAGCTGTTCTCCTGGTAGCCAATAACCTCCGACAGCGCGCCGTAGTTCTGGCCTCCGAGGAAAAAGACAGGCGACTTTTCGGGAAACTCGGTCGGCAGAGGAGGGGGAGGGAGTTCCTGGAAGGCAGTGGGAACGGGTTTGAGTCAACAGCGGTGCCACCTCCAGCGATATCGTTAGCGGTGTCACGCGGGCATCACGGCCACCGATGCCCATGGCTGCTTCGACAGCAATAGCGACGGTCACGCACCACAAACCGAGCGTCGGGAGTTGCCACGGTGTCGACGACCAGCTGGAGCGGCACAAACTCTTCGCCCACTCTGGGCGAGTACTCCTTGACGAGCGAGCCGTCCTCCTCCAGGCGCATGCCCTTCAAGGGCCACACATAGAACATCGCCTCCACGGGACCAAGCAAGGTGCCAAAGCGCTTGCTGTAGAAATGCTCGATTCTCTCGGCAGTCTTGAAGAACTTGTCGGAGGCTTCGGGAGAGTGCGGGGTCTTGACGACGTGGGGGCGGCCAGAGGAGCCCTCAACAAGGTCGTACTTGAAAAACTCGTCAACCATCCCCTTCACGAGCGCCTCAGTCAAGAAGGGCCAGCCTGTGACGCGGAGGTAGCGTCAGTATCGACGTGATCAGTATGCGCAAGACACGACCAACATATTCTGTCGGCTCAGGATCGCGAGCCAGTGCAGGGTTTAGCTGATTCGGCATCGGAGCGCCCACTCAAGACCGGGATCTGATGGGCCAGAGTGCGAACCACCAGCATGAAGCGCGGCATGATCCTCAGAGGGCACTCACCGACAAAGATAGATGTGCCAATCTTATCTCTGGCCACCTGGTCGAAATTGGCGCCTTGGTAGCGATTCACAGGCGTGATGACCATGCTTTCGTTGCTGTAAAACGAGGCCAGAGTGCGTAAGCAACAACAACCAGCAGAAGCGACGTAGCTCCCGTAGGCTTTGGTCGCCGCAGTACATCTTGTGCAAAAGGAGGGCTTACTGGCTATCTGAATTGAAGACGTTGACGCCATGGAAGCCCAGCGTGGCCGTATACGTGATGGAGCCCAAGGCCGGGAAGCCAGGCACGTTGGTTCCGCCAACTTGAACGCCGGGAAGAAGTCCTTTAATAAAGCCGTGCGGGCCAAGCTCCGGTAAACTGTAGGACTCTGCTTTGCAGGTGCATGCGGTGATATCTTTGTTGTCACGGGTGGGTTGATTTGTTAGTGCGCGTACAGCATCCTGGGCGATGGCCGACCTGAATCCAGCGTACTCCGAAAGAAGCTCGGTCGACGCAATGTGACAACTGCAAATACTGCCCACACTCACTCTACTCACCGGGGAATCGGCCAGGCAAAGGCGAGGGGAAGTGGTGAACGTGGTCCGGGTCATACTTGAAAATGACCGCGGAACCGTGTGTGTTTCGTCGCTTTTCCTCCTTGGTGAGCTGGGACTCACGCGCTACAAGAATGAAGGGAGAGACGAGCCATCAACAAAAACGCCATGCATCGCAGAAAGTGGCAGAGCACCAGTACTGGCAGCCCGTGTCGAACGACAGCGCTGTGCCGAAAAAATGCAAGTCGGAAATAGCAGCTACCTTTCATCGCCTTGAGGAGTCGCACCTCATCAATAAACGGGATCTTGACAACGGCCTCCCAGTCGTTCTTCTTTCCGTTCAAATCGCACTCGAAATCCAGAGGGTAGAAATCGAGGATAGGTGATCCGGCATCGGTCATCAAGCTCTGCCAAAGATATATATGGTCAGTGAATTCACATTCATATGCAGACTGGCCTTCATCGGTCAGAAGACAGGACAGTATGAGGCACTGTCTTCTGACTGCTCTATTGCCCGCAATCTCGCAAGCCCTTGGTAATTGATGCCGTGCTACCAGTTGCGCCGGATGGCCGCCCTTCCGGCACATCTCTTGTGACCACTTACTTTGAACGCTTCTGGAATCATGCTGCGGCTGGCCGCAGGAAGAACACCCATGAGCTGCTCGAATGGAAGGAATGGGGTGCCGATGTTGAAGGTGATCTTGAGCTGGCCAATGTCGACGATATCTGATCGGTCCCCAGAGTCAGTATGCTTTGCGACCAACCTCATCTGAGGCCTTCGCATACCCCGAGTGGCGCCAGGGCAGCCTTACCAGAGACACGGGGGGCGTAGTGGTACGGGAAGAACCAAGACCACGATGGGACACCTTCGTAATAGTAGAGCATAACCCACTGCAGGCCCTCGATATACGAGGCAACCAGAGTCGCAATCTCTTCTTTCATGGCGCCGCTCTTCTCGGAGAACTCGAGCTTGGACTGCACAAGCAGAATGATTGCAGTGGGTATCAGAGACGAGCGAGCCGGATATCCACGATCAAAACACGCGCGGCGATGGCAACGGGCAGAAGTGGGTACGGATCAGCCACCAGTGCTCGCATCGCGGTCGTATCGTTTAGCCCAGGCGTGGCAAATTGAAGACACACGCATCGGAGCAAAATGGACAGCAGGCACCTTACCCGGTAGTAGATGTGTTTCATCTTCTCAAAGTCGCTCTTGAGGCGTTCTTCAGCTGATAGCTCCAGGTCTTGGGCGACCTGCTTCTCATCGGTGATCCTCATTCCGGCGTATTTTTTGAGCACACGCTCTTGAGCGGCAGAGCTTTCTTGGTCAAACTCCTCCTCGTCGTCGTCGCCGCTCTCCTCCCATTCGATCACCAAATAGTGCTGGCCATCATCGTCTTCTGTCTCTCGAAACTCGATGTTGTGGCGCAAACCGAGTTGCTTGACAAGCTCGATAATGAAGGCGCGATCACGGGCGGGCAGCATGGTCGAGAACTCGATTCGATCAGAGCGGCCGCGCTTGTGCACAAAGGCCTTGATCTCGTCGAAATACGCTTTCTGGCTGAGCGACATTGCTGGCGGCCAAAGAGACCGTGTTAAATCGGCATCGCCCACACCACACAAGCTTTGCGTAGCATCGTTGTTGTGAACCGATGAATCGAGTGACGCATTTGCTCGTTGTCTGGCCACATAGATGCACAGCCCCTCTGATCAGCAGCATGCGGCAGATCAGATACTCGACTCACATGGCCCGTTTGTTTCATGAACCGGCTGCTGTTGGCTCGACCCTTTGTCTCCTCGGTGTCCGCGCTTCTTTTTCATCCACTTGTCATCCTGGGCCTGGCTTTCGACAAAATGCTCCCATTCGAACTGGCACAAGGTGCCCATGATCGTCTGCAGGCGATCCAGGTTGATGTGGCCGCCATTGTTGATGTAGCCATCGAGCGTGGGAAGAACCTGCCGGTAAATTTGAAACACCATAGCCAAGGCACCTTCGTTGATATGGAGGTCGGGAAGATGTGGCAAAAAGTCGTTTCCGATGAACAGGTTGAGGAGGATAAAGTCGTCGATGATATTCTCGACACTGTAAGCAAACGGCAGGGTGTTTCGGATGTCGGAAAACTCTCGGTCCAGATACTCGCGGAAGAGGCACAGATGCATCAGATAAAAGTTCTGTTCGCCGGGGTTGTTCGAGGACTTGCGCGACTTGCGGCCAAAGGTGACTTCCTCGCGGAGCAGCGAAAAGTAGGGCTCGTGCGTCAGCAGCCCAAGCATGATCAAGTCGGCGTCGAGTCCATACAGACAGTGGCGGAGGTTGGGCTCGTAGTTGGGCCGGGACTTTGCTAGGCGAATATACTCCATGATCTTGTGCTCGCCCTCGCCGGGAACCTCGTGTCCGGAGAGGATAACCTTGACATTGCGCCATGCGGCATCCTCGGTGATCTTCTTGTTCACAAAGTACCTGAGTTGGTCCGACAGGCGGGCCATGAACTCGGTGCCTGTACGAGACGGCAGCATAGCCATGGTCCAGTGTTGAATACAACGTGTCAGCGCAGCGGACAGATTGAACCGCAGCAACAGGGGCAGTCTGGTTGGGCCTGAGGCGACGTGGCCGCGACATCCGTACCTGGGGTGATGCAGTTGCTGTCAAATGGAGGCTCCTCGGGAAGTTCCTCGCCCCGGGCGAGTGCCTTCCTTCTGTTCTCGGCAGCGTCTTTGGCGGTTCTGAAGCGGCGGGCGCGCTGCTGGTTCATCTTTGCCCTTGGCGCACAGCCATCGACGGCCATGAAAAAGAGCTTCTTGGGCTTGATTTTGGCAAAGAGATGCTCGATGTAGTTGAAGATGCCCAAGAACATCTGCTCTTCCGTGAGACGGAAGTGGACGTCGTCGTCGTTGGAGTGGGTGCAATTGTGGATGATGCCGTTCATGTCCAGATACAGATTGTCTGCGAGTCCAGCGACGTGTCCCGTATCGACGGTTGCCCATGGATCCAATTAGATGGGATCGGATTAAATCGGTCAAATAGGACCAGATTAGATCGGATCACATTGGTGGGCAGTCGCTCGTTAGTACATGGCTCTTGCTGCCGACCAACTTGGCCCAAACGAAGCCAGACACGCGCCGACATGCCAGACCCGACGATGTTCTTGCCGTGCCCTGGCCCTCCTCCCACGGCGTACATCCAAACGATCGATCCACCACACGGGTCATGAGCGTCAGCTGCGGGAGAGATCGAGATCGACCCACCAAACTCTGGAATTCTGTTCTCTTGGATCATTTGGCTCGTGAGAGGATATCTCTCGCTGATCCAGCGGAAGAACTATCGGACAGCGGCAGGCGGCAGAGTTCCATGCACACGAGAGGCGTGGGTGATCAGCGGGCGGTGTCATGATATCCTCAAGCCGATCAACGGCATCGAGGGTAGCTGCCTGGTCTACGAGCAGCCCCTCTCCCAACACCGCAGCGACAGGTCGTTGGTGGCGACGACAGGACGGCCGAGGGGCGAGAGAACCGAGCCAAAGGCGTGTGCTGTTGCCCAAAGCGCAGGCCCGCTCTCGGCAGGAGCCCACCGGTCAGCCGCGTTGGTTGCAGTGCAACGGTTCTGGATGCGGGTGTACCTTTGGGATACCCATGGTTTATCTGCTGGACTGCGGCTGAGAAGCTGGACGGATGGTTGCGTTTGGCGAAGAGGAGCTGTGATCCAATGGGGGCAGTTAGCGACGATACAACGCCCACGGGCCGCGGCAGCATGCATATGTGCGCCGTCTGCTCCGATGGCCGGCCGCGATGCTCACATCGATGGCTTGTGCAGGAGGGCTGCGGGGCGGGCGTGCTTGCACGGCAGCGATCGTGAAGCAGATGGAGAGCGACGGCCATCCGGCCAGGCCCGGCACGCTAGCGAGAAGAGGTCTCGTCCGGCTGCTGCGCCTCAGCCAGGGATCTGGCCAGACAACTTTCCCACAGGACTTCTCCACCGGGCTTTCCCACCGTGCCGCCATGCACCGCCATGCGCCGACAAGCACCGCCATCCATCGACCAAGACGCATCGCGCAGGCCGAGAGGGGGGGGGCATTGCAAAGTCCGGCAACAGAATCGGATCGCACTCGGAGCAGTGGCGGCGATCAGAAAGTACAAATTGCCGCTCGCGTGAAACTATTCTTGGCCGGTCTGCCGCTTCCCACGCTCGACCTTTGTTCGCACAGGCCCCGGTCGGAGAGAGAGAGAGCGGTCGCTTTGGGCTCAGGATTTATGGTCTTTCTGTGGTCCGGGACAGGCGATAGTCTGTCGGCTCCAGCTGGAACGACAGCACCCGGGTCCGGCTGGCCCCCCGCGATCGTGGGTTGTGCTCGGTGAGCAGCGTCTCGACCTGCTTCTGGAATGACACCGATGTGCGTCGCTCCTCGTTGCGCTCACGCTCGGACCGCTGGGCTCCCATCGAGGCTCGCCGTCGGGGCGAAGGTGACCGTCCACGATCGTCTGCCCAGGCCTTCGTTGCTGATCCTCCGGCGTTGTGCTTCTGCCGCGACTCCAGCGTCGCAATCTTGTTTTGCAGGAGCTGGTTCGAGAGCTTTATGGTCTCGAGCTCTGCTCGCAGTTCGACCTCGGCCGAGCGCGGCCGCTTAGATTGCATCAGCACCGACCGCTTTTCGATCGCCAGCATCTGCTTGAGCGACGAAATCTCGTCCTGGAGCGTGTGGATCTCTCGTTGGTGCACCTCCTGCAGCTCAAGGGTGGCCTGGTCCTTGTGCTTGTTGACCTGCTCTCGCTCGGACGACTGCATCTCCAGCCGAGCTACAATTTTGCGCAGCTTTCCATCGAATGACTGCTTGTGGTGTGCCTCGACGTTTTGGATCTTGGTCTCCATCCGCACGATCTGCGCACGCAGCAGGCCGTTCTTCTCCTCCAGCTCGTTGCTGCGATCGATGAACTTCTTGGCGGCCTTATAGGCCACATCCATATCCTCAAACTCGCGGCGCAGCTGCGCATGTAGGGACTGCAGCTTTCGGTAGTCGACCTCGGCCTCGGCAAGTGAGTCTTTGGCCTCGCGCAGTTGCTGCTTGAGACTGCGGTCGCTTGTGATGGTGTCGAGCAGCTCCTGGGTCTTGACGTCCGAGAGCCGCCGCTGGTTCTCGAGGAAGGCGATTCGCTCTTCGAGCTTGGTGCGGACAGAGTTCATGTTGGCAATCTCGTCCTCAAGCTGCTTCTTGGCCCTCTCGAACCGGATTTCGTTGTTGCGCTTGGCCTCTCGCTCGACATAGAGCTGTGACTCGAGTTGCCGCTGCGAGTCGAGGCAGAGCTCCAGCTCGCGGCGCGGCACCTTGGATTCCTCCTCGAGCTTCTTGATATAGTCCTGCTGCTCCTGCGACCGCCGCTGGACAATCTCAAGCTTGGACAGGGTTTCCTTGTACTGCCGCGTCACCGCCTCGATGTCCCGGCCGGCCTGGTTGAAGTTTGCCTGCTTCTGTTCAAGGATGCCGACGAGGTTCTCCTTCTCGATCCGCAGCGACTCGATTTGGAGCTGGCTTTCCTTGGCACGCTTCTCGAGGTTGCCAAAGGACTCGGATCCGACCTGCATCTTGCTCTCGAGCTGAATCATGGCTTGCTCCAGGCTCTCGATCCTGAGATTGGCTTTCTTCAGCAGCAGATCCTTGCGTCCGGATGCCTCTGCGAGGGCCTTCTTCTCCTCGTCGACCTCCTTGTGTTCGTTTTGCAGCCGCTGGAGATCTCGATAGACATGATCGGCATGGTCTTGCTTCTGGCGAAGCAGGTCGTCCGTTCGGGCCTTTTCAGCCTCGCTCTGCTGTCGCAGCTGCCACACCGTGACGTTGCTGCTCTCAAGCTCGGCCGCCAGCTTGGACAGTTTGAGCTCGCCCTCGGAGAGCTGCTGCCGGAGCCGTTTGATCAGCTCATTCAGCTCGGCAATGCGTTCGCTGCTCTGGTCCAAGGCCCTCTTGGACTGGGCGCTCTGCTCCTCGCGCGTTGCTGTTTCATGGACGAGAGCGCGTTTAGCAATCTCCGCTTCGTTTCGGCCCTTGACCAGCTCCAGCTTCAACGAATTAATGTCCTTTTCCGACTGTACTAACTTTACGTTTTGCTCGATAATATGGGCCTCGCCCTCCTTCAGGGACTTTTGCAGCTTGGCGATCTTCTGGTCCTGCTCCCGCTTGTCGTCCTCCAGGGACTTGATCTGCCCGAGAAGCGCAGACCTGTTTGTGGTCAGCTCGCCCAGCTCAGCTATCAGCTTCTGCATCTCCTTGTCTTTTGTCTGGAGGATTCGCTCGTAGCCCAGGATTCTCTCGCGCTGCTCCTCGTCAGACACGCTGGCCTTGATCCCAGCGCGCAGATGCTTGATCTCGACCTCCAGCTCTTGTGCCTTGACGTAGATCTGCAGCTTCTCCTCCTGGATCTCGTTGAGCCGCACGTCGCGCTTCTTGATGTTGTTGCGCAAGTCTTCGTTCTGCGTCTCGAGCTCACTGATCTGCACCTTCATCGCCTGGATCGCTCGCTTGGTCTCGTCGGCTGTGTCCTCCTTGACATCCTCCATCCGGCTGTAGATGTTCTTGAGCGTCTTGTCGACACGATCCAGCAGCCCACTCTGCTCAGACTTGTAGTACGAGATAATGTCCCGGGTCTTGCCGATGCGGTCAATGTGCACGCTCACTAGGGTCTCGACAAGCTCGCGCAGACTCGGCTCGGTGCCCATGTCGCCTTGCACCTCGGCCAAGAACTGCTTGGCGTTGACATAGTCCTTGCGTCGCTCCTCTTCCAGATCGTTTAGGATCGACACCGGCATGCTGACTTCATTCTGGATGAACGACGAGATGCGGCCGAGCATCTGCGGCATGGGCCCCGAGAGATCCATCACCGTGAGTTGCTCGACCAGAGGCTTGGGGCTGGGCGCGCCAATGCCTTTGATATCAAAGTACGAAACCGTCTTGCTCTTGAGCTGGCGCACGGCAGCGTACACGGCCTCGGTTTTCTTGCGCTCGTCCTCGAGGCATCGGCGGAGCTTTTCGATCTCTCGGTTGAGATCCGCCGCATGTTTTTGCTGCTGGGAGCACGCTTCGTTGCTGGCCTGGAGATCCTCTTTCATTCGAACAATCTCCAGGTTCAGCTTGGCCACGCGCTCGTCGGTCGACAGGGTGAGCTCGACTTGACTGGCCTCGTGCCGATTGACGTGGGACTGCAGTTCCGCGATCTGCTGGGTCAGCTGTCCGATGAGTGCCTTCTGTTCGAGGTCGTTCTTGAGATACGACGCATGCGTTTCTTTGTATATCTGTTCCTTGGACTCGTTGTCATGCTTCAGGAGCTCCACTTTGCTCTTCATTTCCACGAGCGACTTTTCTTGGGAAGAATGCACTTTCTGGATTTGGCCCATTTGCTCGCGCAGATCCCGCTCGAGCTGCTTCGAGAACTTGACTTCTTTCTCCAGGACCTCGTTCTCGGCGCTTAACACCCGTTCTCGCTCCGTGAGCGACTCCAGGGCAGCTTCTTGCTCCGCAATAGTTTTTTTCATCTTTCGCACGCTAGTTTCGTATTCCTTGATATCAGCGCGGTATATCTCGATCTGTGCTGTGTCTTGGATAATTTGCTCGTTGAGCTGGCTAAGGGTCTCCTCGTATCCCTTTGCGTTGGCAACTTCTGCATCGTAGAGCGTTCGTAGATCCCGCAGGTTCTCCTCCAGGACGCTTAACGACTCGATCACTTGCTGGTACTCGGCCTCTCGTGCTTGCCGCAGGCTCCGCTCCTCTTCGAACTGCTCGGTCAGGAGCTTGATCTCGCCTTCATAATACAGAGCAATGTCGGCAGCCTCCTCTTTGGACTTTGCGCTAGCGGGCCTGCTCTTGTCGTGGGATGAACCCTTGAAGGCAATGCCCTTGATTTGGTTCCGGAGAGCATCAATCTGGCGGCTGCGCGAGTCGACAAGAGTCTTCTCGGTCGCGAGCTCGTCCTTGAGGAGATCATAGTCGAGCTTGAGCTTGTTGTGCTGCTGCTGAAGTTGCTCCTTTTCATAGATCTGCTGCTGGATCTCTTGGTTCTTGTGCTGCAGCTGCGTCTTGATGGCCGAAATCTCCTTCTGGCTGGTGATCTGGCTTTCGGTCGTCTTCTGGGCTTCGCTGTTGAGGAGCCCGATGGCTTCGTTGAGCTGCTCGGTGATCTTTTTCTCTGCCCCTATTTGCGCTTGGAGCTCTTGGATCTCCTCGACAAGCTCTGAGTTCTTGAACTCGTACTCGGCAACAGTCTTTTCGAGGGCAGTCTGAGCATCCCTCTCCCTTTTGCTGCGCGCCGTGAGCTCGAGTACCTTGGCCTCGAGTTTGAGATGGGCATCCCCGAGCATTTCCTTGAGATCCAAAGCAGGCACAGCCCTCAGGATCTCCTCCTCAGTTTTGGACTTTGCTCCATCGCTCGTGGCTGTTTCTCCGAGCCGCTTGGTCAGCAGGTCTCGCTCCCGCTTGCAGAGCATGTACTGCACCACTGCCAGTCGAGTAGCGTGGCCGATCGTTTCGACTTGGGCCTGCAGCTTCTCCACCTCCTCTTGGTGCTGCTCGGCCGTTTCTTCACGCTCGGCTTGAGCATCGTCGACGAGCTTGCGGCGCTCGGCAGCAGCGTCTTGTCGCTCCTTCTCGAAGCTACTGAGAATCTGCACCTTCTCCTCCATGTGCTCGACTTTGATGCGAGACAGTTCCTCGGATGCACGGCTGGAGGCTTTGGCGTACTCATCTTTCAGCGCCGTCAGCTCGTGCATGAGCCGGTCGTTCTGCGATGTTAAGGATGCAATTTGTGTCGACGATTCAGCTTGGAGCGCATCGTGAGAGGCTGTGATGAGCCCCAGCTGCTTCTCCGCCGTGACGAGCTTGGAGTTGGTGCTGTCTAGTTTGGTCTCGAGATAAGAAAGCTGGGCCCGAGTGTCGTTTGCGTCCCGCTCTCGCGCTTGAAGAGCAGCCGATAGCTCACTAATCTTATCCTGAGCCTGGAGATGGCTTTCTCTTTCGGCTGCGAGCTCGGCTTGGAGTGACCGTACGGCGGCCTCGCCGTCGGCCCTGGCCTTGTCGATCTTGCTGCGGGCCTCGGCACCGGTGCGTTCAATTGTGTCATTCTTCTCTTGGATGATTTTCTGGAAGCCGGTGAGTAATCTCGTGATCCAGCGCTCCATCAGCGACTGCCCCGACTCTGCCCCGAGGGCATAGTCCGAGATCTCGGTCTCGGGACCAGAGAAAATCGGGAACGAAAACTCCTTCATCTTTTTTTCCATGGTGGCTTGCAGGTCATAGAGATACTTTGGATTCATATCAGGTGCACCCGGAGCGACCCTGGGAGGGAGGGCTGCCGAAGTGACCAAATCGACCCGCTCGCTCAGCTGGCTGATTTCGGACAGGTCAGTGATTTCTTGGATCGACTCGTCGTCGTGCTGTGCCCTGGACGAGCGACTGGTTTTGCGCCCGTCGCTAGATGCCTCCTTGGAAACGCTCGAGTTGTCCGAAAGCGTCTGCTGCCCAGAACGGTGGGCTTCCTGCGTTGCTTCTCGTACGCTCTCGACAGGTCTCCCGGAGGGCTTGCCGTTGCTCACGCCGTTCTTGGATGGCTTGCGGGTGGCGATCTCCGAGGTCGGGCGGGGCTTGGAAGATGATGGGCCCGGCTCTGACTGCTGGCTGGCCTCAGATGCGTCTTGCGACTTTGGACGAGAGCCCTTGCCTCGAAGCTGCTCCTGGGCCTTGGACGCATCGTCTGCCAGAACTGGCACCAGAGGGGTCACCGCAATCTTGCTTGGTAGCGGTGGCAGTTCATAGATCGATGAACTTGCTTGGGTAGAATCCTTGCCTGCTTTTGCGCCAGTAGTCGAGGTGGCCGAGGAAGCCACGCTCGCAGATCGACTCTTGCTGGGCGACTTGCCTTTGCCACTTGCACCAGAACGGGTCAATGGCTCATCCGTGGAGGTTGAAATCACGCTTGTTCCCAGAACGTCGAGGATATCCGACTCCTCAGGCTCGATCTGCCTCTCTCCGTCGTGGATTTTGATGGACGGTATGGAGTGAAGGGTCTGCGCGAGAAAGCAGTCATGAGCACCAAACAGAGCAGCGTCGATCTGGTACACAGAGCTGCCGAGATGCTCCACTTACAGGTTGTTTCTTTGGGGCTGGTTGGCCCCCAGGCGGCAGAGACACGAGCGAAGGACCTTCGTCGAAATCATCTTCACCAGACAGCTGAAATGAACAGTGGTATCAGTCAGCGCGCATCTCAGTCGGCAGCCTTGTGCTCGAGTAGCATGAGCACTAGGTGATGCAACAGCGCCAAGCACATAACGCAGCCGAATTAGTACCTCCGAGCCCGTATCGTATCCCGCTGCTTTTGACCCAGCAGCTTTGGGTTCCTTGGTGGGGGTCGGAAGCTCGCCCCCATCCTTCTCACTCTCGGTGATGCGTGTCGGCGACTGGTCAGCATTGCCACGGGCCGACTTTTTGGAAGCAGAGTACTCCTCCTTGGAGAGCCCAAGCTGCTCCAGAAGCGCAGAGTTGGATTGGTTGGCGCCCTCGGAGTCCGAGATACTGATAGAAAAATCGGAGAGGCTCTCACTCTGCGATGCAGATAGATAAGATATGGTCAGAGCACCCTCATTTTCTGTCGGCGCATATCGAGAAGCAGGTTTGATATCGGAGTAACGTAGCGCATTGCTATCCAGTTGAAGGTTCTCACCGATTGTACTCCATCCAGACCAGACTTGCTGAGCTCGGACTCGGAGTAGTTGATCTGTCCGAGTCCATCGGTTGGGTGCTTTGGCGAGCTGGTAGCCGAGTGCCCAGAGACGGCCTTCTTTGGCTTGCTGTACGGAACAGTTCCGGCTCTTTTGGCGTCCTTGTTCTGTCTAGAGCTGCCAGACATAGCTTCTACTGGAACCGTTTCGGTCTCCTCGAGCTTCTGTGCGGCCTCCGAGACCACCTGCTGGATCTCTGAAGACTCCAGGAAGCTCTTTTTCACGATGACTTTCTTGGCCTCGGTGGCTAGCTCCTTGAGCAACAGCAGGTCCTTGAGCGCCTGGGCTTCTGCCTCGGGGTCGCTGGGTACACAGTCGATGGGCTTTCGGTCGTTGACATCGGCCAGCATGGGATTGGCGCCCTTGGCAATCAGTAACTTTGCTATCTCCAAGTTGCCGCGTGCAGCAGCCAAGTGAAGTGGCGTTCTGCCAAAGCACAAAGTCGAGGCGAGCAATTAGCGCGGTGCGTCTCGAGCAGTCGCCCGGAGTGGCTACAGAGGCTATTACTCGTCCAACCCAATCCAGTGCTTCCAGCCGTCAGAATGCAGCAAATCCGGTGGCATGATGAGATTGTGAGACGGACGGCTCAATAGGAGCCAGATGGACGCCAGCCGCACGTACTCTCCGATGTGGTTTTTGATGTTGATTAGCTGATCGCAAGCTGTCATTTGGACAAACTTGAGATCCCCAGTGCGGGTGGCATGGTGCAGCAGAGTGAATCCGGACTGGGAGGTGGACGATGCGCAACGCAGAAAAGCATATCAGCAAACGGCGCCTCATGTTCCGTGCCGCGCTGTGACGCACTTGTCAAGCAGCACCCCATCCAACTTCAGTCCATTCCATGCCAGACGCACGTCTCCACTCGCATCAATGCAAAAGAGCCGAGGCAGAGTCACAGTCGTATATCTAACCTTGTCGACGACCTCCTTCGAAGCACCGTGGCTGCAGAGAAAGTCGAACATGGCATAATCACCATTGAGCATGGCGTAGTGCAGCGTTGAACAGCCGTAGGCATCAATCAGATTGATGTCTGCATGGTGCTTGAGCAGCAGCTCGACGATTTGGTAGTTGCAGCCAATGACGGCCTGGAGCAGAAGGAGGGTGAAGGCAACAGGGGGTTGTGGGACGGTGAGAAAATGAGCCTGTGCTGTGCTGCGGTTACAGACCAGCCCAAGTGCACCGATCCTGCACCCGGAGCCAACAAACGTCGCCTACCAGCATTAACGCCGAGCGGCCCTCGGAGTCCTCGATGTTTGGATTGACTCGCTTCAGCTCGCTACCTTTGCCTTCGTGGTCAACGTACTCGAGCAGAAGCTGGCAGATGTCAAACAGACCGTGTTGGACGGCGACGTGCAGGGCGGTGAAGCCGTGGTAGGTGTCGGTCTTGTTGATGTCCCGTTTCTTCTCAAGCAGGGCTTTCTTGAGCTTCTTGATGTCCTTGTCGTACACTGCCTTTTGCAGGGTGTTGAGACGCTGGGGACTGATCGGCGAAGGCGTCTGAACGAGCCCTTTGGTGAAGGTCAGGAAGTTGCCTGTGAGGTTGGTGTTGATCCGAAGCTCGCTGGGGTTGCGGCTGTTGAGCCGGGAGGCCAGTGAGGAATTGTGGGAGGCTTCAGAGCCAGCTGAAGTCGAGCGCTGCCGCCGCAGCGAGCTAAACATGCCGCTGGACCTGGATATACTTGTGCTGGATTTTGACGCCAACGCGCTGACGGAGCGACTCACGTCGTTGCTGGACTTTTTATCGGCACTGGGCGTGCCCAGCCTGTTGAACATCTTTGGCGAGGCCGAGGAAGCACGACGCGAAGGGTGTGGGTGCTGGTGCGATTACCGTCGGCGAGGGCGAGTTCCGTGGGCTGATACGACAGAGCGCAGAGATGCCTGCTTCGCGCTGGAGCAGACGCTGTTGCCGCTGATGCCGCTGTTGCCGCTGATGCCGCTGATGCCGCTAATGCTGATGCCGATGCCGATGCTGCTGGAGAGCCACATTCCCCGGCCGCGCGAGCGGGTGATTGGGAGGGGGAAAACAAGCTCCAACAGGGCCTGCGATCATGGAAGGTTCGATCACGTGGGGCGGTCAGGTGTGGTGTTGGGTTTGGCACGGCGGCCTGGCGACTCGATCCAGCAACGCCGACAGCATCGGCATCGGCATCAGCGATATCGGCATCGACAGCGACATGGATATCGGCATCGACAGCGACAGCAATATCGATGTCGATGTCGCCCACCAACGACCCGGACGACAGAACGTGCCACACCCCACCCGCCCAGCCCGCCTTCGGCCCCCTCTCTCGGCTGTGGGGTCTTGTCGCCACCCGGCTCAGCCCAGAGAGCACTGCAGAACAGCGTGGCTGCTGGAGGTCGTTCCTCCGTGCGCGGTCCGTTGGTTGCACGGGCACCCCAGGCCTTTCTGCTCGGTGCCCAGAGGGTCCCAAGCAAGAGTCCCGTGCATGCTCGTCAGAGACGGCCGGGAATGGGGGGGGGAGAATGCAGCAGAAAAAAACGGGAGGCGCTCAAATAGCCCCGGACGAGGAGGACCAGCAGACGAACCTCACCCCTCCCTCCGCATCCCCAGACCGCCAGCGTCGTGAGTGTCCGCCATGACTAAATCCCAAGCCAAAGGCCGACCCAGGACCCCGACGGGCCCGTCGTTGTAGGTATCCTTGCTCCGTGGGGGCATCGCCGGATCCGACCGCCATGCTCCCCCTGGTCGATTCTGCCGTTTCCTGACATATGCTTTGTCGTCGCCATCTCCGTCGAATCGATGGCGGCTCTTTGGCATGCCTCGCATCTGCAGCCTGGATATGTATGATCCTAAAGAGAACCACGATATCTGGTTCAAGTAAGTCCAGTCTGGCTGTTCCTGCTGCTGTCTTGCAACTGCCGCACCGCAGCAGCAACACCCTGGCGACCGCATACGTCCTCGCTAACACAACCACCGTTGGATTGGCGGCGCTGCAGATGGACGGGCTCGGTTATCCCAAAGACTCTTCCTCTCGTCGCCGGATTTACGGTCTGGGGCGCCATCTGGGCCTGCGTCTTCCATCTCACGCCGCTTCAGGGCGTCGGCACCTGTATGACACCGTGCCCAAGCATGCTGAGGCCGCTCGGGTGACTCGGGCACTGTGCCTGGTGGTCACGCAAGCTAACTCCCCTGGCTCTGCCTTGGCTCTGCACCCGCAGCCATGATTCCCGTGGTCTCCATCGTCGTCGGCTTGCTGCTGGTCTTCCGAACGAATGCTGCATGTAAGCTGAGTTCCGGGTGCGGCTCCGGTCCTATCGGCCAAGTGCGACGGGGCGGTCCAGGCGTCCAACGACTGGATGCAGCGACTGGCATGCAGTGGCTGGTGCTAATAACAATATCTGGTGCCGTCCAGATGACCGATTCTATGAGGGACGACGCCTCTGGTCTCAGGGTAAGTCGTCGCTGCTCTGTGCTGCTCACTCCGCGCCGCACCCAGGACTGACGCCGTCGATTCCAGTTATCACGGGCACCCGCAGTCTAGCGGCGAGAGTCTGGAGTCTCTGCCCCGAGGTGTAAGTGGTCTTCGTCATCCTCATGCACGGCAAAATGACGGCTGCATGAATCGAGAGCCGTGCCGCTCAGCCAGCCATCCGGCGGCCCTGTGATCCGCGTATACCATGCAGCTTTCTACCTGCTCTCCTGTTCAATCCCGAACAGTCGCATCTCTCGGCACCCAAACGGCGGTGCCGCTTTGCTCATCACATCTCACCAACTGACTTGATCGTTTCTGCGCGCCTTGTCACAGCACCGATGACGACCGCAAGCGAAAGCGCATCGCCATGCGCCTCATGAAGGCATTCCCAATTGCCCTCAAGAACCATCTCCGCGGCCATCATGGGCTGTGGAACGGCATGGATCTCGAAGTCGTCCGGACCGACCTCAAATTCCTGCATCCCGTTGTCCAGGTCTTTGAGCCTGCGATCGAGCTGAATTCTCGGCCCCAAGACGATCTGCGGAAGCTACTACCGCCGCTGCCCGAGTTCCGGCACATGTATCAGGAAGACATGATTGCCTATGTCAATGCTGAGCAAGTGAAACTCAACAACATCCAGAGCGACACTGGCAGCGAGCACACCGTTCCCTTGCGCAACCGCCAGTCAATCAGCTCGTTCATCTCCTATGCCACTACTGCCCGGAATCAATACCCCAGGGTCCGCCGGCCCTCGGTTGTTTCCGCGGCCTCGAGCACCGAGCATTTCCATGACTACGCCTGTGGGTGCATCAACTTGCCCCTGGAGATATGTCACATGCTCATTAGTTTTATCAACGAGAGCCGCCGACTCGAACAGGTTCATTTTATCAACGGTTCCTCCATGCTAAACCACGTCCTGTAAGTGCTGCATTATGCGCATAGCTGACATTGATGTCTTGGCCAACACCGATGCATAGGAGCCGCCGCTCCGTTCGTGTTTATCGACTGATGCAACGATGGCGGGAAAGCCTGCGGATCTAGTGCCGATGGTGTCGTAGTCGCCATGGGTGCAAGCTAGGGCATGAGTGCCGAGCCGATACCGACTGATCCGGCCGCTCCCTTGCCTCCCTGATCATCATAGAACACTCATCGATGCTATGACCGGACTGGAACGCATCTTGACCACCCCGATCCCGATCGCCTATACTCTCCATCTGGTCGGTGCTTACAGTGCTTCCTCATGCATGGTGGATATGGGAAGGCCGGTGTCGCCGTGAATGCATCCGTGTTACGCTGCGCTAACAGCGTTCTGTCCTTTAACCTGGCTCGGACACTCTTTCCGATCGGCCTCCGCTGTCGTGATGCACCCTGTCGGATTACTGGTTTGATGACATCAGAGACACACAGTCTTCCTGTTCATCGCCGCTCTCCCTTTCCAAACAGACCAATACCTTGGTTGGGGAATGATCCCGTTCATGACACTGGTCTCCTTCACTCTCCTGGTGAGCTGCAATCCTGCATAGAGATACCTTATGAGCGCGGGCGCATTCCTCCGAGATCGGCTGGGCCGTACTCGGGGTGCTTCGCTGTGTATACTGCTAGAGAGCGAGTCTGCGACGGGCATTTATGGGATCTGCCTGGCAACTTCCGTAGGGTATTGAAAAAATCGGCAGTGAAATTGAGAACCCGTTCGGGCTTGAGATCAACGATCTTCCGCTCGAGCACTACTGCGATATTATCCTTGATGAAATCAACTCCCTCATGATGCGTAGCTCCTCCAAAGCCAAGGACTGGCATTACTATACCTCCCAAGTCGAAACCATCACCCCCGATCTGAGCGATGCTTACAGCTATACCACCGTGCAGCTCGAAAACAACTAGTGCCAAGCAAGAATGGGACAGTCCCCGCTATCCTTACAGCGATCAAGGCCCGAAGCTTGATGGTCTGTAGGCCGTATGATCGCAACCGCGTACACTTTATTCAGAAAAAAACGGGACAATATAGCCGTTTCCATGAACATGTAGTATGTGATGTGCTTGCGTCAAGCAAAGCCACAAGAAATAAAACAGATCACTTTGGCAGCCTCCGAGTGAAGACCACCGGTCGCTCTCCGATCTCCACAATCGACCTGCATACTGTGATCATGTTGCGCGCCGCATTGACGTCGCGATTCCACACTGTCCGGCAGCTGGGATTCTTGCAGCTCCTGACAAAGTGGGAATTCGCAACACTGGGCGCATCGAGTCCTTCCAACCGAACTGGCTCCAGGCACTTGGAGCACACTTGCGAGGTGTTGAACTCGTTCGTCGAGGCCACCTTGACGCTTCCATGAGGGTGATTGGGACGGCGTCGGTGGTGCTCGAATTGCTCAAAGTACTGAGCAAACCGCTGCCTCCGAGGGCTGGATGCATAGCCCTTGCCCTGTCGCCATGATGCATTGCCAAAGGCGATGACCACATCGCTCTCCCTCGGGACGTGCTTCAGGACGGCCTTGCACATCCTGTCGACGGCCACTTGGCGCCTCTTGTGGCCCGTGAAGCGATGGTGACGGGCCTTCTTGCCAAGGTGGAAGTCGAGCTGCACTCGCAGCTCCGGTCGCAGGACATGGGTGAGATGGACCTTGAAAGCCTCCGAGGACGACACCTTGGGCGAGGGAGTGGTCGACATCCAGGTCTCGATGTCGAGTCGATACTTCATGATATTGTACCACTTGGTGTTGGACCTGTGGCCACACATGTGCTGGTAGTGACCATTCGAGAACGAGACCACCTCGTCTTGGTGGCCCGGTGCTTGGATGACCGCCGTGAAGATGGAGCCGACTCCAGGATCGATGCCAATCCAAGTGGTGCGGTTGGGGTCTGGATTGCCAATGTGCTCTTGGATACGCTGTTCGGCAGTCGGAGGAGGCTCGATGGTCTCGGTGCGATCGGTTCGACGCACAAACTTGACGAGGCCGATGGTGCATCCAATGCCATCGGTGCTGATCTCGTAGTTGAACAGCTTCTTGTCCACGTCCCGCTCTTGGAAGAGGGAACTACGCAGCTTGAAGCAACTGCGCCAGAGACGATCTTGGTTGTTGATGCCGTCATCACCTTCTTCCTTGAGCATGTCCCAGGTGAGTCTAAGACGATGATCGGTGTCAAGGAGTTCCCAGAGAGTGACCGTGTCAATCTTGACATACTTGGCCCTTGCAGTGCATAGAGGAACTATCGTGCACACGGCCGGAGGAGTGTCGAGAGCGAGCTGCTTGAGGGCCCACTTGAGTCTGGATGCCAGCTTGTTGATCTTGGACTTGGTGGTGCCGAGCTCAGACTTGGCCGTGGTGAGCCTCTTGTCGTCGGAGGGAATGCCTTGGGTAGTGAGCTTGTCCAGCTTGGCCTGGCGCTGCAGCTCGGTGACTCGGAGGGCGGGCATGTCACAGTCGATCCACTTGTGGACATTGTCGACCATCTTGTCTCGGGCGAGGATTCTCACATGGTGTGAGAGGCAATGGAGGGCCCGGAAGCGGTCCTGGTCGTTGCTGTACCGAAACTCGTCCAGGATGTGACCAAAGTCTGGATAGAGGAACTCGAGATCGGCCTTGGGTGGAGTCTGCCCTGGTTTCTCGAAGAGCTCGAGACAGGCCTCGATGGCTTCGTGCTTATGCTTGTTGGCTGGGAAGACGGCAGCGCAGAAGCGGCGAAGGAGTCGCCAGTAAGCCAGGTCGAGGTGGGTGGTGCAGTTGGTGGCATAGGCGTTGACAGCCAGTGTGAGAAGCTGACTGTGAGCACCATCAGGCAGACGAGGGGCCGGAGGCAGGTCTGCGTGCCGAGTGGTCTGGTAGTCGCGAAAGGAAGCGACCAGATGCTCGTTGTATTTCTCATTGTCCCCGGTCGGGGAGAGGGCACCGTCCTGGACGATCTTGAAGCATTGGCGAACGAAAGCAGGGGTGGACTTGGAGATGACGGGGATGGGAAGATCCTGCTCGATGCACCGGAGGATGTGCAGGTTGAGCAGCCTGGATGCCTCGAACTGGATCTGGGTCATGGCCTCGACGGTGGCCTGGATCTTGTCGCGGAGAGCGGGATTGAGACAACAGCCATCCATCGTCTGCTTAAAGCAGCTGAACTGAGGGGCGGATGACCTTCCATCCACGAGTGGGACGACAGAACTCTTGAGGGGGTGATATTTGGGACATTTGCTGGTGTTGCAACGTTCGTGATCGGTGCCATCGCACTGGCGACATCGCTTGCCGGTACTCGAGGAAGTAGATGGACCAGGCTCGGTGGGATCGACATCCATTGGATCTGCAGAAGCAGTGGTGGTGAGCGACGGAGCAACAGAGAAACAAGCATGCGTGGGATCAGAATACGAACCAGAGACAGGCTCCGACTGTGACTTGGCTTTCTTGGGCCTGGGTGGCCGAGGCTGGCCATCACCGGTACCCTTGCGCTTCGGAGGCATGGAGGCAGAGGATGCTGGATGTCTGCCAGTGGTACTGGTCAGAGCAGAGACTTTTTTATCGTACAATGGCGCGATGATCAGATCAAGGCGAGATGAGGGAAGAAAGCAGCAGGACGAAGGTGTGGCATTTATACCCGAGAGCAGGAACCCGTCTTTGCGGGCTGGTTGGGGAAGTGACCCTGTTCAAAAATCGCCGAGAGGTTCAAGACAGGGATGTGAGCGTGAAAATGGCGGTGTGATCGGGGTGGCTCGACCCCAAATCGGTGGGGACTCAACCCCAAAGAAGTTCTCGATGGGATTGAAGTCGGGTGAAGCAGGTGGGGTGAAGATCACTGACCATCCTCGGCGCTCGATGCAGTCCAGGACAGCCATTGTCTTGTGCATGCTGACATTGTCCATCCCAATCACAGAGTCGTCTGAGAAGCACCCCTCGGTGAGTATCCGTAAAGAGGAAAAATGGATTTCCTGATCCCCGTCTCGTCGACAAAAACGAGTCGTCGTGGGTCGATGGAACGGGTCTCGTCCCTGAACTGTGCCACTCGCTCATCCAGTCGCTTGGACTTGTAGAGGTGTGTTGCCCTCTTGTGTGAGAGACCTGCTCGGTGGATGGCAGTGTGGCAGAGTGAGAGTGATACTTTCCTCTGGAGGATGGACTCGAGCTTGCATCGCAACACAGGACCAGTCTGGAACGGGTCCTGTTCAATCAGGGTGCGAATGACTGGACATGCCTGCTCGAAGAAAGTGGATCTGCGAGCTGGGACCCGGGATGGGTCATCCAGCTTGCATCCTCGGTGCCATCGATGGATGGTGCTCTTGGATACACTGAATATGGAGGCGACCTTACGCAGGCTATGGATGAGGGCGTAGCATCGCAATGCGGCGGTGCGAAAGTCGGATGTGTGGCGAATGGTCATGGCCAGCGCGCGATAACATTGGGTAACAAAATATTCGATGAATGGTCAAAACCTGGGTGTCCCGTTTTTTATTGGATTGCCTGTAACATTTCTCCGTTTGGCTGGCAGCCAAAGTTTTGTTGTGGATTTGGGCAGCATGCTCTTGAATACATCCAGTCGATATCTACGGGTGACAATCAACCGGCGCACCGATATGATGCTCCACGAAGCATGGCATCCCGTGCAGGGACGATGCAGGGTTGTTGGGCGGAGGTCCGCCGGCATCATGTCCGCCGCGCGCTTTCCCCATCCCCGCCATTCTTCTCCTCTGCCATCTTGCAGCTCCTTTCGCTCTCATCTCAGCTGCTCACTCAGCCCCCAGAACAAACCATGTCCAGCCAGAGCTACTTTTCCAAGATTCAAGGGCCCATCCCCTACAGCGGCCCATCGTCCAGCGACCCGCTCAGTTTCCAATGGTACAACAAGGATGCCATTGTCCATGGTCGAAAGGTGAACGGTCCATCGCTGTTTGGCTTGCCGGCTGGATGCTCATACGGGATAGGTCCCGACTGCGAGTCTATCCCAGCACTGGATAACAACTGATGATCTCCTCCTGTCCAGATGAGAGACTGGCTGCGTTTCTCTGTGTGCTTCTGGCACACCTTCCGTGGTATCGGCGCCGATCCCTTTGGTGCTGCCACACTCGCCCGGCCCTGGGACACTGTCGATCTGGCTGGGGCCTCCTTTGCCGAGCTCGCCGCTTCGTGCAAGCGCAGGGTCGATGCTGCTTTCGAGTTCTTCAGGTCAGCGGGGACTGCATCTGGATAATTTGCTTTCCTCGTGCCCTTTCGCCGCAACACCGGATGCGATCGCCGCCACTCCAGCCACCGCTACTTCGAAAGGCTCTCCCGAGCTATTCTGCTGCCCCACGGGATCGCCCTCTTGGTTCATTGGCGGTGCTGGCGCAGACGGATGCACCGGCGATCCTGGTGTGGTTATCTTATTCAAGGTTGATTCCGCCACCGCTCCCGCTTTCGCCTCCGGCAGCAAGCTCGGCGTCGATTACTACACTTTCCACGACCGAGACGTTGCCCCCGAGCTCGACACTATCGAGCAAACGAATGCGCTCCTCGACGTCGTTGCCGACTACCTCTTGCAGAAGCAGAGCGAGACCGGAATCAAGGTCCGTGTGCCCCACCCCGGCTGCTTATCGTCCAATGCTTGCCAATGTTTGCCATCTCACGCGCCCACTCCAATCCAGCTCCTCTGGGGCACTGCAAATCTCTTCAGCAGCCCCAAGTTCATGAACGGCGCCGCAACCAATCCAGACGTCGTTGTATATGCCCATGCTGCTGCTCAGGTTGGTCGCGTGGGCGGTGCCGGAGCCGTCGGATGTTGCCTTGCCGAGACTGATCGGGTTTGTCTTCCGCAACATCTCCTGCAGGTGAAGAAAGCCATGGAGGTACGTGCGATACATCAGCCCTCTGTCCTGGCCGCAAGCACCATGGTTTTATAACTTCTGCTTGCCACCGCAGGTCACGCATAAGCTTGGTGGTGAGGGATACGTCTTCTGGGGCGGGCGCGAAGGCTATCAGTCCTTGCTCAACACCAATGTCAAGAAGGAACTGGTAAGTTGAGGCAACCGGAGCGGATGCCTCAACAGGCTGAGCAGTCACCGTTCCGGGCGCTGATACTGATCCTGCATCTACCCAGGACCAAATGGCCTCGTTTTTCCACATGGCTGTCGCACACAAGCAGAAGATCGGGGCCAAGTTCCAGTTCTACATTGAGGTAGGGCCGGACAATAGTACGATCCAAAGGCACGATCCAAAGGGACTGGTACCGAGCTCGGTCGAATCTTCCTCTGACGTTGCCATTGCCTATGATTTGCTTTTTGCCATCCGATGGCGAACCCAACCAGCCAAAGCCTCGAGAGCCAACTAAGCACCAGGTATATGCATCCGGCTTGCCCATCGGCAATACCGACCGCTTGCCTGTTGGCGACCTGGCCAAATCGTGGGCACATCCATCAGTCCATTCACTCGTCCATTCATCTATCCATTCACTCGTCCATTCATCCAGTATGACTACGATGCCCAGACAGTCATTGGGTTCCTTTATCACTATGGTCTCATCGAGCACTTCAAGCTTAATATTGAGGTAAAGCTCCTCGGCCCTCGAAACCCCGCTCTTGCTTCGCCATGCCCGATATCACATGCGCTATTCATATACTAATTGGCAACAATGTCTTCCATGCGGTGGCAGCCCAACCACACTACCCTTGCTGGCCATCAATATGACCACGACATTGTTCTTGCGGCTGCTTACAACATGCGTGAGTATCGGTTCGCAGACGGATATGCGATCGAGATGTTGTTTGATGGCTGCTGACATGCGCTTATCCAATGCCACTTGCAACGACAGTTGGTTCTATTGACTGCAACACAGGCGACGAGCTTCTCGGCTGGGACACGGACCAGTTTCTCACCGACGAGCGCAAGGCCACGCTGGTCTTGAAGGCCGTCATCGAAATGGGCGGCTTCAAGACAGGCGGCCTCAACTTTGACTGCAAGGTGCGCCGAGAATCGACGGATATTGAAGGTGAGTGCAAGTGCGGCTGGCGGGTTGCGCGATAGAGTGACTACTGGCCAAAAGTCGGGTCGACAAGCGGCTCCTCAGTGGTTTCGTGATCGGATTTGCCGACATTTTACGCACGCTAACCGTCATGGTGTCCTCGAACAACGGGCCCTATCTGCAATTCGTGATCCCACATGCTCCCCAAAGACATGTTCATTGCGCACATTGGCTCGATGGATACCTTCGCGCGCGGCCTCCTCAACGCTGCCCAGATCGTCGAAAGCGGCCGCCTGCGTGGGATGATCGACCACCGCTACAAGTCGTGGACGGAGCACAGGGAAGGCCAAGCAGTCACCGCTGGCCAGTCGTCTTTTGAGGAGCTGGAGCAACTGGCCAAGAAGCACGGTCAGCCAGAGCTGCGCTCGGGCAAGCAAGGTGAGGGCACTGACATTCGCATGATACGCGGCCGTGCGTTGCGTGCCGGGCCCGGCAGCTCATATCAGCCTCTCTCTCTCTGGCTCAGAACTGTTCGAGCGAGTCTTTAACGACGAGCTTACCAAGTCCTCTTCGAAGCACTGAGATGCCGGCCGCATATGGGTACATATGGACGTGCAGGATGCGCTGGGTGCGCATCCAGATGTATCGATGCTCACCGCCAACTACGAGCAGCCAACGATCGAGAGCCTGAGCCTGAGCCTGAACCTGAACCTGAGCCTGAGCCAGGACCGCACCGCGCCAATACAGGCGGATCTATCCAGTCGACGGTAGCTCCGGCCACATGTTCGTCGTGAGATGCTCGCTCAGCGTCCATGTCGCTCAGGGGGGCAGATGGGACGAGCATTCCATGGGATTTGCGATTTGGGTACCGAGGGACGCCATGCAGGCCATGTGCGCTGCGACGTCGAGCGGCCTGCATCACCTCAGCCACCCGCCGTGCACCGATATGGCGCTCTGGCCGGCAACGTGCCTCCTGCTTGGTGCTGATTCGCAGGACCGGTGGATATAAACGGGCCGGAGACTTGACTTCCCAGCACCCCCCGTCCAGCCGCCTCTGCCTCTGCCTTTCGCCTCTGCCTCTATTTGCCGCCAGCACCGCCTGCCAAATCTCTCCATGTCGCCTCTGCAGACCCTCTTTGTCTGCCTCTTCGCCTTCCTGCTCGGGGGCGCTGAGGCCTCTCCCATTGCCCTCGCTGTCCGCAGCACCATCAGCGCCGGTGCCGTCAGCGTCACCCTGACTATCGGCACTATCATCTTTGGCATCCTGGCCATCATCGTTGGCCTGCTCTTCTGCTTCTTTGGCTACCGCCTCTTCCGCATCATCTTCTTCTTTGCCGGTTTCTATGTGTTTGGTGAGTGCTCGCCCGCAACACCGGTCGGCGTGTTACTTGTGCCCGAGCTTCGCCATGAGTATGCATCCTAACCACCATTTCTGTTCTGCAGCCACCATCGCCTACATCGCGCTCATCCTGATTGAGCCCGCCAATGGCTGGGCTAACCACGACACCATCTACTGGGTCACCTGCCTGATTTTCGGCATCATCGGTGCCATTCTTTCGGGCTTCCTCTTCCACCTCGGCCTGGCTTGCGTCGGCGCCCTCGGCGGTCTGTTCCTGGCTGGCATCATCCTCTCCTGGCAGAGCGGCGGCTTGATCCAGTCGACCTGGGGCCGCATCCTCTTCATTGTTATCATGGTGAGAGCGCTGTTGCCGATATCCTCCCACCTCGATGGCTGTCTCTGGATCAGACATTGCTGGCACACCTACTGATCCAAGCTGGTGCGGTCTCTCTGCAGGTCATTCTCGGCATCGTGCTTATCTTCGTCCTGGAGAAGCACATCCTCATCATCTCTACCTCGATTACCGGAGCCTACTCTGTCTTCTACGGCATCGACATCTTTGCCCAGACCGGCTTCACATCGGCTGCCCAGGCTTTCCTCGGCGACTATCATAGCCTGAGTGTCTTCATGTGAGTGATCCTGCAGTCGAGCCTCGCAATTGGACCCTGGTGGGCTGCCCAAACCTTTGGCCACATTGCCTACCCACCAGCAAGCCATGCTGGTGTCCCATTCTGCTCTACTGATGCCCTCCGTCCGCGCCCTGCAGTACCAACTCCAGAATCTTTGCCATGCTGGCCTTCATGATCGTCCTGGCTATCATCGGTATTGCTACACAATACTGGATCAACCGCACCCGCGATCACGCCAAGCACATGAAGTCCAGCATCCGCGATCATGTCCGTCGCGCCGAGCGTGTTTGAAGGGATTTGCCACTGTTTCGGCTGCGGAGCCTGACAGCCGTTAGCCCCGCTCAGCATTCCCGGCAAGGACAGGACTACATCTGCTTCCTATGCCGAGCTTTGCTTGTCCTCCAACAGAACCTCATTCCTCCCTGCCTGTTTTTCAGACCTCACTCCTGGTCTCGCAATCATTGTTATCATGCCACATGTCATCACCAAGTTTCCCATCACCGCCACCGCATTCACCACGGCACTCTTTGCAGCATCCGCCTCACTTGCCCATCATCTCAACCTGTTTGTCAGTTGTACAGCCGGCACACTCGCACTGCGTGGCCTGCCGGCTTTTGTTTGCATTTGTATCATTCCAAGCGAAACCATCGACATCATCACTCAAAACCCTCCCCCTCCTCCTTCCCCGCCAAAAGGAAAGAGGGGAGTGTGTGGAGCCGCTCTGAAGCTTTAGAGAGCAATCAATACACTCAGTCCGGAAACACGGCGAGAAACCACCAGTTCCCAATTGGCATCGTTGCTGCTGCTGTCAGCTATCGCTGGGACGCTTGTCTTCGGATGGGTCTCATTTCGTTCCCCGATGCAATAGCCACGTGCGATTATATCTAGTTCTGTATTGTGCTCGAGACAGAGAGACAAGCGGTAACGAACGGACGGAGGCACTATGAGGCCGGGAACACAACCGATAGAGCAAAGTGCGGCGAGAGAGAGAGGAGTAGAGGGGAGGGCGGAGACATATACGGGAGATGACTGCAGGAAGAGAAAGAGCCGACTATGGAGCAGGAGTGAGGAGTGCCACCAGCGGAGCGGAGCGGGGCATGAGGAATAGATGTAGGCTGGACGGACATGCAGTTTCGGGCCTGCAGGTCCTCTGCCACTGATCAAGCAGCCCTTTCGGATACAGGGCCGGCTTTGATGGCTTCTGGGCTGTTGATCGCTGAGCACTTGTCTGTTAGTCGTCGTCCTCGACGGCGTCGCCGAGCTGTCGTTGGACGAGCTCCCTGAACTTGCCGTTGGGGATGTTCATGAGCTCGGCAAAGGATCCCTGCTCGGCAACCTGTCCACTCTCAAGCATGATGATCTTGTCGGCCTTCATGATGGTGGACAGACGGTGGGCAATGGTGATCACTGTCCGTCCCTCGACCAGGCGGTCCAGAGCATCCGAGACCAGGTATTCACTCGTGGCTTTAATTGGAGAGAGGGAGAGAGAATGCGCGTGCGATCGGTTGTCAAACCAGCCAAGAGGGCCGAGTCAGCAAGCGGACAGCCAGCCAGAGAACAGCCATCCAGAGAACAGCCAGTCAGAGAACAGCCAGCAAGCGGACAGTTTCGCGCGCACCGGATCTGCCGACGGACCGCATGCTTACCGTCGAGTGCCGAAGTGGCTTCGTCCAGAACCAAGATCTTGGGGTTCTTGAGCAAGGCTCGGGCAATGGCAATGCCTGTATCGATTCCTGATCGTGAGCAACTGTTTGCTCGATCGATGTATCTTTTGCACATCACATTCCACATTCGCGCCGACTTCGCCGCCATCTCGCAACAACCACAAATGCAAGCTCAGATCTAGACACAAATACATACGCTGCTTTTGTCCGCCGGAGAGAGCATAGCCCTTCTCGCCCACAAAGGTGTCAAAGCCATCGGGGAAGGACTCGATAAACTCCCGAGCGTTGGCCTGTTCAGCAGCACTTTGGATATCCTCCAGCGAGGCCGAGGGCCGTCCGTAGGCAATGTTATCGCGGATCGTAGCTGCAAAGAGAACGGGCTGGTTGCATGCGGCCGTGTGGCCGTGGTCAGTGTGTGCACTGGAACATGAGTTTGCCCATATGTGTCGGCCCCCTTCAAGTGGGCTTCTGGATCAAGCCAGCTTTGGGTCGCTTGTGCTTTATCAGCAGCTCACAATGCCGCGCTTGAGCAAAGGCTTCGATGGCAGAGGTAACATACCTCTTGCGAAACAAATCCAATGAGGTTGTCGCGCAGCCAGGCGACGTCCAAATCCTTTACATCCTTGCCGTCGATTGTAACCGAGCCCGTCGATGGGTCGTAGAAGCGCAGTATCAACTGAGCGACGGTGCTTTTTCCAGAGCCGGAGTGACCTGTGGCAGTGGAAAATACAGCAGCAGCAACAAAGCCAGACGCTTTAGAATTCAGTCATCCCACGGCTAAGTCTACTGGGCTGCAGCACAGCTGGGGACTTGCAGAAGCGCAAACTGTGCGAGTCGCTGAGGCTTTCCAGTTTGCACTGCTTTTGCTGCAGCTCGGCCTACCAACGATGGCCACGCTTGTCCCGGCCTCGACCTCAAACGACAGATCCTTGAAGATCTGCACGTCGCTTCGAGTCGGGTAGGTAAAGGCAATGTTTCTGAGCTGGATGTGCCCCTTGACTCGATCGGGGTCGAGCTGCAGGCCTTTACTCGGGAGGGACTCGATCTCTGCTTTGGTGTCAAGCAGATTAAATAGTCGCGAGCTGGCGCCCACGCCTTTCATGAGATCACTATAGACTCCTGAAATACCGATCATGGAGCCACCGACATAAGCCTGGTAGAGAGCAGCGACTGGTTGCATGAGCGAGGGCGCATATACGAATAGCGCAGCACATTGCGGCTATGGTGGGCCGAGGGGCACATTGGACATGACGCCCCGCATACGAGAATCGCAGATCGAGTGGCACGCGTGCACAACAGCGTCAAAGACAGCGTCAAAGACAGCGCGCGGTTGCGTACCGTATACAGGAAGAACGACGTCAGTTCTCCGACGGTGATGGCGCCGGAAGTCACCATGCTTCCACCATAGTATAACAGGGCCAACATGACCGCATTTCCGGCAAAGCCCGTCTGGAGATGGAGCATCCGAAAGAAGGCATCGGCTCGTCAGTCGAGGCATACTATCTCCGAGTTGCTGGCAAAGTGTAATCACTCTTTGGCGCTACAGACGACTCGTATCAAGCCCCTAGAGCGAATGGATCCGCGCAAGTAAACGAAGCTATCGCATCCACGGTTCTGTGGATTTCCTACTTACGCCGCCAAAGAAAAAGCCCGAGGCCGTTGCCTCGCGCCGGGCAAGATTGTAGATGGCTCGGGCTTTGTCGGTATAGAGATCGATCTCGCGGTGCTCTTGTGCAAAGGCCCTTACGGTGCGAACGTTGCCAAAACGCTCGGTCGAGACCTTGGTCGCCTCGCTGACAGCGTCCTGTGTCTTCTTGGACAGGTCTCGGACGATTCGTCCATACCAGACAGCTGAAAGCGCCACGGGCGGAACAATCATCATCATGATCATCTAGCAACACAGTAAGTATTGTGAGTTGCGCCGCAGATCCGTGATGGGGACAAAACAGAGACAGTAATGCAGACTTGAAGCATACCGTGAGCTTAAGGTTGATGTATGCCATCATACCAACGCCCATAGTGCTCATGGCCAGGCTCCTCAGTCCATCGCTCAGGTTGTTTGTGACGGTGCGGCCGACAATCAAGCTGTCCGACGACAGTCTCGACACCAGCTCGCCGCCTTGGTTGCGGTCAAAGAATGCAATGTCCTGCTTCATGATGTTCTGGAACAGACGCCGTCGCAGCGAAAAGACAATCCTGTGGACAACATGGCGGGGCACAAGGGCACGAGAGAATGAGAGTGAGAGTGGGTAAGAGCGAGAAACGAGCGATCTCGGCCAGCCGGTTGGACCGTTGAATCGCTGGTAGACTGAGCGGTGCTGGAGCGAGACGTACTTTTCGCCCGTCAGCCTCATCAAAATGACTCTGCCCGTGTTGGCGGCGGCACCCACTAGTATCCGGTTGCGCAGAGAGAAACAGCAAGGGGATGTAAGGCTCAAGTCAGTATACTGTCTGCTGGTCGATGCCTGCGGAGTGGACCATCGGAAGCGAACAAAGTCCCAAGGAAGCTGACGATCCCTCGCCGATTTGGCTAGAGTCCTCGCTAAACCCACCAGCAAAAACGGCCAAGAGTCCGCCAAATATCAGAGGCAGGCTGACTCGCTCTGTGGACTGGGACTCTGGGTCAGGGCGCTCCAGTATTGCGCCGAGAGGATTCGAGGGCCCTTTGACATCCTGAGGCTTGGTTGGCTCAGCCGCTGCAACTGCCTGGGACTGGGCTGGGTCGGGTAAGCCAGAGTCGGTCGATTTGGCCGACTGCTCTTCCTTGAGACCCTCGAGGACCAAATCAATGATCTTGCCCATGCTGAAAGGGACGCTCTGAGAAGGAAGAGACGTTTCAGTGTCAGTTTTGCTGGGGGCCACAATACGGATTCAGTCACTGGCTCGTCCGCTGCCCAGGGCAAACGCAACGGCAGCGGCAGCGACAGGCTCATGGTCAAGGGCAGCTCCGCTAGTGTAGTTCCGCTAGCACAGCTCACAACGCTCTCGACTTGATCTGGGTAACAGGAATCCGCACCATGGTCACAGCCGAGGATACGCTGAGAAGCAGCACAGCGCCGGTGAGCGGCAGGGCCTCTGGTCGAGCCAGGAGTGCGATTCTTCGGAGCTCGCGCCAGAATCCAGGTGAGCCGGGCTTTGGCGACGAGGAGGTGCCCGATGAAGAGAAGCGGACCCTCTGCCAGGGATTGTGGGTTCGGGTCAACTGCAGGACATGCATTCTGGGCGGGCCGCAGGAAAGTAGATGGTGCGAGCTGCCAGAGGCGGCGAGACGGGTCGAGATGGCCGAGGCCGGTTTCGCCGAGGCTTGCAAAAACGACATTACGAAGGACTGTGGGATTCAAAGATGCATTCCGCTGCAGCGGGGGGTCGAAGGGTGAGGGTTCCTATATCAGAGTGAGGAAGATGGCGAGCAGCGCAAGGACGAAGCACCAGCTCGACAGGCAGCGGGGCGTTGGATTGCGGATATGGAAGGCGCGCGGTGATTGGCGGAGCGAGCCGCGATACGGGCGATTGGAAGCTGGTGGATGCCAGCGAGCCAGCGGGGCTCATGATCGATAGCACCGCAGCTCAGTTCACCCGCCCGAAAGACTGTATTGCGTTGGCGTGCTCACAAATACAGATGCACAGCCGGCCAGAGGGCCGACGTGGCAAAGCCAGATCCACTCGGGCTTGGCAGAGCCGCCTATGGTTGTGCAGCCGTGACAGGCCCATGTTCGGCTGGCTCGTCGTCTTCAGAATCCGAGTGCTCAGAAGAGCCCTTGGCCTTTGCAAAGGCTTGAGCGATCGAGATCTTGGTCAGCGCACGCTTCCACAGCTTGTGCGGGTTGCCTGCCAAGGGGGACGCTGCCTCGGGATTCTCGGTGTTCCAGACATCCACCAAGTTTGGTAGCTGCTCGGCAACAGCGCCGGCAGCCTCGTCGATGTAGCTGAGATCGATCTTGTCCAGCTTTCTACTGAGGGACTCGACGGAGGGAGAGTCGTCCTCCTCGTCAAGGTTGCGCTCGTCCGACGGAGCCGGGGCGCTGGGTTCGGTGACGGCGACAATCTCCCGACTGACCTCCTCTGTCCGCGGCTGGACATGGAGATCGCGCGAGAGAGCCGGAAACATGTCGGTCTGATTCTTCCTGTGGAGCTCACGCACCCTCTGGGCATGGTCGCGAGCGATCGAGTCGTAGTAGACGAGCCAAGGATCAATCAGGGCCTCCTCGGCCGTTGGTCTGAGCTTGGGGTCCACCTGGAGCAGCCGCCGAACAAAAGACTTGGCTGGGGAGTCCATTGCGAAGGCTCAGTAAGCTGCCTCAAGCGCCCCCTTGACTCTAGCGGCCCGAACGACGAATGCTCAACAGTGCCTAGTGTGCCCTTACCCATGCTGCTGATGCCATTCCAGTATGGGGCTTCGAACGAAAAGTCGGCCTTGATCACAGCCTGGTTCATCGACGGTGCATCCTTCGCGTGGTAGAAGGGGTGGTATCCAGAAAGCAAAATAAAGGCGATGATGCCGACGCTCCAGACATCCGCCGGTCGGCCGTGACCGGAGCGGCGGATAACCTCGGGAGCTGGTCGGTAAAACACAGAGTTGAATGTCCGGCGTAAGTCGCGCGGGGTCTGCAACGCCAGTCAAAGAGCAACACCAGCACGGCCGGGCGGGAGGAGCTTGGATATGGGCGGATACCATACCGACGTAGCCGGGGCTGCCCACGACCGTCTTGAGCATCGACCCATCCTCGACAATGTTTGACACGCCAAAGTCGGCCAGGAGCAGAGGGGCGTTGGGAGCAGGGCTCTTGAAGAGCAGGTTTTCGGGTTTCAGATCCTGCGGCAACAGAGCATATCAGTCGGACCGCCACCGCCACCCACCACAAACGTCGGCAGCGTCTCAAGCGTCCGACTGCTTCCGCGTATTCGTCAATCCACCCGACGGCATGTGCTCCGAGGTCTCCTCCCGCAAGAATGGTGATCAGCGCACAAACATAGCATACTCTGTGGACAATTTTGTGGCTGTGCAGATAGCTGAGGGCGTCCAGAACGGTGTAGATGATCCGGGCAGCGTCTCGTTCGGTAAAGTGGCCTTTCTCGGCAATTCTGTCGAACAGCTCGCCGCCGGTTGCACTGGTGGTGCGGTTCATACCACATATACATGCAGGGATGTGCAGAAGCTGGGTGAGATGCAGGTCGTCGGTGGTGGCGAGTTGGGCGAGCCGAGGCAGACACGGCTGCAGTAGCGGAGCAGCCGACAGGGCAGCAGTGAAGCAGGAGTCGGACCGCTGCCGTGGAAGTTCTGGTGCTGACACCTACAGATCAAAGACGATGTAGTACTTGGTGTTGGTCTCGAAGGCATCGCGGACGTTGACGATGTTTTCATGCTTGAGCCCGGCAAGGATGGTCATTTCGCGCTTGACTCGTTGGATGGCCCTCGGGTCGCTCATGTTGATGTTGGACTTTCTCATGGTCTTGATGGCGACCCGGGTGCCGTCGCGGGTGTCGATGGCCTCCTTGACGACGCCATAGCTACCCTCACCTGGCAGCGGCAGAGGGCGAAGAGAGGGTTGGTGCTGGAAAGCAGACGAAGCGGCAGCGAGCCCTGCGACGGACACAGGCGGACAGGATCCGCACCGAGCTTTTTGATCTTGCGGTAGAACTTGCGCCTCTCGACTCCAGGCGACTTGTCGCCCCAGGTGCGGATGAAGGACAGCATCCGGGCTGCGGGGATGGTGTGTGGGCGAGCGGGTTGGCGATGGCTGCTGGAGCGAGAGCGAGAGGGCCAGTGCCAGAGGACAGAGTTTTTGGTGGCAAAGATGCAAGGACGGATGAGGCGCGCAGTGTGTGTGGGCGGCACAGGCTGCAGTGTTTCTGTGCGCGCGCGTCCGAATCAAGTGCGACGCAGAGTGACACTATCGAGATATGTACGACAGTCGTGCGACGAGAGTCGACACACTCCCTGTGCACTGGCTGGCCAGCACGCGCACCGGATGTCGCACAGCATGGCGGCTCCGCCCAGGCGGTGGCGCTGCTTGGCGCCGTGGTCTGGGCCCTTCGGCGCGGGCCTGCCGAGCGCGTCGCTGGCGTTGGGTTGGTGCGACGGGGCATGCAGTCCATCTCGCAGCCCATCTCGCAGTCCGTCTTGCAGCCCATCTTGCAGCCCATCTTGCAGCCCATCTTGCAGCCCATCTTGCAGCCCATCTTGCAACGCAGCGCAATCCCTCTCCGGGTTCTGCATTTCTTGCCATCGTCGTCGCCGTCTCGGCTCCGCATTTCCTGCTCCTCTCGCTTGTCCTGAAGCCCCCTCATCAATCCATACCGCCGCGCCGAGCCTCCAAAGTCTTGACCACAACACCAGCCCCAGCATGCCGGCCACCACCGAGCGTTCGCAGAGTCAGGTCCAGCAGCGTCTGGGCGAGCTGTTTATCATCGAGCATCAGCCATTCGTGCTTAAAGCACGGTTACCAGCACAGATTGTCTCTAAAGGGGTAGGCCGTTGTTTCCCCGGTGCTGCCCGATCGGCAAGATATCTGCCGTCGCTGTGCCCTGACCCACTCGTCGTGCCCGGCATCCGCTCGACGAAACATCGACTCCCCAATCGGTCCAGCCTGTGGGATTCTCGTCCAATCGTCTCGCTCATCCTGGCGCATGGCCCGCTTCTGTTCCCTGCAGACCCCCGAGGAGGCACCTCAGCACATGAGTCTCACAGTGTGGCACCAAGGCGACATTGAGAGCGTATACGAATGCTTTTACGACCCGCCCAGGCCCGAGATCTTCAGCCTCCTGTCATCTCCAGGTGGCATCCACAGGATTACGCCGCAAGAGGTAGCAGTGCGCTGCATCTGAATACCTTCCTGATCCGAGCTGGGTCCCGTAACGAATCGATTCGACGAAGGAAAACTTCCTGGGGATACATTTGGTGGTCTTACATTTGGGATGAATGAGTGAGTCGCTGCTGATGGTCTACTTTGTTCCAGGATAATGAAAGTGGTGCCGAAAGCGCTTCGCCTGAAAAGCTGCTGCTTGTGCTGAAAGACCAGACCGAGTCGGAGATCCAAGTCGAGCTTGCCCGAAGACGGATAAGCGACCCGTATGAGAGTCTCCGCAATGAATGCGACCGACTTTCGTTCCTGAGCAGCACCCACAACGATGAAATCCAGAGCCTGCAGCGGCGTCTGACCTTCCAGGTTCAGGGATCGCTCGGCAGTGTCGACAGCGCAGCAGGTAGCAAAGGTACTGTGCATCGACCAAACCGCACACCGCACACCGCCCTCGCTGTCGGCTGTCGGCTGTCGAGTCAACGCTCGCCATCTGCAGTATGGGGTTCCGCATTGGCAGCATCATTGACTGACATCCCTCAATCTGCGGCTCATGTCAAAGCCCGACGCAAGCCGAATGGCGGAGAAGAAGTCGAGGTTCTTATGGCCCAGGTGATCGAAGATTATCACCAGGGTAGCTACGAGCGCGCCAAGGAGCGGCTGGACGCAATCCTCAAGAGCAACCCCGCATATCCACAGGCCCATCACTACATGGGTCTGCTATACTATTATGGACATGGCGTCGAGCTCGACTACACCGTTGCATTCAGCTGGTTCAAGCAGAGTAAGTCTCGGTCGGCCATATGTCATACGCCGCTTCTAAGATATAACGCTAATGTCTGATCGTGCGACCATGTGGCCGCTTTCGTTGAGTTGACGGCCGGATCGAGCGTCGTAGCTAACATACACCATCTTGTGCTCGCAGGTGCCGAAGGAGGGTGTGTATCACGCCGACCATGCTTGTTGGAGTGGCCTATGCTATGATCGCATGAACAGAGCAATGAAAGCTGACAATTGCTGAAATAATGTGATTTCGAACTGCCCAGTGTCGTCGAGTCACAAAACTACCTCGGCGAATGCTATATGTACGGCCATGGAACAGCTCAGGACTCGAAAAAGGTGGGCTGCGTCGCGTTTGCCAAGACTCCCGCCGGACAGGCTGATTCTATGTCTGCCTCTCTAACGAAGCTTCTGATACCGTGCCTCAGGCCATCCGCTGGTACAAGAAGGCTGCTGAGCAAAACTGCCCTTTTGCACAGACAAGTCTGGGACTCTGTCACCAGTCCGGTACCGGAGTCGACCAGAGCGACGAGCTGGCAGTCTCCAATTTTGTGGCTGCTGCACAGCAAGGCCATACAGAGGCACAGATTCTGCTGGCATCATGCTATGAAACCGGAAGCGGCGTCGCCAAGGACATGGAGCAGGCGGTCCATTGGCTCCGGTAGGGTGGTGCACCACGAGAGATCCTCCAAGAGGTCGCCTGATGACTGAATCGACATCAGTGGCGATCCTCAATGCCCAGCTGCATACGCTTATCATTCTTGCTGATTTTCGATATTGTGCGACCATCCAGGTTGGCTGCAGAGCAAGGCGATCCAGATGCCCAGTGCCGACTTGGTCTTTGCTACCAGAACGGCAGCGGCGTCCCAGTCGATAATGAAAAGGCAGTCGAGGTAGACCATTTGCGGCACTCTTTGATATTCGCTGATATATCGACCCTTGAAAGCGGTGCTTATGCGTGTGCATGGCTCTGCTCTTCATCTTGCAGTGGTTCACCAAGAGCGCCGATCAAGGTATGTGCGCCCTTCGCCGGGTCTCACCATCGAGCTTGATCATCCGTGCATCCTCGTTAACTCGGTGTCCCAACTCAGATTTTTCCGATGGACTGAACCACCTTGGCTACTGCTACGAGCATGGTTTGGGCGTCGAGGAGAGCGCCAAGACGGCCGTGCGGTATTACCGAAAAGCCGCTGACCATGGTGAGACCCATACACTTGTATCGCCGCAGCCTCATTGTGTCATCGTAGTTCTGGACTGAATGCCCATCGCCTCTCACCGACAGGCAATCCCGTGGCATACTTCAACCTCGCCATTTGCTTCGAAAACGGCATCGGTACCAAGATCAACCTGCCGATGGCGTTTTCATGTTTCAAGGAGGCCGCCCAACACGGCGATCCGGATGCACAGTACAATATGGGTCGATTTTTGCAGCTCGGTATCGGTGTTTCCGTCGACATCAAGCGGGCAATTGGACTCTTCAGAAAGTCGGTAGGTTATCGCCCCACATTCAGAGCCTGCAACAGTCCGATGCACTATGCAGCGGCTCGTCCGCTTCGCCATCGAGGCCTTTGAATTGTAGCTTCGTTTCTTCTACCAGTCTGGCTTGCAGAAACCAGATGTTTGATTTCGGTAGCGGACGCTAGTGCTGAGACATGCCGATTAGTATTCGCTGGTCGCTAATGCAGTCTTTCGAATCGGCTAACAATGATGGGACCTACTTTTGTGTGATTCAATCTGCCAGGCCGACCAAGGTAATCCCGTTGCGGCTAGCATGATGCCTCCCTCTGCCCACCCTTTGCCAGACTCACCGTATCTTGCCACACAGACAACGCGGACTCTCAATTCAGCCTTGGAGAGTGTTATGCCAAGGGGACTGGTGTGAAGCAAGACTGGACCCAGGCTGCGATGTGGTACAACGAGGTATATCAAAGCCGTATATCAAGCGGGCGGTAGCAGAGGCTATGCGAACAGGGTGATGTTTTGGTATGATTGCAGCGTAGTCGTCACAGTCGATCCCTACGACCTGGCTGTGTGGGCAGGCAATGCGTGACTAACCGAGTCGCGGCGCTTTGAAAGGCATCGATCAACGGACACCCTCTGGCACAATATGCACTCGGTCGCTGCTACAAGAAAGGACTTGGTGTGAAAGTCAGTCCGGAGCTGGCCGTGGTAAGACTCGATAAGATATGACGCTAATTCAAGCTCTGGATGGTGGGTAAACTGCGAGTTTGCGCCTCCGTACTACATCCCTAACGCACGAATGGCGGCAGAAATGGTTTTCCAAGTCGGCGCATCAAGGCGTCGCGGTTGCCCAAGGCAACTTGGGTCTCTGTTACGAAAGCGGCTTTGGCGTACAAGTAGATCTTGAAAGGGCCGTCGAGTGGTATACCAAGAGTAAGCGACATGGCAACTACTTGTGCACAGTTTTGTCGAGCCGTGTGTCACCGCGATCGACGCTGACCCAGGATCTTCCGCGATAACCGCTCTCCAGGTGCCGATCAAGGCAACCCAGGCAAGTGCCGACGCTGACAAGCGAGACGTGACCAAGCATAATTTGACCGTCGGCTTATGTTTCGACCCGATCTGTCGCTTTGCAGCTGCCCAATGCAACCTCGCCATCTGCTACGAGCATGGGTTTGGCGTCAAGCAGGACTATCTGACGGCCGTTTCATACTATCTCAACTCTGCGTCACAAGAGTCAGTTGCGCCTCTTTGTCTCTTACCCTATCCATCTCTGTCACCCGATTGTGCATCTGAACGACGAGGGCGGAAGTCGTTTGCAGCAGTTTTGGTCAGCACCAGCGACCTGACACAAGCATGCTGTGGCTGCAGTCGAGTGTATGGAGTAATTGACACTCTCCTTCCCCTCACAGCGATAGCCTCGCGGCGTGCAATCTCGGCGTGCTCTTTGAGAACGGACACGGAGTGCCACAAGATTATGAAGAAGCCGTGCGCTGGTATCGACAGTCAGCTGAAGCCGGATATGCAGGTATGCCGTGCTTCCAACCGGGGCGAGCGCATGGCCGTCGCAGATGCTAACGCGACCCATGGCTTCAACAGCCGGCCAGTGCAACCTTGGCCGCTGCTTCCAGAATGGCCATGGCGTACAAAAGGATGTCAAGGAGGCCGTCAAGGTAAATGCATAAAGCACCATGGCCTGCCTTGGTCGCCGAGCGGTGATTGCTGACGAAACTGCACCGGTTTCACTCTGTCTCCCACTGTCAGTGGTACCGGCTTGCTGGCGAGCAAGGCGACGTCGATGCCCTGTTGCTCCTGGCATACTGTCTCGAAAACGGAATCGGAAGCGAGAAGAACCTCGAGAAGGCCGCCGAGTGCTACATGAGAGCGGCGGATCTGGGCGAACCCTCGGCTTACTACGGCCTGGGTGTCTGCTACCACAAGGGGCGTGGTGTCAACGAAGACTACAAGTAGGTATCTCGCCGGTATTGCCGGCAGCAAATGGTGTCGGTGGCGGATCAAGATCTCATCTGGGCTCGGAAACTAATGCCCATTGCTCGTGATCCAGGGAAGCAGCCAAGTGGTATAGCAAGGGCGCCGAGGCTGGGTGAGTTGGAATGGCGACCCGCTAAGCAGCTTGTGTCCTGCATATCCGCTCGCCAGCGTTGGTTTGTGCAATCAAAGTCGCCGGTGCGAAGCTGCTATCCTCCTCCATTGGAGCAGACTGCAATCTCACGGCGCTGGCTGATGCAGAATTTACCGATTGTGCCAGCCACGCCGAGTCCCAGTACAGCTACGGCCTATTGTTTGAGAAGGGATATGGTGTCCATCGGGATCTCAAGGAGGCTGTTTTCTGGTACAAGCGCGCCTCTGACCAAGGTTTGTGTGGTTGCCATGAGCCTGAGTATGTCCGAGGGCCTTTCTCGAGGAGAGTATGAGAGTATCGACGAGCCCTCTCACCTCACCCACAATCGCGCTCTGACATGATATCCCGCTCGAACCCAGGCCTGACACAAGCCCACTGGTCGCTGGGTCTGTGCTACGAGCGCGGACTGGGTGTCGAAAAGAACTATCCAAAAGCCCTCGACCTCTACGGAAAGGCAGCCAAAAAGGGCCATAGCCGAGCGATCGCCCGGATCAGCGCGCTTCACAACCTGCCTCCCATCACCAACCAGGGGCCCACAACCCTCGATGTCATTCTAGAAGAGCCCACTCTTGAGGCTGCTGAGGATACGGCCGATGCGCTTCCCGAACGCAAGCCGTCCATCATCGACAGGGTCAGCAACCTCCGGACGCGAATGAGGCCGATCTCTGAGCTTATTCCCAGCTTTCGGGCTTCTGAGTCCAAGAGCACAAGCGCTGTGGCCGGTGCAGGAATTGGTACAAAGCTGCCCGCTGCTGTCTCCAGACTTCGCCAGAAAGGTGCCCGCGAGTCGTTCATCGATTCTCTCAACACTGCATGTAAGTAGACTCGACATGATTTGTATGCGGCTTGGATCGACGCAAGCCGAGTCGCTGCTTGAAGTGCGACACTTTGCTGCCCGTCTTGATCTGAATCTGAATCTGAATCTGTGCTCCTCTATGCCATCCAACTCGAATACGGCTCAAAGTCAGCACCGTTTCTGTTTCTGCCACCTCTGCTGTCGTCTCGGCTGCGACGACGGCGTCAACTCGTGAGTATCTGCCACTGCGTACCCTTCCTAGAGCGCACATCGATTGGCAAGCAGCGGTGCGACTGGCCGGGGTACCCCGCCAACATTGTTCCATGCGTGCTGACATTGGCATAGTCATTTCGGCAGCCGGCAGCACTGTCGAGGTTGTGTCCAGACAGATGGTCAGCTCCGAGACCGAGACTGAGACCGAGACTGCATCACCTGACGATGGCCCGTCCGAGATGTACGCCAAAGCGGTCCTGAGCTTCATGGGGAAGCGATACGACGATGCCTTCCGCCTGTTTCTGCGAGTTTCCCGGCACGACCACCCGCGAGCCTTCTACTATCTTGGACTCTGCTTCCGGCACGGATACGGAACCGAGCCTGATCCCGAACGCGAGTTTATCAACTTCAAGCTCAGTGCCGAGCTCAACCATCCCGAAGCGCAATGCTGCCTGGGCGAGTGCTACGAAAAGGGCCGCGGTACCGCCCGAGACCTCGTTGCCAGCTTCAACTGGTACCAAAAGGCGGCCGAGTCCGAGTCTCTCCCAACCGTCCTCAATCTCGCCCGGGCGTATGAGCGCGGAATCGGAACGGAGCCGTCGGTACCGGAGGCGTACAAGATATACAAGAAGCTCGCGCAAACGGGGTACCCCGAGGGCGAATATAACCTTGGGCGTCTCCTGGCAGTCGGGGTGGCCTCCGACGGCAGCGATGCTGAGATCAAACCCGATCTCGTGGCTGCCTTTGAGCTCTTCCGGAGAGCCGCAAGCAAAGGCCTGCCACAGGCACAGGCTAAGGTCCAGGATCTTTCCGCGCTGATGGGCATCTCTCCGCAGCCACAGGACGAAGAAAGCGAGGAGGAAGACGAAAATACCGATGGATACTACGCCTTCTATAGCTGAGGACGAGAGAACATGGATGGCTTGGCGAGTGTGTCTCCAATACAGCCGTTCGAAACGAAACGGGACGGTGCCCATTGTATTCTTCCGTAGATCGGTCACCGGGCCTTCCCCTTCTCCCACGAGGCCCGGCGACAGAGCACCAGAGTGCCCGAGAACGGCGGTGCTGGTCCTCGCTTGACACATCGCTGCACCCCGGAGTCGCACCCCAGAGCCGAGCAAGGCCCTCCATGGCGTGCCCGCCAGGGTCGCGCGCCACCAAACAAGCAGCCCGATGGCGGGTTCCCTGGTCTGCCACCGACTTCAGCGCCCATCGGACTGCAAACGGTGGCCGCAGCGAGCACTCTCCTCGCCCCGATATTGCGCCCATCATGCAGAAGGTAGATTCCCATCCAGCAGGGGCTCTAGTGCATTCAGTCTTGTGGAACTGACCGCCCGCCGCTCTGCAGCACCGCAACATCACCCTCGAGCGTCTCGATAAGTTTCTTCAGGAGGGCCAGTTTTCGGACGTCAACCTCCAGTCGGTTCTCTGGAAATACCGAGACGAGGGCAGCGTCAGCCTCTCTTACTATGGTAGGTGACAAAATGGCTGGACGAGCAGCGTTGATGGGCTGCTGGCCGGCTCGCTCTTGCTTCGGCCCAAACATCGGCAGAGTCGGCCGCATCCCCAGGATCTGCTCGGACGGAATCTCGATGCTGACCATTCAAGTATACTTGATCCACACGCAGCTGTGCCTGATCTCAAGCGCATGTAAGCATGGCTATTATTCCGGGAAAGCCAGATGATCACACCATATGAAAGCACGCTGAGTGCCGCAGAGATGCTGTCCACTGGATCAGAGCGGGTGCTTGAGCCGCGATGTTGGGCGATGTTAGGCGATGCTGGGAGCTTTGCCCGTCATACACTCATATCATACAACCGCCCGCTCGCCATCTTTGCCATCAATGCAGTTCTTTTGACGAAGCGTCCAGAGCTGTATACACTCCCACAAGCGTCGGCCAGCGGCTGGGCCCGAGTATGTATTGAGCCGGCTCACCGAGCTGCTATTGCCGTGCTGTTCCCGTCTCGCGCGACCATCCCAATAACCTCTGTACGTCGCTCCAGGCTGGGCTACGTTCTGGTTCAAGGTATCTCCACTCCCGACAGCAGCATCAATATGGTACATTGGGGTATCGTGGCTTCTGCTAACTACGAGGCTTTGGCTCCACCGTAGATTCACATCCACCTCCCCAAAGAGCTCCATGGAGAGGCTGTGCTCCTCTTGTTCGACCCCGAGTGCGAGGCCTTAATATGGTCAACCAAGGGCGAGCCTTTGCAGGGCATCACTGGTGGCGGGGGTGGTAACAGGCATGTCGACTATTTACTGACCTCCAACGCTCTCGGAGGGGAGGTGAGACACGCTTTGCTCTGCGAGGCTCGAAGCGAAGGGTATAGCACTCAAAGGACATCTGCTGATGCTGGCTTGAACCATGGTTGCGCAGAACTTTGACTTTTTTATCGAGGTTGCCTGCAACGGTCTCTTTGGCAACGGATCGGGTTTGTATCAGTGGTGTACTCTGAGTGCTCGCTGGAGGTTGGGTTGGTTGTTGCTGAGCACTAACAATTGCATCATCAAATGCCCCCTCCCCGCATGGTTTCGGCCTCCAGACGGCATGATCAACGCCCCAGCTCCCAACAGGTAAATATCGAGCAGACCTGCCCGCTGAAGGTGCATCCGGGGGCTGCTCCGACACAAATCCGTGCCCATTGTTCCGCAGATATTACAGACTGGTCAAGGCCGAGGTCGCGGTGCCAAACACTATCGCACAGGCACTGCTGATCGACATGCAGATCATCAAGGATATGGCCCGATACCTTCCGGAGAACTCGCAGGCGGCGGCAGACGCGTTGTATACCGCCAACCAAATTGTCAACGCCGTTCGGCCTGATGTTCCAAGGTATCTGGATTGCATCGTCTCGAGCACTGTTCAGACGTGCTCTTGTCTAACCCCATCGACAGCACTCTGGCCAAGGGAAAAGAAATCGCGGATGCCTTTTTCGAAAAGCGGAAGAGAGCAGAGTCATTCAATGACCATGTCGTTACCGCAGTTGGGCACTGGTACGCAGGCATCTCCACTTTGACCTTGAGATGGGATTCAAGCTGCTCACCTTTAGAGCCTAATTCAGCACTTTATCAGCCACATTGATACAGCTTGGCTTTGGACCTATGACGAAACCAAGCGCAAGGCCGCCCGAAGCTGGTCAACCCAGGTCAGTGGAACCGACAGACCTTCGCGGCTGTGTGAGCGACGTACTTGCTTGACATCTCTGAATCGCCATCTGCCTCTGCATGATTGTCCGGGATGCATGCGTGTAGTCTTGATATTGATTGTGCCCCCCCCCCCGCATCTATAACTCGACGCCCACACACACACATTGTCGAACAGTGCACGTACGTGACTACGTCGATGGCTCCAAAACAGGTGAAGTAGCGATCGTTGCTATCCTTGGTTATGCCTACTCATCCGCATCCCCCATATCTTGGATTTTGTGACTCGACAGTCTCATGGACCAGTATCCAGAGCACAAGTTTGCTTGCTCGGTGAGTGGCCGCGGGGCAACTGCAATTGTTCGTGATAAAACTCGCGGCGGGGGGAGAATCTGGGCTATCGACTCTGAAGTAGGCACGGTCTGTACAGCCAAAAATAACCTTCCGCGGATTTTTCACGGTTGCAAAAATTGCAACAGCAAGCGCAACAACTCGAGTGGGTGGAGCATATCTATCCAGCCTTGTTTGAGAGGATCCAAGCCAATGCTCGTCTTGGGAAGTTTATCCCGATCGGAGGTAGGTGTAGCTCGATGGACGATGGACGCTCTGCATCAAAGTGGCTTTGAACTAACACTCGATGCGGCTTGATGCTCTGCAGGTGTAAGTGAATCAAATGAGTCGTTTGATTCAACTTGTGCATTCGGCAATTCACACACGTGCTTTTCTCGCTGATACGTTCTGATCGTCAAGACCTGGGTCGAGATGGATTGCAACATTCCCTCTGGCGAAGCAATGTGCCGCCAATTCCTCTATGGGTATGCTAGCGCTGCTGTCTTTCATGTGCCATCGAACCCGACTCCTCGACAGTGCGCTAACGTGCATGCGGCAACCAGACAGCGCTTCCTGGAGAAAACGTTTGGCAAAAGAAGCACAGTCTTTTGGCTTCCAGGTAGGCCCTATCCCATGAATCATGCTGGCATCATGGCCCAGATGTCTTTCCAGGCACACTTATTGACTTTAACTCCACCAAATAGATACCTTTGGCTATGTAGGTGTCCAGGGAAATAGAGCTCCGGTTTCAGAAGCAAATGGGTGGATATGTTCATCATCCAAATCGCGATGCTCACTCTCTGCTCAACGGTTTCTACAACTCGGGTTCTCTGACAGTCTGCACAGGCAAGTTTCATTGCAAGTGGAACAGCCCGCATGGCTAATATATTTATCAAGTATTTTTGACTCGCAATTCCGGTTGCAGCTTCCTCAAATCGTCAAGGAATCAGGTGCGCGCTTTGTGATAGCCCGATGAGATCGACATCCCTTATCCGAGCTTAGGTCGGAGCTGACTTTGATATTTGCTGCAGGACTGTCGTATTTTTTCACCCAAAAGCTCAGCTGGAACAACATCAACAGGTATGGTGGGATGCTGCATCGTCCTTGCCTCCGTACTACTCGCTACCGGTGGTGACTGATGTTACAATCATGGCAGGTTCCCACACACAACGTTCTGGTGGAAGGGGTATGCAGTTGGCCCATGCCATGCACAATCGGACGGGCATCCAGCTGCAACTGAATCCAATACGCATGTGAATGGCGGCCGCGGCTTGCATTTCTAACCGCTTTGCTATCGATAGTCTGGATGGCACGAGCGTCTTGACTCATTTCTCACCCGCGGACACATACAATGCGCAAGCGACGGTTAATGAAATCCAGATGAGGTGAGTATATGTGTTGCCGACCAGTAAGGCAGGCCAAATCTGCACGCCATCTGACCCGCAATACTGCTTTCTTCAGCGTTACCAACAACAAGGATCGATCCTACAGCGACAAGAGTCTTCTGCTGTTTGGCAACGGGGACGGAGGAGGTACGTACAACAAGCACAGGGATGGAATAGACTGGGTCGCATTTTGACACGAACACCATCAAACCAGGCGGCCCGCTCCCACAAATGTTGGAGCGCCTTCGACGAATGAGAAACATCGAGGGCCTGCCCGCCCGCGTCGAGATTGGTGATCCGACGGCGTTTTACCAGCAGCTCGAGCAAACAAGCAGAGACTTGGTCGTGTGGCATGGAGAGCTGGTAGGTGGCAAGAGGCTGTGGAGCGATACATATGCGTCTATCCAGTCGATCCACTGAAGCTATATTGAACGGGATCTGCGTGTTTATCCATAGTATTTCGAGTTGCACCGCGGCACGGTAAGCAGAATATCAGTCGTTGCTGTGGATCGTGGGTCATGGCTACGCTGTAGATATGCGCCACGATTATGCTGCGGATCTGCTTCCTCCTGCCAAGCTCCGCAGCTCTGACCGAGTCTGTACAATCAAACAGTACACCTCTCAAGCGCACATTAAGAAATACAACCGCGCCTCAGAGCTACTGATGAAGAATGTCGATATGCTGTCAGCTCTGTGCGCCATATTATCTGTTCCAAACTTTGTGTAGGTGTCAATCAATATTGAGCTCATCCAGTCACTGATCGCCTCATCATTGTAGCCGGAATCATGGCTATCATACACGCTACTACTCACTGTCAAACTGCTTCTATAGTCACCCGAAGGAGTCCATCGACAAGCTCTGGAAGAATTTGCTTCTGTACGTGATGCAGTAGTTCCGATGCCCTGTTAACCGCCGCCACTGGTTTGAAGCTGCTCGTGCTTGGAGACATGGATGCACATGGCCTGTCTTGATGGAGAATGTGCACTCTCACGGCAAAGAGACCAATCACCGGCGAACGGTGCTTCTGTATCTGGTCGACCCTCTTGCCGAACGATCAAGAAACGGCGGCAGCACAGCCAATGACGATGTTTATTTATGCAATCCCTCCCCCACACATACGCATACTCTCACAGAAACCAGTTCCATGACGTCTTGGTACGTGCGACGACATTCCTAGCTCTCCCATCTCTGATCGTACCTCGATTCCCGTGCATATCGCTTTAACAGTGCTAGCTATGCTCGTTGCCTCGCATGCGCATGCGCCATGAACAGCCTGGATCCTCCATTGAGTTGGCCAATGTCGATGCACGAGAGGTAATCTGTCGATACTCTTCCAAAGGTTGTCTTGCCACAGCATCGTGGGCAACACCAGCTCGCTTGATATTAATGCACGGGAGCAAGAATACTTATCCGATGATCTAAATCTTTTAGATCTACAAAGACCTTGTCCAGGACGCAGAGAAGCTTGCCAAAGAGCTCTTCGATAAACTCGCCGACCATCTTTGCGACAACGCTGGCGGCGAGCCTGTGCTCATTGTACTGAACCCGACGCCGTGGCCCAGAAAAACGTCAGTGGTCTTCATCAACGAACTATCTGCTCCAGACTCATGGTTGCGCATCGCTGCTAATACCGACTGGATCCAAAGTTCGTTTGTATCTGTTGGAAGCGACTTGGAGTGTCGAGACATGGACAAGTATATGGGCGAGGGCCACGGCTCGGTTCTTCAGAAATCTGCAGCTGGAGGCTACACTGTCTTTGTCGAAGAGATCGGCGGCTACAGCATCAAAGCCGTACCACTCAAGTCCCTCACGAAGATGGACGAGATCAAGGGTGAGGACATCTATTGTCAGGCGGTGCCGAGCAGGGCCACAGCGGCTTAATTGGCCACCGAGCTGACGCAAGCATCCATCATATTAGTCATGCGCGAGACTACCGGATATCTGGTCGATAATGGAGAAATCAGAGTGGTTTTTGATCACCACGGAAGAATCACGAGCTTGGTTGATCTTGAGACCAGGCAAGTGGACAATGTCGTTGCTTGAAGAGGCAATACCACCGCTGGACGCGGCAAGCTCCAAAGCTGAATACGCTGACATGCTTGTATTAACATGGATGTGCTGGCGCAAATGAACCGGGAATCGTGCCGTTGCAGCCGCGAGGCCATCTTGCCGGGTGCCCGAGCCAACGTGTTCCGAATCTACGAAGATATCCCCTTGTTCTGGGATGCCTGGGATGTAAGTTTTCTGTTGGTGTTCATATCTCGACCGAGGCCCTGCTTGCATGCTCATAGGGGAATTGCAGATGCTAAAAGAGTCAAAACAGGTTGAAATCTATCATCTCGAAAAGGGATGGGACGCTGGTGTTGGTCAACTCGAGCTCGAAGAGGTCGGCTTTCTCCGTGTGGTGCTCAAGGTGGTTCATCCGCTCAGCCAGCACAGCAGCCTGGTGCAGCGAATTATTGTCAACGCCGGTAGCAAGCAGATCGAGTTTGAGAATAAGGTCGACTGGCACGAAAATCGCAAAATGCTGGCAAGTATCGTCCACGATATGGCGCGAAAGAAGCGTAGAGCTTCTGTCTCTGCCCGCACGAGCAAGTCCTGTGCCGGACATATCTTCAGCCAGCGGCGATGTCGCTATGCTCACTGTTCAATGCACACTATCGGATGGCCGCAGAAAGTGGAGTTCCAAGTCAACGTCAGCTGTGATTACGCCACCTACGAAACGCAGTTTGGATTCGTTCAGAGACCAACCCACTACAACAACAGTTGGGATATGGCCAAGTTTGAAGTCTGCGGACACAAGTTTGTGGACTACTCGGAATATGGCTTTGGTGTCTCCTTGCTGAACGACAGGTTGGTTGTTTCGTGAAATGCGGGAAGATGGAATGGAGGTATAGAGTCCAGTGTGTCTCTTGGCACGCATCCCAGGATCTGACCTGAACATCATTTGCTTGACCAGCAAATATGGCTTCTCGGTCCACGAAAACACCATGCGCATGAGCTTGCTCCGCGCCCCCAAGGTAAGGACAGCCTGATACAGCCTACTGTACTCTCGGCGCCATGAGTTTCATGCTCACGCGGCTCCCCCCCCCACAGGCACCTGATGAACACTGCGACATGGGTAAGCATCATCTCCCTGGCACCGGACATAACTATCGCAACTGCGATTCCATATTGAGCCAACATAACACTCTTCACTGTAGGCGAGCACACGTTCCGCTATGCACTGTACCCGCACGCCGGAACCTTCTACGAGTCTGATGTAGTTCAAGCTGGCTACGAATTCAACGTTCCCCTGATTGCAAGGTAACACTGCGTTGTTGTGGCGGTGTTTGTATAGCCCTGGCTAAGCAAGCGCCTTGTCCTTGTAGACCAAGCCAGAGCACCCTCAGCTCCGGTATGATGCAGTTCTTCCGAGTTGCGCAATCCAATGTTGTTCTGGATACGATCAAGGTCCCCGAAGAGAGCCACGGCAAGGAGGCAGTTCTTCGGTTTTACGAAAGCAAAGGTGGACGAGGGAGGGTGGAGGTACAGAGGTAAGCGCAATTACGAGCGCAATTACGAGCACAAAGCACGCTCGTTAACGCAATCTCAGGCGCTAATTGATCCGGTGGCTTGCCATACCAGTGCACTCCCTATCCGTGGCGCGCAGCTGTGCAATGTCTTGGAGGAGCGCAAAGGAGACATTGAGCATAGCCAGACTTCATTTTCGTTCGAAGTTCTTCCTTTCAAAATCATCACCATTCGACTCAGTTTTGAGTAGACTGGACAAACCGCGGTATTGAATTGACTTGCTACAGCATTATATTGTGGGGCAACAGTGATCGATTCCCGTTTCGAGCCATACTGCCGGCTGTCTCTCTAGCATTCAGAATAGCCCATGCATCCCCTCGAATACACCGCACCGCGTCTCCGATGAAAATAGCACGTACATGTGTCTGGATAATCCAGCTGATAATGGAAAGGCGAATTGGCATTCTGATATTGGATCAGCACCACCAGTCCCGTCGCTGAATCACGATCGCATTCACAGAAGGCTGTGTATACCGCAAGCTCAGAACGAAGCAGAGCAGTGTCGTACGAAACATGGTTTCTCGGGGTCAAGAGCGTTAGAGACTCGATGTTGATCTCTTCCTCTTCCCCTGTCTCCATGAGGCCTTCCACGTGGCAGTCGCAAGTCAGTCTCTTGGAACGCTGTTTGGCCATGGTGGACGGATGTGTATTCGGGGCCCAGGAGGCAGAATACAAGATAGTGTCCCGTTCATTTAGATGGGCTGCAAACCAGATTGGCACATAGCCGCCGATCACCTCGCATTGGGATCGATCCTGGTGGCTGTATTTGAATGATATCTTGGGAATGATTAGGCGATTAATGGAAGGTGGGAATTCATGGGCGAGCTCCAATAGAAATGAGACCAAGTTGCACAAAATGTTTCCAAAACGTCGCAAATGCAGTTGCGGGGGAGGGGAGAACGCGATCAGATTGATCAAGCGGATCGAAAAAGAGACAGAGATTCTTGGAGGGCATTCCGCCGGGAAGGGAGTTGATTGGACATCCGGCCACTGAGGGTCATGAGGTCTTGTTCAAGAGCTTTTACATTTTCGGTAAGCTGCTCAATCAAATCATCGCGATGATTTACTTCGATAGCCATATCGCGACGAAGAGCTTTGGTTTCTTCCATCGAGTGAATGAGATCCCATTTTGTACTAAGGAGTTCGGTTTGGCTTTGCTGGAGCTCCACCTCACGGCTAGTATGGCCATTGATCGTTCGCTCGAGGTCGCGGATGTAGGCGCATTTGTTGCCAATATCATTGATAAGGGACGCGATTCTGTCGTCTTTTTCGAAACAACTTCGCTGCAGGTCACCGACACATTCATCGAGGACAATACATCGCTCCGAGTGGAACTCGTATTGGGAATGGACATCCTCGAACTTTTCTTCAAGGAGTTGATACTGGTGCTGGAGCTCATCGAATTTGGCTTGAAGACGACCGATAATCGATGATGACTGAGAGAGTTTGTCGTTGAGGGAAGTGACTTCTTGACTTTGGGTCTCGAGTGCTTCTGTGGCAAGTCGGAGGTTTGACTGTGCAGCCAGCAGAAGCTGTTCTCGAGAATCTAGTGATTGTCGTAGATGGGAGAGGATATCTTCGAGCTGACCCTTGTGGCTGTTGGATCCATCGAGCCAGGATTGCAGCTCGTTGATCCGGTGGTTGGCTGATTCGAGCTGGCTGTTCTTGTCATTCAACTCGTGCTGGACATTCTTGAGTTGCTCTTCCAGTTGACCCTTGTGGCTGTTGGATCCATCAAGCCAGGATTGCAACTCGTTGATCCGGTGGTTGGCTGATTCGAGCTGGCTGTTCTTATCATTCAACTCGTGCTGGACATTCTTGAGTTGCTCTTCCAGTTGACCCTTGTGGCTGTTGGATCCATCGAGCCAGGATTGCAGCTCGTTGATTCTGTGGTTGGCTGATTCGAGCTGGCCATTCTTATCATTCAACTCGTGCTGGACATTCTTGAGTTGCTCTTCCAGTTGACCCTTGTGGCTGTTGGATCCATCGAGCCAGGATTGCAGCTCGTTGATTCTGTGGTTGGCTGATTCGAGCTGGCTGTTCTTGTCATTCAACTCGTGCTGGACATTCTTGAGTTGCTCTTCCAGTTGACCCTTGTGGCTGTTGGATCCATCGAGCCAGGATTGCAGCTCGTTGATCCGATGGTTGGCTGATTCGAGCTGGCTGTTCTTATCATTCAACTCGTGCTGGACATTCTTGAGTTGCTCTTCCAGTTGACCCTTGTGGCTGTTGGATCCATCGAGCCAGGATTGCAGCTCGTTGATCCGATGGTTGGCTGATTCGAGCTGGCTGTTCTTGTCATTCAACTCGTGCTGGACATTCTTGAGTTGCTCTTCCAGTTGACCCTTGTGGCTGTTGGATCCATCGAGCCAGGATTGCAGCTCGTTGATCCGATGGTTGGCTGATTCGAGCTGGCTGTTCTTGTCATTCAACTCGTGCTGGACATTCTTGAGTTGCTCTTCCAGTTGACCCTTGTGGCTGTTGGATCCATCAAGCCAGGATTGCAACTCGTTGATCCGGTGGTTGGCTGATTCGAGCTGGCTGTTCTTATCATTCAACTCGTGCTGGACATTCTTGAGTTGTTCTTCCAGTTGACCCTTGTGGCTGTTGGATCCATCGAGCCAGGATTGCAGCTCGTTGATTCTGTGGTTGGCTGTTTCGAGCTGGCTGTTCTTGTCATTCAACTCGTGCTGGACATTCTTGAGTTGCTCTTCCAGTTGACCCTTGTGGCTGTTGGATCCATCGAGCCAGGATTGCAGCTCGTTGATCCGATGGTTGGCTGATTCGAGCTGGCTGTTCTTGTCATTCAACTCGTGCTGGACATTCTTGAGTTGCTCTTCCAGTTGACCCTTGTGGCTGTTGGATCCATCGAGCCAGGATTGCAGCTCGTTGATTCTGTGGTTGGCTGATTCGAGCTGGCCATTCTTATCATTCAACTCGTGCTGGACATTCTTGAGTTGTTCTTCCAGTTGACCCTTGTGGCTGTTGGATCCATCGAGCCAGGATTGCAGCTCGTTGATTCTGTGGTTGGCTGTTTCGAGCTGGCTGTTCTTGTCATTCAACTCGTGCTGGACATTCTTGAGTTGTTCTTCCAGTTGACCCTTGTGGCTGTTGGATCCATCGAGCCAGGATTGCAGCTCGTTGATCCGGTGGTTGGCTGCCTCGAGCTGGCTGTTCTTATCATTCAACTCGTGCTGGACATTCTTGAGTTGCTCTTCCAGTTGACCCTTGTGGCTGTTGGATCCATCGAGCCAGGATTGCAGCTCGTTGATCCGATGGTTGGCTGATTCGAGCTGGCTGTTCTTGTCATTCAACTCGTGCTGGACATTCTTGAGTTGCTCTTCCAGTTGACCCTTGTGGCTGTTGGATCCATCAAGCCAGGATTGCAACTCGTTGATCCGGTGGTTGGCTGATTCGAGCTGGCTGTTCTTATCATTCAACTCGTGCTGGACATTCTTGAGTTGTTCTTCCAGTTGACCCTTGTGGCTGTTGGATCCATCGAGCCAGGATTGCAGCTCGTTGATCCGGTGGTTGGCTGCCTCGAGCTGGCTGTTCTTATCATTCAACTCGTGCTGGACATTCTTGAGTTGCTCTTCCAGTTGACCCTTGTGGCTGTTGGATCCATCGAGCCAGGATTGCAGCTCGTTGATCCGATGGTTGGCTGATTCGAGCTGGCTGTTCTTGTCATTCAACTCGTGCTGGACATTCTTGAGTTGCTCTTCCAGTTGACCCTTGTGGCTGTTGGATCCATCGAGCCAGGATTGCAGCTCGTTGATTCTGTGGTTGGCTGATTCGAGCTGGCCATTCTTATCATTCAACTCGTGCTGGACATTCTTGAGTTGTTCTTCCAGTTGACCCTTGTGGCTGTTGGATCCATCGAGCCAGGATTGCAGCTCGTTGATTCTGTGGTTGGCTGTTTCGAGCTGGCTGTTCTTGTCATTCAACTCGTGCTGGACATTCTTGAGTTGCTCTTCCAGTTGACCCTTGTGGCTGTTGGATCCATCGAGCCAGGATTGCAGCTCGTTGATCCGATGGTTGGCTGATTCGAGCTGGCTGTTCTTGTCATTCAACTCGTGCTGGACATTCTTGAGTTGCTCTTCCAGTTGACCCTTGTGGCTGTTGGATCCATCGAGCCAGGATTGCAGCTCGTTGATCCGATGGTTGGCTGTTTCGAGCTGGCTGTTCTTGTCATTCAACTCGTGCTGGACATTCTTGAGTTGCTCTTCCAGTTGACCCTTGTGGCTGTTGGATCCATCAAGCCAGGATTGCAACTCGTTGATTCTGTGGTTGGCTGTTTCGAGCTGGCTGTTCTTGTCATTCAACTCGTGCTGGACATTCTTGAGTTGCTCTTCCAGTTGACCCTTGTGGCTGTTGGATCCATCGAGCCAGGATTGCAGCTCGTTGATTCTGTGGTTGGCTGTTTCGAGCTGGCTGTTCTTGTCATTCAACTCGTGCTGGACATTCTTGAGTTGTTCTTCCAGTTGACCCTTGTGGCTGTTGGATCCATCGAGCCAGGATTGCAGCTCGTTGATTCTGTGGTTGGCTGATTCGAGCTGGCCATTCTTATCATTCAACTCGTGCTGGACATTCTTGAGTTGCTCTTCCAGTTGACCCTTGTGGCTGTTGGATCCATCGAGCCAGGATTGCAGCTCGTTGATCCGATGGTTGGCTGATTCGAGCTGGCTGTTCTTATCATTCAACTCGTGCTGGACATTCTTGAGTTGCTCTTCCAGTTGACCCTTGTGGCTGTTGGATCCATCGAGCCAGGATTGCAGCTCGTTGATCCGATGGTTGGCTGATTCGAGCTGGCTGTTCTTGTCATTCAACTCGTGCTGGACATTCTTGAGTTGCTCTTCCAGTTGACCCTTGTGGCTGTTGGATCCATCGAGCCAGGATTGCAGCTCGTTGATTCTGTGGTTGGCTGATTCGAGCTGGCCATTCTTATCATTCAACTCGTGCTGGACATTCTTGAGTTGCTCTTCCAGTTGACCCTTGTGGCTGTTGGATCCATCGAGCCAGGATTGCAGCTCGTTGATTCTGTGGTTGGCTGATTCGAGCTGGCTGTTCTTGTCATTCAACTCGTGCTGGACATTCTTGAGTTGCTCTTCCAGTTGACCCTTGTGGCTGTTGGATCCATCGAGCCAGGATTGCAGCTCGTTGATTCTGTGGTTGGCTGTTTCGAGCTGGCTG